TTGACAAAACAACTGTGACTGTATGTGAGAGGGTATTAAATTGAGGAATGGAAAAAGGGGGGTTGACGCGGGGGTGGGCGGTCAAAATTCATTTTATGACTTACAACATTGAGGCGATATACATAAAAAATATACATATGCAGATTTATTTATTCACTCTGTGCATATAAAGCATAATTTCACCCCATTTATATGCTTTTTTCTCCTCTGTCAAGACAACGGGGAGTAGTGCTTCTGGCCTCTTTTGCCAAGACGCCAGCACTGTTTGCTCAACAGTGATTTATTTTGAATTTCAGTCAGAGGGAAATTTTGCACTTCCGCCCAAAATTAAAATGTCAGAATGTTTATTTAATACACTGGGTGGTAATCAATCAACGACCAAATCGATTGTCAAAAATTTGACCTCTTTTCCATTTGCCACATTTGACCAACTGGCAAAGATTTTCCCGTCATTTTCTCTGCGCGCAAATTCACCGTGCAAAAACTACACCTTCACGTGGAAACTCTCACTGTAATCTCTCGCCTAATTGCCCCCCAAAACATTCACCGATGAAAGAGAAAAATTGCCACTTTTAGCATTTAAATAGCAATCTATTTATTATTCAGTCTTCACTTTTGATGGTGTTAATTACCCTTGACCAATTATGAAAATTTTGACTAATAACCCTCAAATGTGGGCTTCATTTTTTCTCAAATGGCCAGTGAAAAATTCACTCACTTTTCCTATATGTAGTCTCTCCCATCTCAATAATACAACCATTTGACTCGACAGCGGATTCCGTTGCATATTCAAATCCACAGTGAAAGAGAGAAGATGGCTTAATTATAATTATTCCGAGGCGAGAGGTGCATTTGAAGTCCGAAAAGGTGATGAATTCAAATCGCGTATGAGATTAAGAGATACGATAACGCCGCCTCGAAGGTACAAGAGTTCACAGTCCAGGGAAGAGGAGACGAAAAAAAAACTCCCAGCTAAATGGACATTTAAGCGGTGTTAAAAAGTCACCTGTTTATACAGAAATTGTCTCTGCGGCAGACAATTTCTGGCAAGACAGACGGAGAAGAGGCTAAAATTGATTTTCAATAGCGCGATACGGAATTTCGGGCGGGAGAAGAATGGGATAACGAAGTGCCTCTGGTGGAAATGAGCACCAATAAATCCATAAAAAATTAATTACACAAAATACGATAGCGCGGATATTGTTAATCGAACTTTTCATTCACTTTATGGCCAGAGAGTCACCAAGTTTTACAATGTCGCTCTCTCAGCGTCTTGATTGAGCATTTTGGTGCTCGAGCTGGCGCTTCTTCTTCTTCCCCACTCGCAAGGAGTCATAAATGCTCTCTCTTATTGACGTGAGTGATGCATCTGTTTGAGTTAGTACATTTAGTTAAGTGACATGTCTTCATTAAATACCACCTCTCGTTCGCTTTTTGGTGTTATTACGAGAGAAGAACTGTCAAAGAACCAGTAATTGCATTGGCTCAGTTCATTTTACCCGTTTTTCTGCCTCTCTTCTCCCCCAGAGGGAGTCCAGGTGTCCACCCTCTGGCGACTACATATCGAAAATACATAAAATTAATCAAACAAATAAATTAATCCAACATGAAGAGAGCAATTATTGACATAGACTGTATTGGATGAATGTCGAGTATTAAACGTTTAATTAAAATTCGAATTGTTGACGATGGGGTGAATGGATTGGTGTGAGTGTTTACCTGTTGTCTTGCTTCACAGCGGAATTTTGGGGGGTGGAAGATGGCCATGAGGGTGGGCCCAGGTTGGGTGGAGGAGAATGAGGCAAAGAGCATCAATCATGGGAGAGTGGCACAAAAATTACCTGAAACTGATGAACTCACGATATACTCCCATCGATATTTGTACGAAATTCACGTCTTGTATATTTTAATTACTTTTTTCCCACCTCCGCACGTCTGGCGCGAATGTGATGGTCTGTCCAGACGAGCGACAGAAATTCCCAATTTCCCACGCTATTAAAATCATTTCACCACCCGAAATTGAGGAGTGGGTGGCTTAATTAAATATTTCTCCTCAGGTGTGCAGCGCACTGAACTTCTCTCGCAGAGATCCTTACCATTTTGCTAACCACAAAGAGTGCTCCTCCTCGGCCCAAGATTGCAGCCTGTTCTGTGGCCGTTCTTCTGCCAGATATGTCTTGCGCTGTGGCGTATAAATCTCGTGGCAGAGTGTTAAATAACAAACAAAAGTCAACTACTGTGTGAGATTTCTGCAATTGATAGGGCGAGAAGGTGTGCTTGGAGGACGTCATCGTTCGCAACTCCTCTCTTAGTCATTTGGGACTTTTCGAATAAGTGGCCAGAAGGTGGCTTTTATAATTGTTTCACAACAGCTACACTTCTTATCTGCCTCGGGTGCTCTATGCCTTTTGCGCTGCTGAAGGTTCTTGCTGGAAAAAGTGTTCCGATATCGGGGAATCTCGGGGTGTTTAAGTCACCAATTTGAGGTCTTCAGGGTGAACGAATGTTAAATTAAATCAACCAATCATGCAAATAAGTGCTCTAATAGCAAATTGGCGAGAATTTCACTAATCCGTGAGCAAATTCACCCATTCTATTTATGCAGAATTATCTGTAGAGCTTGAATTTTGTATAAATTCTCCACCCTTTTGCATCCAAGGAAAACATGATGCAAGGCTCAGCCTGACGAAGAAGGTGCAGAGAAGTCGTCGATAAGGTGGAATTGTCCCAATTCCACTGCCAACGACACTGGCAATTGAAGAGTTTGTGTTGTGATTATCAAATTGGTTGCTGGTGAGACATTCTTCTCATCGCACTTTGTCCCTTCTTTACACATTTCTCACTCTTGTACCCCAGCGATGTCTTTTTACTCCACCTTGACTGCAGTCGAGATTTATCAGTTTCTTCCGATTTCGACTCAAACAGTAGCAATTAACAGTCAGGTGAGAAGGAGATTCATTTCACAGTACAATTCATTGGGTGTGAAGAGTGCCTCGAGAAAGAGAGAGAGAGAGATGATAAAACACCATGAGAAATCGCACAAGAGCAAAAACATTCAATTTCGCCTCCTTTTTGCCACATCGTTTTGCTCATTTTAGGGCAGATTTCCGCCAAAATGTGCCTAATTAAAATATTTCAGTTATATAGGATTTCATTGAGAACCACACGATGAGGTGAAATTTAATGAGCCACCAAATGCTCAAGAGGGTGTGCGAAAGATCCACTTCATCTCGCCATCGAGAGTGATTCAGGAGGACAAGAATGGTGTGAAGGAGAAACAAGAAGGCAACAAGAGTGTCTGAGGAATGTCAATTGTGATAATCGTTTAATGGGAAGGCCTTTTTGCTGCTCCTTTTTATTGGGAATTTATTAAGGTCTTTAGATGTCGCGAAGTGGATTTGGATGTCTCGTTTTGATACATATTCGCCAGGCTCAGGCTTTATTTCCTGATCTTTTTTTCGCTCTCACTCTCGCCACGAGTTCAGAGGCAAAATGTAGGAGTTTCCAGGGGGCATCAGAGATTTCACTACCCATGGGAATTACATGTAGTCCGTATGAGAATTAATGAGTGACTCAGTGCAATCGCTCTTCACGGGCATTTGTGAATGGACAGCGTGTCATTTGTTATGCCAGCCACCGAGGATGGAGCCCTAAAACAAAGAATGGGAACTCAAAGGTGCTGATTATTGCCCATAGGTTAGTTCACATGATTGATGGTGGAATAAGAGGCGATTTATAATTTTGTCTAATACCTCAAGCACTCCCAGTGCCTGCGTATGGAGAACATGGGAGTTGCTAATTAAGCATTTGGAAGCTGAGCAACATTTCAGCGTGCAGATCGGCACAAGGAAGCGTTAGATTTGACTTGAAGGCACTTCTGATAGATCACAGATATGTTAATTAAATTTTATTGTTTCAATTTGTGTGCGATGGTGCAGAGAGACCTTTCCGGATGTGAAGGAAGATATTTCAAGTGTTGCTACTGGCAACATTTTATTAGCTCGCGAAACAATCTTATGGACACTTTGCGTGGCTCTTTAAGGCAAATAAACTCTTTAGCACTCTAGGCTCTGGATCTAGATAAGTGCCAATGAATTCAGGATAGTTTTCCAACCGTTGCACACCTTCTGTGTCGCCAATTGAGAATAGCAGAGAAGATTGGCAAAGGAGTGGAGGAGAGAAACGCGGAGATTTAAGAGGCAAATTTCTTCGCCTTTATTTACAGTCTATTGTCCAATGACTCAACTCACCAGCCAGCAAGAAATCATGGGCTGCAGTTTAATGTATTCGCTATCTAAACTACAAATTTATGCCCTAAATTCAAACACCCCACGAGGGCATCATTTACAATTTTCATTGCCCATCAAAATTCCCCACTTCACATTGCCATGTCTTGACAGGCAAAAATGATGTTCTCTATTAAGAGAAATTACACTGAAAATTGATGCGTGCTCAATCGATTTTCCAAATTAATTCCAGCCAATCGAGAGGGTCCTCCGCCCACCAGTCAGTTGCATGATCTCGCAAATGGTCACCCCTCTGACAGTGTTCTCAAATGTACGCAACTCTGGGAGACAGAAAAATTTGTTGATTAATGATCAATGAGTGACTTCAAATTATTTCCGTTTCACTTTTCTGCCCTCCCACCCACCCCACCAACCCAATAAGGCCTGAGCCACGTTTATATATTTTTCTTCTCACCACAATGGAGATATTTTTGTAGTACAATTCAGGTAACAAATAATAGCAACAATATAACAATTAGAGCAACAACATATCAATTATCATTTGAATTTTTAATAGATAAATTGCAATGTAATTAGCTTTTGTATCTTTTTACTTCATATACAGTCTTGTTAATGCTTTACATAGCCTCATATTTTACTCGGTGGCTTCATTGCAGAATTGAACGTGGAATTCACGCCGATATTTAGAGAGAAATGCCATAGATTTCAAGTAAAATCAGTGATTAACTCCTCAATTTTCTCTTATCTTTTCAGCCTGAAACCACCCCCCAAAGATGGTGTGACCAAGAGCAACCCCTCGAAACGCCATCGGGAGCGTCTCAACGCCGAATTGGACCTCCTCGCCTCGCTGCTGCCATTCGAACAAAATATCCTTAGCAAATTAGATCGACTGAGTATTCTTAGGCTATCCGTTAGTTATTTAAGGACGAAAAGTTACTTTCAAGGTGAGTGAGCACTGATATAATTTCACTTAATTCAAACATACTCTCCCCGTTCGCCTTGTCCGTCTCATTTGCGTTAACAAGGCGGGCGAAATGGGGGTAACTTTGCTAAATGAAGCATTAGGCACAAATATTTTAATTATGAAAACCCCTCCAGCGAACAAGAAACTCTCAATGAATATTCGTATGGGCAAATGTCAAAACTCTGGTTGGCTAATTAACATAAAAATGCGGTGGATTATGATTTTTATCATATATAATAAATTTTGGGCTAGAATTTATTAACATAATGCCCACATATATAATTTTTATTATTTTATTCTGGCCTTCCATTTTCATTACAATTCTACATTTCACATTTGTAACTTTTTCCTCCCTCCGCCCCCGCACACTTTCTGTCGCCTCGATGTGTTTTTTTTTCTCTTCCTCCTTCTGACACCGCAAATCGTATGAAAATGTTGCCCAATGTCTGTGGAAGGGGGTGAGTTTCGTTGGTTCTTTTCTGCCCTCCGCACGGCTGGCCGGCGATAACATCCAAACCTAGGGCAGCCGAGTGTCCGCATATTCCTGGTGAGCTCGGAGGTCCTCGCGCGCGAGGAAATATCCTGAATTTGTGGACATATATCACTTTTACTGGTAATTTCTCTTAGCATTTCTCCGACCGCACATTTCACGTCGTTTGTGGGAGGATGTAAAAATTCCGCCTAATGGGAATAAAAATGTGCTCTAGCGAGGGTGCTCTGCTTTTCACCGCACAGGAAAGTCTCGAAAGCCCGAAGAGGCGAAGCAGAAAAAGAGGTCAAATGGCGCTCGAATTTACAAAAAATTTCCAGTCATAGCGTCAAAATCATAGACAACACTTCACGATCAATTCCTAATGTCAAATTCATACTTCAATAGTGCCAACATAAAGCCCGCTTTTACCACGCACACCTGGCTCAACCTGTATTCACTCGCGAGGTTATATTTTTCTTGTGTCAGCGACAGTTTCCTTTTTAATTTCGCCAATGTAAAAATGTTTACGATGTAGTTGGAATAAAATAAAATTTACTTTAGGCTCCACCTCAATTTCCCATCCATTCTTCTCGGCCTTTAGCCACCCTCCCTCGTGTTTTATGTGATAACATTCATGCGACACAGGGAACAAGACATATTTTGGCTTGTTATAATATTTTCTGGGGAGATAATTAAAACAATGTCTATGATGATTGTCATAAAATCTGATTTTATTTCTCTTCCGTGGCCCGAGCGAAGAATGTTTTCAGGGAATCCCATTAAAGTTCACCCCCCACGGAAAGGCTATCTCCTCACCCTCTCCCTCGTGGCTTCTCCTGAATTGTGGCCTAAAAGTCCCGTCAGCCTGCAGCTGTCTATCTAATCTTCAATCGCGTAAAGAACTCCCGTGGCAAAGAGTGGATTTATTTCAATTAGAGAGCAGCCCCTGGAATGCTCACGAGATTCTTTAGTTTTCTGAATTTTTTTCGCCGCATCTAATGGCCGTGAGGGAGGCACTAAAAGTTGCCCAAAAAGTTTCTCCGACTGCCAGTGTGGTGGAAAAAAAGGCATCACACGAGAGAAATACTGCAAAATGCTGAAAAATGCTTATCTCACGTGCACGCGAGTGTTCACAGAATATTTTTGAATTACCACTGAAGCGTCATATTGCACCCCTTTATCATCTGCCACACGCCAAAAGAAAGATAGAAGCAGTGCGAGAAATACTGGAGAGAATTTTCAAATTCCAGGCCTCAAGAATGCCCCAAATATTGGTGGAATTTCACGTGGAATTGAAATTTTTATATCTCCCCACGCCAAGAGACTTCCACGCGAATATTTGACTCCCATGTAGTTTGGTAAAATGATGGGTGACAGTGGGTGGAAATTATTCCCGCAGGACCTCCTTCTTCGTGAGAAACTTTCGCTGTCTCTGGGAGAAATTCACCCCGACAGAGAACATTTATCAACATTTCCCGAAAACTTTCCACCCCCTCACATAAATCCATCGTGGTGAATTTTCTCTCTCGCCCACCCACGAGGAAAAACTTTACTCAATATCCGAGATTTCACTGTGCGATGATGAAGGAGAATTGAATTTTTTGTGTCCATCGAACCACACCTTTAAATATTCATTGGACGAAAATTTTCCAAGTTGCCTAGGAGTGTAACTTTGTGGGAGGAGGATTTAAATAATTAGGGGATAATCGTGATAATTAAAAAAATAAGTTGGGAAAAAAGTAAATTATGGGGAAATTGCAAATAATAACGCCGATTGCGGGTGTTCAAATCAGAGTTGATTATTGACTAGACAAGAGATGAAACAGAGTAGAAATGTTTAATACATTTTATATGTGATAAATAGTAAAGGATAGCAGCTATAAATAGCAGGACATTAAATACATCCAAATGGCAACACTTCATTCAAAATCATCTACCACTCAGCGTTTTTTCAACTCTGACATGATGTACATAAGAGATGGATCACATAAGACATTTTTGGAAGTTTCTGTACGCCGTGGGGTGGCATCGGGGGTGAGTTGCCTGAGACGCAGGCGCACTTTGGCCATGTAACGCCGCCATCGCGTGCAATGGATTCACCCGAAAATAAAATAAAACATCCCTTGAGCTAAGGAGAAAGAAAAACACCCATTTTCTCGTCTTTTGCTCTTCTCTCGGCCAAAAGGGCGGCCAGAGCGAAATTAGGGACCGTTGCCCGGAGTTTGGAATTCACCGAGATGAAGTAAGCGAGGGGATTTTTTGCGGACGAACCCTCCTAAAGGAGGTGGGCGAGACTGGAAAGCGCATTGGTCGAGCTTCACCCATAATTCACTGCAATTTTCCCAGCGCAGAGCTGATGATGGCGGTGGCTTAATGAATATCTTGGGATGGGTGGAGTGAATCATTTTGATTTTCCATTTAGCAAATTTGCAGGTAGTTTTCCCGCACTAATTTCCACCCTCATGCAATTCCATGCGATGGAGAATTTAGCACGGAGACACAGGGCAAAAAATTCTCTATACAAGAGTCAAAGGAAGAGAAATAAACTTCACAATTTAACTATCTTTTGATAAATCGATATGGAACAATGACCTAAATTGTGTGTCTATTTTCCCCCTCTGTAAAAAAAGGAGCACGTTGAAAAAATTGCCGGTGTCTTGTAAAATATCCACTCTGTCGGAAGTTTCAACTGTGAAATCCAAAAAATTTTCCATACACTTCCACTTCTTCAATTCGGGCATCGAAAACACCTTGACAGCTGGATGAAAATAAATCAACGCCACAATCAACACCCACCCATCCGAGAAGGGTGATGTGTTAAAAGGAATAAATACATAATTTTCCTCTCAAGTCGCAAAATGAGACACAGAACCCATCGCCGAGGGTTGAGAAGTGAAGAGAAAACGTTAAAAAGGGGTGAATGAAATTAAATCCCGCGATGGTTTTTTACTTATACCTGAAATTGCTGTGTCCATTGAGGGTTTCACCGTCTTCCGACGCCTAATCAAGGGATATTTGAGGGAAAAAAAATCTAAGGCCAGCGGTAAGAGCGCGGAAAACCTCAATTTACGGTTGAGTTTCTTCCACGTGTTTCCTAGCAAATCAGTGCTTCTCAAAATTTGAGTCAAAACAGCGTTTTTTTCTCTTCTTATTGTTGCTTATTTGTATTTCCGAGAAACCTGAGATTACTCAACAAATCGCCCTCAGTCATTTTGCTAAGCCGAGCGGAGTAGTTCAGTTGAGAAACCCTGGACAAAACCCCTCAGTGGATGGTAAACTGTAGCCCTGAAGTACTCATTCTTTCTAATTGGCGGGTAAGGTTGGACGGAGGAAAAGCTCGAAAATCTCCATAACGCTTGGAAGGGGATGTCAGAGGGCTGGAGGTGCAATAAAATCTTCAATTCATTACATTTGGCTATAATTTCTCGGGCCGCGCTGCCTTCAACCATTGATCCGGCCAGGTGGTTGTAGTCTCATGTTCACTGAGGAGGATATTTCCTATTTCGAGGTGAAATATACGAGCTCAAGAGGGGCGCACAATATGGCACACTCTGCCCACCAACACCAACCAAACGCCCGAGCGAAATTGTTAACAAAAATACACTGGTGGTGCACATAAAATTGGAAGCAAAACCGTGGGACGCGCTGGATGATTCATATCCTCACGTGGATGGCGAGAATGTCTACGGGAGCAGTGGAAGTGGTCTCGAAATAAAATACAGCGATATCTATTGTGCCATTTGCACAGCACAATAAATTTCCACTTGGCAATTGTTGCCGTGCATTTTTGAGAAACACAGAGAGACTTTTCGCCCATATTTTCCACCCTCGGAGTGTCACTGAGCTCTGACATGGCGAAATCCAAGGAGAGGGGCTAATCAGCAGCGGAGTCGCTGTCCCACGACACAATCCGCGAGGAAGCAATTAGAGATTATGTGGTTGTTGCGTAAGAAAGTCGTCTGCCTGTTTATGACTTTCGTTTTGCTTAATAATTTCTATAATTGGTCGCCCCACAATAGGCACAATTTTCAAGATTTTAACTTGTTAACTTTTATCTCTGCCATTCTCCACTTAATTGCCAGCACAAATGTGCAACATACTCGAATTTATCTCGAATGTGTCAATCAGACTAATGCAGAATAACCAGTTAATTCGCTTCGTTCGCACACCGTCGACTTCAGCCATTACCACCCCAAATCGAAGGGGATCATCAATTGGAAAGCTAATGTCTGACCATTTTGAGCACAAGAGGAAGCACATCACGTGCCGGATGGACTCTCTAGAGGAGGATTTCGCATTAAACTTAATGATCCCTTCCCTGACCAGATAATGGACTCATCGTGATTAAATTCAATCGGAATTCGATGAACCTCTTTCGCTCTTTTGCCGGAAGCTTAATGATTCTCCGGTTTTAAGCTCTGTTCTTCGCAGAAGAAGAACTTTCACAGACACCAATTGGGCTATTTCAGATATATAGACTTTCGAATAACTCTTCACATGGACCATTAGGACGATTGCCATGAAGATTCCCAGCGCCGTGCGGAATTGGGAGATTATTCGCCGGTACCTGGCTCACAGAGGGGATGAAAAAATGATGAGGTGAACAAAAGCCGACAACAATGGGCGCACGCCCTCAAATGACAGTGGTAATCCCTCATGGACATCGTCTTTTGTGAGCCGAACCCACAGTGGGTGAAGCGAGCCGACTGTATCAATTTCCCATTATGCTGCACCCCTCGCCCAGACTCAAAAAAATCCACCCCCGCAGCCCGAATTCGCCGCAAAAGTCGCCAGAGTGTAATAAATAAATTTCCACTCTGACCTCATATACACACTGTTAATTTCGATTATATGGACGACATATGTTGCCGGCCTTAAGGGATCATTTCACCCCTCGGATGGTGTCTCTGGCCCGGGCCATTACTCCTCAAACTGTAACACTTCTTCATCCAGATAAATGAGCCTGAGTTTGAGAGCGCATTTTCACAGCGAGTGACCCAACTCGGATGGGAGTTTGTTGGGGGAATTTTGAAAGTTTTGTAACCCATTAAAGGTCTGTACATGGCATTGTAAATATTCTCGCACAAGAAACAATAAGTTTAAAACTACCAGGCAGAGTTATAATGGCTAAAAGTAACCCCCCTATTTTAATAACCAACAACAATTCTGTGATAATTTTTGCCAGAAAATATTGCGCTTTAATTCACTTCTTTTCCTACCCATAATATACTTAATGTAGGCAGAGTTAACGTTCCCATTAAACTATTTACTTGCTGTTGTTATTATGTTGCGATTGTAATAAAGAGAGTATGAAGCGGAAAGTGTCTCTCTCTCGAGGGAATGACTCACATTGACGGTGGATTCGTACGGGGCTAAAATGCTACCTTTAAGCTCTGCGACAAAATAATAATTAAATATATACAGACGTATTTTTCAACTCCGCCACATCCCCAGAGGAAGTCCCAGAATAGAGAGAGATATAGAGTGAGAGAATAAGCCATTTACTAAGCTCTTTAATATTCACTTAATAAGATTAGTTTATCATTTTATTCACTTTATATTGCTAAAATAAGGTTTTCGCTTCGCATCCCCTCCCCTCGTGAGTGCATCTAACACATGTACTTAAGGCAAATTTATGTGGGAAAGTCTCAAGTGAATTCCCTTGGGTGTGAAAAAATCCACCCAAGTGACGCTCTGAAATTCGCACAGTAGATAAAAATTGAGATAACGCGTATTTTCCTAGAAATTTTCCAGAAGAAAAACTCATGTAATGAGACGAGGATTCAGGAATGGAGAGAAAAAGAGCCAAAGTGTCTTGATCACCTTGTCGGATTCTTTTCCTCAATTTCAATTTCGTCGAACGAAACGTCGACGAATGTGTGTGATATTGAGAGAAACAAATATACATTGGCATTTGCACATTTTTTATCCACACACGCATAAATTGGCTATAAAATATGAGTTGTATATATTTTGGATGAGAGCCATAGAAGACTCTCGCTGGCGCGTTTTCGCTAATGAAGATACCAAAATAATTAGAGATGCTCGATTCACGCCTCAGGGAGAGATGCTTCGCTGTGCCTCTTTTTTTGCCTTTGCGCCGTTAAAGTGAAGAGGAAGACGCGCGTCTTATCATTTCATCGCGAAATTGGTCATTTGAATGCGATCAATGCGTGGCCGGGATCCCCTCCTTTGCGGTCTTTGCTCCTGTTTTTGTTACCTCATCTCAGAGCCCTTTTCGGCCAGAGCAGAAAGTTTGTTATTTTACGATTATTGCTTATTCACCATATGCGCCTTTATGACGGTATCACCGTCAATTATTGGTCAATGCCTCGGTCAACGTGAGATGGAGTGGGGAAAGAGTGCCAAATGATGAGTTATGCCTTCATTAATGGATTATGCATTTTTAATGTGCATGCGAAGAGACACGGGAATTGTTCCCATGATGCCTCTATCTGCACTTCAGCGCTTGCGGTCGTACAAGGATGAATGGGCAGAGGATCAGCTGCACGTGTCGCAGAGTCAATAATAAAAATGCAGTGACTCTTCACCCAGTTAAATTCCCGCGTGAAGCCTCCAATGGAGATTTTATTGTGTAGCAAATGGGCTTGACTAATGCTCTTTTTGTTGCCACACTCGCACAATATTTACCATCCAAATCATCCTCTAATCGTCAAATCACTCTCCTGCCACCCTAATTGCTTTGCCCTCTGCTTCCACGAGGGTTCGACCTTATTTCCATCGATGTCGAGTGCCGATTGTGCAATGTTTTGGGTAAAGACATGGTCAGATGAGCAAATAATTGAGTTGTGATGTCAGAGGTTAATTCACGCAGGAATTGAAAGTCATTCTTCCGACACTCAATGCAACTCTGGATCAATCACTCAATCAAATTTACTCCATCTGCAGCACAGACGAATTTTCTTCTTGGGTGAAATCCCCCTCGAATCGAGAGATTAATTACTGTAATTGATGCGTGGGTGAGGGATTTCCAATAGAGGGATTAACATGGGTAATCCGCCATGGAGAAAATAATTTTTTCTCCGGATTCATTTTGCCGAAAGGGTTAAATGGCAATTTATAGCAAATATACTTCTCAATCGAAATGAATTTCTCGCCATCCTAATATTACTTCCAATTTCATTTCTTTGCAGTGGTGATGCTTAAGGAGAAGGAGGAGAATGGGATGCTGTCCCACCTCCACTCCCACGACAGCTACCGAAGTCGGGAATTGGGTGTTCTTGAGCACAATCTTCTGGACGGCGATATGTTCCTTCAGGTAAAACCATCGCCGCACCTCACGCACACTCTCGGTTTGCCGCTGAGGAGGCGACGAGGCTGGAATTGGAGTTGATGAATGAATGAGAAAAATAATAATGCTGTAAAAAGAGTACACTGTAATTACCAATTAATTGCAATTAGAGCAGTGATAATGGGCACTATCGCAGAGGAGGAAATTGATTCAAATCGCATCACTGATTAATTTCATCCTTCGGGCTTATTTATTGACTGTAATTTTCCACATCTTCTCAACTCATTTCTCATGGTGTTAATCGACCCAATCTCTTGTTTCACAGCACAGGATCATATTTGTGAGTTGATGCGTTGCACTTTTCTTCACCAAATTCAAAATTGAATTTCTAAATGCACTTGATTAGCATCACACGCGCCTAAAGTGGATATTCGAAAAATTTAATTACCGTCACAAACGCCAATCGAAATGCAACCGGTGGGTGGAAATTTGCAAGAGCGAGAGTGAGACTCCACGTCAGAAGTGTGCAATTTTAGATTTATATCCTGGTGAAACGCAAAATTTTCAGACAAATTCACACGCTCGTCTCATGCGAAAGGCTCTCTCTCTCTCTCTCTCTGTCTAAATTGCATTTGGCGGCCTCCATTGCGATACTAATCACACTCAATCGCAAGACCATGTTGCGTTCCGATGAAGGGCAAAGGCTCACCGCCTTGCCTAGGCAGCCTTCCGGACGCCCCGAGTCACATCACGAGACTTTGCGAGCGGCACGCTACAGATGTCGCATTTCGACGACTCTCCATGTGGATTTTTCGGGTGAGAATGTGAGATTTCTGCCACCCTCGCCGCCAAATTGGGGGGCTCGCGTACCCCTGAAAAGTGAAATCAATCAGCCCGCATGCTGATTGATAGTGGCGTGAGGGCAAAAAAAAGGCATGGAAAAGAGTGTGAGACAATTAGAGATCAATATGTAATGTGACGAGAAAGGCAACCTGTAGCTGAAATCACGAGGCGACTGACACTGTCGTGCGTCTAATGAAAAATGAAGCGAAAAAGGTGGAAAAGTTTAGTATTATTTGGTTATTTGTCATCATCTTCCTTTCACACGCCAACTCCCGAAAGGCCTTTCTTGCGCCTCTCTCGCATGTCAACCCTGGAAATTATTAATTATCCCTCCTCGAGAGTCAAAAGCCAGGGCCTTTTACACCGGACCTGCGGGGTAATGGCTGCAATTTGCACTGATTTTCCTCAATTACACCGTAAAGAGGCGATTTTTCGCTGGCAGACTTTGATTTTAAACCACCTGACGTCACTGGATCATCACTTAATAGGCAAAGTGCGCGATTGCATTCCGCGGCAGAGATGAAATATTCACAAATGGCAAATTCCCATGCATGTGCAGGGCGGATTTCGCCAACTTCCCGCCACCCCTGAGGTGGAGAGGCGCTCTCAGACAAGATCATAGAGGATGGATGTTCAAGTACGAGAATGAGAAGTAATTTTTGTGGTTAAACCAGGAGACTAACTGCTTCAATGGGTTTTTAATAAATTGAAATTAAACGTAGTAAAATTATACAGTATTTTCCCCTCTCTGATGGCACGGTGAGATTTTTCAGATATATCTGCGTCTTTGCGTTATTAAAATCGCATTAATGTCCCGCATCATCCCGCGAAGATCAGAATCACGTCTGAGAATTCAGTGAGATGATTCCGAGTTGGAGGGATAAAAAAGTGGCTCGATGTGGCTTTTTGAAAGGGTCGCGACGGTGTGTCTTTTTGTCTTTCCGAAAATACATCATCAATTCACTCTGAGGAGCATCAGTTTTTCAGCGTCCCAACATCTCCTTATAATTGCTTTCCTTTAGCATCCTCTCAGCAATGGAGCAGTTTGAAAGTAATTTGGCCTTTTATCCGGAGCGCACGCAGTATATTGGTCAGAGAGATTGAGGAAAGTCCCACTCTAAACCCATTCATTAAACGAATTTTTCCAATTGCTTAGGGCCAGGAAGTGATGTTTATTATGGTGAATTTTTTGTTCTCCTAATTTTCGATCGGGCAAGAAGCTAATGTGGTCTCATTATTCATGAGAGAAACTATAAAAGAAGTTGAGAGGCAACAACCCTTGTTAATCCAGTGATGGATTTGTCGCAACATTTTCACCAAAAAAAAGGCGTCTTGGAAGCATGAGAAGTGCTCAATAAATCACCATTTCGTCGCATTTGCATATGAAATCATGGAATTTTCTCGCGACTTTTTCCACAAGGAGAGCATTCCAGAGGGGCGGACAAGCGCCACCGCGAGGGCGTCTGGTATTGCAGATTCACATGAGATGGTGAAAATTGTTATTTTCGTCTCTAAATCCTCATGGCAAATGGGCATGATTTATTGGTCTGGAGTGTGAGAAATGAGACGAGAATGAGAGAGAGAAGTGATCAAATATTTACAGAACGGGAGAGAGAAAGAGAATTACATGGGGAATAAAAGTTTAAGCATTTCCTCATTTTTATTAATATTAATGAGAATTACGAGTGTATTTTCTTCACGTGTATGTTATTTCTTATATGCTGTTTTTTCTACTCCTTTGCAGGCCCTTAATGGTTTCCTAATGATTCTCACATGTGAGGGCGAAGTCTTCTTCGCAACACACAGCATTGAGAGCTATTTGGGCTTTCATCAGGTGAGTTAAATCCTAGCATTAACACTTTGTTATCGTGAGGAAAGTCAGTGAGCCGAGAGACACCGAATCAAGACACTAAACTATCCATTTAGAGGCGATCATGTTGACTTGAAACAATGCCTGAGAAGGAGGAGCCTCAATATTGAGATCTTATCTTCACGGGGGCATATTTTAATTATCTGCACAGATGTTATGAGTGGGGATTATTGAATTTGAGCGAGAGGCGACGATCGTAGATGATTAAAAATATGAGTTATTGCCACATCCGAGATGCTGGACCCTTGGCGAGATGGCAAGACTTTTCCCTGGCAAATTAACCGAGGGAATTGTCTTCTTTCGCGCTGCTCAATCTAATGTGAGCAACAAATAGGCGTACTTCTTGCCATGTAACAACTTCATTTCAGCCTGGCAGAAGGTATTTAGAGTCCCACCGAAACACACTCACCAACAGCACGCATTTTTCTGTATGGCTCTCTTGTTCACCTTAAACCATAAATACACAGACATTTCCTCATATTCGTGGCAATTTATAATTGTTGCCGGGAACGAGAGTGTGCAGTTGTGGCTACAAGAAATGAATAAATCTGTGGTGCATTTTGACCAATTTGTGCCGATCGAAACGGTGAATTTATATCTCAATTTGTGCAGACGCTGTGATAAATTGCCCATGGCTCCTTCCACCTTTTCGCATTCACGGCGAAATTGTTTGTTTTGAGTCTCCCCGTGAACACTCTTGTGGTGATTTTGTATCTCATCTCCTCGCCTGATTATCGCCACGATCTCACCACTGAGGAGTGCACTGAGCAAAGGGAGTATTGTGATTTTCATAAAGGTGAAGATGCACAGAAGGAAAGTAGAAAAACACTGCTTAACTAGCAATCTTTGTGGCATTTCCGCGGCGGACAGTCCGAAGAAAGTGTTGAGATGTCTTTTGGAGATCTTCATCAACCATAAAGATTCCCCAAAGACGTCTGAGACGCTCCGGGAGCAAAGATCTCCATCCATAGGGGAGAAGAAGAACGTGTAGAAGATGATGAAGAGGCAAAAGTGTGCTGTGTGGCAAATTCTGATTGTCCACGATTTATGGATTTTGAGAACGGCGGGGTGCGTTGGCTGTCGAAAAATCTAAATGTGCCCCCCTCGAGGTGTCTATAATGCATCTCACGGGACCGCATTGAGTCCCTCCGCCCCTGCTCGGGTGCACGGAGATGCGCGATAAATCTTTAATTAATTAAAAATTGTCATGCCAGCGAATTTTATTTATTCCTCCCCAACTGATCAGCGGAGTAACATTCCTCACGTGTTCCATTCACAGTCCGATATTGTTCATCAATCAGTGTACGAGCTGGTGCACTCGGAAGATCGGGAGGAGTTGCAGAGGCAGCTGCTGTGGAACTCCTTCCTGCCACCGGACATGGCCGGATTGAATCTGGCCGAGGCCCTGGCGCCGGACAAGTGCAATCTGCTCGAGAGGAGCTTCACAGTGCGCTTTCGCTGCCTGTTAGACAATACATCGGGATTCCTGGTGAGTTGACGTCATCCTGAGTCTCCGAAAGGTGTAATCAACGGTTGATTGAGTGATGAATTAATGGAAATTTCTATTGAAAAATTATAAAATCGAATTCCTGCAAAAAGCGCCGCGGCTGAAATTTCTTCGTAAGACTGGTAGCAGGAAAAAGTGAATGTGTTAATACTATTTTCAATCTTGTCGGGAGAAACCATTCAATTGGAGAGACTATACAAAGCAATCAACATTTTGAAATTTCACCACTATAATTTTCTGCCGATAAAGCAAACATCATTTTCATAATCATGTGATGATTAATGGAATTATTGGTATCTGCCCTCCCACTCGAAACGCCTTGGACGGTATTTGAAACTCCGCCATCGATTCTGTATCACTCTTTGCCATCTCTCGACGAGTTTTCACGGCTGCAATTTTTGTCGGCGTTGCACAATTACTGGATAGATAAGCAAATGAGCTTTTGAGTGGAAGAATGAATAAACACACTTTCTAATTCCCCTTGCAGAGGTTGGACATTAGGGGGCGCGTTAAAGTGCTCCATGGCCAGAACAGGAAGACGGAGGAGCCGCCTCTCGCACTCTTCGCCTACTGTACGCCCTTTGGCCCCCCAAGCCTGCTGGAGATCCCACAGAAGGAGAACATGTTCAAATCCAAGCACAAGCTAGATCTGTCCCTCGTGTCGATGGACCAGCGAGGAAAAATGATACTTGGATATTCAGATGCCGAACTCGCCAATATGGGAGGTTACGACCTGGTTCACTTCGACGATCTCTCATATGTGGCGAGTGCCCATCAGGAATGTGAGTTGATCGTGGCCAATTTTGCTCCTACTCTGTAAACTAATTCCGAATCTTTGCAGTGCTGAAGACCGGCGCGTCTGGCATGATTGCGTACCGCTTCCAGAAGAAGGATGGCGAATGGCAGTGGCTTCAAACTAGGTATAAGACTGCTCTAGTAATATGAGTCACAGATAAAGCAATTATGCTCCTTTTCAGCTCACGCCTCGTATACAAGAACTCCAAGCCAGACTTTGTGATATGCACGCATAGGCAGCTTATGGAAGAGGAGGGCAGAGACTTGCTGGGAAAGCGCACAATGGACTTCAAAGTGAGCTATCTGGATACCGGCCTATCATCCAGCTACTTCACCGAAGCTGACCAGATTGTCGTCCCACCAACTGGCTCTCCCAACTCTCTGCCGCCGCCCGTAACACCCCAACGGACCAACAGACGCTACAAGACCCAACTCCGAGACTTCCTCTCCACATGTCGCTCCAAGCGCAAACTGCAGCAGCAATCGCAACTGGGACAGGTAATAAGCTCGAATGCATGTCCTGAGATTACCACTAATGCAGTATCTTTTGCAGATAACACCTCCTGTTCCCGTTGTGGAGTACATCCCAGAACCTACCATCGCTGTGGCCACGTATCCCAACTTAAATCCCATGTACTCCACGTCGCCCTATCCGCCAACGCCGGAGAACCTCTACATGACGCCGTCGGTGCACTCGACCAACTTCTATTCGGTGCCCGAGAACCTCTTCCATCAGTACCGTCTTCAAGGAGTCAGTGGATACTACCCGGAGTACCATCACTCGCCTGCACCCTCGCCCTACGTCACCAACGGCTTCCTGCCCTACGAAGGTTACGGACTCTCGGCCAAAGAGGAAAAGTGGCAAGAGAGTGGCAAGTACTATCCAGGATCGGACGTCACGAGTCGAAGTCATGTGTACGCTTCGAGTTACGGAAGTCCCACCACGCCACAGGTTTACCGTTGAAGATGTTGAAACTGTGAATAAGAAATCACCATATCTTGTTTCAGCAGATAATCCAGTCCAACCTGAAGACGCCAAAATCCTCACCGCCCATCATGGACGTCGTCTCGTGCTCATCCGGCGGCCCGTCCCCTGTGAACGCTTCCTCGGCGGGTCTGCCGATCAACACGGCACCTCCCGTGACCAACCAAACCACTCCCGTTTCGGCTCCGACCACAATGTCCACGACGGCTCCATCCAGTAACAATGGCATCATCACGCCCAAGGTGGAGAGTTCTCCGCCGGAGCACTATGAGCGACAAACAGTGCTGATGTGGGGCGCCACGGGAGCCCCGACAGCCAATCGCTCCCCCAACACAACGCCCACGTCCAATGGCATGTACAGTGAGGCTCACCACCTGAAGATCTCTAACCAAATGGTGATGTCGCCCGCCGTTGAGGAGTCCCACCATCACGGCCACCACAACTCCCACCTCAAGTGGAATGGCTCGAGTAAGGATATCGCATACCCCAGCATCCACCAGTCCCACCACGAGGAGCACCCCGCGATGTACGCTCAGGTGAGCCAGGCCGCGGGACTGGGCCACCATGGAGCCCCCCACATCGTCGGAAATGACCACGGCGTGCTCCACCAGTCCCCCCAGGGCGCTCCCGCAACGCCCCAGGGGGGCGCCCAGGCTCAGACGGTCGTTGGGAGCAGTTGCGAGGTATGGAGTCCTGCATCATACTCGCAATACCAGTATTTCACTTATCACCACGCTCCTCAGCACGCAAGCACTCAGTGAGTGTCGAATTTTTTGTTGTTTTAGTTGGTCTCCCCCCAGCCCCACCCAATCCCCTAACACTCATTCATCTCTGTAGAACCTAATCTCTGCTTTTTCGTCCTGTCTCGCCGCCGGGCATCCGTGATGCGTGATATTGCAATTATCGCCAAATCAATTAATGACATGCTGCTGTTCGGCGCAGCCATTTACACTTAATTCAATTGAATTCGCTCCTAACACAGTGTGCCTAATAAGCCGTTCGCCTGTGCCTTTGCTGCTGTTTATGGCGCTAAATGGCCCAAGAAAAGACCTATGAAGTGGCAAGGCTGAAATTATTGGAATTGATAACTTCAATTGTGAAACTAGAATCGTAAACATAATTGGATGTTTTCACTCTCAATTAACTACCTGGAATTTAGAGTGAAGAGAAGAAAAAATGGAAAGAAAGATTTATATGTGTATTTTGAATTTTACAGCATGCAGATTGCATCCGATGCCTTCGAAACCTACCCTCCAATTCCCTACATAAAGTCACTAACTCACTAACTATACTGGCCGAAAAGAGGGCTGATTTCAATGCGGTGATGCGATATGAAATCGCACCACTACAGTGAAAAGGAAGCCTTGAAACACTCTAAATGCTCCTCTCGCGAGGCGTTATCAAATATTTCTGACCTCTGTCATTGCCCTTTCAGGTCATCATTGGGCGACACCACCCAGTCACACTATCTATCGCGCAGCAACGGTTACATGGAGCATCGCCAACGCGGCACCATATCTCCAACATCACCGCTCACGCCTACGCATCCAACTCGTTCCCCGATCACGCGGACGGGAGTCCTCTGCTGTCCTTCTCTGAGGTGACCAACACGCTGCTGAACCAATGAACGGATCCCCGGCGCGCCGTGAAGCCAACCACCGACGGAAATTGAGTCACAGTTGTTCTATTTTGTGTGCAATGTGTTTAAGAAAGTGGATATCGAACAAACAGCAAGTTGCATATGTATATGTAAATTAAACCATTTTCCGGAAAACCCTATATAGATATTTATTATGATATTTAAATGTGTAACTATAATGTACATTGTACATAGAGAATCATATGGAAGAGAGTGTGGTATTTATGGAGGAAAGAGAACTCACTGTAGCATAGAGACAAGCCACGGTGTGAAATCAAGTGAGGAAAACCTTGCCAGAGACTTTTTGAGCAAATTAATCAAAAGGAGTATCTTATGTAAATACCGTAGAAGTTAATTTACGATTTAAGACGATGAGATATGGTGTGAAATGGGGCGAAGAGACACATTGGAATTTCTTTTTTTGAAACTTTCCCTAAAAGTGTTTATTTAGATAACTGTGTGAGCGAGAACGAGAGAGAGAAATTAACTTTTAGGATGCACCAGAAAAATGCTCAGTTGAATTCAAACTTTTATTATGTGTCAAATTTTATGTCAAAATCTAATTCAACGGAAATCTATAGCGTAGAACTTTACAGTGACCGTCAAGCAGTTGTGAGAAAATCTCACACGATTCATTTATTATTATTTCTGTGATAGATCTCAAAAGAATCAACTATGAAGGATTTCATTTTAGTCAAGAAAAAACATGATAGAAAAGTGGATGGGTCGGACGATTGTCCTCAGAGAATTCTACTACAGCTTTCACAGCTTCTTATCTTTATTCCGTAGATAAAAACAAGGAACTTTCTGTAAAATAAAATGCTCCGACAATCTTCAAATTGATCGAAAAGAATAAATTTTGGCAAAGAAAAAAATACGTAGTTAAAATGTGAGGATGGAAAAGAATCAAGGAATCATGAAAAGTGTAAAAAGAGAATCTGTAAGTGAAGAAGTAAATAATCTCTATAAAATTATTTAATTAATTTTCTATCAATAAAAAATCAATTGAAGAATTTTCAAAATATTCTTAGATGAGAGTGCGACGATGAGGAGAAATATTGTCCTTAAATATTTTCTAGTCCGATAGCAGTTAATGAGTAAAGATATAAAATTTTGAATATAATATAAGAATTATTCCTTTTATTGCAAATTAGACGTAAAAGTAAAAATGATGTAATTAAATAAGAGGCATTAAATGAACATTAAAAAAGAGGTCTAACCATACGTCATATGAATTATTCGCTAATTAATCCCACACAAATGAGTGATAATGAAACATTTTTCAATTCCATCTACTGTAGTCTGAGAGTCAAAATAAAAGTTAATTTGAAAATCATATATTTTCTCATTCTTTTCGTAATCCTTTTCAAAGAAGAAAAAAATCGCTTTATTTCAAAATGTTACATTGAGATGAATCAAAAATGTTCGAGAAATTTTCCCCTTTTTATAATATAAATTCAGTAAAAGAGTAACAAAAATTTTTGAATTAATGAGAAAATATTGTAAATTATGTATAACTTATTTCTACAGACATTATTATATGTATATAAAACAATAAAATTCATAATAGAATACTTTCGAGCATACACTCAATTAATATCCGTGAGAGGAATGTGGGTCAATGTGCGTCACTATAATCGACACGAAGCTGTAATGTTTCAACTACGCGCACAATCGCCGAAGTAAAATAATTCCAGGAACTCAAGAAAATCTCTAAAATCTGATGAAATCTTCACAATTTTACGGCAAACGAGCATTCTTAGCGAGTCAAAACAAGAAGTTTTTGTGCTAATTTAACACTTTTATTTTTAAATGCACTTAATTGAATCCATGAAAAGTCAGTCACACGGAAATGCTGGAAAAAAAACTTCTCATCTGCTGCCAAAGACACATGAAATGAACGAAAAAAATTGCGATTTTTGACGCGCTCCACAATAAAATGTTAATAATTGAGAGATTAAATGAGTGATAAATTGAATTAGGAGAATTGTGTGAATTTTCAAGTAATGTTCTACACATGCCAGCCTGTCAAGCAGAGATCTTTCTCACAAAAATTAACGTGACACGTGTTTGTGTATGATGAAATACACATAGAATTTTTGTCAATTCTCTGTCATTCTATTTTCCACGCTCGCAATACACCTGATAAATAAGGAGATGCGATGAGAGTCGAAGGAATAATTATTCTCAAATTACCCACAGTTGCATACATTAAAATTCCTGGGTGCACCTCAAATCCCAACCACCTGCAACTTCCGAGATATGGTCATGCACGAGGAGATAAGGAGTAAATTGCTAATTATATTATTTTCGTTTATGCTTGCCATTCTTCATGGCAAGATTCACGACACTGTCTCTGCACAGTCCCTCTCCGTATCAATTTCCTCCCCTAAAACCGCACCGGGGGGAATTCTTCGCTGTGGAATGCATGAGGCCAACGTCTTCCGAATGCCGCTCTTGATACACCACATGAGACATTTCTCCGAACGCCTTGAGTTTCCCTCACGCTTTCTTGGCTCTTCGCCCCGTGCCGCTGGCCGGCATTTGCTCGGCACAGAAGCGAAAATCTCGTGATGTTCATTATTTGGTGAATATTCGCAAATATTCTCAAGAACGGCGTTCATGTGCCACTAAAGCGGTGAAAATTGATGCACATGATGTACTTTGCAGCGCAATTTCTTTCGATCCAGATCGAATTTTGGCTGCTTTCTCGATCAACGAATATCAACCCAGAGATCAAGTGTAACTTCATGTGTAACTACGATTTGCCTCTTCTCAATGTGGTGTACATGAGCAGAATGAGCGCCAATGCCTAGCAATGGCAATAAAAGGTGCTGAAAAATATTTATTTGTGACATTACTTTTACCTGGCTGAACTTGAACTGACTAAATATTTGAAGGCGGGCAAATACCTTCTTTTTGAAGTGCTCCTCTTCCCCTCGCCTGGGTGATAGAATTAATATGATAAGTTGAATAAATATTTGGTTAGACGCCCGGTAATCTGGCCGAAGAAAACATTAATTCGCACAACTTTGTCACGTGAAAAAATGACCATTTTTGCATATGCATCACTGTACGTATGCAAAGACGTCATACATGTAATAGAGGAATATTCCTAACAAAGTATCAGTGAACTCAGCTGGTTTGTTGATTCATCAATTGATATGCAATGATTGTGTTTTTTTCATTAGCAACACTTGTAAGTGATTGTAGAGAAAAAATCCACTAACACGGTCAGTACTTTCACCTTGATTCTCTTCTCACTCTCGAGATATTGACTCTCATGCCAATGCGACTTAATCAACTTGCAAAATTTTCAAATATTTTCTAAATACCATCAGAATAGTGTTGTTTTCTTGCAGAAATACATAGCACGAATTATTGATTGAGCTGTCTTTCTATATATTGTTAACTTCACAGTGTGAACACCTGTGTTTGCGCCGACATAGAGGAAGAAAAGGCGACAGCATTGAAAGGAAACCCAATTTAATCCAAACATCGAACAATAGATTCCAGATTATTGACATTGCGAAGATCGTCATCGGAAAATTACACCATTGATGTGAAAAGCGAAGCATCTTTGCTTCGAGTCATACTGTAACAATTTGCACAAATATTTTTTCGACAATCGCGAGACTATCGCGTGATGCTCGAGGGGCGAACAAATGGGGTGAATGAGCATTAGACATAGAATTTCATCACCTCAATTACGACCAATTAAAGTTAATACAATAAATCGTTTTTTGCTATTTTCTCAGACTGCGACTTATGCAAGAATTCACAGGGAAATTACATGTATTTTAATAGCTATAGTTGTAAGAATTTACAGGATTTTACTGCTTCTGTCTTAAAAAAAAATTTAAATTGCCCTCAATTGATTCTTCAATTTTCTTAATTTCAGATTGTTCACCACAATTATCATGCACATTGTTATTATTACTCATTATTATGCAGAAATATTAAATAAACACTGTAATCAACAGGAATGAACCCCAAATACAGTCCCTCTTAATTAACCCAGCAATAAATTGCTAGAACAACCTCGTAATGTCATTTCCCAGCCCCTCAGAAGTGACGATTGGAGTGCAAAATGTGGATCACATGTGGAGAAGAGAGACCTTCCTCAATGCAAAAGCTCAACGACCGATTGCCGCATCTCGGCGTGACACACAGAGTGCAATCCAAAGGTGCGACATCGCACAGTCGATCACAAGATCAATCACGCTGTTTGCCTCTTGCGGAAGCCGGGGACATCCTTGGGCGAAAGTGGGTTCAATGGAGCACGAGTGCGATGAGGTAACAGTAAAGTAAACCACCACAAAAGTGTGTGATCACCCTGGATGGGGAACCGCGTGGCCCTCTCCAATAGAACCGCCGTGCTCGACTGTGTATTTTCCTCAACATGAGCAGACTGGATATGTTCGGTGGTAAATATTTAATTAATACTCTTTGCTAATTGAGACAGTGGCAAAAATTATTTATTGGGTAAATAGCGCGAAATGAAAAATTTTCGGCTCGATATCGAAGCTGTTATCGTATTGTATATAAGGTGAAAAACACCCCAGATGCCACCCACATTTTATCGTTTGTGCTCCCGAAGTGAAAACGTGCAGTCAGCGACGTCTTTCCCCAGACACTGGCCACATAATCAATTTATCATCTACTCCAATTGATCGCCTCCATGATCAATTGATTTCCCTGCTCGCCAGCAAACCACACACTTGGCGATCATCTAACAAAGTGATAATTTTTACTGTGGTCGCGGCGGAGAAGAGCTGAGAAGAGTCGCATACAGTTTTGGCCAATTTGGACAGATTGAGACTTCATAGTGGCTGTTGGCGAAAAAGCGTCAGTCTCCGCTGTCGTCTTGTCCAAATGATCGCTAATTGCTTAGCCAAATAAGTAATTTGTGATCTAATTTCTCCGGCAAACACGAGACCACCATAAAAATGGTAAGTCGCGCACTTTTCGCCTCAGTGTGAACTTTACGTGTCTTCCGGTCGATCCACAAGTCCACTGATAAGAACGATAGGACCGTGTCCTGTTCCCGTGCAAATTGTTTTGTATCAAAATCAGTGTCAGTGATTGTCCACTCGATTTAATCCTCTGTGAATTGTGCCCGCAGATCCTGACCCTTGAGGATCCCCACCCACGTGAGGTGATTAATATCAATATTTAATGTCAATGTCGACGACGCGGGACAATCAAACTCATTCGCTAGACAACGCGTTGTATTTTCGACTCAATTGAGAATCATGGCAAGTGATTTCCTCATCGTGTGCCAAGAATTACATAAGGTCTCTCCCGCGCTTCGCTACACTTTTTCCCCAGAACCACTTCACGTGGCTGCGACTTCACGAACACAGTGGCAAAAGGGCGAGCATTATTCACGACGACACCGACAATGCTCTCCTTGGCCGCGAAATGCATCACGGTGCAGACAGATGATCTTGTACGGATGATCGTGAGCATAGAAGTGATCTGAGGAAGTGCATTTTTCGGGTGGACTTTGCCAACTATTTCTAATGCATTTCAGTTCTTTGAGAACACCACTCAGTCTCGCTGATCGTTGCTCTTTCTGCAGTTTGTTTTTCCCCGCAGAAAGAATCTCTTTCTCTCAGTGACTTTCCTCAAAGTTTCCAAAGTTACCACAATGGCCAGAAGAATGAGTCGTGTGAGCTTTGTAAGTTTCTCAATATTGCGAAGTGCGATGATTTCTGGCGAGAGATTAACAGATCCGTGTGGGAAATATTAGATCGTGCTGATTTTTCATGAATGAACGCTGCTTCCTACTAAAATTAGGTCATACATTGCACTTTATCAGGCAATATCTTGCAATATCTCCCCACTTTTCGGCATTGTTTCTGTTTACATCCAGTTCACAATTCTTCTCACCACATGTTTATGTTTTTTTTCCTATCGATCTTTTATATTGTCTGAATTTGATCATTTTCCCAGGCTATTCATAAGCAATTCAAGATATGGCTTTAGGAGATGCAATGACGTCAAGACGATCAAGTATAGAACAGTGTGTCTAGAAAAACTTGAATAAATTCATTGCGCAATTGCTCTAGTTGGAATGTCTGTGATGATCTCTTCTGAGGGTTCTGCGGAGATCCGGGGAAGGAAAATGTTGGGAGAAATTCCAAAAGGAATACTAATTGATCCAGCGTCACACTTTGGTCAATGTTATTGCACAATGCCGAATTGAGCAATGCTCTCTAAATTAATGATGTGCGAGTGTGACATTCTGGGAGTCTTGCTCGAATTGATTCTAATCAATTAATCAAATTGCCAAAATTCATTTTCCACGTAGTCTTGATCTCTCTTCCTCATCAAGGCTTTCCCAGTCAATAAAGTAATTATCATATATACTTTAGAATCAACTCCACCACGTTAACATTCAGATAGCTTTGTATTTTTCAGGAAAATTTCAAAACTTTCAATCCCACAAATATAATACACTTTAAGGATATTGAGTATTTAAAGGATAATACGTAATAACTTCCTATTAAAATGTTATTGACAAGGATTTCCTTCTAAATTTCACACTAAATCAATTTAATCATACTAAAAATGACAGAATATCGCCGTAATTTTTTTGAAAATAAATTAAAATATGCTCTACAAATTCCTAAAGTCTGTTTCATGAGAACTTTTAGCATAAATCACTTCGCATATGTGCCATTAATATTCACAGAAAACCTTCCCACGGACGAAAGCATAATATAACTCAGAACAAATATGCAATGTTCAACCTGTTGAATACCATTAGAGAGTTTTCCTCACGAAAAAGCTCGCGGCCCATTAAGATGCATTTCCCATGGCAATCGATTGAGCAGAGGGGCTAATTGAAAGTATGGGCTCCAGCGCATCAGTCAGTCTCGCAGAACCCTTCCTACGGTGTGGAGGAGTGAAATTAGATCGCGCAGTGGCTTAAGTAGTTCTAATCCCTAATCATTGGGTGCTATTAGTCCATCAGGCGCGAGTGCCCTGCGAAAGAGAATCTCGCAATTCCTAGTTTTAATCCACAATTGTGCCGTTCTCTTTTCTGTGACTCAAGTGTTGTGCTTTTCCTCCCTCCGGAATAGGCCGACTACCCGCTGCTCAATTCGGGTGCAGCACCAGGTGGAGTCGCGGCGAACCCGTCCACCCAATGCAGAGATACCATCGACTTTGAGCCCGTCGCACCAGCACCATCGCACAACATCCCCTACCATCCGCGCAGAAAGTCCCTCATTGACGAAATCGACGTGCCCACCGAGAACGTGGACATGGTGGACAAAGTGGACATCATTGGCAAAGTCGTGGGCGACTGGGGCTGCTTCCAGTTGCGCACAGTCCTGCTCATCTTCCTGTGCAAAATCCCCAGTGCCTGGTTCATGTCTTGCATCATCTTCACCGCACCGGCGCCCCGTCACGGGGACTTCTTCTGCAAACCCCCGCCGCATCTGCCCATTGTGCCTGAGGTGAACAAGACGCAGTGGATCAAGATCTCCCATCCGGCCGTGCTGGACGCTGCCGATCAGGAGCTCAACATTGACTTCTGCAACGTATACGAAGACGCCCTGGATCACGTGCACAAGTACTTCAATCGCAGTGATGTGTCCAATCCCTGGATCGAGCCCGAGCGCAATGCCACCAACATCATCCCGTGCGAGAGCTTCGAGCATCACAGTGACTACAAGAGCATCATCACGGACTTCGATTTGGTGTGTTCACGAGATATTCTAGTCGCCACCACCCAGTTCTTCCACCTGTTCGGTGTGCTCTGGGGCGGCATAATCACCACTCAACTCCTAGTGCAGTAAGTAGAGAGCTTTAGTTGACTCTTTGCGAATCGTTTTTCACATCACATTCAGTGCAGATCAGACTCTAAATTAATCCAGTTAAAAGCTCCTTTCCATCATCAAATTCAGTCAAATTGCTGAGTTGTTGCTCTTTAACACACCTTAACAACTGAGGTCGTCATATCTATTATTATCTTAGCTAGAGAAAGAGAAATTGACTTTAGAGGTAAACATCGCTGTTCCAGTTCATATTTCTAACATCTCTAGCCATACTTCTCGGTTCAAGAGAAATTGTCCAAGGCTGAAAAGCTGAATATTAGAAGTTTCATGATCTTCGCCTTGGCGGAATTGCGTGTTTCATTTCGCAACTATTGTTGCTTTGACTCTGCTCTTGAACTCCAAACTATCGAATGTCTTTTGCAGCTTCAGTCCACGACGCGTGATGCTGGCTGGGATGCTGTCGCAGATCATCTGCGGAAATCTCACGGGTCTGGTCAGCAGTTACGGTCTCCATGTCTTCTTCAGGTGTCTCTCGGCCATTTGCTGTGGTCTAATGTACACAGCAGGAGCAGTGATATGTGAGTTTATCCGTTAAACCGCCCCCAAGAGTTAGAGATTAACGACAGGGTTTTCGTCTGGACAGTTTCGGACATCACAGCAGGAAAGTACAAGACAGTCGTTTGCACGATGTTCGAGCAGTTCTGGTCCATTGGCGTTATTCTGCTTCCCGGAATGGCGAGCTTCGTCAACAACTGGTCTCAACTTTACATGGCAATTTCCTTCCCAACCTTCCTCCTCGTCATTCTTCATAGGTAAGAAATTCCACAAGTTTTCACACTCATCAGTAATCGTGGCAAATCCATATTAGGATAATTCTGCCAATTCGCCCAAAGAATTGAGTGTAAAATATGTCTCTAAATATTTTTCATTTTAATCATAATATTTAGTTTAGATTGACAGACAATATTTTGCAAACTTTTTCACATTTCTGACGAAAATTTGCCCGCAAACAGTCGCTTGACAAACAACACGATCTTGTGCGAAAATCTCTTTTGCCTATTAGATTATTCTGGGTGGAATTCAGCAAAGACAATATTTGCCCACATAGAATAAAACAGATAATTTGTTCTAATTTTCCACACAAAACCAATAAAAAATAAATGTCCGTAATTTAGCACAAATGTTGTAGCAATTTGAGTCGGTTAATTTACTGCCTCGATTCTCCACGCGGGTGGACTTTTTATCTTATGTAAACGAGAAAAAGCTCTGCGTGAATCACCAATTTTTCATCTCGTGGATTTCATTGTTTTCCCAAGATATGTAAATATTAAGTGGATCGCGAGATTGTAGCACATTTTCTCGCGACTTTGAATTTTCAACAACAAATAGCAATATAATTCAGTAATTTAATAAAGAGAAATAAACGTGAACAATCTATTTTTAGATCTTTATTTTTTCACCCAAGTTCAAGTGGCGCAAGATTTGTGAACACACGAAAAGTTTATTCAGTGAAGAAAAAAAAATTGGGGTTTCGCCTGGGATTCTGTTGTATTTATCACATGGAATCTCGCGGTGTGGATTTTCATGGAGAAAAACCTGTAGTGAGAAATGAAAAATGCATTGCAATCAATCAATAGGCAATTACCAATTTGTATCACTCTTGAATTTGTAGGTCTGTGAATCGATTAAGATCTTTTCATTGTCACGTAAAGTGATTTTCCAATTGACCTTAGGGAGAAGAGAGTTTCTCGAGGAAATTCAATTAAGCTTTTTTTGCACAATTCAGGTGGATTCCGGATTCTCCTCGCTGGCTGATCGCCAGGAATAGAATCACCGAGGCGAAGGCGATCCTTGAGGAGGCGGTGAGAATCAATGGGAAGCAGAACGCCCTGCCTCGCGATCTCGAGCACCTGCTTCAGGTGCAGGCTGCCTCCTGTCTGGAGGGTCCTCCGCCGCCCAACTGGTGGTCCCTCTGGGAGGGCCACCGCGCCAAGCGCCACATGATCAGCATCCACCTCATCTGGTCCATCTACATCGTCACCTACTACGGAATGCTGCTCAACATCAGGGTTTTCGGGCGCGAGCACTTGGAAGCCAACACAATCGTGGCTGGAGTTTGCGAGATCGTGGGCACCTTCATTGGCCTCTACTTGATCCTCAACACCACCAGGAAGTGGCTCTGGACGGGCATCTGGAATGTGGCCGCGGGCATCGCCGCTTGTGCCATCTGGCTAATTCCAGATTCAGGTAATCCTCGAATTGATTTCGTGAGAACAATTTCCGCTACAATTCTAGACATGTGAGAATTTCACGTAAATTTCTTATGCACCTTTTTGAAGATAAGACCTTTGGATAAGCCGACAAGGCTGTCTTTGCTATGTGTAAAACAATTAAATCGCGCTTTAAATATTGTATTGATTTTTACATAAATTTTCCGTGCACTTTCCACCTTGAATTTCCGATCAATGACAAGAATTTTTTCAATATATTTTCGACATTCTCCGCTCACACTTATTAATCCTACTTCACTTTCGATGGTATCTCAATGGGAAAACACATAATAAATAGCATGAAAAGTGAAAATGCATCAAATTTGCAACTTTGCAACGATGACGTGGGTTCCCGTGAGAAAATGAGAATGTGTGAATTGCATCATTAAATATTATGCTGTATTAGAAAATAATCTTAACACAGATCCTGCTTCTCTTATCGTTTCAGTTCAGGGAATTGAGCGTGTTGTGCTGGAAATGACGACGGCAATGATCACGAAAACTGCAATTTCCACCACTCTGTCCATCCTCACCACTTGCACCACTGAACTAGTCTCGGCGGACAAGAGGAGAATCTGTAAGATGTGCCAAAGTATTCAGAATGTGTCCAGAAACTCACTTTTTGTCCTTCCAGGTGCTTTTTCTACCATTGTCTGGGCACGCATCTGGCTTCTAACTGCCCCCTTCATTGGCGCCACCACAATATTCGGCGAATATGTGGCTCAGACCGCCTTGTCCATCATGTCCGTTGTCGGTGGCTTCATCACGATGCTCATCTCAAGTCCACGCACACTGCCGGCCAGGAAGAAGAAGACGAATCTTCCTCCAGAACTGACAACACCCGAAGTATGGACCGTGAAAGGCCACCAGGAGAAGGCTGAAGCCTAATCAAGCCAAGTTTACTTATACTAAGTACAAGATTGATTTTCTATTCTCCTGTAAAATATTTTTAAAAGTGATTATAACTAATTTATTTAAAATCCAAACCATTTTCCGTTAATTCACGACAATTTCAAATGCTCAAATCGACCCAAAAGACACCCAAAGAAACTCCCGCTACGTGGCGCTGTGGTCGTTTCGGCTGTCGCTTTTGTGTGTTTCCCAACGGTATTTCAGCTGAGTGTTGGATTTTATCAATTTTTACCCAATTTTGCCGGTTTTTGTGTCGCAGAAACACCCTCAAGGTGAACCAGATTAATCTCTCCACTAACTGGACTCTGCGTCTTGCTATTTTGTGTCGAAATGGACGGTTCAAGTAGCAGAATAGTGAAGTCCTCAGTGGCGTCTCCGCGCTCAATTCTTCGTGAAGTGAATCGCATGGAAATACCAATGCAGGTGGGTTGTAATTCAATAAAATGCATGGCATAAACCCTTGAGAATCCCTTGACGTGAGGTAATTGCTCAAAAGCCGGGCGATTGTGGTGGAATTCGAACAATTCCGGGATGCAATTTGACGCATGCACACTGGCGCCCCTCCGAGGGCTTGCAGTGCACAGAAGTGGGCAAAACTGAAAGTTCCAATCAATATGGCTGAAAGTGGAGCATTTTTCGGTGAATCTCTGCAAAATTTGACCAAATTGACCCTGTAAAAGTGCGTGATTGACGTTAAATTGTGTGGAAAAGTACACAGAAAAGTGCTGAGTAGCAGAATCCGATTCCGGGAAGAACTTTCGAGCAGCGAATTGAAGGGTAAATTCCTTGTAAACACGGTGACAGAAGGGTTTCATTCTGCATGGAAAAATCCCAAAATTCCACGAAAAGCCTCAAAAATCTCATCTTCACCCGAACAATCTCTGTGATATTTTCCGTGTAACAATTGAGGGGTGTTTATGTGGTGGAATTTCTACTAGATTGTGCTCCAAATGTGGTGGAAAAATCAATTCCGCATTCATCAAACTCCTAATGGCCATAAATCAATCAATCGCCACTCTGAGGGACTTCCAGAGGCGCCCAGAAATGCTCTCCGGATGCAGGTTCTGATCCGGTGAACGTGTTGACGGAAGAGTGACGCACTGGTGAACGAAAATCGTTGAACTTGGAACTCCCTCTGCTGTGGGCTAATTTTAGCCCGTCTGCAAACAATTCTCTATCAACTGCGAAATACAATCACGTCCGAAAGGTTTCTCTTTGGTTTCACAAGACATCGCGGAAGCGGTGGAGAAAAGCAGCTCAATGTGCCCAAGATTGCGGGAAAGAAATATAATTTCAAGACCGGCTAGACTGAAGAGGCTTTCGGGCGATCGGATTCTTAGGTTGGCATTTTCCATCAACATCACTTCAGCTTCTTATCTCCCCTCTTAAAGAAAGACGCTCGTCGTCTTGTTTATGAGAAGATCTTCCTAATTCTCTATCAAGAAGACCATCAAGAGAGCATTTTAGTTGTGAAGCCGAATTCAAGATCTCAAGTCACTCGCAATAGCAGCAAAGAATGACAATGTATTGAAAGTCGGCGGGAGAAGGAAAAGATTGCAGTGAATGCCTCTCTCTGTTTACACCCATGACTTTTCTCTCCCACTCTCTCTCTCTCTTTTCCTCTCGCATTTTCCACGACGAGAAAAATCCCATTTCAATTCTCGGCCAAGAAGATCTCAACTTGTCGCTGTGTCTTTGTTTTATTTTTAGTCGATCGCCCCTGCTCTCTTTCTTGTCCCACTCGTGCGGCTCCTCTAAGTCATTAATTGAGAAATCTCACGATACCCACCGCAGTTCCCAATGGTCCACAGCGCGAGACAGAGGGGCCAGACGCTGCCGGAGTTGCTCGCGAGCCAGATCCAACCGTGACATTGCAGTTGTGCTTAAGTGTGGAAGCGTGAGAGTGTGTTTGCCAGGATGGATTTCATCCTGTCCAAGATCATCAGTCGTCCGCGTGGCGATGCGAAGGGATGCGACAAGGTGGCCAATGGCAATGGTGTCGAGGTCAGTGCGAGACGATCTAATTTCCTCAGCCAAAACTGCCAAGTGAGAGAGATACTCACTGTCCGTTCCGCACGAGAAGCTGCATTTTTCCACCTCGAATTGCTATCATATATATATTTTTTTCTTCTTCTCCACACATCTCTCGTTAATTGAATGTGTCTTGTAATGTATGAAAGTGGGATATGCGAATCACGGTTCTTCTGCGCCTCTTTCCACCCACCCCGAAAAATAAAGAGTGTTGATCATGAGACCAGAAAAGTGCTATTTTGGCAACGAAAATGCCTCGCATTTGAACCGGGAATGTATTTAATCCGTTGCCAGCCAAAGTATTGGGCACAAAAGTGAGAAATGATGCATTGGATAAGTGTGAAGGAATTACGTATTACTGCCTCAGTCAATTAAACACATTAAATTAACAGTGTGAAACCAATAATTTCTATTATGGGAAGATTCTGTCCCAGTATTTCCACTTATCAATTTACTTATCAGCTCCAGTGAGTTAACACTGTGCCTTCTTCTGCGTGATCTGTATTTCCAATGATTCTATTTGCATTTAATTGCAATTTCACTGGCAATTATGGTTCTTTGGAATGTTTTTTTTTTACTGAAACGGCAGTAGGTTTTCTTCTGGTGAACAAAATATAAATATTCATGCGGACAAAATTGTCACAATGGCTGCCTTTTGGGATCTTCTTTTGCCACACATGATTGAATTCTCCTTTGAAATTATCATATTTTGCATACTATATGTGAGTCTGAATTATCTTCTGTCTCTTCTTTCGCAGTCGCCGCAGAAGTCGCAGTTAAATCGTGAGCAGGAGGAAATTCCGGTGAAGGAAACTCTACGAGAGGAAGGTAATTGTTGGAATTCTGTTTTGATGTGTTGAAAGAAATGTCGCTCTATAACATTAAATGTGTCTTTCAGGGCTTTGCCAGTCGTCAGGGAACCTTATTGGCGCCTTTCAGCCGGAAGGCTCAAACTGGAGAGAGACAGAAAGTAAGTTTGACGATGATAAGCATGTGGGTGGAATTCTTTTGAGATCTTCGGATGGCAAGAGATTTACGGAGATGTTTTAATTATTTAAGTTCTCTTATTTATTTATTCTTTTTGTTTGCTTCTTTATGATTTGTGTGCAGAGTTTGAGAGTGATAAAGACCTATTTGAGGATCATCGTGTGGAAGGGATAGCAAATTACAGTGCACTTTCGTCTGATGACGAGGCATTTGTTGAGTGTCACTCGTTTATTGGGGAAAACACGATAGAGAATCCTCCAGTGCTCAATCAGACTGAGGAGCATTCGTCCAGCGCATTTGATAGTGGAACGGAGAGCAGAAGTCCGGGAAGGAACGACGTGAGTCTCATTGCGAAGGAGTTTGTGGAGGAGATTGTTTGTCGGGCTCTTGAATTGCTCCCCAAAGACAGTGCGAAGGTGTGTCAGGACATCAATAAGACTATCGATTTGGATGATAGTGAGGAGGATTGCTTCATTGTGGCAGACTCAACGTTAATCATTGATAAGGACGTTGATACAAAAGCCTCTCTCGATGATGAGATATTGAAATTCACGGAAAATCTTGCAAATATCAAAATTTCTGAGAAGTGTGAAGAGAAGGAAATTGTTGCAGAGAATCTGAGTCAATTTAGTGAATTGAATGGCACATTTGAAGTGAAAGATGTGTCCATGAGGAGTGTAGATAATCTCAACGCAACTTTTGATGCTAAGCAGGATCTTCCAGAAGTAGTTGAGATTAAAGAAGACGTGAAGGAGGAAAATCTTGAGACACAGTGCAAAATGCCTGAGACTGTGGAACATAATCTCAGTCGCAATGAGAGTTTTGATGAAGCAATCTCACGAGATTCACCCAAAGACTCCTCAGTCTCATCGTCCTTCAGCAATCTAAATAATCAACCTGACAGTGCCACTCTAGCCAACACTTTTGTGGAGAATCTCATCACTGAGAATGTCGATTTTGCCTTCAAAGTGCCAGAAGTGCCCGGAGATGGTCCGATGAGGAAGAAGAAGCTCTTTGGCCAGATGCACGAGAATCTGCCGGAAAGTGCCTTTGCCGAGAATGATTTCCAATCTGGTAGTGAATGTAAGAGTTTTATTTTTACTTTTTCTTTCTTTGAACTCCTGAGTTTTGTTTAAATGTTATTTTTTCTCCTTATTTTATTTATTCATATTTTCATATTTGACTCATTGTGGGCGTCGGGAAGTGGGGGAGGTGTTTGTAGATTTTACAAAATGCGAAACAGACGAGCAAAAGTTTTTTGAGTGGCAAGAGGAAGAGAGAGAGAGAGGAATTTCCCACACTTTCTTCCTCGTGTTAGGCACATTGCACATTTTATTTAATAAATGGTCGGGGTAAACTTCACATGCAATAGGAGGAAACCCTCGGCTGATTCATTCACCATGAATACCAGACAAATAAATCAAGAGGGTGGTTCATTTGAGGATTCGCGGCTTTTAGAATCCTCTGAGAAGTCCTCAGTTTGACCGGTGGATGTGAATTGAAGTGGGAAAAACATTGATTTCTGCATGAATTGTTCTGCCCTTTTACAGAAACTTGCTGAAAGCAATATCGTGTCTCAAGGTGTCCAAGTTCACACTGTCTTCTTGAAGCAGTGAAAATGTGTGTTTCTACGACATTCATTGATAAGATTAAATTAATTTCAAGAAAATAATATGACACAAATTAACAAAACATTCATTTAAATTTTGTATAATTAATAGTTGATGAAATGAGGCAAAAATTCACGCAATGAAGAGCCTCAAACAAGAGAGAATACACAGTTTTAAAATGTGACTGTGTGTGAAGCGAGATTTCCTTCCACCACACAGACGCATAGAGAACGATAGCATAAACACAGAGTTGAATAGCATAAAGCTTGCTCATGCCACGCGAGAGAGAGAGAGAGAAAGAGAGTGAGAGACGAAGGCATAATGAAGGCTTCTTACGATGATGATTGTGTGTTGGTTGAAAGTGCCATATAATCTTTTTTTTTCATTCTCTTCTCTGTATCTCTCTCTGTGGCTGTCAAGTTCGTGTCTCTCTTGTTCACATTTATAGTTTTTCCTCCTCTTTCTGTGGGTTGATTGCTTGGGTGGAAAAGGGAAAATTTTCCACATGATTTTTCCATTTTGTACAAAATGTGCCCATTTGTGTCCGTTCAGTTGGTGTAGAAGTGTCGAAGAGACGTAAATTTGGGTGAAAAAGGTACAGCAAGGCATATTTGATCTGAGAAATCTTCATATACCGATGACGAGGGCATAGAGAAAGAGAGAGAGAGAGAAGTCTCTTACTTGCTGCTTGTGAATGGTGTGTAGTTCTGTGTGACGTGAAACTTTCTTGAAAGATGTGTCTGGAGAAGAAAAATCTTTGATTTTCAACCATTTGACGGACATTTGGATACTTTCAGTGAGAAATTGTTGACTCTGTGTTTGGGGAAAATGATGATTTCTCTGTTAAATGTGTGATTTCACATTGAATTTAATACATAACAATGAATTTCTCCATTTCTCGCCCACGATTGATAATGACTCAAAGATAATAAATTAAGCATTTCCGTGAAGAGACTGTTTCCAGACACCGACTGAGTCTAATGCATAAGAAGCCTAAAGAAACATGTTATTCTAGGACTGATTAGTCTGTATATAGTTAACAAATTATTACATTAATATCTGATGTATAAATTGAATTTGCAAAAGTCATAATGGAGAAGAGCTAAAATGTAAATGTTTATGGTTTGTCTTTTCAGTTGAATTCACACAATCGGATTTGGATTATTTGCTGACAAAAGGCGGCAATTGTGGAGATCCAATTGATCGGAGTTCACTCCTATTGCGCTTCGATCCGCTCCTCAATCAGCCCGTTCCCGCTGCCAACTATCTGAAGGCCTCGTTCACGCGGCAGCAGCAAGAGTCGCCCATCACAGAGGTGACGGAGGAAGAGGAGAGATTGGGTGAGACACCAAATCTGGAGGACACTGTGGCGCCGTGCATGTCGGAGAATGATGATTTAGGGTGTGCAAATACATCTGACAATTCTCTGCTGGCCACAACATCGTGCGAGTACGCAAAGGATCTGAATTCTGAGAGTGACAGCTATAAAGATTGTCTCAGTCAGGCGTCCAGTGATGCGACGATGAGCGTCGACGTGATTAAAGAGGTCGTAGCAGAGGAAGTCAAGTCTGTGGCAAACATAACGTGAGTGAATTTATTGGCGGATTGTCTCTGGAATGATCATATTGAACTTGTTGTATTCTTCTCTTGTCTTTACAGTTCAGAAGGTACATACAAGAAGGAGTACAAGATGGCAGAGTTGGAGAAGAAGATCAAGAATGAGGTGCTGAAGACGGAGGACATTGAGAAGAAGCTGAAGGAGGCGGAAGCCCGTGAGGAGGCACTCCTTAAGCGCATCACTGATAATCAGAAAAACATCACGAAGATGACGGGTGTCCTAGAGGCGTACGAGAAGACAATAGCGGAGCTAATTGCGGAAAAACAGCAGATTATTGAGTCGTACGAGAAGAAGTGTAGCGAGCTACAAAATGAACGTGATCTCAACTTCCAACATTTGACCTCTCTGGAGGGGACTTTTGCCGATCTGCATGTGTAAGTTTCTGTGACAAATGGTTGTTTCTGGGAGATTGAAGATCAATAATTGATATTTATGTGTCTCTGTTTCGACAGTAAATACGAAAGAAGCAAACAAGTGACGATAACTCTGAAGAAATCTGAGGAGAGTCTGATTGCAGAAAAGAAGCAGTGTCACGAAAATTTGAGAATCCAGGAGCAACGCTACGAGAAGATGAAGAGTCACGCGATGCAGCAACTGGAGTTGTAAGTATTTTTGAGAGGTTTTCCTCGCTGATTTATGTGTTTCTGACTTGATGGTATGTTTGTGATTGTGCAGAGCAAACAGCAAATTGGACATGCTGATGAAGACGCATGGCCAGGAGACGGCAAAGCTGAAGGCGCTGCTGAAGAAGGAGGAGATCTCTCGGTTGTCCACAAATGAGCAGCTCCTGCAGAAGACTCGTGAAAATGAGGAGTTGGTCAAAATTTGTGATGAGCTGATTAATGGGAGCGCTCCAACAAGTTAAATTCCATTGTCTTCTTCCTCATGCAAAAGAAATGTTTGATGGGCACAGCGAGGAAATGATTTATGTATTTTATTATGACATGTGCGAGAGAGAGAGAAATTATTTTTCATACATTTACAAACAATTATTTGCATTATTTTTCATCTCCTGTCCAATGTTCTCAGTTGATTTGAGAAGATTGAGACAATGTGTTATGATTTAACTCACGAGCGAGAGAGAGAAACTTTCAAAAGTTTGTTGCAAAAATAGAGTGAATGATCATCTCTGTACAATATTGTTATTCCAAGAGTGCGAGAGAGAACGTAGGCAAGATGAGTGGAAAGAACTGTTGACGATATTGTAATGTGTAATAATTTAATGATTAATACTTTTAAGATTTTTTTAATCACAGAATAACTTGCATTAACAATTTTTTTTTCTTTTGCGTAAGAGACAACAAATGTGGAGAAGATGAGAAGAAAATTTGTATAAAAACTCTAAGTAATTACCGATTCATTAATATGAATGTATACTGAATTTTTGCATTGTGCAGTCGACAGAATAGTGTTTCAATTGAGGATTATTATCTGCTTGATGTTATGTTGGAGGGGAGCTGAATTGGGGGTGGGCTTGGCGAAGGCATGAATTCAGTGCTGCTATTCTATAGAAAAAGAGAGGTGAAAAGAAAACTTGTATTACTTGATAAAGAGCGTTAGAAGGGTATTTTATCACGCAAGTAACTCACAACATACACTTAAAAGGAAACCAACCTGCTATGTAAAACACAATATTGTCTAATAAATTATTTTTTATTAATCGACGCTTTATCATTTTGATAATTTCTCTTAATTTTAAGAGTTCGTTGTTGCTGGAAGAATTTGAAATTTGCAGTGGCGCTGACGTCGTCGTGGCGGCAGCAGTCAAAAGAAGAAGAAGAAGGCTAAAAGTTGCTTGTAATCTCGTATATGGTTCCGTGCTTGAGTAAGAGAAATTGGTAATTTTCCCGTGTTTTTCCGTAAAATAGGTAGGAAATTTGTAGTGCAACAGGATGCCTGATCACCTGGGAGATGATATGCGCAAGGTGAAAAATGAGGATACGGAAGAAAAGGAAATAAAAGGTAAATCATCACTGATATCGTCTCTGAATGACTGTCCGGAAAAGTGATGGAGTTTACTCACAATTTCTCACCCTTGTGACCACTTACAGCCCTCGATGAGGCCGACATAGAGTTGCTGAAGACCTACGTGAGTAGCCCCAGCCACCACAAAGGGTACTTGTGGGGGATTCTTTGTGATGTTGTCGTGACATAACCTCACACTTGCAGGGCCAGGGGCAGTACCACAAGGCGATAAAGCAAATCGAGGATGATATCCAGAAGGCGATCAAGCAGGTGAACGAGCTGACTGGCATCAAGGAGAGCGACACAGGACTGGCGCCCCCGGCGCTGTGGGACCTGGCAGCGGACAAGCAGACCCTGCAGAACGAGCAGCCTCTCCAAGTGGCTCGCTGCACGAAGATCATTAACGCGGACAGCGACGATCCCAAGTACATTATCAACGTGAAGCAGTTCGCCAAGTTCGTGGTGGATCTGGCGGACTCAGTGGCGCCCACGGACATCGAGGAGGGCATGCGGGTGGGCGTGGACAGGAACAAGTACCAGATCCACATTCCGCTGCCGCCCAAGATTGACCCCACTGTCACGATGATGCAGGTGGAGGACAAGCCCGATGTCACGTACAGCGACGTGGGTGGCTGCAAAGAGCAAATTGAGAAACTGAGGGAAGTCGTCGAGACGCCTCTTCTCCACGTGAGTATCTCTGTTCGCCGCATCTGATGAGCTGGAACTGATCGCTGACGGTTTCTCTTGCAGCCAGAGAAGTTTGTGAATCTCGGCATTGAGCCACCGAAGGGCGTGCTGCTGTTCGGGCCCCCCGGCACCGGGAAGACGCTCTGTGCTCGCGCGGTGGCCAATCGCACAGACGCCTGCTTCATCCGCGTGATCGGATCGGAGCTAGTGCAGAAGTATGTGGGCGAGGGCGCCCGAATGGTGCGGGAGCTGTTTGAGATGGCGCGCTCCAAGAAGGCCTGTCTCATCTTCTTCGACGAGATCGACGCCATCGGTGGGGCGCGCTTCGACGACGGAGCTGGCGGGGACAATGAAGTGCAGCGCACGATGTTGGAGCTGATCAATCAGCTGGATGGCTTCGATCCGCGCGGCAACATTAAGGTACTCATGGCCACCAACAGGCCAGACACCCTCGATCCGGCACTCATGCGTCCAGGTCGACTGGATCGCAAAGTGGAATTCGGACTGCCGGATCTCGAGGGCAGGACGCACATCTTCAAGATCCATGCGCGCTCCATGTCTGTGGAGCGAGACATCCGCTACGATCTGTTGGCCAGACTGTGTCCCAACTCCACGGGTGCTGAGATTAGGTCTGTGTGCACCGAGGCGGGCATGTTCGCCATCCGGGCGCGCCGCAAGGTGGCCACTGAGAAGGACTTCCTGGAGGCCGTGAACAAGGTCATCAAGAGTTACGCCAAGTTCAGCGCCACACCGCGCTACATGACCTACAATTAACTGCTAGGCGTGTGGCTCTTGTCTTTTTTCTAATAATAAAAGAAATTGAGTATATCTGCTATGCGAGATTTAGTCATTCATCAGTATTTTCCAGTATTTTCAATAGTTCTGTGCATTGCAACCGGAAAAGGATACCTGAATTTTGCCTACATTTGGGCAAGTTTGGGTCGTTTTCAGTCAAGTTCGCCGCATTTCGCCGAAAGCCGGCCCGGATGACATCTCGCGGCGTGAAACGGACTCAATCTGTCATCATGGCTGTCTCGAGGGAGAAATTGAGGACGGAAATAAATGGTAAATATATTATTAATTCATTAAATTTCCTCTCAAATTCAGTGTCAAAGTGTGTCTCAGTCCCTTGGCTGCCGATGTGTGCAGAAAAATCATGGGGAAATGCGAGTCAGAGGCGGGAAAAGGCATCTTCGCGTGGTGATTGACGCCGGGCGTTGATATCGGTGTTGTTTTGAAGGACGCGCTTTGAGGCTTCATAGTGGAAAAATACATTTTTTGCACAGTCTCAGTGGAAATACCCCTGATTTATGCGTGCAAATTCGTTTCAGCCATCCTGAAGGATGCCGACTTGTCGGTGATGTCGGCCAAGAAGGTGCGACAGACGCTGGAGGAGAAGCTGAACTGCAACCTCTCGGCCCGGAAGAAGGAGGTGGACGAGCTAGTGATGGACTTTGTGAATTCCAAGGACAACAACGACGCGTCCGGCAGCGAGGAGGAGGATGAGTCAGAGGAGGAGGCACCCAAGAGGGGCGCCAAGAGGCCGCCACCGACGAAGAAGCCCGTGGCGAAGAAGAGAGGCGGCGACAGTAGTGACGAGAGTGAGTCTGGCGGCGAGGAGGCCTCCGACGATGACTACAAGCCACAGAAGAATTCGGCCAAGAAGGGTGCGCCGAAGGGGAAGCGCAAGAAGGATGACTCTGAGTCAGACTCCGACGAGGACTGGAAGGCGCCGAAGAAGGCACCCAAGAAAGCCGTGAGTAGTCCTCAACTCTCCTCAGAGTGCTAAATCCGCAGCTAATGCGTTTTCTGGGGGTTTCAGGGCGCCGCTGCTGCTAGCACGGGCAAGGGCAAAGGCCGTGGCACCGGCTTCACTCGGGCCTACACACTCTCGCCGGAGCTGGCGGCTCTCATGGGGGCCGAGGCTCTGCCGCGCCACGAAGTGGTGAAGAAGATGTGGGCCATGATCAAGGAGCGCAACCTGTACGACCCGAAGAACAAGCAGTACGCCATCTGCGATAATGATCTCATCAAGGTAATTGGCGTGAAGCGTTTCAGGACATTCGGAATGCTCAAGTACCTTCGGGAGCACTTCCTCGACTAGACGCAAGTGCTGAGCAGCGTGCCATGAGGCACTCATTCACTTGCCATCCTCACGAGGATGGGGAATCTTCTATTTTTTAATTATCCTTTGCGGTCCCTCCCGAAATGTGCTATAGAGACAAGTCTTTTCATCCTGTTTTTGTCATAGATTGTACCTGTACAATCATCGAGTAATTATTTGGTAGTTTTTAAGGGGTTTTCTTTTAGTGCTAATGTTTTTTTCTTTGTCTTTATCACGAGTGAACTTACAGATGAGAGTTTATATGAAGTCAATCTATTCAAGATATTCCACGATATTCTTTAGCCTTTTGAGTATAAGAGTGTAAAAGATACAAGAAATTACAATTTTCAGGTAATAAATGACACATTTCGCTTAAAAATCCATTTGCTTTTTCATGGGAAATCAAATTTGGGGCGTGAAAGGAAAGCTTTTTATCCAAATCTTCCATAAAACGTTGAAGCTTTTTTCAGTCTCTTTGTCCTAAATACAATTTTTTATCGCTTCTGAGCCACTTTCAATCAATATCTTGATTTTATAGGGAAACTCTACTAATTTTTCACCTTGCCTGTTAAAAAGCCATTTATCATTGCTTGTCCTGAGAGAATGTGGAAATGTGAGAAAAGGTTTTCAGAATTGCTGTTCACTTTATCAACAAAACATCCTTAATTGAGACTCCACGAGGTGAAAGTGAACTGAAAAGTAATTAATTCTTGCCTTTCCGCGCGGCGGGAAAAAGTAGGGCAAAAGTTTTCCCTTGGCCGAGGGGAGAGGGTGAACCTGTTGCACGCCCAGAGGAGTCCAAAGCCACAATTGCCTGCAAATTGCTTTGGCTCAAGGAGCAGGAAATGGATTCGTGAGGGTTGTTTGTGTAGCAAAAGCGCTGAAGAGTTCAATTTCGCTGTTACGATTCTCGCGTGCTGGAAATTCAAGGATAGTGGAGGAATTCAGGTGTCTCCGCGCGAAGTGGAAGAGGGACTGAAAGGGTATCGATTTCCGGTCTTTAGCGACCGATGTTGGCTGAATAAACAAATTTATACATCAAAGTTTAACGACGTGGTGGAAAAATAAATCGATGTGAGTCAGTTGCGAGCTTCCCATCGACAGAGGATGTCTTCCCTGGCCAGGGCGATACTGGAGGAGTGCGTGCGCCAGGATGTGCTCGTGGACGACGACTTTGTGGCCTTCTACGTCACCAGCTTGGCGACGGAGACCGAAGAGGTTGGGCGAATTGTGGACTTCCTGGCCGACAAGAGGCGACCAGCGCTCATCACGCTGAAGATGCAATTCTACGTGACGGAGAATCCCGTGGCCGTGGAGCGGATCAAGCAGAAGCACAGGGATGTGGTGAAGCAGAAGACATCCCGGCTGTCCAGGGAGATCCTCGAGGGCTGTCCCAAGAGCAAGGAGGAGCGGGCAAAGCTGCTGCGGAGAATCGTGGTGGATCTCGTGGTGAACAACAGCATCGGCAGTCCGGCCAATGAGAAAGTGCTGGAAGAGACCGAATCGGCTCTCAAGAGCGTCATCTCCGAGAGCGACGTGACCACGTTCGCGAGCCTCAGACGAGTGGACAAGATCAGAACGCTGGAGGATCTCAGGAGAATTGTCTGTGGCATCAGAGTGTTCAACAGCGACGCCGGACACTGTGGCGAAGGCATCGTGAACTGTGAGTCCCTCAATAACTATCCTTGGAAACAGCAGGTACAGTAACTTCTCTTCCAGTGGCGGAGATCGTGGAAAAGTCCCTGGAAACCACAATTAGTCTCCTGAAAGGCTCTCTTGAGGCCACAAAGAAGAGGAGTCACATCTACTTCTCCTTCCTATCGTCTTGCCTGACCACCAAAGGGATCAAATTGCCTTCTTCTTGCTCTGCAGAACTCTTTGACATCCTCAAGGAGATTGGGATTCTCTCTGTCCAACACGAGCACTTCCTCATCTCCATTCACGGTCTCGTAGTGGCCTTCAAATTCGATGTCTTCCAGATTCTGGACTCCTTCAAGAACCTCTTGCGTTCCATCCACGAGAAGGTAAAGTATCGCACGGCGATTCCCACCGATGAAATTTATCCTAAGTTCAAGGATTTGGGCGTCTTGTGGCTGGAACTGCAGGACTGCGTGCACGTTCTGTCGGAAGTGAATCTCATGAATGACAATTTAGCCTTCCTTGCCGATCGCACCGGCAGCTACGATGAGATAGTTCTGGGCATGCTGCCTGAGAGTGCTGAAGAGGATCAAAATGGTGATTCTGCAGAAAAGATCTCAATTCCTTGCCACCTGAAGGACTTCAGAATCGTTGATTCAATACCCAGAGAGAAAATAACCTATTCTGGCTTCTGCCCATGGGCTTTGTCGCACGGAATCCTTCTGCCAGGCAATGAATCCTTGGGAATCATTCAGTTTCAGGAATCTATCAATTATTCCTTCTACTCGAGAGATTTTGCAGAAACTGCTTTGTCGAAGATGCGTTCAATTGAGAAGAAAATCTCACAGGAAGTAGCCTCTAATTCTCAGCTGAAGATTCTGCTGGACTTCCAAAGTAAGTCGTGGAAGCCGGACACTGAGAAATTGGCTAAAAACGTGAGAATTGACCAAGAAATGCAGACAGAACTTCATCCAATCCCGAGTTTCTTCGATCGGAGTCACTCTTCAAGGCGCAGAGATAAGGACATGAAGTGTCACTCTACACAGACCTTGCGAGAGTCCTGCACGCAAACTATAGAGGTAGAGGATAAGAATGTGCAGACAAATTAATAAATCCTGAATTAAATCGGATGAAAATCTACCACATATCATCGTTATCTTTTAAATTACTATGCCAACGCCTCTGGCGGGAAAAGTGTAAAGCATTGAAGACGTCACGAACTGGGCGGGAGAGTGAACAAAGTGAGGTTATGTTGGTGAATTGGGCAGTTTTGCAGCACTGACTGACGATGGGAATCACCGGTTTAATACCGTTCCTGGAGAAGTCTTCGCGACCACTGAACCTACAGGAGATCAGGGGCACCACAGTGGCTGTGGACACTTATTGTTTGCTGCATAAAGGCGCCTATGCCTGCGCGGATAAGTTGGTTCGTGGCGAGGACACCAATATCCACATTCAGTACTGCCTGAAGTACGTGAAAATGCTTCTGAAGTACAGGATAAAGCCCATCATGGTGTTTGATGGGCGTCATCTGCCCGCCAAGGCGATCACAGAGCAGCGTCGTCGGGAGTCACGCAAGCAAGCTCGCTCTCTTGCCGGAAAGCTCCTCAGGGAGGGTAAAATTGAGGAGGCGCGGAGTCAGCTGAGGCGCTGTGTAGACATCACACACAGCATGGCTCTGGAGGTGATGCGGGAGTGCAGGAAGATCAATGTGGACGCAATTGTGGCGCCGTACGAGGCGGATGCGCAACTTGCATTCTTCAATTTGTCCGGCATAGCGGACTACATCATTACGGAGGATTCTGATCTGCTGCTCTTTGGCTGTTCCCGGATTCTCTTCAAGCTGGATCTGGCCGGGAATGCGCTCTTCATAGATGCCAGCAAGCTTCATGTCTCCATGGGATGTCGCCTTGAGAAGTACACCTTCGACAGGTTCAGGAATATGTGCATTCTCTCTGGCTGCGACTACTTGGACTCACTGCCGGGCATTGGGCTGGCAAAAGCCTGCAAGTTCTTCCTCATGACTGAAGAGACTGACTTGAGAAGAGCCTTGCCTCGAGTTCCTGCCTATCTAAAGCTGAAGAATCTCACCGTGGCGCCAGAATACATCGAACAATTCCTCCAGGCTGTGGCTACTTTTAAGTTCATGTGGGTCTTTGATCCCTCCACACGTCGAATGGTGCGTCTCATGGAGCCTGATGCCTCATCCTTGTCGCTTCTGGAGAATGCCGGCGAGGAAATCGATCCCAATGCGGCTCTTCAACTCGCACTGGGTAATCTGGATCCTTTTTCCCTCAATCCAGTAGATAATTGGAACCCAGATGTCGATATAACTGTCCAAGGTAGCATCTGGCGAGGAAGATTTGCCGCGCCGTCTCCCAAAAGAAAGCCACGATCAGTGGAAGTACTGAAAGCGCGAAATCACTGCCTTCAGGAGATCAAAACACCTCCTGATCTACTCAGCATCTACCTCGAGAACACTCAGCCGACAACGAATAGTCTTCCATCATCCAGCTCTGAATCATCCACTTCAGAAGCCTGCTCATCTTCATCGGCGAGAAATCCCTTCCGGAAGAGCTTAGATAAGAGCACGGAAAGCCTTGAGGTGGACATTTCCCCGTCTTACGTGTCCAACGTGATGAAAGCCTCCAGCTCAGAGTCGGACTCTGGCTTGGAGGCCTCCCAGGGACCTCGAAAGCTCAGCAAATTCTGCCGAACAGTGCTCAATAACCAATACAACGTTGTCAGTCGCTTCTGGAATCAGCCGAATGATGAGATGCGGTCCAGCAACGAGAAGACGCCTGAAAAATCGCCCACTCCTGAACATCTTAGGCAGATTTACGGACAGGATGAGATTACTGGAGCCATACAGCAAAACCTGCTGACTATGTTTGAGGACAACGATGAGAATTGCCAGAAAGAGTCCCCGGAGGCAGTTCAGGAGGTGAAATCACCGCCACGGAAGATGGCGAAGAAAGAGACAGCTCGTGGCACTACTTGCCGCGTTCCCGGCCTCAAGAAGCCCACCGCTGGATCGAAGCTGGTCCAGAGCACACTGAGCAAGTTTGGATTCATCAGGAAGTGACAAATGAGTTTAATGAGGAACATTCATGCAATAAATACCACTCTGGTGACATACTTTCACATTTTCAATGGGGCAGGTGATGGAAAAACTTTGATCTACTCGATGCACTCTCCTTTCTCAGAACGCCTCCAGTGAGTCGAGTTTTTCGAGAGCGTCTGACAGAGAACTGAAGGTCTCCTTCACTCGCCAGCGCCCACAGAGTCTCGCCACGGTGAAGGGATCTCCACTGTCCACTTGCAGGCTCTCCACATCAGTGTCCACCCTCACGCGCAGCAACCGGATCATGAGATGATCACTCCTCGGATGCCCCACGTCGTCGTACAGAGTGTCACCGACCAGAGGGTGTCCAACTTCCTTGAGATGCACCCTGAACTGGTGTTTCCTGTCGCCACGGTAGGACTTGACAACGACCTTGCTACTGAACTCCTCATCGAAGTAGCCCGTCTCGACGAGAATCACCTGCGTGGTGCACTCGCAAGGGCTGTAACAGTGCTCCCAATCCGTAGAGGTGCACATCCTCACGACGGGCGACCTGAAGCGCAGATCCCGCCCAATCGGCGCATCAATGCGTATCTCAGCTTGCTCCATGAGTCCCCTGACAATCGCCACGTGGTATGTATGCACCCGCCGGCTTTTCAGACCTTGAGAGGCCCTCTTGTGCAATCCCACTGGATAAAGACCGCTAAATCCGGCGTCCGCTTGGAAGCACTGTCGGAAAACCGCCCTCTGCGTCTCCCTGTCCGCCGCATTTCCCACCTGGGCCTGTAGCGCAGCCCACAGAGTCACCTGCAAGTCCAAATTCACTCCCTCAGTGTCCAGATTTGCCAGAAATGTGATCCTTCCTCACCTCATCGACATCCGGCGGCTTAGCCAAAACAACAAAGTTTTCACTGCGGAAAACCTCCTCCAACGGCCAATAATCCACACTCACAGGAATCAGAATGCGAGACACACCCTTACTTAAGTGATCAAGAAACAGATCCAGAAACGTACTGCCCAGAATTTGTAGAAAACTATCCAAATAAAAGAGCATTTTCAAGCCACAAAACACAACAACAACTTTTCAACTTCTCAAATTTCCGCTATGTGGCGCTCAATCTCACCACCTGCATGCCATCTCTCTCTAACACCCCAAGTGTCAGTCGCAAATTTTCCTTGGATTTTGTCTGCGTGAAAAAAGCACATTTTTCTCTGAAAAAATGAACTCTCCACGACTTTTGAGCATTGTGGGACGCAATGTCATGCAGCAGCGATCCATTTCCGTTGTTCCCGGACCCGCACGTGTGAAAATTTCCAAGGCAGTGAGTATATTTTGGTTGGACTTCTGGCTGATTTCCCCCCACGCATTACGTAAGATTCCGGGATGACTTTTTCGCCTGTTTCAGGAAAATTTCATCCTAACTACAATCCTCATGACGAGTCTGGCCGCTGGACCCCTCTGGATTCTAGCTCACATGAGGGAATACCGAGGAGCTAATAAGTAGGATGTTTCCGGGAAGGATTAGTAACTATTTTGGGAAAATTCGCCACTTTGCAGAAGATTTCTAATGAGTTTCTCACTGGTAATCGCTGTAAATGGTGGAAAATAATAAAAAGGATGTAACTGTGTAAGGAAAATTGCTGCATTGGCGTGAAAATTCAATGAAATCTGGAATCTCTTTCCCCACAGAGCTTTCGTTGGTGGGTTTCCGCATTGACAATTGGCATTTGAGACGTTTCCATGTTGACGTCTTGTGTTTTGAAATTCGCATGAGTCTCTGAAAAACTCGAATTTTGCACAGATTGAGAATGATTTTCCGCGGATTGCCAGTGCCAGTGAAGAATACAGATGAATTGCGAGTGTTGTGCGCGAAGTTTAGTGCCGTGGGAGTGAATTAACGCGCCAAGGAGGACGCCTTAGAAGGAAGGTGGGGCCTTTGTTATTGTTTACATCCCCACAGAGAGGTGCTCGACGCCTCCTGCACCCACCCGCTTCCGGCTGGCTGATTCACAGCCAGAGGCATCGTCTGAGTTCAATTTCCAAACTACTGAGCACGCCAAACGCTGAAAATGCGCATCGGAATTAAGAGGCGCATTGTCTTGGAGCGTCCAAACTCGCTTGTTTGCTCGCGCTGATACCAATTTTATCATATTAGGCGAGCTAATTGGGCAAACACACTCACGGAGATATTTCCACAGCGCGATCCAGCGAGCAGCATCTCGACAGAGCTTTGTGCAGATCTCCCGCCAAAAAATCAGAGTCGCTGCTGGAGAGGGGCTCGGAGGAGGAGGCCGGAAGGGCAGGTGATGCTGAGCTCAGTAGTGTGGAATTCCTGACTGGAGAAGCACTCGCAGCAAGACAGGCTCTGATCCCTGATCGCACAAAGGTCAGTCATTTATTGGCTTCTGTTTCGTGATCTTCTGCAGAAGGTCGAGCTCATCTTATCTTACACATAATTAATTTTTTTCCTTGGAATATCTACTGATTGGATTATGGGATTTAATTCAGGCGAATGGTAATTTTTTACTGGTATCTCTCACCCGAAGTCTCCTCGTAAATGCTTTTTATCAGTTTTTCTCTGAAAAATGGAACAATAATTGGATCAGGCTTTCTCGATAAAGAGGAATTTCATGTGGGGAAGAGAGAGAGAGAGAGAGAGAGGAAATATCGGGATTTAACCCATAAATACTGTCTGCAGCGCGATTGCTTGTTTTCATACTATATATACATTTGGTAGTTTTTTTTCTGCTGGGTCGTCACAGAATCAAGTTTGTTCTTGAGTGTCCAAAAAAAATCCAAGGTCTTCAGTTGCTCTTCATATAGAACTCTTTAGGTATTTAGTCATCAAACATCCTCACCTTCATTGAGATCAACAGTGATGATTGGCTATTGACACAAGTGCTTCCTTCTGCCACTGTTGCAGAAATTGTTCTTGGAACTGTTGTGGTGAGGAAGACGCATTGGGATTTAGCAAGCACGTGATGCTTTTTCGAGTGTGAAATCTCTGTTTACCCATTAAACACATCTGAGAGGATAAACATCCGAAATATACAGTTTCTAAAAATCCCCCACGATCATCATTCTCAGTGTGAATTTCAACCGTTAAAGGGGTGATTTTGCTGAAGTATTCTAATCGCAATTGCTTCTCTTGGCTTTTTGCAGAAAATTGAAAAGCATTTTGAAGAGTGACTTAGTGTTCCAGCTGGCCTGAGAAGTCCGCATTCTGCAGAGAGAGAAAGAGAGTCAATCATGAGCACAGCTCCTTATCGTGTGGTGTTTGTTCGTCACGGCGAGAGTGAGTGGAACAGCCTGAATCTCTTCTGTGGCTGGCATGATGCTGAGCTCAGTGATAAAGGCAAGTTCTTTGGACTCGAGAACGAGAGAAAATTAGCCCATGATAACGAGCGATTCTGCAGGGAAATGGGATGCTGTCCACATTTCTGCTGGCGCTCTCAAGCGAGCCAATTTCACCTTCGACGTTGCCTTCACGTCCGCCCTCACGAGAGCCAATCAGACGCTGGAGTTGATCCTCAGCGAGATCATGTGCACTGGCGTTCCCGTTCACCAGGCGTGGAGGCTGAATGAGAGGCACTACGGCGGACTGACGGGGTTCAACAAGCGCCAAATGGCGGACGTTTATGGGGAGGAGCAGGTGCAAGTGTGGCGCAGGAGCTTCGATATTCCACCGCCCAGGATCACATGCCTCAATCCCTACTACAACGCCATCAGGAGCAACAGCAAGTTCCGCAAGATACCCACAAATGACTTCCCGGACACTGAGACTCTCAAATCCACCATGACGAGGGTCATTCCTTACTGGGAGGACTCAATCATTCCCGAAGTGCGTCAAGGGAAGCGAGTACTGATCGTGGCTCACGGAACAAGCCTCCGTGGCCTGGTGAAACATATTGAATGTGAGTTGAAGCCTCTCCTCGCCTGACCAACTTGATTCTAACACGCTTTTCCACTTTGCAGCTCTCACCGAGAGTGAAATCATGAAGTTCAACTTGCCCAATAGCATCCCATTCTACTACGATCTCGACGAAACCATGAAGCCGGTGGGGAAGATAAAATTCCTCGCTGACGATAAGACCGTCCTCAGTGCGATGGACAAAGTGGCGTCCATCGACAGCAAATAACGCGCTATTTACGTACATCACCTGCATGAATTCACTATTATTATTCAGGTACTAATTGTAAGGAAGGCTGCAGCCAGTACAAATCTATATACTAACAAATACTTCTTCCTTCTTCGGATGTTTACAATGGTGTTTAAGACATTATTTGATAAATAAACTTTAAGTGTCGCGTGCAATTTGTATTGCAAGTCTTGCGACTGTTGCAATTTTCACACTGGAATTGGCGGGACTCTGTTTGGCGCCAAATCTCTGCCAATCGGCAAAGTTTCGTGAAATTTTCACGCAAGAATAAAAATTCCCCCCTTTGTGGTGAATACACACTAGTTCCCTGCCGTGCTCCTTGGCGGCGCTGCACTGGGGTCAAGTCTTCAGTTGACTGTCGTCTTTCGATGCGAGAGCATTGCTGCGGGATGTGTTTGGCGAATATTTATTGATTAAATTTAGTGACTGAGGTTATATCTATCCACAATGACCCTCTGTGTGTGACAAAGTGTCCTGCGAAACCTGACACCCCCCAGCACTTGTGGGGGTCGCCCAGCTGCACCCTTGGGCATGCCCAGCCGTCCGGACAGTTTAACCCCCAGATAAAAAGGACAGAGATAAAGTGTGGAAGAATTTCGGCGAAAGGCCATCGTGAGGGAAAAACAACATGATTATCGCCTCTCCAGCGATCGTGACTCATTATCACGATATGTCAATCACATATAAAAGGTAATTAGCCGCAATTTCACTCGCTCATCCCCGCCAATGGCTTCCCGGACGCGCCTTCCGGATCGATTCACCCTGGCGAAGTGTCACAAAATGGGGGGGCCTCGCGGCGCGTGGGCGTCACGAGACGAGCACTCGGAGGTCGTCCGTCAGCGATGAGGGGACAGGCACACCGTGTGGGGCCCCGGTGGCCATCTGGAGGCCGCTGATGCGCCATCCCGGGCGACCAGGGAAGAGCAGTTCAGCGCTTTATTCAATTAGACTCGGTGCTAATTTTATTTTCCTGCAAAATTTCTATACGCTAAACCCTCGACACTTGAGACACAGCGAGAGGTGCTCAAGAGCCGCTAATTCCTCAGCTCAACTGTGGAGATTCACACATGAAGGTCAGCCACGAGTCGCCAAGCATTGATTTTCTGACCCATAAATTGACTGGAAGTCGCAGACATTCGCCGAGATTTCGATGTCGGGAGATTGAGAGAATTGAGGCAGACTCGCGCGATTCACTTTCACATTCATTCTCTGTTGACAAACCGCACGAATGTCTCGTAAAATGTACGTTAAAAAAGCGGCAATAGGAGAGATAAGAAGTGCGGAAAAAGTAATTATGTGGTCGCCACGGGTGAAATGTCGGCTTTCATGAAAATCTAAAATTATTTATTTCACCGGGAAGAGACAAAAAAAAAGAGTTGTTCCTGTGTGAGTTCAATGGCCTGGCATTTGAATGAGCGCTGAGAGAATCTCTTAGAGATCCTTATCAGGATGTGTTATTCGATGTCTTTCAGTGACAAGAGCATGCAATATTGACGCTGGAATTCTTGATTTTTAATGGAAAATGAGGGAATTCTCAGGTGTGAAGCATTGTCAGAAGATTATTATTAGCACCATTTGGCACACAGTTGCACATGACAGAATTTCCTGCAAATAATTCACTTCCTCCACGTCCCTCGAGTTTTTCCTGCGGCCTCCAACAAAGAAATCTCTTTGCCATTGTTTTGGGCTATTGTGCTTTTCTGTTCGCTGCATTTTAAATACACAATTTAACCAATTTGCATTATCAAACAACAAAATGCTATGTGTGGAATATGAAATTTTCTCCCGTATAAAAATATTTGGTCTCAATAGAAGGATGAGTTGGGAAATAGCAGAGAGAGAGAGAGGGAGAGAGAAAAAAAACACAGGGCTTAATTGAAATTTGTTCCAACCGCGATAGTGTCAGTGGCCTTTGTCAATTTATTTAGTTCAACAAGTCACTGAATTAATTTACTTTAATTATCATTATAAGCATATAATATTTACTACTGTCCATGTGCTTTATTGTCGTGTCTTGCTGGATATGGTAGAATTACTTGCTGTTGAGATTTTGAAGCATAATTAAACTATTGTTAACTTTTATGCGTGCATGCAGGCTAAAATTCCCATGAAAGATGATATCCGTTCTCTCGTGAATGACTCAATATTCACACTCGGATGGATTTAATTAATATTCAATACAACTGCGATTATCGTAACCCTGAATTATACATTATATTGTAGAGAGATAGAGAAAAAAAGAAGCCCGTATAGAACGAGTGTGATCTTGAATATTCACCATAAGTTCTCTCTTGCTGTGTAGATATAAATGTGCATAATTTTGTGTTGTTTAGTTATTAGGTTGTTTATATTTTGATTTTTGATGTTCATGCACTTCAACGTAATTTGTGAGACTTTCAATTGTTCCGCACAAATTGCTCACTCAAATGTATTTGATGGAAAAAAAGGCAGAGAAACTTGTACCTTTCGACATTGGAAGTATATACATTTATTTAGCAATCAGTTGCAGAGGCTCTTATGGATATTCCATTTATTAATTTAAAACAAATCACTCTCAATGACACTCGAGTGAGATGAGTGTAATTCCGATACATCGAGTGATTTGATAAAATTTTCTAATATTATGAGAATTGCCTCTCAGAATGCCTGGCTATGATGGCAAATACATTAGTAATGTTTTCCAGTCTGTATTTTGGGTCAATGCTTGGGATGTGCAGCGTCACCAGAGTTTCTCTACAGTGGGTTTTTATGTTTCTAGAGTCAAATGTAAAATGCAAACAACATTGAGTATGACGAGAGCTGTTGTTACGTTGCAGGGAATTCCATTTGAGGTGAAGTGTTACAAAAAAAAAACAACAATCACTCGAACAATTGAGAGGGGGAAAGAAACAAATAATTGCACTTGAATGCGAGTGTGTATGATTTTCGGAGGGAAGTTCATTATCAATGGCCTGAGCGGAAAGGTCAAATTCTCGGAAGTTAAAGTACACACATCATGTGGTACAATGGAGAAAACAGTTAAATCACTTTGCAGGGAAGATTTTCTCGTTGAGATACTGCGCGAGCAAAGAATGGTCCACGTGAGGCTCTCCGGAGGCCTCGTTTTTTTCATTCTCTCCCACTAATGATCCCGAATGTACCGTAAAGAGATTTATCTTATACTGTGCTGTATTGTTGCGAAATGATGAACAAATTACATCGTCAAATCGATCAAAATTGTATGCTTGTGCCTGAAATTGTTGGGTTTGAGGCGGTAAAGTGGAAAATGGTTAAAAAAAAAATATTGAGAGAACAGGTGAAGAGTGTAAAAGGAAAGGAATATTGGAATTTACTTAATAGCTTAACTCGCCAACTCGTTTATTCGCGACTGTCGCTTGGTTCGGTGGATATATGTATGTATGAAATACAACGGGTTCGAGGAGGTGTTATGTAAAGTTGCAGCGCGCGATCACGTATTGAGGGAAAAGTGTTTATGCAAATTATTTGTTTTCAGAGGAGAAAATGCATCTGCAAATTGTGAAATTTTACATAATTCAATGGATTTTCATTCACTTTCGCATCGTTGGTCACTAGTTTTGTTTACATTTCACAAATCGATTCTGTCTGCGATTCACGTGAATTTGAATTTTAAAATATATACTTTGTCAAAATATATTAATTCCAGGTAAAGTGGTTTGACCGCTTGACCTATTGGAAGTGGATGTAAAAATGCTTATCCGCCAAAGACGTAAATGTGTTATAATTTGGAACATAAAATGCGTGAGCTCACAGTAAAACTGTGATTGAGGTCCAGGGAATTTCCATGCAAATCTGAAGGCTAATCAAGGGCATATGATGTGGAAAGTGTCGTTGGGGTTACGATGAGGGGTGGAAAAATTTCATTAGGCGAGTGCCATAAACAAAAAGGGCGGTATAAAATGAAATAGAGTAAAAGTTGGACATGTGAGGCCAAAAGTTGTGATATGAAATAGTTGGTCGTTTGCGAGTGAGAGAAGAAAAAAAGTCTCTCTTTCACTATAGCATTTTCCACCCACCAATGGATGGCTCATGTTCTGTAAAGTGGAGTGAGACGCTATTAAATTATTATATCAACGATGATCATAACAATTTCATGGGCTTTTATGAAGAGCGACAGAGAAAAGAGGGAGAAAAGGAGAGAGAGAAAAGTGAAGCAAATTGTACGGCAATGGAATCATTATGGGAATTATTTTCGCATGTTGTGATCCATGGATGATCTTCTCACCCGGTTGTCATGGGAATTTTAACATTGGACTGTGACTATTATGGGAAAAATGGGATGAGCATGAAAATGAATTTATTATCAGAATAATTTTCCGCTGAATTTACTTCTTAATTGCCACATCATCGAATGATAGAGTAGAAAAAGGAGAGCAGATGAGTGAATGTTAAACACTATCTTCTCTGGAATTGTTTAATGGCTTTGTTATGCAAAAATATATGTGTGTGTATGAAATGGAATCTGCATCTCTTGTGCGAAAAGGTGGAAATTGTGAATGCGAATAAATATGAGCATTTGAAATATTCTGAAATGGAATCTCTTTGATGTTAAATTAACTTACATAACCACATAGAAGATTATGGAATTTAATGGAATCCATGTTAATTAATAAAGCGTCACTTTCCAACAATATTTTGTGGTGATGCATTCTGATTATATAAACGTATTAGCAAAAGTTTTGAATAAACTCTATTAGTGTGAAAATTTGTAATTTAAGCAAGAATCAATTGTGCTTTCAAAACTTCTATCAATGAAACTTAATAGTTTCAGTTTTACCATAAACTGTGTCGACGCACATCAATAATAACAATTCAGAAAATGTTTATAAATAAATCTATTGATTGTTTCCATGTGTAAAATTTCTATGACAAGTTCTGGCAAAAACATGATTATTTTCTCTCGATATTTTCTGCCATAAGCCTTTCTTTCGCCTCTTCAATATTTATGGAAAGCACATGGCAAAAATAGTAGGATATAAACCATGAGAATTATCGCAAATCTTTCGAGTTCTCCTATTTTATTGTTTACGCATTTTATTTCTGTATACCCTCGATATTTTTTTTCTGCATGATAAGAAAGGAGATATAAATGTTGCGGAGGAATAAAAGAAGACACACATTATATATAATTTTCTGATAATTCATTTGCAATTTAATAGCTATTTTATCATGAACAAGCTTTAATGGACTGAGTGACTATCTTGTAAGTGCAGTGGCATATTATCGGAACGACAATAATTCGTTATGTAAATTGTTAATTGTGGAAATATATCTTTTCCCTTTTCTCTGTTGTTTCATTGTACAAATATTCGTGAATGTTTATTTTGTTGATATGGAAAATATGGCTTTTCCTCTCTCGCCACTCTATTTTTTCCGTATCTACACTCACTTATGCGGGAGAATTTTCATATATTTAAATAAATTGATTTAACTCTATTTTCGTGATAAATTTTCCACTGTGTGCCGAACAATGTCTGAGCGGAAAACAGAGGAAATGTTACTCGGCAGACTGTAAAAAAATGTTCTCCCAAGAAGTCATATGGAAGAAAGAGCAATAATTTTCCTGTCTATCGAAGGGCATTTAATTAAAAGCTAAATACAATTTAATTAGGGTGTTATTTATTAAACTGCAGACCGTAGAATACGATTAAATGGTGTGAACACAAGTAATTTACAATGGGAGTAATCTTCTGCGCGTTCTTTGTTCTCCAAAAAACGGAGGGGAAGCGCAAAAGGAGTGAAATTTATATTGATAAGACATGCCAGATAAGTTGATCACTTAATATCCGCCAGGAGTATTAATTTCAGCACGAGAGAGCTTTGTCTCCAGATAAATTACAATTTGAACTCGCTATCAATATCATCATTATACCCGAATTGAATTGTCAATTACTTTTTCTCCCATTCGAAGAGACTTTTCTCTCAACTTGTGAAATTTGCAACATTTCTATTTAGTTATGGGAGCCTTTTTGTATATAGAGAAGCATTGAAGATTGCAAAAGTATGGATTTTATTATGTTGCTTTCATGAATTTAATCAAGTTGATCCTTTCTCTATCCTTCCTTCCTTCCTCGCAATTCACAAACTCCGCATGCCATAGAGATTTACCCAGCCGTAAGTTAATATTTAAATCTCATTTCGCCACATAACTTGCTTCATTTAATGGCAACAGAATGGCAAAAGCTCAACTTTTCCCTCTGACATAATCCAACCTCTCTATTAATGGTGCATCCGAGCGAATTTCCTCTCAAAAGTGTACGTATATTGATTTGGTTGTTGATTAATTTTATGCGATAGCAAAATATCGATTGTAATTACTTTATTAAATTGTGTAATTTTGTAGACTGTTGGTTTTAAATTTGCATTTTTATATGACTTTTTGGTGTTTACATTGAACTTCATAATTTAAAATATTTCATTGTGGGAAATGTGTAATTCAAAAAACCATTTACACGAATAGTTTTTCCACTCAAAATATTCCAATTATGATCATTTTAAGCATGATATCATTAACAAATTGTCCCAATTACCCAACAAATTCAAATTATCATTTCTGCTTTGTGATAAAAATATGTAATTGTATTCCCTTAATTCTCTTTTGTCTTTTAACTTTGCAAAATATTTGCATAAATAATTTAATTTTGGAATAAAGTTGCGTGTCACGAACTCTTTTGTCATTTAAATAAGCTAAATTTGCCTGGTAAAAATCGATTACTCAAATAAGAAGAATTTTTCTGCATTTTCTCATGCCTCAACAAGGTTCTATGCAAAGAACATTAAGTCTATCCAAGGTAATCTAATGAATCTGAGCTTACACTATTGTCCATGGCTTAGTCAAACACTTGTCCTATTGCTCCCATTACGGCATGGGTATTAGAGGACAAAAGGGCTATTATATGTAAGTGTGAGTATCGCTCTTTGTTTCAGCATGTCGGACGCGCTGATTAGATGGAAGGTGTGTGCCTTAGGCTCCATATCCTCGGGGGGAATCACGTGGAAATTAATACAGGAAAAGTTATGGAAAATTCCTCACACTTTTTTTTTTAATTAATGGGATATTTAATGTAGCCCTTGTGCCCTAAAAACGTGTCCGAGAGTTCCGCTTTTGAACTCAAGCAAAGCTCAAGAGGTGGCTGATGAAGATGAATTGAGGGTGAGATGGAAGTCCATAATGTGATCTTTCCAATTCATTAATTCTTTCGCAAATGCAAGGTATAAAGTGCGCTGAGCGAGAGAGCGAAGCGAGAGAAGTGAAATGGTTGGGAATTTATAGTGACAAATTTTCGCATTTAATTCTTGCAATAGGAATGTTAATTTAGCAATGGATTTTTTGCCAGGAGAGAAGCTTTTCCAGGGCACTTTTTCCTTTTCCTCCTCTCATTGGATGCAATGTTCGAATGGATTGGCAATGCTTTTTTTCGGGCTCTGGGCGGTGGGGTGGCATTGCTAAATGATGTGACTCTCTCTAGTTTGTTTATTCAATTCGTCTCTATATATGTCTCGCTGGAGTGCATGATTCACTCTTTGAGAGTGAAAATGAATTCGTTATGGAACGTTGAGTTTTTTTCTGCTGACTTCCACATAGTTTTTTTTTATTGTGTGTGTTATATTCTCCGTATAGAAATGTAAACGGTGCGGGAAACAATTGCTGGAAAATCATGAACATTGAATATTGTACAAGAAGCTGGGGGCGGCATTCGAAAGAACAAAGAATGGCAGAGGGAAATGTGGATGGTGTATAAAAAAAAGAGCCGTGAATTGATGTGCGAAATGGAAGAAAATTCCATTTACAGCATAGTTGGATTTTATTCCAATTCCAAAGATACTTTCTGTTCTCGGAACAACACGTCCCCATGTCCCTGCGGACCTTCACATGCGATATAATGTTCATTCAGGTGAAATTTTAATGTAATTTACAGTCGAGTCAATAAAGTTTTCTCCTCGTTGGTGCCCTGATGTTGCCTAATTAATGGAAAGTCCAGCTTTTCGTGCTTGATTTCGTTTGATTTTATACTTGATTTTATATCAGTTTTATTTCTCAAGCACACGTGGGCATTTTAATGGGATTTTTCATGTGAATATATTCCGGGTATTCGGAGAAAGAATCAATTCTTGTCGACAGGTGTTTAAATATTTGCTCAAATTGACAATTTTTTTTATCATACATAATCACATAATTTCTCTGCATATTTACCGAGTCTTGTTTAAATAATATCAATGTAAGGGAGAAACAGAAAACGTATTCAAATGATGTCCCAAATATTCAGAGTGAGAATTCTCGCGTTAGTATTCTTCATAGGTTGACTGTTGATTGTGTGTGGCGTTGTGGGAAATTTCACTGTGGAAACTTTTAATATCATCCTGGGGAAGAATTGCTCATGATAAGAATGGAGGCCGAAATTCCATTGAGAGCGTTTTGAAACTGGGTAGTGAGAGAGAGAGAGAGATGTTCCCTATTATGTCTGGTGTGCCACATAACAAATTTCTTCTAAGAACATTTTGAAATTATCATCATTTTATGGGAGGAAGAAGAACACACCGCAGAGTGGCGATAATGGGACTGCTGATGGAGATCTGCCGCTCTGTCGATTGCGCCATCAGATATCCGAACAATTTTGTTGGTTTTCTAATCATATTTGTGTGGATCGTGCAATGTGAGATAACATGATATCACCATTAATCTATTACTCGGCATACTTCATCTCCTCTCTTCACTCAATTAACAAGAGTGAGAGTGATATACCAGTGATGTCCAGTGAGATTAGGGACTGAGAAACAGAAGTATAGCATTACGGAGAAATATTACAGTCTTTCTGAGAGATGGAATGTGTGTAAATATTTTATTTATGCCCCATATGTTATCAGGGTGGAATTCCTCAAGTGCGTGGGTGCTTACTTTTCAGCCAAATTGAATTCAGCATGTGAAGAAAGGACAGAAAATGGTGCTTTATTGAATTTTTTGCTTTGAGGGGAAACATGAAATATTGGAGGACAATGGCATACAAACCCTACTTTATGTTCTTGCTTCGTGGAAAAGCTCCATAGCGTTCTAAATTACTCGTTAAAGCTACAGTAATACCTTCAATCGTTAATGAAGACTAATTTTTGTCGATGACTTTTTCCCCTTCTTTGAGAATTGAAGGGAAAATTATGTATTTTTCTCTGTAAAATGCTGTCATACTTCTAATTTAAATGTTGTTTTTCTGTTCTGTATTTTCAGATGGGGACAATTAAGCAAGTGATTGGCTGTTCACCATCGCGAGATACACATTTCTACATATTAAACTAATAATTGGAGCAGAGTGAGAAAGAAAAGACTTCTTGATAACGTTTGAGGCCACTGAATAGCTGGCGCTACATCAAACATGGAAATATTGTGTGTAAATCGAAAAAAGCGATAAAACTTCGGGATATTCTGTCTCACTGAGCTACACCAGGTGGGAGCGAGACGTGATATCGCTGAAAAACCATGAGAGGTAATTGAATTTATCAATTGCGTATCTTATAGTTTGCTCCAAACTTCCTCAGTATGTTGAAGTGTTCTGTGAAATGTAGAGGTGTGTCTTGAATTTCTTCCTTGCCCTCAAAAGGAGTTTTCTCTTTTTTTTCCCCACTTCTCTCTTTCTCTTGCATCACTAACGGAATGAATAAGTGAATTGCTGAAAGACCTCTCTAATTATCGGCACGTTTATTAGTCATTCATGAGTGATTCGGTGAAAATGTCCTATTCACTCCATAAGTGGTTCAATGCGATATTGACCAACGGCTCTTGTTGTGAGGGTGGAAAATGCCATCGGCGGACGTGAGCATTAGCAGAAATAGACGCTAAAGGAGAGGTGGAAGAAAAAAAAGAAGTACGAGGAGAATTGCTAAAGTAGAAAAAGACATACATGAAATATTCAAGTGCTGGAAACATTTCGAACAAATCGATGCCATATCAGCGACGGCAGTGGAGTTTACAGTAATTTTTCAAAGTCTTCTCACTGTGTTGGCATAATTGGTAACATGTGAAATATTTTAGTATTCCATTTGAGTGGTTGATAAACATGGTCATGTGGGGATTACATAAACGGGCGGTGGGGTTTATCATTTCGAGAGAAGACAGCTAGGCAGAAATAACAATTTTCGGGTGGACAAGGAGTAATTCTGCACGATGACGAGCCCCGCTGTGTGTACGCGAAATGAATGATGGAGGAGCGTCGAAAAGTTTATTGGGGATCATTCAGTTGTTTTCAAGTGAACAAAGTACGTAGGAAAATGTCTTGCGCCAACGGAGGAGGAGAAGAAGAAGACTAAAATTTTATCACCACTCGCGTGAGTTTGAGACTGAAGGAAAATGTGTGGCTTTTGCAGATGTAATTAAATCACTTGGTTTCCTTCTCGCGTTTTCGCAGAAAAACTGCACAATACAGGAATAGTTGGTGATGGTTTAAGCTATTTTTGACAGCATCTTCCTAGATTTTCGGCCAAGCATTGGAGCGAAATTATTATTGTGTAGAAACAGTAATACAAAATGTGGGAATTTTCGTGACACGGAGATCTATTTTGAGGGGGAGAAATTGCATTTATATACGGTGTTTTCTTACACATTTCTTGTCTTGACATTTTCACATGGAGGCTCTTTTTTGCGTGGCTTCCTTAAGAATTCCTCTCGTGTTTATTCCCCACCCACATCCACGATTACAAATTAATTTGTGCGACGAAACAGGCAAAGTCGATGGAGTTCAGATGGAACATTAAATGAAAATTCCCTCAAGATGGAAAATGTCAAAGTGGAGGGAGAGAGAGAGAGAAAGTGAGAGAGATGGGAAAGAAGAACATCATTTGCAGAATTTATGGTTGTGAATAAATGCGTAATTGATATTAGAATCGATAAATTTTACAATAACAAGTTCAGAAAATTACTCAAATATTTACAACGACGCATGTGAATTTTCTGAAATGCTCGGAAAACTTGTGAATGTTGGTTTATTTTTAATTGCATTCGGTAAACTTTGTAAAGTGCTCAGCGAAATACATTTTGTTTCACTCTACCTTCAGGGGTTGACTTGTTAGAGTTTTTGCTTATACTTTTAGCAGAGCTGCTTCGCTTGGTGAATATCAAATGTACATTACAACAGTGGCGTGGGAGGTTTTCAATTTTCCCCCTCCGTATTATTGAAAGTATAAAGTTTAATTTAAATTGGAGTCACAAAGTCAATGTGTCAGCGTGTCATTTTGGGCAAGTTTGAATGAACGAATTGACAATATTTGTGCTGGAAATTCAATTTCTCGTGGATATATTGCATCAAGAATGGATGCCAAGTGCAGTGATCAATCGGGGAAATTGCTAACAAATAAGTTTTATCAAGTTGCAGAACAACTTCACTTCTTCAAAACTCCATAATCACATCGAGTGATTGAGTGAAATAATCTATTTTATAGCTCTTTTCCCTTTTTTTATATGTAATCACGCTTTTACTATCGCAATTTCTCACGTGTAATTGTCCCTAACGAGACTTCACACAATTTTCCTTTTTGTGGGCGAGCACGCGGGTATGGAATACTTTTACAAAAGAGGACACAATGGAAGCTTCAAAAAATGACTCCGTTATGTTGTGCTGTACATAAAAGATTGATGACTGTGGTGAAATGGTTTCGCCTTTAAATACCTACCCATGAATAATGTGGATTGGGGGAGGAGAAGAGAAAAACCATTGAAAAATTGACACAATGAAGAAAATGGTGAAAATATGCGGTAAAAGTTGGGATAATTGAATTTGATGGTATGGAGATTTGTGTATTGAAATTCACCAGCAACGAGGCGAGGAATCAGGAGTGTTTTCTAGGAAAATTTCTAATGAATATGCAAATTTAATTAAATGAATATACAGCATTTTGGTTGGCACAGCGCACAAGAGATTATCCATTTTGCTGATAAAACTAGAGGAAGTAGCGTCTTTCATTTTAGGCTAAAGTCACAAGACGTCTTTGATTATTTAAATGAACAAGAGGTGAAAAAAATGCGTAATTAGGATATTATTTCAGGACTCTTGGGGTTCGGGATTTAAATCAAATGTTCTTCTGTTCCTTGTGGGAAAGTTTTCTGGGTCTTTCCCATTAGTAGAAAATACTTGCCCTCAATGGAGAATTGTTTACTAGCGATTGTGAGTCAAGCAAGTCGTTTTGAATGCTCAAGAGAGTTTTCAGCCTTGCTTAGAGCTGTGTGACAAGGGGTAGACTTAAAGACAACTTTTCCCTCTTCCAACCAAGCGGAGGGTGAGATTCTTAAAGTTCTCTCGTGTACACATTGTTTAAAGTGCTAGATTTCCCTTTGATTTCCTTTGTTCTCTCTGTGTGTGTACAAGTGTGTATTAAATATAATTATGGCACAGCCACGTAAAGCTAAACATTCTCCACTTCAAAGGTTGGTGTCTTTTTTCGCACATCTTCTTGTGAGACATTTACCAGGTGTCTCATATTAAATGGAGGGCTTTATGCTTAAGTTGGGAGCTTGCGAAAAAAAATTAATTTCTCCCATTGTTTCTCGGCGTGGCGACAAAAAGTGGGCGTAAATAGGAATGGCAAGATGAGGAAGACGAGGTTGAAGTGAATTTTATTAGACAAGAGAAATTGTGTGACAATGTGCAGTATTAAAAATGTGATTAATGTATTCTGCGTCTGTCTTATTGGATTATCTTTTTTTTCCCTCTCTTTCTTTCTTCAGGCAGAAGAATTCCAATTCCTCTACCAAACACGGGGACAATGTCGAGAAGACGGAATTCGTTTTGTCTGAGAACAGCCGTGGTCATTTTCCTGGTTCTTTTTATATTTCTTCAATTACACATTATGAGCTACTGTGAGTATTGACATTGACTGTGGCAATAAATGCTTGTTGCACTATTTTCTCAACCCTCATATCCACTCTTTGCAGCCGATCCGAGAGATACACACATTAATGATGTGACAAATGACTCAACAGCTGCTATTTTATCAATGGTACCCCCAGTTTTCCACAAGTTCTTAACGGCCAAAGCGAAGAATGTCAGTCATGGTAAGTCTCTATAGTTGTGCCACATAAAAAAAAACATGCAATATTCCCTTGGACACTATATTGTCTGGTCTATATTGTCCACTGAAACAGATCACAATGGCTCAGCAACGAGTGGCGGTGAAATGCAATTTCATAATCCAAACATCAGTGAGATGAAACGAGCTATCTTGCGATACAATGAAATGCAGAACGTCATCAATGAGGACATTTTTGGACCCCTACAAAATGATTCTGTGATAATAGTTGTACAGGTGAGTTTTCTACTGTTTTTTTTTTCTAATTTTCCACAGTGACATCATTAGATATGGACATAATGTATAGAGAAGACGAGTGCTAAAATAATTTTTGGTGCGAGGAAATTGAAATGGAAACTCAGTCTAGTATGTAGTTTAATTTAAAGTTAAACTTGTCGGTAACTCCCCATGAGCTTCGAATGAAAAGTTTACTCCACACCTCCATTCAATCACTGTGTATTGTTGTGCTGTCTAGGATGTATCCTAGCAAATTATCTCGAGAGGAACAGCCATACGCTCTGCAGTATAAATGGAAGTTAGTTGGCAATAGGGATTTGAATGTTATAACAAGTTGATTGAATTGCTGAGTCAAAGACTCCGAGAGTAATATGAAATTGCAATGCAACACCTCATAGCAAAGGGAGAGACAAAGAGAGAGAGTGGAGTTGTTTAATTGCATCTTTCGTTGCACAGTAGAGAGATTTTCTCCATAAATCCGCTCCTGTCAGTCCTGCTAACTGGCAAATGGCTGAATATTGTGTAAAGTTTATGCCTTGAATATGCATTTTCACGTGAATGATTGATTCAGGTTTTCCGTGTCAGTGTTCAATGAATGGGAGAGAACAGCTTACAGAGGGAGAGAAGAAAAAACGTTGTAAAATGAATTGAGACATTTTTCACATTATTCAGTATATTAAGCAGAATCCTTGTGACTTTCAACTCTCACTTGTATCTCACATATTTCAAAATTTTTTATATTACATGAAATGTGGGCGGATTTGACCATGTTGCTGGCATCACGAGATTTCATTGAACCAATTCGAATTTGATGATCTCTATTGTCGCATAGATCGAATTTATGTTGCAGCTGCAATGTCAATTTCTCCCAATGATCCATGTAATTGAGCTTGCGACGATTTGAACCCAAATACCATCATAACTGAAGCACTTCACGTTCCGGCAGCAATTTCTGTGTATCCAATTGGCGAGATGAAGTGTGAGAATAATTGCAATTATGAGAGAAATTGTCCAACTTACGAATATAGTATTCCAGAAATAGTGTGGCTTGGTTGACGGCTGTAGCAATTTCCGAAGTTTTACCTCACACAGAACAAATAAGTTATCCGGTGAGCACCAGACACGACGTGGTGGTCTGACGAAGAAAAGCGAAAGAGAGAAAAGAAGTGTTGAAAAGTTTAATTTTTTTCACTCAAGTTCACGGGTAAACTTTTACACAATATGACATTTTTTTTTTCCTCATCATTGAATTATAGTGGTTGAAAGAGGAGTGAAAATAATTTACAAGTTTCTTGATAACTTCCGTTTGGGTCTCAAATCATCCACAAGATTAAACTTGAAGTCCCGTTTTGGTGTCATTACGAATGTGGGTGGATTTCCGTGTGATTTCCCAAAATGCGAGCACATATAGAGAGAGAGGGGTGATAAAAAGTGAATTCTAACACTGTGGCGACACACGAGAGTGGGTAAAACCACTTAAAGAGGATTGACTTTTTACTGTGAAAGAGCGGGTGAATTGTATTTAACGGGGATTTATTGAGATGTGGTGTTGTGCAGTGGAAGAACAGAAGGGAACTGAAAGGCAACTTCAAGCGTATTTCTTATTCACGCCACGTTTACTAGCATTATTATTCAAATATTATGTAAAAGCTTTTCGACTTCTTTCCAAATTATTTACCTTACGTTGTACTCTTTTTCTTCCCTTTTCTATTCACTTATTTTTTTTTTCAACCCCAAGGAGGTGGAAAAAGTTGTATACCTATCATTTTTTCCCTTATAGTTATAGCAATAGGAAATAGGGTCGTTCCATAAGTTATGGGATATTGAGGAGTTATGATAATCCATTTTTAGTGATCATAGTAGATAAAGCGATATATTATGAACACTGAAATGGTAATTTTAAATTTCCTTTATTTATTATCACACTTTTTCTTCTCTAGTTTAAATCACGTCCTTTAAGAGGGTAAATATACGGAAAATCTGCTGTTACTTCTAAAGCCACTTTTTACATACTTCCTCATTTCTACTCGTGAATGGAAAAACCAATGAAAGGAGGGAAAGCGGAAAAAATTGGGAAATGAAAGAAGGATAAGAGGAATTCATGTTTCCATCAAAGTTTATTTTGTTTTCTTCCCATTGTTTCGCCTCCTCCACTTTCCCCTTATCGTGAGAATCAGGAAAAATTACCAAAGTTATCATTCGGAATTAGCATTCGTTTAATGCTTTCTATCCAGCTGGAGTGTGTACTTTTGTTTGTGGCGAAAGCCACGCAATCAGAAAAGTTTTACATTGGAGGAAATAGACTCCAACCAAACAATACTGAACTTTTCAGTTGGTTTTGTGGGTGAATTGAGGGTGAATGGTAAAGCACGCTTTCTGTGTGGCCACATCGAGGCCTTCCATCCATCCAGAAATATGTGATATTAATGCGATGTAGCACATTTGCCAAATTATCCTTCGTGCTATTAATGCTATGTTTTGTGTGATTTTGGCGCAAATTGAAGGAGAAAGTATCAATTTGTGCTAATTGCCGAACACTTTTAAGCTCTTCTCTTTCTCTCTCTCTTTCTGCAACTTGTCTTCTATCTCTGTGTGTATACGTTTTTGGTTGCCAGCGGGCGAAGAGGAAGTATTTTATTGAAAATTTTGATGATATCTCACATGAGTCAATGTTTTACGATGGGTGGCAATGGTGTGATATGGCAAACCTCCTGACTTGAATTTCTATACGCTACAATGATTAATTGCTCATATTTTACGTCTTTCCCATGGAATTCTATTCAATTAAAATGCCTATCTTCCCCAAATGAATGCGGGGTGTGTTTCTCAATGGGTGTGTGAAAAAGGGAAATATGTGCTCTGATAGCTCTTATCATGCGAACAAACTTCTTCAACGAATTAAATGAATTGAATGGAAAATTTCCAAATTTTTAGTGGCATTATTTGGTGAAAGAAATTTGAGAAAGATGATTTTCGTTTCGCTTCTGCACTTGACCCAATTCTTGGATTCTTCTTGGCTATGAAAGAAACCTTCATAAGTGAACTCAAAAGACTATAAAAGAATATAAGGTGGAATTCTGAGCAGCCGAGAGAGAGAAGAATGAAATTCTTAAATGCCTTATCTTCTTAAATCAATTGGGTCGACATTTTATGCTTTCATTTCTTATGCCCACTTCCACATCCCAACCCAGGAGAATTTTTTCCCAGAGCGACAATGCTGCATAAGCTCCCAAGCGCTGCTTCTCTCTATATTGTGAGAATACTCTTGACTCTCGGCCATGTCAGCTTATATTGGCTGTGCGGAAAGTTTTGCTGGGAGGAGTGCAATATAGTTTGAAATTATTTCTGTATGCTCAAAGTTTAGATGCGAATATCAGTGGCAGCCAGAATTGCCAATAATTTAGGTGTTGGGAAGTTTATTTAATGAAATTGGCCATCAATTTTCACAACTGGAGAATGTGTTTAAAATGAAACCGTTTTGAGTATTAGTTTGAGACTGTAATTTTCTTCCCAGAAGCTGCAATTGAAAGTTTATAACTTTAAATGTTCATTAGAATAGAATTTATTGGTTTTTTCGTTGGCTAACAGCCTAATCTCTTGATTTATTCTAATCTTTCTTCCAACCCCGAAGTTCAGTATGTTCTTTTTTGGGCAATAGTAATCACATTATACAGAATTTCAATTTCTTTGTGCGCTACATTATGTAAGAATAACATGTGTGGAGAAATATTGCCCAGCTCTCTGGGATAACAGTGGAAAGTGCAGGAGTTGGAGTGAAGAAGAAGAAGGAGCGTAAGGTAGGAAAAATGGGTAGAAGATGAGAAAAAATCGCGTATTTCATCAGGAGAGGATTTATTGGGTGAAACACGCACATCCCCAAGTCAATGCCTGGGCACACAATCTGAGGGGATTACAATGAGCATTTTGTGTGGAGTCACATCATGTGGAAATGAATGGTGAGACCTGCTGAATTTTCGCGATGAATCGGAATTCATATGATTTTTCTCCTTTCTCTTTTGCCTGTCTCTGAACAGAAAAAAAGTGTACCTGACACTTTTCAGCAATAACTCCTATTTGTCCCTCGTTTTTTTCCTTCACGTCCGCTCCGGTTCAGATATTTTTCAACCCTTAATAGACTATAAATTATCGTGGGTGGTTTTTGTGGGAAAATTTTCCCACTCAAACGACATGCCATAAAACTTTTTAATGCGAAATTATCTTTAATATGATGTTATATGGCGTGAGGCAAAGTCTAAAGTGGTTTTTGTTCAGTTTTTGCCGTCTATGTCAATTGTATGCGCTCTCGTACTCATCCGCAACTTATCCTCTTGTCCTTTCAGGTTCACAAGCGCATAACGTACTTACGACATTTAATTGTAAGTCTAGCACAAGCACGTGACATCTCAAAGGCACTTTTAATCTTTTCACACGACCATTACGACGAGGACATCAATGAGTTGGTGCAGAGTGTTGATTTTTGTAAAGTGATGCAGATTTTTTATCCTCACTCCATACAAACACACCCTAATGAATTTCCGGGAGCTGATCCACGAGATTGTCCGAGGGATATGAAAAAAGAGCAGTAAGTTATGCTTATGAGTACTTTCACTCTGCGAGCTTCTGTTTGATCTGCTGGGGATAAAGAGGGTTCCTCTTTATATCCCTGATTTTCAATTTCACCTCTTTTTGCTAACTCTTTTTTTCCTCTCTTTTTCTCAATCTCTGCCTCGGCGCTGACCTTCTTCGGCAACACGACAATACACAAAAAAACCTTCTTTGTGCGTGGGCGAAGGGCTCTTATCAAAAAGTGTAACAACGCGCTGTATCCAGATCTGTATGGCCACTATCGTGAGGCCAAGTTCACCCAAACGAAGCACCACTGGTGGTGGAAAGCCAATCGGGTGTTCAATGAACTGGAAGTGACGCGTTTCCATTCAGGTGAGTGTGTCGTCCGGAAGAGACAATCCATATGTAATTCGATATTACTAACCAGATGATGACAATTTACTAATAATGTTTAATTCTAATATACAATAGGTTTAGTTGTATTTTTGGAAGAAGATCACTATGTAGCTGAAGATTTTCTCTATCTGTTGGGCTTAATGCAGAAACGATCCCATGATCTCTGCCCTAAATGCAATATTCTGTCTCTTGGAACGTATCTAAAGACTTTTAATTATTACACGTACAGTAATAATAAGGTAAATATATATTTTTATATCAAATTTATATTACTATGATATTTTTATCTGAAATTTAACCTTATGTTGTTCCTAAGGTTGAACATATATTTAAAATCCTGTACAGAAAATTGAATGTTATATCACAGTTGAATTAATATCTAGGAAATCCTCAGAAAGATACACACACGCACACTTTAGAAACAAACACACATCCTCACACACATTCCATAAGATTGTGTAAATATTTGATGGAATCATTGAAGTGGTTCTTGCATATTCTCCTGTTTAAATATGTAACATGTGAGTGGAGAAAATATTTCAAAATAACAGTATAGAAATGTTTATTATTCATTATAAACGCCGGTGAAAAGTGCTGAAAATCCAAGAGTTATTCTTGTAGAAATATCTCAGACAGATTATTATCATTTCCTCTGGCGAAGAGTCAATCTCTCCAGCCCAATTCCTATTATGACGATGGTTACCATTTTCCGGCAATTGAATCCAAATGGTGTATTATTCATCCAATGTCATATCTCTGATGAGAATATCCTTGCTATAAGCTGGCAAAAAGGCTATTGATTTGCAATCAAAAGGGCAAATGGAAAGAAAACTGAGACATTTTCCAACACGTTTATCCATCGGCACAGTGAGAGAGAGAGAATATATCCTGGCATTTGTGTATGATGGAGAAAAAAGAGTAGAAGATAAAAATAAGAATATGAGACATTTGGCGCCAAATGGTATCAAAATCACTCGGTGTATTTTTCACGCACATGTGGAATGAAAATGAAGGATGCTGAGTGTGGTGAGAGATATCAGCGGGTGGGAAAGGGCATGACAACATCCATTTTAATCATAAAAGCCTCTGCAGATGATTCCATCAAAATATTACATTTTCAATCTCACAAAATGTGGCATCACACACAAAATACGACATTCTGTGCAAAAAGTGAGAGAGAAAAAAAATGACCAGAAACATTATGAGACCATAAATGCATAGAAGCGCACATTAATCATACAGACTGGGCTGTAGATTGTCCAGTTTGTGTGTGGAGAGAGAGAGAGAGACTCATGGGCGGAAAGGAGAGACATTTGTAACATCTTTTTTTCCCTTATCTTTCATTTATTTGTACAAACCGACCAAACAAAACCTGTGCAGAGCAACAAAAAAGCTTTCTTTGGGCAATCACGTGCTGCGGCTGCTTCCAATTCAAATGCAATGGGTCTTAATACACATACTAACAACAATGCAAATACTTATCACGGTAGCTATTCCAATTACAAGTGATGATTTACTATTGCAAATTTTGATATTAATTGAGTTGAATATCTTTTTCTTCGGCAATTCATATTGAAAATGCAAAAAAAAACGCAAAAAATTCACACTCGCGCGTTGTGGAGGCGGAGGAATTTTAATGGAGAGTATTCCTGTCACCACAACTGAGAAATATTCAGCACAATGGGGATACCAAGTGCTTCCATCTCTGTACTCTATTTATCAGAAGGTAGATACAGAGTTGATTCTCTGTCTTTTTTGTCTTTTGCAAGGATCTTTCATATAGTTTTCCTGTCTTTATATTTCTCATATGAAACTCCTCCCCTTCTCAGATACCAAAGGAGATTTACTACCATTTTATGCTTCTTCTGGAGTTATGATATGATTTTTTTTTTTGATAAAAGCATGATTATGATTTAAGAGTTATATTCCGCTTTTTTGCACTTCACAATCCCATAAGACTTTTAAGATATTCACTTGTTGGACAATTGTTGATGGGTAGATAAAAATGGAGTGCATAAGATACCGAAGATAACAAACAGCTTTGAAGGTCAAAAAGTCAGATTTATCTCGTTTTACTTGTGCAGAGAATAAAATTTCATGTGACTAGTTTTAATGCTAGAGATCTTTATTTTATAATTCTCTTTATGGCTTTCGGCTGCCAAATTGGTGGACGTAATTAAGAGTCAAAGGGAGAATGAGTGTCAAAAGATGGTGTACAGTTGATTACAGATGTTGTTTTTCTTGTAATTTTCTGCTTATAAATAACCGGTGATTTACTGAAATGCTTGAACTAATTAAACTGCAATGTACACCAAATCACTTGACTCTTATACCCTTGCATGTCCACAGTTGAGCACTTAATTGAATCAATTATGGAGAATATAATTGGTAATTGAGTGCTTGAAAAATGTGAACGATCAATTTTTCGGTATTTTATGCACTCTCCAGAACATTTTGCATGCTTTAATAAAATTGCTTACTTATTAATTGTTGGTTGTGCAAATTAATAAGCTCTGAATGTGCAATGCTAATTGAGTCATGAGAGATTCATAGAACAATATCCTCACCAACTCATTCGCAATCCATTTTCCATCTGGTGTATTTTCATTTATCACAGCAATTCTGCTGATGTTTGCCCCCGACAATTCACTGTAGTGTTCTTTAATTAATCCCTGCCATGAGGAATCCTTCGACTATATCTTTCGAGTGCGTGTGGCGTGTGTATTGTCTATTCATTAAGTGTGTGGTGCTCGATTGAGAATTGAGATGCAATTTGCGGGGGTGTGAGAAGATCAATGGGATTGATTGGGAATTTTCTCCTGGTGCAGGTCGAAGTGACTCCGTGGATTTCCAGCAAGCACAACATGGGCATGGCCTTCAACAGGACAACGTGGAAGGAGATTGTCAAGTGTGCGGAACACTTTTGCTCATACGATGACTACAACTGGGACTGGTCATTGCAGCATGTCTCGCAGCACTGCCTCAAACAGAGGCTGCATGTGATGGTTGTGAAGGGGCCCAGAGTTTTTCACATTGGCGAATGGTGAGTTGGAAAAATCGAGACACTCGTGCGAGAAAGCATGCAAAACGTGACATTAGAGATTTCTCAATGTTCGTCCCTTTCCATCATCCCACTCAGCACAAGTCCTCGAATATTAATTAACAGTGCCCCACATCATTAGTATATAAACTAAATTAATTCTGATTGCATAAATGCTGCTGTTTTAATTGGCATTTGGGATTGCGGAACTCTTCTCTAACAAGAAGAGGACGTTTAAGTGGATGAAAGGAAGACGAATGTCTTTCTTTGGAGGCGAGTTTAAAATCATGGAAGCGTGTAGTGCTAAAAGAGGCACTAAAGAGTATTAAATATTTACACGCCATTGAGGTCTCACTGTAATATTTATGTAACTGTTATTAAATTGGTGAGGCACCTGCCCCTGTTGATATCGCATAACCCATGTATATTGTATAATTTGATTCAACTTTACCTAACTCAGAGCCACCCTTTTCTCTCTCTTCACTTTCAGTGGGGTTCACCACAAAAAGAACAACTGTGAGTCCAACCAGGTGATATCAAAAGTGCAAAAGGTGCTCCACATCGCCACAAAGGCTGCCCAGCTCTTCCCCAAGACCATCACACTCACCGTGGCGAGTGTGGTGCAGAAGACGAAGCTGCGGAAGGGCAATGGTGGTTGGGGTGACAAGAGGGATCATCAGCTATGTCTGAATATGACTCTGTCCTACAGATAATTCACCTGATATCCATTACACTGTTTGCCACTCTTAAAGTGTTGATATACAGAAAGAGGGACAGATAGAGAGAGAGAGAGAGAGAGAGGGGATAGAGAGTGAGAAAGGATGGAAATTTTGTGCTGTGTGGAACTTTAATCCTCACAAAATCACTGATGAGGATGTCTTTTTTCTATCATTAAGCTCTATATGATAGTACTTTAGGTGGAAATAAGAAATTACTAATAGTATTTATTATAATTTGAAACTGTCGAAAAGACCTAAAACTAAAGCATCGCGTTTTGAGGGCCTCAATCCCAACATCTAATAACTTCTCTTGAATAATAATTTTGTCCTCATAAATTACTGTATTCACACTATCCGTAAGGACTTCTTCTAAGAATTTAACTTTGAATTTGTGATAATAACATTAAATGTTAATGATATAAGTATTACCATTTAAGTGAGGAAATGAAATATCTTTAGTGATTCTTCTTTTCTTTCTGTGCCGTCGCCGGTAATGCAAATTTTTAGTGATAGGAATTACTTTCGGCGTCTAAAATGCTGTGTATTTTCTTCCTAAACATTGGAATTTTCTTTCATATCTTTGGCTGATGAAAAATAGTTTCCTAAGTAGGTTATAAGTTCATATTTAATTGAGTGTGTGTAAAGCATAAATTGGGGGTTGCATTCAATCTGTCTAACGCCCATCATTCACCGATCATCACCCAAAAGTCTAGTCTCTATAGAAGTGTATTTTTTGCCGTAGATTTAAGGGAGGGGGCAGAGATTTGTGAGGACAGAAGCACGGCAAAGACGTAAAAAATAGGAATTTATTGCTCAAAGGCAAGATTTGAAGTGGGTGCTACACAGAATATAGGGTAAATTCACGTGGACAGTACATTTTGCAGTCAAACACTTACTCCAGTATCTTAGGAATTAAGAGAGAGGGACGTATAAACAAATCTCGTGTTACGATTCTTGCGTGTCTCATGAATTTTGGCACGGGATGGTCAGAGTAACTCCACAGACAATTCGATGTCTAGTCAGAGAGAGAGTAATGAAAGTATAAAGAGTATCCCAAAAATTACTATGGATTTAACACATAGTTTGTCGTCTTATGTAACTTTTTTGTAAAAAGAGAAGAGGTGAAGATAAAAATCGAATAAATCTTGAAAACCAATTGCTCACTTTTTTCGCTTGTTACTTTTCAAAGTGGTCCCGGGCTTCGCGTGCTGCTCTGCAGAGGCGCTGCTGGTGCGAGATTTTTAAAGGCCACGCTTTCTCGCGGTGCCGAGAGCGGCGCTGCTGCAGTTTGTTTCGTTTTCTCGCGAGGCAGAGTTTTCCAGAGCGCCGGATCATCTCCTTGACGGCCAGAAACACCCACGAGAATCTTGTGCGCCCGCAATCGCCTTTCTGTTTTCGCGCTACGTGGACAGTGTCGTGACGTGACCCAGTTGCAAGTGAAGAATGGCATCGTTGACGAGTCGCCTGATGGCCGGAGCCCCCAAGTTGGCCCGCGTCGCCGCATCCCGGCTCGCCTTCCACTCGTACAGCGCTGAACCCTCGCAGCCCCTCAATCGGGAGCCCAAGATGTGCTCCTCCGCCCTCGAGGCCGTCCAGTGCGTGAAGTCAGGTGAGATTCTGGGCGCGAGTGCGGCCGCCCTTCCTGCGGAATTTGGGAGGGCGCGCAATGGTGGCCGAAAAGGAAGAAGTCAATTGAATATTCGATTAACGCGATTACGTAACGCAATTGGGAGGCACTTTTTGCGCCCCAGCACAACTGGAGGCCGCTCAGGTTCTCGCAGCGCCACTGAATATCAATGGAAGTGCAAGCTTGTGGTCAGAGGAGAACAAAAAAACGTTGTTCTGTGTGTTAGAACGTTCATTGGCAGTCGTAAAGGCACAGCAAAGGGTTGATCATAAGTTGTTTCGGGGTGTTTTTTCAGCCAAAGTGGATTGAATAAAATCTTATCAGTGCGGCATTTTATCACTTTTATTGAGCGTTAAAATAGATAGCAGTTTATCAAGCATATTATAGAGGCCAAAACAGCATATTAATGGCTAATATTAGCCATTCTTAGTGAAATATGATCTCAAATGCATCTTTTATTTTCTGTTTATGTCTTTAAAGGAATCCTCAATGATTAAAAATAAGCAATTTCATTGGATTCCTAGTCAAGAAATCGATAATAAACTAATTCAACCTATTGAACTCACGTTTGCATGATAACGAATAAGTCAATTTCCTACATTATCGCGAAGCATTAAATGACTTCAGCAAATATTGACATGCGAGATTCTTGTAAAGCATATCATAATTTGTTTATTACATGACTGGATGGGAAAAAATGAGCAGTTTTGCTGCGATCGCTCTCCATGAGCGCACAAATATCATGATGATCAAGTGATGCGAATCAAAACGTGACGCTTCGCTGCGACAAAAATAGTTGCACAAAGTCTAATCCGGGGGAAGAGCGCGTCAAGAAGTCACAACAAAGCTGATAAAGCGTCGATCAACACGATCCCGAGGGAACTCTGGACTGTTGATAAAAGCCGCCAAGAGTGTGAAACGCTGAACTTTTTCCTAATGCTTGGTCATGTTTTTAGCGCTGAAAACATTCTCTCTAATTCTCACCGGCGAGTGAATTGTCCAAGTCCAAGGTCTCGAGACGATTTTAGCGTGTCTCATGAGTTGGAATTTTATCTTCTCACCTTGACAGACTTGCGGAGAATTGTCATAAATTCTCTCTCTTTTTCTAATATTTCTTCTAAGCATTGAAAGAAGACTCCCTTGTATTCAATTCTATTTGCTGTCACTTCACTTATTCATGGGCAATTCCAATTCAACTCGCGTGGGGTCAATCAGAAGCATGAACGCGTTCTCGGTCGTTTTTCTGGAGGGTGCAGAAAGTGGAATTGAAGAAGGGGAAGGGACAATAATTGAAGAAAACTGTAAAAGAGGAAATCAAAACAAACTTACAGCTGATTAAAATGCCACGTTCTTGAACCTCCGTCATGAAGCATCGCATCAACAATGAAGTAAACATCCAGCATTGCAAAATCATTGCATGTGCAAAATATGCACTTTTTGAAAACATTCCCGAGAAATCGCACAAGGGAATGGAATTGATTTAAAATTCACAAAAAAAAACTGATTTAATTACCATGATTGAAGTGCTAAAGTGGCGAAAAAATCACACTTGTTTTGCTAATTGAGACAATTTTCGTGACTCTGAAATCTGACGAATCTGCCTTAATCTAGTTCAAGTCACGCCTCGGAAGTTTCCTCTGGATTTCGTTGTAAAAATAGAGGAGAAAAAAAAGAAGCGCCGACAGACGATGAGGTTTTGAGTGGGAAAAGTGATGAGGAATTACTGTTGAGTTGAGTTAATTGACGTCTGACCTTAATCTTGGCATGTTAGAGTGTGACACTCTTTTTTCTCCTCTCCGCACTGTTTTTTGCCCCAAAGCAATACAAATTGGCTGGTGGAATTGCTGGGGGTTTATCAATTGATGTGCGCGAGAAGGTCAAGACGGATTTCCAAAACATTTTAAACTTTGAGGATATTCTCAAGATGAAATCATCACGAAAACTTCTCTATAAATTCATAAAGACTCTTTGCTTCCCAATGTAGCAATTTTATCAGTGTCACGATGTATTGACAAGAGCAAATAAACACATTTTTTTGTATCACGAATTGAATATTAGAACAAGTGGAATTTTATTCTCTGTGTCGTTAATGAATTTTACAGTCGCAGATTCTCAAAGAAACCTTATTTTGGGATCAAGGTTCATTCCATTCCACCTCGAAAATCTCCCTGCAAGTCTTTATCAGCTCAATAAAAGTGTGAAAATAACATGTTATCTTTATTCAGTAACTTTCATTGAATAAAGGAATTACTAACCGTGTGATAACGTTTCATGTTAGTTGATTTCATGAATGTGGAATCAATGTGATTCGATTGTGTGGATTGGTAAACCTCTGAAGTAAGATGTTATGCCAACTTATAGCTCGAGGGGCCAAAAATTGACTTGTTGAAGAAAAAATCGCGTCAAAATATAACCTTTGCGTTAACTGAGAAACACTATAAATCTCGAATGAGATCAAAAGTTACGCCTGCAGAGCACTGAATTGAGAATCATGCTGAGTAATTGAACTCTTTGTCGAATCTTCACACCGATTATTCGGTCAATTGGGTTACACAATGCTCTGTTGGAGGTACAATTATCAATTAAAGACGAGAGTGTGTGATAAGATAGTGAAGAGAGTGGCTTTTTATAGTGGCTTTCGTGGGCGATAAGAAGATTTGTGTGCCTAATTGAGCGTCTCTCATTGCAGATAGTGTGGTGTTTGTTCAGGGAGCCGCTGCGACGCCTCTGGAGCTGGTGGGCGCCCTCACGGAGCACGGCGTGAAGAACAACCTGAAGAATATCGAGGTGTGCCACATGCACACAGAGGGACCGGCTCTGTACTGCAATCCCGAGCACTCGCACATCTTCCGCTCCAAGTCCTTCTTCATGGGCGGCAATGTGAGGAAGGCTGTGGCCGAGGGACGCGGCGACTCGGTGCCAATCTTCCTGCACGAGATTCCCTACCTCTTTCACCGGAAGATCGTGCAGCCGGACGTGGCGTTGATTCATGTGTCGCCACCGGATCAGCACGGGTACTGCTCGCTGGGCACGAGCGTTGACTGCGTGAGGGCCGCTCTGGTGCACTCGAAGGTGATTGTGGCGCAGATGAATCCCAAGATGCCGCGCACCTTTGGCGATGCCATCATTCATCAGTCACACTTTGACTATGCCATCAACATTGACACGCCGCTGCCGCAGCACGGCGGCAAGGGATCGAGCGAGGTGGAGACGAAGATTGGACAGCTGATTGCGGAGAATCTCGTGGATGACGGCGCGACACTGCAGATGGGCATTGGAAACATTCCGGATGCCGTGCTGAGTGCTCTGCACAATCACAAGGATCTGGGCATCCATTCTGAGATGTTTGCCGACGGTGTGGTGGATCTGGTGCAGAACGGATGCGTCACGAACAACAACAAAGTGATTCACAAGGGTCGCATTGTTGGATCTTTCTTGATTGGGACGCAGAAGTTGTATGACTTTGTGGACAATAATCCGTTTATTGGTGAGTTTATTTAAATGCCAAACACGAGTATTTAAACAAACACACAAAAGACAGCAAGACAATTGCACTTAATTGAACCAGTTGCACTAATTGACTGCATCTCTTCTCTCGTCCTCGCAGAAATGCTGGAGATCAACTATGTGAACAAAGTGGGTGTGATTTCGCAGAATCCCAAGATGACCGCCATCAATTCTGCCATCGAGGTGGATCTCACCGGGCAGGTGTGCTCAGACTCCATCGGGACGCGCATGTATTCGGGCTTCGGTGGTCAGGTGGACTTCATTCGGGGCGCCGCTGAGGGCTTCGATGGCAAAGGGAAGCCCATCATCGCCCTGCCGTCGACGACGAACAAGGGCGAGAGCAAGATTAGCGCCGTGACGAAGGCGGGCGCGGGAATAGTTACTACGCGTGCTCATGTTCACTATGTGGTGACTGAGTACGGGATTGCCCATCTGTTTGGGAAGAGTCTCAGGCAGAGAGCGTATGCTCTCATCCAGATTGCCCATCCTAATCATCGGGAGGCGCTCGAGAAGGCCGCCTTCGAACGCCTCAAGACGATGCCTGTGCCGTAAATGTTTTTTGCTATACAAAATGACTTTTATTTTGCGCAGAAAGGTTTCTTTTCTTTTTTAATTTTAAACAAATGGAGATATTCTAAAATATCAAGCGCAATACTGATATATACATACATTTTATATAGTAAAGAAGAAGAAAAAAAAAGTTTACACAAGCTGCCTACCGCCAGAAAACATTGTCAAATAATGGGGAAGATAAAAGTTATGCAGAAAGCTTATTTTAACTAAAGAACGCTAAGAACCATTAGTGGAGAGAGTTACACTACAAATTTTTCATCTTTTATTCTGAGATACAAATTCTGTAATATTATTTTTAATTGAGAGTGAAAATTATTGTCTTTCGTGGGGGATATTTTACCATTTTAAGCTAAATAGAAAAGGTGGAAAAGTGTTACGTTGTTATTATGTGTAGAAGTAGAGAGTGTGTCCAGAGAAGGTATTTGAACTGCCCAATATTGTCCACAGTATTGACTTTTTCCCTAGAGTGTGTTGGGAAATATTGGGTGTTTGAGTACTTTTGAGAGGCAGTGTAGAAGTGAAGCGCCTGAAAGTATGTAAAATTGACTTGGCGGGAAATACTAAAATATCAAATTTAGAGAAAATCTATAGCTAAACATTTTCACTTCCTCAAAGTGTTTTCTCTCTGCGTTGTTGTGTGTGAAGAAGGGAAATTCCTCTCGGACCACCTTAGGTGCACCTCCCATTCACTTTTTTTTCCCCACCCAGACATATGCTAAAAAAGCCCAACATTTGGGATATTAAAAATAGATTTCTTCCTTCACCATGTTTACCATTTCTCTGGAGCAGCAGAAGACGATGAGAGAGTGAGAGAAGATTTAATAAACGGGAACTTGTATTCACATAATTCTATTCTTACATGAATGTTCGACACATTATGTGATGATTTGTCTTATCGAAACGCGTGTGGAAGTGATTTTTTCTTCACTCTACTCTGGGTGAGGATGAAAAGAGGTCATTTTATGCTTTTGATATGGATTAGGCAAGAGAGGACGAGAGGCAGAGAGAGAGAGAGGATTTTGCGTGTGTGTGCAACATCTGTGATCTTGAGAGATTCCGCAGAGAGCGAGAGATTGTGGATTTTCATGAGGAAATTGGTGCAGTTTTGCAAAATTGCCCGCGAGAGTGATTCTCCGTGGTGGTAGAAAATGCTCTCGAAATATTGCACTGTCGAGGCTCACGCTTCCTCCACACAAACATGCGATGTTTCATTGCTTTTGGCGCTTTTTTTGCTCCCCTTTTTTCTGGCCGCACTCTTCTCGCTCGCCTCTCCGCATCTCCTTCGCTGTGCCCAAGATTTGGAGCACATCATCACCCGAGAGAACTGCCAGTTTCTCCCGAGATCCCAAGCGAGTCACACAGCAGTGAAGCAGAAAGTGAATTTTCTGGAATTCTCACTCATTTCCTCACAAACAACAACCTCGCTTTTGTCGTGAAGTTTTCCTCTTTGGTAAGTAATAAGAATTTCCCATTTGCCAAACAATTGAACTCCATCGCCAACTGAATTGCAAGGATGTGGAGTGGATGGACCAATTTTCCAAGGACAGTGACATCATTGCATTTCCCTCCCACCATAATTCGAGCTAATTGACTCCGCAGAAGATTGTCTAATGCGATAGAAGTGCACAATTTGAGTGGCAAATAATCAAGATTGTGAAGAATAGAGCTTTTTCAGCATCTCGTCTTTGAGAGACTTGAGCTCTCGAGGGCTCTTCTTGGAAGAGGAAGACGATAAGAATGCAAAACGAGACTCTCTGTGTTCCACTGCATTCCACGCTCTGGATATTGTAATCAGGATGTGGTATTTTGTATATGAAGTGTGATAAATTTTAATTGAAACACTTGCAATGGATAAACTTCGCAGCTATTGCAATTGGAACAGTGGCGTGAGTTGAATTTTCCTTCCAGGACACTGAAAAATGGGGACGATTGGAAGAATTTTCCTGCTCCTCGCCTGCTCTCTGGTGCTCCTGGATCAATTCGCTCTGGCTGAGGTGAGACATTGTGTTCCTGAAGTGACTCTCGAAGCTTCTTTTCAGGGTTTCAGTTGTGGAGAATTCGCTCCAAATAGGCTAAAAGTTATCAAAACACCCGCTGATAATTTTTTCCTCGATCCCTCTCGCTTCTACGCGTCGTCCAGAAGCGCGAGAATGACCAAAAGTGGAATTTAAGTTGTTTCTCCAATTTGATTCCTGGCAGGAACTTCACGATATCGTGGATGAGCTGTCGTCGGATGAGATGCTGGACATCGACGAGGAGTTGCTGCGAACTCTCGAACAAGATCTGCATGTGAGTATTTTCTAATAATAAAAATAGACCCGCAAAGAAAAGCGATGAAAACTCTGGTGTTCATCTGTTTATCGGTTGAACATCTCATTTGAGAATCCGACTTTTTTCCCCCATCTGTAAAATGCCTTTCGTCTTTCATTGCTTCCGCCTTGACCGATGATTTCCTCAGAACGACAGATAAGTCTCAAATTTAACTGTTCTCTTGTGGCACAAATTAATTTAATTCCACCCAATCTCATTACGCCAGCGCTCTGCACAATTTCTGCACAGTATAATTCTCTCTTTTTTTTAATCTCTTCAAGCTGAAAGACGTGGCGCGCGAGAACCAGCAAGCTGCCAGGGAGGCAGAACTCGCGGCTGGGAATCCCGATGCCCCGCCGCAGATCTCAGATCCCTGTGCCAAGGTGCACTGCGGCGCTGGCAGGATCTGCCAGGCGGAGGGCCAGAGCGCGTCGTGCGTGTGTGTCCCCGAGTGCCCCGAAGAGGTGGACCCCAGGCGAAGGGTGTGCACCAACAAGAACGACACGTGGGCATCGGATTGCGAAGTGTATCGCCAGCGGTGCCTCTGCGACACCCACGACACTGCCTGCAAGGGTCCAGAGTTCCGCCACATCCACATCGACTACTACGGCGAGTGCCGAGACATGCCGGTAAGTAGTTAGCTACCTTTCTCTCCAATGTATCTTACCTGGATTCCCTGGCTTTCTCAGAGGGTCAATCGAGTCCTTTATTTTGCGAAAAGGTCGGTTTTATCCTGCAGAATCATAAAATTTCATGGTCCTTTCTCTCTGGCATGCCATTTACTAACCGTTGTTGGATTTCCCGCCCAAAAGTCACCCTTTTTTCCAAGCAAACTGGCTTTTCCCTCTTCAATCGTCCCCTCAATTCCCATGTCCATAAATTATGCGAGCCCGAGAGGGGTGCGCTTACGCCTGTCTCTCTCTCTCGCCGCCAGGAGTGCACCGAGGAGGAGATGAACGACTTCCCGCGCCGCATGCGGGACTGGCTCTTCAACGTCATGCGCGATCTGGCTGAGCGCCAGGAACTCAGCCAGCACTACATGAACATGGAGCTGGAGGCGGAATCCAACCACACCAAGCGCTGGGCGAACGCAGCCGTGTGGAAGTGGTGCGATCTGGATAGCTCCAACGATCGCAGCGTCTCGCGCCACGAGCTGTTCCCCATCCGGGCGCCGCTCATGTCGCTGGAGCACTGCATTGCGCCTTTCCTGGAGTCCTGCGATCCCAACGGCGACCACAGGATCTCGCTGGAGGAGTGGGGCCACTGCCTGGAGATCGAGGAGGGCGAAATGATCGAGCAGTGCGCCGACATAAACGAAGCCAAGCTCGCCAATGCGGCCTAGAAAGAAGCCCAGCTTCGCCGCCAACCAAGTAGCCAAAGTGCACACGCTAACAATGTAATGTGGCAATAAACCCTCGATATTATTCCTTTCTATCTTTATTTCAATTTAATTTACAACGTGAAACAAACTTTTCCACATCTTGTCAGCTTCTGCAAAGTCCACGTGTGAAGTCTTTAACAGCAATGCTTGTATTTCGTATTTACTCTCATTATCTCTTCTCAGAGATTTTTCTTCTTCTTTTCCTTTAATTACGACACATCAGAAATCAAAATACTACCGCTAGATTCTATATATCTTTAAAGAAAAATTACATAAATCGTGAAATACGGAGAAACACAAATTGCTCTCGCATGAATGCATCAACTTAAATTCTAAGGGAAGAACAAAAAAAAGTAGTCATATATCCAACCTCCGGTTCATATTCTTGTTCTTGTGGAAAGTCTGCCACGTCCGCCATCCGGAGGTGCTCCCGTGAACGTAAAATGTTGATTTAAAAAAAAGGGGGTTTTTCTCTCTGAAGAGGTCTCATTAAAGGCAATATTAAAGTGGAAAGATCGATATTGGAGGTCTGTTTTATGGAAATTATGATTAAAAGCTCGGCACGTCACTTTGCCACGGTTATTCCGGACCACCCTTCTTGCCGATGAGCGATTTGTGGATGTGCGGAATCACGCCGCCACCCGCAATAGTAGCCTTAATCAAGCTGTCCAACTCTTCGTCTCCACGGATGGCCAGTTGTAAGTGACGGGGTGTGATACGCTTCACTTTGAGATCTTTCGACGCATTTCCGGCCAACTCCAGCACCTACAAAACCAGGAAGTCGCATTATAGAGCATTTCCCAGAGGTCGACAACTTCAAGGATGACCATTTCACAATTTCCGACGAAATGTTTCATGTCGTATTTTCTACTGCACGATCCAAATTTTCAACTTTCATGCGAAATTATGCATAGCAAATGAAGACAAAATGGTAAAATGAGAGAATTCATTGCAATTTTCTGGCGCATTTGCGACTCTCTTCCCGCCAAAAACCAAAAAATTTCACAACATCCCAATGTTTCGTGAAACATTTCGCCCCTCCCAAGCACTCGTGAAACCCTGCTTCACTGGCATGACGCTCAGTTTGCCGCGCTCCAAATCACCGCGTGAGTGCGAGCGAGATGTCTACAGGCGGCAAAATGGCGGGCTAGAGAGAGGCAAAGGGAGCCGCGTCAAGCCGCCGCGCATTGGAAAGTGGGGAGCGCACAGATGGCGACTCCGGGCGCCCCTAACCTCATCTTCGTCTCCCACAGAAATCCCCTCTGGCATACTCACTTCGGCGGTCAGATATTCGAGGATGGCGGCTGAGTAGACGGCCGCTGTGGCCCCCACGCGTCCATGGCTTGTGGTGCGATTCTTCAGGTGTCGGTGAATACGGCCCACAGGGAACTAGAGCATGATAGAGAGGAGAGAGATAAGCGTCCGGGAGTCGGCGCCAAAATATCTGTCACAATGCCACTGGAAAATTACCTGCAATCCCGCACGGGCGGAGCGCGACACGGCCTTCGCTTTGGCTTTCCCGGAGTCCTTTCCTGCTTTGCCGCCAGCCTGAAATATTGCACATTCGAGAAAATCGATTGGGTCAGACCGAAGAAACGGATGAGGTTAAACGCCAAAGCAACGCGTAGTCGGCGATGGCGGACTAATAAACTCATTTTTCTCCTCTTTTTCACTGGCTGGCAGTGCAACCCTCAACATCCCCCAACGGATCAGCCCCAGTACTCACCATGACTGCACAGTAGTCTCAAATTTCAGATATTTTCACGGTGTTTTTCAGCTTTGAAAAAGCGACTGTCGCTTTGTATTGAACACAGCGTAGGGGAAGCGATTGAACTGCAATGACAAGTGACGCTTTGCCGCAGGGCTGCCAACCTCTGCATATCGAAGCCCTATGAAAGGCTGGCTGAAATTTCAAAGGCAAGACCGTTTTCCATGCACTCTCCGGAATATGGTTGGACAAGTCGGACAAAAAGCCAGCCGAATTGCGGTTTTTACATTCAACACAAAAAATACAAGCATTCAGTCAATATAAATACGTATCGCATGATATGGAATCCCCGATCAGAATATTACTTCGTGAATTGTAATTCTCTCTACACAAATTAAATTTGATAACCAATTTTTTCCTATTTATCTTCTATGCTTAATTGGCTTAATTTGATTGAAAGCATCCATTTCAAAATACAGCGACTCCGAGTTTTCATTCTTTTATCAATATAATTACAAATTGTAACTTGAAAGTATGAAACATTATGTTCACAAACGCGCGGACCTCACACGACTTCTGTGCGAAAAGTCTGCTGATTGTCCATCTGCACTACGCAGCCGACCGACAGTCCTTATGGGGGCACTGAGCGAAAAATTCCACTTTTTTCGCTTTTGAAAAAGCGAAATCCAATATGGCGCAGATTGTTGAGCTGTGTGGCTGTGTCAATGTGATGTGATTAGTGGTTTTTGATAAAAAATGCCGAAAGCAAAGCGTGCAGTAAGTGAAGATCCCTGAGTATATTACCATCAACAATTGGATAGTTGAAAATTGCACTGCAAAGACAGACTTTTCTTATAATTTCGCCACGATTGATGCATGAAATGGTATGTTGCAGAGTTTTTTTGTTTTGATTTTTTCCCTCAGTTTTTGACAGCATTTCGTGATGTTTTTACGACTCTCACCCGCTAATGCGGACGCTGGTGCCCTCCGGAGGGAACTGGGAAGATAATTTGGGCATGTTTTCTGGGTTTTCCCTGGGAAAGTCTGGAAAATTTCCAGTAATTTTTGCGCCAGAAAAGTTGGAGCAATTTTTATGACAAAACATAACCAAAAAAAAGTTCGTGGAATCATCGAAAAGTAATGGCGACTCACGGTCTGTCATAATTGTGAGATGATGTGTTTGGAAAAATTCCTGATTGTTTGATAAATCTTTGGCTGAGGACATTTCTGCTCAATTAATATTAGTGCAGAATGGGTGTGGTCTAAGTTTATTGATTTCTCACTGTCTGACAAGATTGGCTTGCCGATGTAAAATCATCAAATATGCACAAGTCTGAGTCGGAGGAAGTTCAGCATAGCGTTTCCCACTATATTTTGCCTTTTTTCTCGTCCATCCACACAAAATCGACGAAATGAAGGCCAACAAGACGAAAGGGTTTGCTTTCGATGACGATGAGGACATTGACGAGTCATCCGGATCAGACTTTGACGATGATGAGGATCCGGACAAGATTGAAGTTCCTGGTGAGTGAAAGTTCACATTTTCCCGTGTTGTCCGGGCGGGAGGGCTGAAAATCTCATGAAATGCCTCTGCTCTGTCCCCCAGGCGGTGGCAAGGACCTCGAGACGGCAGTGATTTACGCGAAGAAGAGCCACAGCGAGAATGCCACAGTTACATCACAATCCACCGTGACGCCTGCCGGAGCATCCGCTGGTGGGGCGAGGAGCAAAGTGTCCGCATCAAAGAGTGCCAATACTCTGGGCTATGATATGATAAAGCCAAATGCATCAGGTCCGTATTCCACCACCCACACCCAACTTCATGCATTTGACAGTGTTTCCTAACAGAAAATCAATACCTTCTTGCAGGAATGCCCTTTGCCATGGGCTCGAGCGGCACGATGGGTGGCATGGGGATGGGCGGAATGTCCGGATACTTCCAGGGAAATACCATGGCAGCGTCGCTCTTGGCGCAGAGTAAGTCCCAAAGTACAAATAAAAGTAAGTTATCTTTTCGTTTGCTATTATTATTTTCTGCTTTCTTTCAATATCACTTTACCAAACATTTTTCTCTCCTTGCATTTTTGCTTATTTTGTTAAGTGGAAAGAATGTGAAATATATTCAGTAAGAGGCAGTTAAGAGAAATCAAAATATGGTATTGAATATATAAGATAACATTCTGTTGAATTTTGAGAGTCCCACAAAAATTGTGATTACGAGAAAATAAATGAGATAAACAATCATTTAGCTAGTTAAGAACCAATCATTGTTACAATAATCATAATATTTTCTTTTCTGTTCGCTTCCTGTGCAGTGGAAATGGCAGGATTTGGCTTTGGCAACATGGGAGGAACATCTTCAACCACGGGCGGTGGCATGAGTGGATCGAATCCGATGTCAAATCTTAATCAATTTATGCTCCAGAATCTGAGCAATCTCATAGCGGCCAATCCCAGCTTCCTCACCGGTGGCATTCCCAACAAGCTGCTCTCGCAGATGTGGCTTCCGGACACGACGAAGGTATTGCAAAACTCCCTTTATCCATTGCACACACTTGAGGCGCGAGGGTGGGTGAGAGATACATATTTCTGGGAAGTGGTGAAGAGCATTTTGCTTTATTGATTTTGTCTGTTGAATTTCGATGCGAGTGACTCTCAAAGGCACAAGAGAGTGGTAGTTTTCGGTGAATTGTGTGGGATGGGGAGGAAGAGGAGGTGGGTGTGAGAGGGAGAGAGGGAAATAGTGATGAAATACGTTGAATACGTTCTCATGCTTGTGTGTATGTTTGATGTTGCAGCAAATGAATCAAGTGCCGGAGGAGGAGGAAGCTGAAGATGAGGAAATGGGTGTTGCAGAGACTTATGCCGACTATATGCCATCCAAGCGTATGTATATCTGCCTTCAATCTTTCACTTATTGTGAATATTAATGATTTTCTTCCGCAATTTCCTGTTTTGTGTGTGCGGAGGAGGAAATCGAAATGGCCTTTTCTAATGGAAATATTGTCTGGCCTCATTCCAGTGAAGCTAGGCAAGAAGCATCCGGATCCAGTTGTTGAGACGGCATCACTGTCGTCAGTGGAGCCGACGGATGTGACTTATAAACTCTCCATTCCCGATGATGTGATTGAGGGTGGACTGTTGAGTGCATTGCAACTTGAATCAATCACGTATGCGTCTCAGGCGCATGCTCATGTCTTGCCGGACGGATCCAGGGCGGGCTTTTTGATTGGTGACGGTGCCGGTGTGGGTAAGGGTCGCACCATTGCCGGCATCATCTTCGAGAACTACCTGAAGGGGCGCAAGAAGTCACTCTGGATCTCAGTGTCGAATGATCTCAAGTACGATGCGATTCGTGATCTCAAGGATATTGGGGCGCACCGGATTGACGTGCACGCGCTCAACAAGTTCAAATACGCTAAGATATCGTCGAGTGTGAATAACAATGTGAAGAAGGGTGTGATCTTCAGCACCTACTCAGCCCTCATTGGAGAATCCCAGAGCACTGGTGGCAAGTACAAGTCGCGACTGAAGCAGTTGCTTCACTGGTGCGGCGAGGACTTTGACGGCGTGATTGTGTTCGATGAGTGTCACAAGGCGAAGAATCTGTGTCCCGTGGGATCCAGTAAGCCCACCAAGACGGGTCTCACGGCGTTGGAGTTGCAGAACAAATTGCCCAAGGCGAGAGTGGTGTACGCATCGGCAACAGGTGCTTCGGAGCCGCGCAACATGGCGTACATGGTGAGACTGGGCATCTGGGGTGCGGGGACACCGTTTGGCTCCTTCAATGACTTCATCACGGCTGTGGAGAAGCGCGGAGTTGGAGCTATGGAGGTCGTGGCAATGGATATGAAGCTTCGAGGAATGTACATTGCTCGTCAGCTGAGCTTTCACGGTGTAACCTTCAAGATCGAAGAGGTGCCGCTCACGAAGGACTTTAAGAAAATCTATGATCGCTCTGTAGAGTTGGTAAGACGTCTGTTTTTCATGAGCTTTACGATAATGTTTCTCATGCCATTTCTCTCTCTCTCTCTCTCTCTCACAGTGGGTGGAGGCGATGCAAAAGTTCACTGAAGCTGCAGAGTTAATTGACGCTGAGAGTAGAATGAAGAAGACAATGTGGGGTCAATTCTGGTCAGCACATCAGCGCTTCTTTAAGTATCTCTGCATAGCGTCGAAGGTGAATCATGCTGTCGTGGTGGCACGAGAGGCTATAAAGTATGGAAAGTGTGTCGTTATTGGCTTACAATCCACGGGTGAGGCGCGTACATTAGAGCAGTTAGAGCGTGATGATGGCGAGCTGTCGGACTTTGTGTCGACGGCCAAGGGTGTCTTTCAGTCGCTGGTGGAGAAGCATTTTCCGGCACCGGATAGGAGCCGCATTCAGAGATTGCTGGGCATCGAGGCGCCGCCGAAGAAGACAACGCTGCAGATGATAATGGAGGAGGAGCCACAAACGTCAACGGCGAGCTCGGGCAATAAGAGAAAGTCATCACGACAGGCTGCTCAGAAGCACAAACGTTCTCGAAAGAATTCCTCTGATGCATCGGATTCGGATGGCGAGGGATCAGATGATTCATTCAAGATGTCGGGCAGTGAATCTGAAGAAAGTGAGCCACAGTCGGATGAGTATCAGAGTTCGGATTTCAATCCGTTTGAAGATGACTCGGATTCCGATGCTGATCCATGGGTGGGGCGACAGCAGAAGAAGGCGAAAAAGAAGCCATCCAAAGGGAGTTCGAAGAAGAAGCCGACTACGACGCAGGACAAAATACAGCAGCTGCTCACGAAGAAGCAGACAGCGCAACCGCCAACGATGCACACGAACGGCATGAAGATTTACGGTGGTGCACCGCCAAAGGACGCCATCGAGAGGGCGTGCCTCATGAAGGAGGAACTGCTGGAGATGATTGAGAAGTTGGGTGATGACTTGCCGCCGAACACTCTCGATCAGCTGATCGATGAGCTCGGTGGGCCGGAGAATGTGGCTGAGATGACTGGTCGGAAAGGTCGCGTGGTGCAGACGGAGGACGGTCAGATTCAGTATGAGTCGCGATCGGAGCAGGATGTGCCGCTGGAGACGCTGAATTTGACTGAGAAGCAGCGCTTCATGAATGGCGAAAAGGACGTGGCAATCATTTCTGAGGCGGCATCCTCTGGTATCTCTCTCCAGAGTGATCGCCGGGTGAGGAACCAGAGACGACGAGTGCATATCACGCTGGAGCTGCCGTGGTCAGCGGACAGGGCCATTCAGCAATTCGGTCGCACGCATCGATCTAATCAGGTCAATGCGCCTGAGTACATCTTCCTGATTTCCGATTTGGCGGGCGAACGGCGATTTGCCTCCACAGTGGCCAAGCGTCTGGAGTCCCTGGGCGCCCTCACGCACGGTGATCGTCGTGCCACGGAGACGAGGGACTTGTCGCAATTCAACATTGACAACAAGTACGGCAGGAGTGCTCTGGAGAGTGTCATGAAGACAATCATGGGCTACGAGCAGCCGATGGTGCCTCCGCCATCAGATTACAAGGGTGAATTCTTTAAGGACATCGCCGGAGCCCTCGTTGGCGTGGGTATTATTGTAAACAGCGAGGCTATGCCGGGTGTTCTGAGCTTGGACAAGGACTACAACAACATCTCAAAGTTCCTCAACAGGATTCTTGGTATGCCTGTTGAGTTGCAAAATCGACTCTTCAAGTACTTCACAGACACTCTCACAACCACAATAAGTCAGGCGAAGAAGGTGGGAAGATTCGATCTGGGCATTCTTGGTAAGTTTTCTTCAATCTCGCAGTCTTTTGAACAGTTTTCTTATAGGAAAATTGTTTGTGTGTTTTCAGACTTGGGAGCTGCTGGTGAGAATGTGACACGGATAAAGCTAACCAAGTTCATCCGGAGACATGCAACGGGAGTTGCACCCACCGAATTGCACACTGTGCACGTTGAACGTGGCATGATCTGGCAAGAGGCTATTGACAAGTGAGTAATATTACATCGTCTCAATTGCAAGAAAACTAGTGGACTTATAGCTAAGCTTAAGGATGTCAAATTGTGAAATAATATGATTGATTGTTCCTCAAAAACAGATGGGCGGATCTGCCGAGTGAGAAAGAGGGATTTTACCTGTCGCATCAGGTGCGCAATGGCAAACAAACGGCGGTACTTGTGTGCTTAGTGGAGGAGTCAATGAAGAAGAAGGACAAGGAGAAGAAGAAGAAGGACATGCTTTGTCAAATTTACCGTCCCAACACGGGTTTGCAGATACGACAGGAATCGCTGGCTGAGATTGAGAAGAAGTACAAGAAGGTGAGCAGCGATGAGGCGGAACAGCACTGGGTGCAGCAGTACGATGCTTCTGTGAACACATGCTCTCATGCGTACTGGAGGGGAAATTGCAGAAATGTCTCCATGGGACAGGATTGTGAGGTAAATCACTCATCAGACTTTTCCCATCCGTGTAGAGAGATGTCTTAGGGTGTTTTGTGTCTGATCTTCTTTCAGGTGGGACTGCGTAGACGAACTTACACTGTTCTCGCAGGATCGGTTCTCACGGTGTGGTCTCGTGTGGAGAATGTCCTGGCGGCGCGATCTGGGACGGCTAATAAGATGCAAGTCATCCGGATGAAGACGAAGGAGGGACAGAAGATTGTGGGAACACTCATTCCCAAAAATTGTGTTGACCTGCTTGTGGATGATTTACGGCGAGACACTGAGAAGGTGGAGGAGCAATCTTTCCAGAATTAGAATTATCGAAAAAGAAAAGACACCTTTTATTGATGTTTCAACCCAAAAATAACCAAAAAAAAACAGAGAAGAAGAAGAGTTTTTCGTTAACGTGACTAAAGGAATTTTGGAAATATTCTGGTGGCAAAAGAATTTGGGACAGGAATTTGATAGTTGTTCACTATTTAATGAAATATAGCTAAAAAAAAAAAGAATACTGTATTGAAGTAAATGATAAAAATCTAATTAATGTATGATTTAGAGAGTAATGCTAGATTAGGAGGAGCTCGCAACCCATTGCGATTCAGAGCGTAATAGACTTTAGTTGTACTACAGTATGTTTAAGTGACATCCCTAGATAAAAACTACATGAGTAGGATCTCTTTGGAGAAAGGAATAAAATAACATTGTATAATAACACTACTTTTTATAATTTATTTATAATAAGTTACGTCCCGTACTTTATAAAGAGAAAAAAGAGAGAGATAATGAAACATTCTTGAACCTTTCTGCTACCTACAATTTAGAATTATCAGCAATTAATGTGTCTAGAGATGTAATGAATTCAAGATAAATAGAGACGAATAAAATCTGTGAGGTGGACAAAATAGAACCACGATAAACAGATGTGAAGAGAAGCTCACGAAGACTTTTCCTGATCCTTCGCAAACTCCTCCTGACTGTAAATGAGGATCACGTCGTCGTCTGTGCCGTAGGATGTGCGAGCCTCGTGGAGATTGGCGAAGGAGGTCATGCAGAGGTGGTCCTTCATGGCGGGATTGCGGAAGAAGAACTTCCGGAGAGTCAGTATGTAGCCGCACACGACGATGTAGTGACCCTTGAAGCTGGTCTTCCAGGGCAAGCACAAACGCAGCTTGTTCGACTTGCAGATATCACAGGGCAAGAGAGAGGCGTTGGTGAGGAGAATGGCCGGTCCGTTGAGAGCGAGGTGTCGTATGAGAGCATCTGAGGTGATTTGTCTCTCCTCCAGCACGATGCCCTGATCCTGAGCACTGCGGAAGCGATGTGTCACCCTCTCGCTGTCCTTGTGCAGGATCTTGTCATAGTAGCAGTGCTGAGAGTATCCAACATTGACGCCAATTGTGGACGTGAGGTACTTGTGACGCACCCCGAAGCGCTTCAACACATAGCAGAGATCAATTGTCCACGTGCTGCAGGGCCAAATGACAGATATTAGTTGAGATATAGAAACATCTCTCCGGAAGCACTCCATTCGATACTCACCTATTGCCAAAGCCCTCTTCAGAGCACACTTGGGAAAAGTTCTCTGCGAAGAATCTGCGCTTCTCGTCGGGGAGTATCATGAGGATGCAAGAGAGTCCGCAGTCCCAGTCGTAGCACTGCCGATAGTGTGTCAAATCCCACTTCCAGGACACAGGGATGTCTTTCGTTGTCATTTTTGCTACTCTGTTCTCTTGGAGGGAACTAATAATGATGTCATGTTCCTTTAACCGCCACCCACTTTCGCTTGTGCCGGTGTGACTAACGCATTCCCAGAATTGATATCTCTGCCAATCCCTGATTTCGCCTCGCGTAATCACACTCTGTTGGGCAGGAGAGAGCCGATGCCTGAACTGTCACTGTACTTCCAAGAGATCGACGGTGAAGTGAGGTTAGGGTTCAGTGAAGTGAACTTTCACGGCAAGCAGAAATGCTCTCGAAAACACGACTTTTGGCCAGGAATTCCTATGGAAGTGTAGTTAGTCTCAGTGCTAGACACATCAGGAGTCAAATTCCCACAGTTCTACAGTCAAAGGATTCCACAGATGGCGAAGAGAAGGGAGAAAACTTGACTCACTTTGGATTCCAAACAGTGTCTGAGGACGAGAAAGCTGACAAAGTTTACAAGGTTTTCGAGGATGTCGCTCAATCTTACGATATGATGAATGATGTCATGTCCATGGGGATTCAGCGTCTGTGGAAGGATGCATTCATTGAGGATTTGGCTCCGACACCGGGCACAAAACTCTTAGACATGGCCGGCGGAACTGGTGACATTGCCTTCAGGTTTCTCAAGTATCTCGCCAACATTCGAGATCCGGAGAAGCGTCAGAGTCATCTCACAATTGCGGACATCAATCAGCACATGTTGGATGTGGGCAAGACCCGCGCGGAAAGGTAAGTCATCGTTTTAGCCTAGGCAGAAATCAATTATTGTCCTGAATCGTCCTCACAGGCTTGCATACAAAGATGCTGCGCACTGCACAATTGACTGGGTGTGTGCGGATGCTGAGAATCTCCACTTCGACGCCAACACCTTCACAGCATACACAATTGCCTTCGGGGTGAGAAACTGTACGCACATCGACAAAGTCCTCAGCGAGGCGTATCGTGTCCTTGTCCCTGGGGGACGATTTCTTTGCCTGGAACTGAGCCAACCGAGCAACGAAACGCTGAGAAAACTGTACGACAAGTATTCCTTCGAAGTGATTCCGCCCATGGGACAAATCCTGGCCGGACAGTGGCAGCCTTATCAATACCTCGTGGAAAGCATTCGACGATTCCCGCGCCAGGATCACTTTGCGGAAATGATTCGCGCCGCGGGCTTCAGCCAGGTGCGACATCGCGATCTCACGTTCGGCGTCTGTTCAATCCACTCCGGCTTCAAGTTGAAGTGAAAGAGCCATGATGTTTAGTTTAATTAGTTTCTTCTAATCTTCCATATAATTTTTTTTTTCAATAATCCATACATAACACATTTATATAATTTCCAATGAATTTTCAGCTGCATTGGTGTGTTCTTTGCGAAAGTAAAAGAATTGAAAAAAATTAAGTACAATTTCTTTTTAGACGATTCCATTACGTTACTTTGTGGTGCTTTTTTTTCCTCATAACGCACATCATTCATCTCAAATTTAGGAGTGTCATAACTCTGTGGACCAAACAAAGAATTCAACATTGTTCCTCTTATTCATTTTAGTGGTAATTTTCTTCCTTTTTTTCTCTTCTTCTTTACTAAGTTATTACATTATTCTTTGAGCACTATATCTTCAGTGTCACTCGCTTTAGTATTTATGGCAAAATAGTGCATTTTTTCACTTATCGAGAAGACTCGAAATTTAAATTACATCTGTGAAAAACACCTATTTATCTCCTCTTCTCTTCATCCCATTCTCAATTGCTCCGCGCGCTTCACACTTCCATCTTCAATCTTAGGAAATAAAACATTGAACATGAAGACAGCATAACACTTGCTCTTACTCTCCACCTCTGTCGACCTCCACAATCAGTACAATTAGTCTTTTTCTTTATTTTAAAGTGTTGTGGAAAAAAATTGAAAAAATAGATAATATTGTATTTACTTTTTAAATGCCTTAAAATATCTCACATTAGAGAAAGTGTGTAAAGTTCTGTAAATCCTGCCCTTCAGCTTTTTCTTTTCTTTTCTTATGCATGAAGAAAAAACATAAAAACGTATAAGAAAATCCATCTTGCGCTAGCAATAATGCGATATTTCATTACGAAGATTTTTTTTATTTATAGTTCTTCCTTCCTTTTAAAATGTATATCTGTTTCCTTTATCCCCACTGTTATTCCCCTCTCGTATCCATAATTTCCTTTCATTCACTACAGTAAATTTTTTTTAAGGATGTTTCCCACCATTTCTAAATTACCATAGAAAAAATTGGATATAATTCCAGAGGACATTCTTCTCATAAAATACTTCTTCTTCTTCCCCAGCAAATACCTTACAATAAAATCATATTTTCCATTCATTCATGCCTCACATTATTTTCAATGTAATATTTTCCTTACCAATTTTTTTTTTATCTCATAACTGATATCTTATTTAGTCATTCGCTATTTTTATATACGGTTAACTCAATGGAAATCAACAATTAAAGAGGAAACATTTCACAAAAAAAACTTTAGTAAATGACTTAAAAGATTTTCTTGCAGTGTTGTTTACAGCTATTCGAGTTATTTCCATTTATTTTTCATGTTTTCAATACATAATATCCCAATGATGTTTACGGCAATATTTCTTCTTTTTTTTAATGTTAGATAAGTGTAAATTGTGTTTTTAATAATTCATATCTTCATTGTTTTAAGTAAGTTTCGGTGTTTTTTTCTGTCTCTATTCTGCAGCCTCTGTCATTGTTTGTTTGGGCTTCAGTTCTGCTCCCTTTTTTTATTTTATTATTTATATTCTGTGGTTTTTTTTCAAGTGTTTTGTGTAGTTTTTTTTCTTCTTCTTCTCTTTAGTTGTTCCGTGTGTGTGTGTGTGTTAAATGGTGTGCTTGAATTATTATTCCCTCTTGAAATCCTTCTTACTTCATCTTCTTGTTTCCAAATTATCATACAAGTTCTCTTAAATTAATTTAATTACAAAAGAAACAAGAAAGGATTTAGCCGCTCTTGAACAGCAGAATCGCCACTTGACCCAAGTAGAAGTAGATAAAGTGACGAGTCTCGTGTGTCACATAAGATCCGAAGTTGCGTCCCACAATGCAGTGCCATGTGGGGTTGTATTTTTTGTCGAACTCCTTCTTTATGAAAGCGGCAATATCCTGAAAGATGGGAAAATCAAAATATTTACTTAGCGCTTATCGCGCGCGTCATACAAAAGAAGTGAGAGAACAAGAGAGGTATATGGAAAAAAAGGGTGAGACAATTCACTCTCAAAGTCAATTCGTTACTCAGTCTCTGCACTCCGGACGCGCGACCTTGCACGCTAACGTGTAACAATGCCAATAGACACACAATGAGCAAACCAAGAGAATATTTCGAGTTTAGACATACATATATTGATCCGAAAAAGGGTCTCCCCCTTATTAGTGTCCTCGCTAACAGATAAGTATCATTTTATACCAAGAACATGCCCAAAAAATGTTGATATAAATCTCTCTCTCTATAGTCACTGATTTCGCCACTATTTGGCAATACGCCAAATTTCCCTAATCTCATACTATTTCCAACCCTCCCAAACTTTGCATCTTATCAACTCAAAGAGTCAGTGAATCTTTTCTTCTATTCTCTTTTCTCCCACAAACTCACCCTCCATCATTTTCCCCCACACAAATTACATACGCAGTGAGAGTATTTCACTGGCACAAATTTAACTCTTTCAGAATTTTTCGAATAGATTGGCACTTTTCCCACTCATTCGCATTGCTCTCAAATAGATAGTCATTCAAGTTCCTTTTCCCTTCTCGCTTCATTGACCTCTCTCTCTCTCTCTCTCTCATCATTCAAAGCTCAGAGAGGAGTTAATTCCAGCACTCTCGCCTCGCTTCCTCGTCTCTTCTTTCATTCCATTTGAGAAATTTAATTATAATGGGGAAATTTCATACTGCATTACTTAAAATATAATTTTCATCAAGTTCCTCCTCCAATGCCAAATCTAACTGGAATGAAGGAAGAACAAGATGCACTCAAAACGAGGTGGACGAGGTACTATTTTAAATACATTACAATGTCAAAAATTCCTCATTATAGCCTGGAAATTCTTAACATCATTTAAAGAACCTTTTCATTCATTTCCTAGCGCCAAATGGAGAGTGAATGTATGACGAAATAGCACATAAGAGAGAACTATTTTGGGCGATTGAAGGGAAAATTTAGAAGTAACATAATATAGATTGCGAACAGGTATGAAATAGAATCAGGACACCACGAACATCCCTCCCATCCACCAACATTTTACCCCATCTAAGCCACACACACGCTTCATTTCAAAATACGCAATCACCCGTAATTCTGGTCGTTCTCACTCTCATCAACCCTTCACCTTTCGCCCTCACACACACACGCAGATTTTCTTTCACATAATAACATCACCTTTTACAGAGAGGATGAACCCATCCATGCATCCACATTTCAATCAACCATCCATTCGCTTCCTATTTTTACATATTTCCCACCACTCTTCCCGCACCATCGCACAACATTTATTTAAATATTATATTTAGCACATATCCGGCTAAAGGAAAAAGGCAACACCAACGACGATAGAACACCTAGCGAGATAGATTCTTAGCGAGGAGCTTTTTCACTCTCTCTCTCCCCTTCAGCCACTGTTGCTCTTGCTGCAAAAGGAAAAAAAAAACGAAGAACGTGGAAGACACACATTTGCCACAGACAAGTTCTATGAAGGAAGTTTCTTATTAAAAAATACTAGCAGCAATAATATCCTACAGGGATTCTTATGTAGACAGCAAGATAAGTCATCTTCCTGGAGGTTGTGTAGCAAAACTGTGGGGAGAATATTATGCACAGCAGGAAAATTCCCACCTGTTCCATTATAAGTCTCCACCCACGTATTCAGTACAGCAGCACAGAAATACATATAATCCATATAAAATTTCTAATGGGCATCATTCAACTTTCAACACTCAAGCAATTGACTGTGAACTGTCTATAGAAGCCCCACGACAGCTAAAAGAATAAAAGAATCTTTATACGGCATTTTTTTCTCCACTCTAGACTTTAATCACGCTGCCACAACAATGATCAACCAACCTGACTGAGAATACGAGATTTCTCTGATTTTGTAACAATTAAAAACCATCATATATTGTTCTAAAAATACTAAGAGAACAGTGGATGGTAATCAAATTTCACAGCTTTTGATTAAAGGAGGAAGAGAGTGCGAGAAAAAGAGAATAAAGGTTGTGTGTGGTAGCGCAAAAGGAAAAACGCCAGCGGACATCCTGCTTTTTCCTTCCTCTCTCTCTTAGTATCATCATCAAAGCAAAATGTAGCACGCTTTTTTAGCTCATATCCCTATCGTTCTCTCTTCTCTTCACTTGAAATGCACTCCAGAAGATAAAGAAAGCTCAAATAGGCAAAGTTGATCTAGTTTTTCTTCAACACCACATTTTACTATTGTTCAATCATCTTTGAGGCCTTGATCGATTTTTCCCCTTGGCTTGTGGTTTTGTGACTCAACGACTGTCTTGCTTAAGTTTACTTTGCTATGATCTGGATATTAATCAATAGTTTCCAGTTCTTATGTTAGTTCATTTTTATACGTGTTATCAATCTGAGTAATTGGATTAAATCTATGTTCAATTCCCAGAATACAATCCGACGTCTATGTCTAATGCAACTATTATTATTTCCGGCTAATTTTAACATAGAATATGTAATGCGTGTACACAATGAGATATTTCAAGAACTACACCAACAATTTCATTTACATTCATTTCAATACAACTCGAGAGACTCCAGCTTAAAGAGATGCAAAGCATGAGATGATACAAAAAGACGCGAAATTTGGGTATTATCTTGTTTACCAAATATTCTTCCATCGACAGAAAGTCTTCTCTCTTCACATTTCACCCGACAATCTTATTTTTCTTCTCACTCAGAGCTTGATCAACTTCCTCTACCGCTTTTTCTCCTCATTCTTCTCTCTCTCTCTCTCACCCACCATTCAACACTCAATAGCCGACGACAAAAGGAGAGCGGGAAACAGCAGCATGAAGCGTATCTATATCCATTTAACTGAGTAACAAGGAGCAACTCTTGGGTGAATGAAATTTGTAATGATTGAAGACACTCGCTCGATTTTATAGATATTCTCTCACTTTATGCGCATGGGAGTGATCAGCCTCTGTGTGCTGAATTATTCCAACTCTCTCAATCACTTTCCCTTCTTCCTGCCATTCTCATTTACTAACCAGCCCAAGAGGAGACGCAATGCACCCCCGTTCCCCCCTTTCTCTCTCTCTCTCTCTCTCACTGACAACCCTTCAACCATGTCAAAGGCCACGCACTTTAGCACATGCTTATCGTGTGTAGCATAAAATTTCGCACACAATATCGTGTGATGGTAATGAATTGATGGTGCTCAAAAGAACAAGACAGTGATACCCGTCGACCTTGACATCCAATTTGTATATTTCATCCCCCACCCGAGATTATCTGGCTCTTTTTTTCTCTCTCTCCTCTGTGCAATAGCTCTGCTTTCGGGCCGCTTTTTCTACTTCTGATATATGTATTTTTAGAGTTTCACGTCTCACACATTTCACATATTTTCAGCCTTGCCATAATATAATTCTGCCACCCCATTAGCGCACAGCAAAATATGGAAAGGATACGAAAAGTGAGAACAGAAATATAGACAAAAATTCCAGCAATTTATTATATGAGAAGCGGAATAATTAAATTACTATATACTTCTGCATACACCATTGAATTAATTGTGTATATATATATAATAATTCAATTATTATAACTCACTCCACTCAAAACCTCCCTCAAACACCCCCACCCCCGCTTTAAACACGCGAATTACAATTTTTACAACTCACAACAATTTACAGATGATTGCCATTTGAGGGGGATATTGTGTATTGCAGAGTCAACGTACATTTGTTGCCTGATAAAATCAATTTCACATTAAAAGTATCGATTTTTTGCCCTCCTCGACCATCGTCATCGCTGTAATATTTCACGAAAAAGAAATCAATTTTTATTATAAAATATCCACTGTATAAAACCGAGAAAGGATATATAAAATGTACAGGAGAAATTCATGAAAAGCCACTAGAATACGCGAGAAATAGAGGTAAAATGAAAACTTTTTCTCACACTCCATTAATATAAAAGCGAATCAGGGACTTATTATACACCACTTCATCGCACATATTCTCGCTTTGCCTTATGTACATATGCATATGTACAGCTCAAGTCTACACTTATGTACAATCAATTGTAGATGACTTTTCACATAAGAAAGGACTCTGCGGCACGATTTCAAGCGTTCTAAGTTTCTGTGTGTAAAACTCGGTAAATTGCATGTTAGTCGAAAATAACACCACCCACTATAAATTACCATCGGGAAAGTATTTCGCCTAATAGAGAGAACACATCACAGTCGGATCACCCACGAGAGATAACCCACTTCAAATTCACAAACTTCTGCGCTCTCGGCAAAACACATTCATCGACGATTCAATCCTATCAAATGCCACCAGTTTTGTACATCATTCTGGGCATGAACTATCCAACAACTTTGATGCATACCATTTATGGTATTTATTAATACGATCTAAACGATAAAGTTATCGAGTTCATAAGCTTCTCGAAACAGTTTTGATTTGATACTTGATAGTGATCCAGTCATTATGAATAAGATGAGTTTTATCGTACAAACTCAAATTGGCTTCTAGACACATTTCGAAAGCTTTATAGGATATCGCTGGAATTCACACATCCGATATCAAGACAATTTTATGCCGGAAAAACACGTTTTTTGAGTGAGGAAAAGTGAAGGTCATGTTGATGATCAACAGCGGGCAAACTTTGCGACTCGAAGAGCCCAAAGTGTTGGCTTTGCACAGACAGAAAAATCGATGAATTACAATATGACCTAATACTCCATTTTACGCATATCTGCAGTGCGTGAGGGGACAATTAGCTACCACTTTGAGTAGTTGGTGAATTTTACTTTCAGCATTAAGCACAGGTGAAGTTACATTTTACACCTTAATTATATTTCCACGAATTGTCTCACCACAAAGTTGGTTAGTCAGAAATTTCATACAAAAGTTGCTGGGCGACAGAAAACCGACAAAAACTCATCTATATATTCGCATCCTTTAGCACCGGATTCTCTCTTCTTCGGGTTATTTTCGTATTCACCCCGTCATAACTAACACTGCAACAACAACAAAAAAAACCTCCTCAAAACTTCACACGTAGGTGGAAATATATCCGTATCACGATGAAGAATAAAATTAGATATGATTGCTAATAAATCCTCCCTATATCATCCGTAGAGATGAACAGATAACCCTCACTTCACACACGCTGGAGCCTTCTATTAGCATTTTGGAGAAATAAATAAATAAACTCACACATCTCATGTGAAAAATGGATTATCCATTATTCAAATAACACACTGCTTATCAGTCAAATGGTGTGGGAGACATTGCATACGTATACTATGCTGATGAGGAGTAAGTCATAAATCTTCGTGTTTGCATGCGATACTTCACACATTGCTCTCGCGACGAAGGAAAAAACTGTCTTCGGAGTGAACTTAAGACTTAAGAAACCCTAAATCGACTTATTTCTCTGTGTGCGCTATTTTTTTTTTGCCTTCTGCCGCGAATCATCTCTGTCACATGCTCTCTCTTCCTCTTCACCAGCCTACGTGCGATTCCTCCTCCGTCTCTTCCTGCAGTTTCGGGCCCATTGCGAGGGAGTGCTTATGACGTTTCACACAAACCCTCATGCAAATTCAGAGGCTTTTCCAAACCGATTGTAGCTGAGATATTATCCTTTTTCGCGCGATATATCTTCGCTCTTCCTTTTCCCTCAAACTGGGTTGACACACACGGGAAATTGCCACAAAATCCTACATTTGTGACCTAAATGAGTAATGAAAACGTGTTTCCGCCGTTTTCTATCGATTTAACAGGATTTTATATATTATATTTGTGTCTCTTCCCCTGAAATTGCGTGCTCCACATAAATTCAGTCTCTCATCTTTCCACCAACTCTCAGCACAATTTCTCGCTCTCTCCACAAACTTTACTTATTTCGCCAATTCCCTTTCTCAAATTTCCCCCCTTCCTCAATTGTCTCTCCATGGCAATTGTGACTGCTGTGCCTGGGATTATTAACTATACCACTTCCAGTCTATTGCAATTTATGTAAACGGACAATTTGTGGTTCCCCAGAAAATCAAGCTACATCTTCTCCTCCTGCCTCGAATCTCTCGCCAGCCATTCGCTCTCCCTCTCGCTCTCTCTCTCTCTCTGTCTCTGCCATTCACTGGGCATGGGGCTGTTCAGCAGAAGACGAGACGTGCATCAGCTTACCTTCTCGATATTGTATTTCTCTAGAGCCTGTGTGGCGCAATCCACGGCGTCCTGCTGCATCTCTTCGCTCATGTCAGCATTTTTGATAACTGCCTTGCGGTCAGACATTTTTCTACGGTTTGGCGACGGCGACGACCTGCAAGGATACCAAGAGAACCCTGTGTAAGCGCCTGCCTTGAGCGTGCTGAGGGGGTACATTGGGTGGAGGGATAGGGATGTTGTGTCCCTCTGAACATGAGAGGCCCGCAAGAGTGTGAACCGCTGGAAAATCGCATAATTGGAGGATTTATTTTTACTCCTCCAGCCACACGCTCTCCCTCTCGCTCTCTCGCAGTGTGTTTGTCAGGTGCATGTGTGGGGCCAGAGCTGTAAAACGCCAAGTCGACCAAGGGGGAGGTTGGGGCTCGCTGGATATCCTGGCATTTTCGTGATTGTCGTGGACTTTTTCCACTGTCTCGGTCTCTTTCGCACTTGCGGCGCTCAGATGACGCCCTCCCCGGCTTCAGGCGAACAGGAAAACCCCCTTATCGAGCACCCGAGTGACCAGCAGGCATGGCGTGAGCGTGAAGAGTGGAAAACACCATCCGGAGACACCCAGGGAGGCCACGCGCGCCCTCACAATCACACCGGCTAGCTCCTTGCCAGCTGCAACAAGCCCCAACCGCAACAACCCTCCCGGCTAAGCATTATCGAGAGAGTTTTCCACACACAGTTCCTCTGAAAAAGCCCTCCCGGAAAAGGTTTGCCCATCAAGAGTGTCTTACTTGCAAATTTACGGAAATTTCTTTAGCAACTCGGTGTCAATTGAAGCACTCGCTATCTCTCCGTGGAGCCTTTGTCAATTATTTTCACGTTTTATGCACGAAAACAATTAAAATTTGCCTCATCCACCAATTTTTCTCCCAAGCACTTTTCACAAACTCTTCTACTGGTTGTCTCGCTCCAATTGGCTAGCCTCTAACACAGTCGCTCTGTGCTCGGGTGCAGTTCGGCGACGCGGCGCGCGTGCAGTGTTGCCATATTGAGCCGGAAGGGTGTCTCGGCTAGCGAGACCCGTGACACCCTGCAAGGGAATGCATTGCGCGATGTTCCCGTGCCGCTCAAGGACTTCGGCCGGGACGATCGAGCACAGATTGTAACATTTTTCCGCGCAGATTGAGGAGAGAAGTGAAGATGTCACAACTATTTCCGCAAGATCAGTGCGATTTCTTTGCAATTATACTCTCTCCATCGATTTACTATGACACATTTTCCCGCCACACGTGAGGAATGCGGTATAATTTTTATGCTTGCTATGCAGCAGCACGCAGGACACGAATGAATTTCTGGTGGAAATTTCACATGAATTTGGGATATGATTACAGTGTGAGAATGTACTTAAACAAATAGATAATATTTATATTACCAACGTATTTTAATTCTATAATTATCAGAGAAGGTAGCCTTTACGATACTGCTCATGAATCATAACGTTTCCACATAGCACAATAATTTAATCACAGTCAATTAAATCTTGCGAAAGAAGAGACGAAACTAAAGCGTAAGTTGGACAGATATTATTTGTTTATCAGTCATATCGTGCGTGGTCTCTGTCTCCTTGTCCTCCGGAGCTGAGACTCTTCTCTTGTATATTTTTTTGTTGTTGTTGTTAGGAAGAACGTGAACAAACCTTTTGTATTATTCACTATATCTTACGGTTATTGCTAATGAACACTAATACTGAGAGGGAAGACGGATGGATGATAATTATTGTGTTAAATCATTTGGGAAAATCTCGCGACTTTTTCTCCGGAGAAGAGCAGGTGACGTGACAATCGATTACTCGTGTGAAATTCGCAACTTCCAATGCGCAAGATCTTGCGAAAAACGAAAATTGTGTGCATGCAATTTGGATGGTATAGTAAAGGTCATCCTGAGAGGGTTTCCCAGACAAGAAATTAAGAATCATTACTTCGCTTAGCAAACGAGGAGTTCTCTGGAATCCTTATAAGTTCCTTTTAAAGCATATAATAATGCCTATTTTCATGGCTCTCAGCCAGAAAAAGAACCTCGTTTTCCCTTGATTCACAGCATGGCCAAGGGATTGTGTGAAATGACTTTCTGCTGAATTACATGCTGTGAAAAATATAGGAAAAATATCCTGAATCTTGTCATGACTTGGAAAGAGAACTTCGAATAATTCGTAGGAAAACCTTCCCGCCAAAATACTAGTACCAATCCCTCTCACCATCCGCGCTGTCGTTGAGTTTTTGTTCTGAGCCTCAGCTAGTCGCCACTGAAGGCGCTGCAAGGGAGAAAATTTTTGACAGTCCGTTTCCATTTTCTTGACGTGGCGAGCGAGAAAAATTATGTGAAAACTCATTTACTTCCTCACCGGGATACATTTGAGTGCATAAACAATCACAAGTGAGTTTCAGAGGTGCTGAGCAAGCAAAGGAAAGTGCAATGGGTGACTCAGCGAAGGCATTGCCGGGTCAGGATTGCGAGATGACTGGTTGGCTCCTGAAGTGGACTAACTACTTGAAGGGCTACCAGCGACGCTGGTTTGTCCTCTCCAACGGAGTCCTGTCCTACTACAGGTAAATCCCACGCACATTCGCCACCACCTGAATGTGGCCTACAGCATCAGTAGGATCAGTAGCCACTGGAAGATGTGGATTTGATAGAAAACAGGCATTCACCATTTTATCGTCTCTCTGACTTCTTTGCATTTTGGGAGTGATTTTTCAGTGTTTGTGCCTAGATTGTGAGCTCATTCTTGCCTTTTTCGTTCGCCTCATTTGTGTGTTCTCATTTTATTTTAAGGCCATGAATTTGCACCCAATCACCTCACACAGAAAAAGGGGTGAGAATGGGGAAATTGCCTGGCAAATTGTCGCAAGGGAATGGCGACATTCCAAATCGTGCTACAGGTGCAGAGATTTTTGTGTGCCCACAGAGCGGAGCCCCTTGTGAAAATATTTGCACAAAAGTGACACAAAATGATGAATAGCAATAGAGTTAGAAAAAAAAGTACAGGAGATAAATTTGAAATAGCCGTGAAGGTCGTGAATCATCGGATAGAATTTTCCATCTTATCCAGATGTTAATTGATTATGTAAAATAGAATCGCTCTCTAGGCAATGGAGGGAGAGAAAAATAAGGGGGATATTTAATGAAATTGCAGTATTGTGATTGTATGCGAAGATAGAGAGAAATTGCCATCGTCCGAGGCGACGAATTATAGGTAATGATAGTGATTCCCCTGATAACCTCAGTTCAAGGTGCACTTGAAGCAGGTAAACTGCTGACGGTGTTCGACGTGGGCTGCAGCAGACCTCTTATTTGTCTTCCCAGAAGTCCCCAGGGGGTTTTCTCTAAACTTTATGCCTTCTGTGAATGTGTTATTATTGATCAAATGCACCAAATGTATAGATACTGCGGCTTTTCTTGTGAGGAATGCAACGATTAGCGCCTATTTGCATCAGCATTGGGTCAAGGGCTTTCCGCAAGTGGAGTGAGGGATGATTTCCGTCGTGCGATACACTGTGTGCGGCTACTGACCCAAATTTCCACTGAAAATATGAAGTGACGAAAGGCACAATAAACATAGATTTCGACAAAAGTGTCTCTCGATAAGCATAAATATTGCTTCTGCTATTCAAACTGTAATTGACTTGGATGGCTTTTCATCCATCCCGAAAAAAAGGGGGAGGAAAAGGGGTTCGCGAGGCGGATATAATAAAGACTGCTGGGGTGGCAGCGCAAAGACGAAATCGATTTTCATGTGGGTGCAAAATTGCGGTGCTTGAATTCGACGAGAGAGACGAGGAGTTGGTATAAAATCGAGACTGGGTTTAAGTTTAAAATGTTTTGAGCGATAAAGGGAACCCCTCTACACACTCATCTTATCTTAATTTCATAGTGGGTCTATATAATCATTCTCCAGATATCTTATGTAGTGGAAAAAAAGCACCTGCAGATCCGTGCGAAATATCACAACGCAAGTAAATAAGTTGTGACTTGTGTTTTATTTAGAGGAATGCATAAAGTTAGATTGAATGTGGTAATAAAATGGACCTTAAACCAGTATTTATAGAATTGATTGTAGAATATTTAATAAAGTTGATTTCCTATTCAATTATTTCAACACTTTTGTGGCATTTATAATTGAATCAGGTCGTCTTGAAAGATCATCCGGTGTAATTAGTGGTTTATTCGGAGGTCAGGAAAGACAATCTCATTTGCACGTCTTCAAGTGTGTTTTGCTGTTTTCTCAGGTCGCTCGTGTGCACCTGAATGCCAATAACGTAATCATAAATTACTTTGTCCAATCCTCACCCCATTTAGTGAGAACAATTCACCCCGAGATTTACCCAATTTCCACATAATGTGGCGTGTGTGATGTGGAATCACTGTTAGGTGGAAAAGTTCAATCGATATTTATACAAGAAAACGTGTTCAATTTTATTCCACATAAATACCATTCGAAGTATATTTTTCTTTCATACTATCTTGAGCCTTTTGGGTGGTAAGAAAAGAGAGAGAAAGAGAGAGAGGAAAATATCTCCGGAATAAGGGAGAAATTAATGAGAATGTCAATGCGACTTTGGATGTGGGGCTTTTATTTACTGTGAAATTAATTTTCTATATTACTTTCTCAGCAAAGTATATCATTTCACGTCTCAAGCAGTTTCTGGTTTCGGTTGATATTTTCTCCATGTATTCATAATTCATCTCATACTTTATTTCCTCCTAAATAGATTGCTTTTATAGCTGTGGTTTTTGGAAACTATACAAATACAAGTAAAAATCTTTATACTTCCCTTTGCAAACCATTTGGCTTCTGATCTCATTCATGTTCTTTTATATGCGTAGAATTGAGAGTGGAGGAGAGAATGTTGATATAGAGGACATGCTAATGAATTGAGGAGAAACATCTTTACTTTAGCCATACACTTTTGTTGTAAATGTTTCGTTTGTTTTCCGTCAAAATATTACTTTACATAAAAATTGCTTTCATTTCCTTTTAGTGTTTTGCCTGAAGAAATACTTTGATCCATTGTTTTCTTTCTTAGATTGTAGTGCCAATTTTATGCGGACATACAAAATCAAAGTTCAGACAAAAAAAAACACACACATTACAAAATTATTTGGAAATTCACTTTCACTCAAGATGAGAGTATAACATCTCAGCGTTGTTAAGTAATATTATCAAAGAAAAAAAGAAGAAGAAAAAAAACAGTGTACGAAGAAAGTCTAGAGCCGAAGTAAAGTTGTTTGGAAGCATTTTTCACTCTTTCTCTTTATTATTGCCATTTTTTCTAATAATATGATCTCAACACATTGAAAAAAAAAGTGCCAATATTCTTGTAGATACACTAGAAATCAATTTATTTGTATTGATTCTGGGGTTTGCACAGGGCTGAACATGGAACCGGACCTAATATGGGCGGTCGGAGTGCCGGGGGCAAATTATCAATCAGACGTCGGAGAAAGGGCCCCCGACAGGAGTGAGTAGACGCCCCGCTTAATTTAATATCTCTTTATTTTCCAATTACTGCTGCATTTTTGTTCGTTCTCTCTTGCATAAACTAAGCAGATGTATAATGTATAGAAGATGGAGTAATAACTGTGATTAAACTGTAACTCTAATGAATCTTCCAATGTATATTAATGGCATGGCTGCAATTCTGTACGTAAGAATCTTTTGTAAAGACGAAATTCTATCCTATATTGTGTTCTTATAAAGTGTAACATATATCAAAAATCCTGACTTTTCTCGTAACTTACAATATATTAATTATTTATTAGGCTTTCACAAGAGTTTCTCACACACAGAATTATAGCCTTTAAAACTGTAACTTCTGCAGAAACTTTAAAAATTAAAATTTTTGTATAAAATAAAGACTAATTAATGCGCAATCCCCAAATCAGTTTTGTACGAAAATAGTTCATTATATCAAATTCTCTATCTCTTCCACGCAAATTGTCAATTTTTCAATGCTTATATACAGATATTTTACATAAATAAACCCAATGAAATGAAAAGCAGATGATATTTTCTCCTTGAAAATACTTTGAATGAAATACATTCTATATTAGTAGAGAGTGAAAGAAGAGGAAGAAGGAAAAATTTCTATTCATCATATGTAAATAGATGTGAAATGAAGAGATTTTTCAATTTTCATATGCGAGTGTGTAATATAATTTTTCTCCTGATTATCTGAAGGAATAGACTTCGGCTTTTAGTGGCTTCTGAAGAAAATATACGCAGTGCACACGGAGTGACTTAAAATTCACTCGTCTTCCCACTTTATTTATATTGTGTGTGTGTGTCTATATTCTTTCTTTTCACCCTTTGCAAGTTATAATTTTGCTCACTTTCCTTCATCGTCCTTGATATTGATTGACCTTCCTGAGGATGGCGTTTTGTTGTGTGTGAACCCAACTAATAAATGTCGAAGAAAATAATGTTTATTGCATTGAATTGTTTATGAGTGCAGCCTATAATAGTTTTTTCTAGTGAAAAATAAAAGAAATGCACGCTATGCTATGTATGTATTCTTATTTCTTTTTACTTTCATGGGTTTTTAAAATATATTTTGTGCAATAATGGCTGCAACACAGTCAAGCATAGGGTCAATTTATATGTATATACATTGTGAAAATCTGGTGCATTGCATGATGGATTTTACATTGAAAAAGGGCGGGCAGAGAGTGAGGAACACAAAGACAGTGATTCCCATTATAATGATTGTTTGCTTATAAGGTCAGAGAATTGATGAAAGCTGCTGTAATTTTTAATTTCACACACAAAGAAGAAAAGAAAAAAATGTTATTCATGGAGAAATTAGCTGCCAAAAAGCCAATGCGTATTTTTGTATATTGTGCATTTTATTATGTGTTAAAGATAGGAATTGTTTTTTTAATATTAATCTGGATTTTAATGTGGTTTCTTTGCAGGAATCAGGCTGAAATGTCTCACACATGCCGTGGTACAATATCGCTGCATGGGGCTCTAATTCACACTGTGGACTCTTGCACGTTTGTTATATCCAACGGGGGCACTCAGACATTTCACATTAAGGCCGCCAATGAAGTGGAGCGCCAGTCATGGGTAACAGCTCTTGAATTGGCCAAAGCCAAAGCCATGTAAGTCCACTGAGGGTTCCCTCAAATATTTGATTCAATTGTGTCGGTAATTGCATAATTGGGAGTACACCGCGTCAGTTCATACATGAGTGGTCAATATTAGGAATTGATACACAAGACGTTGTATGTAAATGAATTGGCAATTGACTTAATAATAATAGTCAGTGGCGGATTCCCATTTGGAGCGTTTTATACGTGCCAGAGAAATTGATTTTTTGCGTCACTTCTCACGCAGACGAACTATGGAGAGTGAAGAGGAGGAGGAGGACAGCAACGCATTGGCGATTCCGAGTGAGGAATTGAACGTGGTCATTCGTGATTTAAGTGCCAGGTCAGTTGGGGGGGAAAAGCGTGTGCAGTGAGGAAATGAGGGATTTTTGTACGAACATAATAATATTTGTGAACTCTGTTTTTGCAGGTTGGAAAATTTGAAGACTTGCTACGATCTGATTTCAAAACACGGTTCGGCTCTCCAGAGAGCTCTGGCTGATTTGGAGAATGGCGATGATTTGGCGACTAAGACGAAAATTGTCAACGAGAGAGCCACTCTCTTCCGAATATCTGCCAATGCGATGAAGAATGTGAGGAAAACAAGTGTTATCAAGTACACAGAACTGAGTTTGATAGGCAAATGTTTGGGCTTTCGTTTAGGCGTGCTCGGAGTATTTGCAAACAGCCCAGAGTCAGGGTCACAAGTGGTCGAAGATGCTGCAGCATGAGCGAGACCAGAGGCAGCATTTGGAGGAGATGGTGGAACAATTGGCTCGACAGCACTCTCATCTCGAGCAAGCGGCTCATCGTCACCGGCCCAGTGAGTTTCTCAGAATGTCACATTGTGTAGAGATTTTTTGGATGGGGGCAAAAATTGCTGTGAAATTTGTATTTTCGCTGCTTGCTTAGATTTAGAGACAATCCACTTGTCTGAACTTCAGATTTTAATCAAAAGTCTTGCAAAATCAAAGAACATTGAAGAACATCATATTCTATTCTTAGAGTGCGATTATAATTCATCGGAAATGTGTGAAGTGGAGAACATGTGGAATGGATCAGTCTGTCCATGGAAAATTACTCAAAAATATATTCTTGCGGGCGGAAGACTTCACATGTGATTTAGCAATTGGCCACGGGCACTCAGGGCGCTACGTAAGCCAAAACAGAAATTATATTGTCAGACAATAATAAAAACGTGTGTCGCGTTGTGATAAAATAACAGAGAAAAACAAATTCAGTGAAGCCTAAATGGCGAAAAGTGATGAAAATGTGAGTGTATTACAAGGGAGAGTGGAGAGCAGGATAAGAGGAGACAAACATCAGATGTTGTCGATGAATGAGGACCACATGAAGTCATGGATCAGGAATATTTTCACCGCCGAGAGACATTGTCAATACTTTGCGGAATATGCACCGGAACTTGTGGCAATTTCACCTGAACTTGTCACCCTCTTCGCGGAAATTTGCACAAAATTGCAGCTGACGGCGGATATTGAATTCGCCTGCTTTGACACTTATGACTTGTACTTGTACTACAACTTTGAGCACATGCAGAGACGCTGTGCCATGATAAGGAGCACGGGTGCAATGAAGCCGGAGTTTGGGTGGATTTTCGTCAAGAAGGAGTTTCTGGCTAATTTTGATAAGAATATTCTCTGCATTGTCTCCGTGGTGAGCAAGTTCTTCGGCACTAACCATTTTGCTTGTGCCCTGATATCGAAATTGTGGCGAAAGACAGAAGAATCTGAAGGTGTTTGCACAACATTGATGCAGGGAGAGTTGGAAGTGATGAAAATACTTAATGGCAAGGTAAAAATTCATTCTACTTCTCTTTTCTATACAGAGTTTTTGTCTAATTGTGTAATTCCATTTATTCTAGATTCGCAAATCGCAAGCCATGGAATCAATGGAAGTTTTCTGGGTGATGTGTGTTCAGCCACTCTTGCCAACACGCCTTCACGATATTATGTGTCTCTCTATAAAGATTCTACGGATTGTGTATCTGTATCGACAAGAAATCTACCATCCGTATGAATCATCGATGAATTTTGCCACTTGAATTATCACAAATTATTCATTGTCTGTTTCTGTCTCTCTTTCATGAACAACAATCATGACATATGAACAGATTGAAGTCACGACTGAAGTCAACAAATCAGTTTCATGCCATTCAAACGGATAAAGTCCTCATGGGAGCTTCGGTGATCCTTTCATCAGTTGAATATCTTCAAATACAAGCGACTATCGTGGAGAAATTGAGGATATCTGTTGCGAAACTGAGCAATCTCGCAGTGAATGATATAAAGACAGTGAGCAGAGAGATATATCGAAAGGCAAAATCTGTTTTCAATGAGAATACCACCGAGGAAATTGTTTAAACATTGAAATTGTACAGTTTTATGGAGGAAAAATCAAGATCATTCCTCTCATTTTCATTCCCACCAATCTTATTGCCTTTGTATATGAGACATTGTTGATCTTGAGTGAATAAATCTGTGTGTGAGTTGTTATCAGTATATAATATGAACAATGATTATCGGCCATTAATCGCTGAATTATCGGGGGAAATCAAGTAATTGATATATAACACAAGAGTGCGAGGCACTAAGGATAATGACAATAGTTGAGGGAGGGAGAAATGTAGTGTGATGTGACGATGAATGTGTGAATGCATGACGATGGTGAACACGTGATCTCGTCACCTTCAATAGTGGCGCACACAGAGTGGTGTGATTCAGCATGATTTGCCGTGTGGCCAAGTGACTAATTTGATATTAGGGAAATTTACCTCTAATTAATCGCATGAACATTCCATGAAGAATTTGTTTACTGGGGCAAAAATAAAAAAAAGGAGGAATTGTTTATGGAAAACGCGGAATAAGGACATAATTTGAGGAGGCACGAACAATGGGAAGCAGATGCAGTCACTTTGAACCACCTTGTGGAGTTTGTCGTATGTGTGTTGAATTTTGTGGCTTTTGCGATATTTTTTCCGTCAAATCGCTGAGTGTTCGCTCTCTTCGCGCTTCTCTCTCTCTCTCTCTCGGATTTGACGGTCAATTCTACGCAAGTGTGAGTGGATTTTTGCAGTGCGAGAACTGACACGGACGAAATTTACGATAATTTTTGCACACTCTTGCATCGAGTCAGCATGAGATATAGAGAGGGTCGTGCAGTACACAATCCTCCTGTCTGCTCAATATTTCAATTAAAATACATCTAATAAGAGGATTTTGTGAAGCACATTCCAAAATCATGACCTAGAACAGAGTGAAAGACTCTTGAGCGTCTTGAAGGATAAGAGGAAGGACGTTAACTTGACATAGAGCGAAGATGTTTGAAGATTTCATATGAAATTTATTGCTTTCCTGATTACACCTTATGTTGTTCAAATCGAAATTTGCTTCAGCACTCATGGATGCTTGATGAGCATCCCCTTCTGCACGTCACAACTCCAAACGAGACAGTGTGTGAGATAACGACGGACAGCATGTGTGTATGCCGAATGAAAATGAATGAGAGAGCATACAGAGAAGTGTGTTCATCTTGTTGCCAATCGCCCGTGCGAGATATACAGTATTTGCCACAGTGTAGTCTTTTCGTGTGGTTCTTTCTCACAAAAATCTATGGGAATTTCTCAATCTAACTTGTGAGGCAAAATAAGAGCTATTTTCAGTGTCAATAACTAATTGCCTTGTGCGGTTCTGTCGATTGTGTGTTTGCGGAGAGATTTTGTATTGTGGGATTGCACCTCTGTGCCGGATTTGTCTCGTTAATTTGGACGGCATTGTGCAGAAAAGTTGTGTATTTTAGAGAGGATATATACTGGCCACATTATATGTGCCAAAGCGCGAAGAGGAGTGAATTTTTAGAAACTGAATATTACACCGTTTTTTTACACTCTTCCCAGTCATCATTGAGTGTGGGGGATTTTTTTCTCAGCTCTTCGTACAGCAGGCTTAATGATGAGTTGAGAATGATTAGGTAGGATTATATTATATTGCATTTTTGTCATCATTCTATGGCATATTAATTAAATTCTGCATTGTCAATGTGCAAAAAAATTGCCATTTTTCGCTATCAAGTGGAGGAAGTGAAGAAATATTAAATTCATGGTCTACGAACGGTGGTCTATTTGAAGGGCACACAAGGCACATTGATTTGCCACTGAATGAATTCGCGATTGTGTCAATTAAAGTGGGGAAGTTTGAGTAGAGAGGAAAGTTCTTGGAAAGTTTCTCTTATCAGTGTTTTTTTTACACATTCTCTCGATTTTTTTTTGCAGATGTGGCCACATCAGCAACATCGGACGATGAAGACAATGAATTTTATGATGCACAAGAGGAAGGAGTCTCGACAAACAATTCGCAAGAAGACAGTTCGTTCATACTGAAGATACCAATGACACATCGAAGGGGATCAAATGATGCCACGGGCAGCTCGTCGGAGGGTGAGGATGCGAACAGCGAGACTCAGCAGGTAAATAAACCCTGACAATATAAATTCGCCACTGTTGCTCACATCCACTGTTTTTTGCGAGTATATCTTATCGGAAGAGTGGCAGGGATTATTATATAAAAACAAATGTATAGAAGAGAATTATGAATATGGCTCATTTGAAATTACAGGTGCGCATAGCTAATGTGTGTATATTTCTGATAGAAGATTCGCTTCTGTAATTTCGAGTTGAGCGATAAGTCAGTTAGCATTTTATCAGTTCCTACTGGTAGAGCAACATTTATATGTAGCGGGTTGTTCGCTATCTTGGGGTCTCCATGCAAAATTTTACCCTCATTTGCTGATGGTGGAAATGTGTGTGAAGGTCTTCTTCTCACCCTGCCAGAATTAATGGGACAATTCAAAAGCTCCTTCAGTGTAAACATTACGCAAAGTGCTTCGTTGGGGAAATATTTAATTTTACCTCTGTTAACACAGGTGTTGGTGGTGACGGAGAAAACGAAGGAGAACTCACTGGATGCTGTAGATCGTGTGTCAAATGCATCACAATCCATGTCACTGGTGTCGACGCCGAAGGCGATTAGGAAGAGACGAACACGAGTTCCGGACAAGCCCAATTATCCACTGAATTTGTGGTCAATCATGAAGAATTGTATTGGGAAGGAGCTGTCGAAGATACCAATGCCAGTAAACTTCAATGAGCCACTGTCGATGCTTCAGCGACTGACGGAGGACTATGAGTATGCGGATTTGCTGAATAAGGCTGCACAGTGTGATGATCCGTGTGAGCAATTGGCATATGTGGCTGCATTCACCATTTCCAGCTACTCAACGACGAGCAATCGCACCGGGAAGCCCTTCAATCCACTTCTGGGTGAGACGTACGAATGCGATCGACTTGATGACTTGGGCTGGAGGTGTGTGGCCGAGCAGGTGTCACACCATCCGCCCATGGCGGCGATTCACTGTGAAGGCAGAGGCTGGTCTTGCTGGCAAGAGTTCACGATGACGACCAAATTCCGTGGGAAGTACCTTCAAGTGATTCCTCTTGGTGTCGCCCATGTGGACTTCAATGCAACGGGACATCGGTTCACATGGAGAAAGGTGAGAGTGTGAGAGAGAGAGTCCTTTTTTGGTAATTATATACAAATTTACACCTTCAATTCAATTGAAAGGTCACGACGACGGTTCACAATATAATTGTGGGCAAACTGTGGGTGGACCATCATGGAGATATGGACATTGTGGGGGAGAACAGTGCCACAGGAATAAAATGCCATTTGAAATATATTCCCTACTCCTACTTCACACGTGACACCCAGAGGCGCGTGAAGGGGGTCGTGATGAATGCTGACGGTCAGGTGAAGTGGGTGTTGAACGGTACGTGGGACAATAAGATCGAAATAGCTCCCGTGATATCGACAAATGGCACCAAAGACAGTCCAATCTATAAGACGGGCAACTACAAAACCATCTGGTCGAGACGTCTGCCGCCGCCAGATAGTGATAAGTGAGTGTCAATTTTTTTTTGTCTTACAAACATTCTTCTGCAATATGATGCTGATGGGAGATTTGCTCTCTCTCTGCAGGTATTATAGTTTCACAACGCTAGCATGTCAATTGAATGAATGGGAAGAGGGTGTTTCGCCAACGGACTCGCGAAGGAGGCCCGATCAGAGACTTATGGAGGAGGGCAAATGGGATGACAGCAACGCAGAAAAAGTCAGGTAATGAGCACTAAGCTTCAAATTGATGTTGAGCTCCTAAATCACGCTCTCAGTGTGTGCTTTGAGATGAACTTTAGGAGCATTTTCAATATATATTCTGAAGGACATTCATTGGCCTCTTGAAATGGGATTTTTAAAGACCCAAAAGAAGTGATATTTTGGTCTTTTTCTCCCAAGTCTGTAGAAAAGAGATGATAAATGTGATTCCAATGCAAGCACAAATGATATTTGGCAGCCATATATTTTTCTTCGTTATGCTTCTTTTATTAATGCATAGCAAATCGCATTCAAAGCATTTTTTTTCTCTTTCGTTTGTGAATTGGACAAATATGTTGAATATCTTGAAATAGAAATGATAAAAAAAGAATTGTTGACTTCAAAAACTTCATAAAGAGACATGAGATATAAATAAGAGTTTGAAACATAACAATATTACATGTTCTTTTGGTCCTTTTGGCCATTTTGGCCTAAAAAGGTGGCTTTCGAAAATGTAGACCAACTTTTGCCAACATCAATTATGAAAAGTTTTCCATGCTGTGCAATTAAAGGGAGTTGTAACTTGAATTTTCACTCAAATTGCTGTTTGTCCTCTTGCAGACTTGAGGAAGCACAACGATTGCGCCGAAGGGAGCGAGAAGCGGAGGCCGAGAGTGCCGCATCCGAGGGACGTCCATATCCGCCCTACGAGCCCGTATGGTTCACGAAGCTGAAGGAGGAGGGCAACGATACACTGTCGCATGTGTTTAAGGGGAACTACTGGGAGTGCAAACAGAAGCAAGACTGGTCAAAGTGTCCTAATATCTTTTGAAGAAGTGGATTTCTGCACGCCCAGGACGTCACACATTGTGCAGATGTATAGCAAGAAAAACAAACATTATTATCTACCATGAAAATGTAATTTTGTATATTGTGAAAATGACAATTTTCAGTGAAATATCGCAATTTGCATTACAACCAACAAAAAGAAAGAAAGAAGGAAAGAAAAATGAGAGAGTTTTTGTAGACAAAACGAAAGAAGAAGCAGAAAAAAACATCTCGTTGGCTTAACTTTTTCTGACATTCTGACAATTGTAGTAAGATTTATTGAGAACGGCAAAGGAGAAAATCATGAATAAATGTAGTGGGAATTTTTTGTAATCGATGAAAATTCACTGATTGACAAAATGGGGTTTTTTGTGGGTATTCTCTTGAGTAGAAGAAGAAGGTGAGAAAAATTTGTTGAAATAACTTTACTAGACTCTCGTTGATGACATTCAAATGAATATATAAAAAAGGATTAGTATATAGAGAGACAAGTGAGAAAAGATGGGAGAAACGAAGAAAAAAAATATGCTACTCCAAATAAAAAAAAATATGATAACAATTTAGGTGAAAAGTCACTGAATATCTCTAAAAAAATAATATTACCCCTCATCTAATCTATATGGACATACTTTATCTGGTCTTTTATGCAAAATTATAGGTATTGAGTAATTAAAAGAAGTCTAATGTTGCGTTAAGAATTACCATTTATTTTTCCTTCACCTTAATTTAGAACTCCTCGCTCTTCCTATTGTTTTTTCTTATTGTTTAACGCTGGAAAAATACATGTGCAATTCGTTGTTATTTTCCCCTTGCGCGAAAGACAATGTGAAATATGGAATATTATAGTGAATGCAAGGTGAAGAATGGATTATCTCGTCTCCATTATTCTGGAAGCTGTAGTTTGAAAATGTTTATAAAGTCATATACATAATAGTATGGATCAAGTTGTTAAATATTGAGAGATTTATTGAAAGCGTCTGAAATGTCATTTTTCCCCTCCTAATTTATAATATAAGATTGTCCATTCACGTTTAGGCGTTTGATAGAATTTTGGAGCGAGAACCTTAATTACGCAACTCTCCTAAAAATAGCTTCAATTTATACTTTTTCATGTTTTCACAACATGGAACGCGTGGTCGGTTTCGAATGGTATTCCTAGGCGAGTGTGTAAGACCAATTTGGATTTCTGTTTTTTTGCAAATAATTTGCAAAACTATAGATGTGTAGATGAGAAAGTCTCTGTGTAAATAATGTGTTGGAAGGAAGAGGAAATGAAAGGGTGAAAATGCTTGTAAAATTAATTTAATCGAAGATGAAAAATTTACTAAAGTACAGGACTTTAATAAAATATATAAATTACAAAAGTGACTTGAGACAGTTTTTCTTTTTCTACACATTCCAAACAATGCGGTATATTTACAGGGAAAAATTACGCTCATCACAGATCAGAGAAGATATCATGAGAGATTGTTGCCATTTGAGCCACGAGACCCACTTTCTTCTCCAGCTTCTTGCAACCGTGCGTCGCGAAGAAGGACTGCTCCTTCTCGTACGTGACATCCTTGAGCACATCGTTTATCTGTTCGCTTGTGGGATTGGGCAGACCCACCCTGGCAAACTCAGCCTCGATGCACTTCTTCACATGACGCTGCTCGAGCGGTAAGAACGGGATGAAGTGGTCAATGAGGGCCTTCTCAATGCTGCCACTCTTCATCAGCGCCCCATTGGAGTTGTACAGACTCATCTCGGTGATCTTCTCGAACAGATGCAGCTCCGTTTCCTCCCGACTGTGACCTCTGTTCATGAGCGACGCCAGTTGCTGAGAAATTTCCAGGCCACCGGCATTGGAGATGAAGATAAAGATCGCCTTGCTGGAGTCGATCTGGTCGCCAGACGGGTGATCGAGCAGAGGCGTGATGCCTTCCATCACGCCCACGGGCATGTGGTCCACTTCGTCAAATATGAACAGCGACATGGGACAGCGAGCCAGCGAGGCCTGGACAGTGTCTATAAGCTGCTCCTTGTACTCATCTATCTTCTTCTGGTTGGGAAAGCTGCTCCTGCCGCGGAAGAAGTGCACGTATTTGCTGTCCTTGCCCAATTTGAAGATTGCATCCTTCATCACATTCGTGATGTACGTCTTGCCGATGCCAGGCGTTCCCTGGAAACTCATCACGAGTGGCTTTGATGACTTGGACAGATTTTCGAAGTGATACTGCAGAGCATTCGTGACGATCTTGATGGCAATGTGCTGTCCGAACACCGCCTTCTCGAGATCTTGCCTGAATTCTGCAAGAAAACACACAATAAGCACACCATAGCCGGCAGATTAACCTCACTGTCTCACTGATGATATTGGCAGGAATGTAATCCGGCGTGCAGCATTCGTACCACCGGCAGTAGGTGTTGAGCTTGATGGTGCTGTAATTGATCCCTAAGGCTGTGAGCATAGCTGAACCACCACCAACAACTGCCAATGTGGTCAGAGGCTCTAACAAGACAACATTCCTCACACAGGTCGCTAAGAAGCAGAACAAAATCACCCAAAAGGACTTCATTTTATCAACTAAACAAAAACTGAATTCAATGCCAGCGTAGTTTCCGCCATGAGCTAAACGTCAGCTGCTTTCGTTAGGTTCCAGTCCACGCGAGGAAGACGTCAGATTTCCACTGAAATCGTGGAAAGTTGGAAGTCTCGGAGATCGCGCAGTGTTTTTCTTGGGCAGAAAAATGGATAAAGTCCTCTTGAATACTGTGAATATTTGTAGAATATCTGCCAGAAACTTTGGGAACCATAATAAGAAGTTCGTATACAAGAATGGAGTGAAGTACGACAATGTTTTCTACTATCCCCGGTAAGATTGGAGGTTATGCCTGGAAAAGTGGAGTTTTCTCACATTTTCTGCCCTTATATCAATTTGCAGACATTCTGATCATCAAGATCCGTCTTTTGTGCCATCGAAGCTCTTCATGGTAAGGAGGATAGGGCCATACAAAGGAATTCCTTACTGGGAGAAGAGAATCATCCGGGATTTGGGACTTTCTCAAAGTGTAGGAACATTTACAATTTCTCGTACAATTTTAGTCAGATCCTGGAGTAATATAGCTTATCTTTTACAGCAAAATGAAATCGCTGTTGTGAAGAACACGCCGGATATGAATTCATTGCTGTGGAAAGTGAAGCACTTGATCAAGATCACTCCCATAACTTTCCCGCACGGTGAACCCACGGAAGAAGACATCAATTACACCTACCTGAAGAGAAATGGGGAGTGCATTGTGGCTAAGGAGATCAAAGTTGAGGAGAATAGATTGCAGGCAACAGATGAGTTTGTGAAGGATCAGAAGCGCCTTGACAATGAAACTCTCAAGAGGGATTCCCGTATGAAGTGGCTCAATCCGTGGTAGAACTAGAAATTAGTCATTAGTTGAAAATACAAATTAGTTATTATTTCAATACGTATCGAAAATGTCCTTTTCTGCTACCAAATAAAATTCTTAATTGAAAACAGGATTTATACTTCCCGGCATTTCCAATGCTCTGGAAGATCTGGAATGTGACGTCATGTTCCAGTTGGAAGGAACAGATGATTGCGTGTTGGATGCCGCGAAAATTGCTAAAAGCAAAACAGTTCGAATCGTTTGAATATTTTTAGAAACACCTCTCAGAATTTGACCAATTGGCTGATATTTCTGTCAAGAAGTGCTTCTGGCTGTTTTAAAATTAAACCCTGTTTTTGATTTTTCTCTCGCTTCACGCGGAAATGTGTTACGGTCAAAAGCGAAAGTCAGTGCAGTGAAACATACCAGAGATTCTTGTAAGATTCTGTGAGATTCTTGCGCAATTCTCAGAAGGAATGAAGAACAAGGTGCAAAGCCTGAAGCAAGGAAGCTGTATTCTGACGGAGAAACCCTTCGTTCACGTGTTGAAGTCGAAATACAGGAAAGAGAGATGCGATCACTGCTTTGCCAGGTGAGTTTTCTGCCCACCAGTGCGCGATTCCCAACTGAATTCCCTGGATTTTTGCAGCGAAAAAGTGTTCAGATGCTCAGGATGCAACTATGTGTACTACTGCAACAGGAATTGCCAAACCGAGGCTTGGGCTCTGCACAAAGTCGAGTGTCCCTTCCTGAAGAAAATAGCCCCGAGAATCGTTCCGGACGCTGCGAGAGTCTTGGCGAGGATTATTCTGAAGTTACAGCGTGGTGGAGATTTGGAGAAAGGATTCTACACTGAGACCTGCTTCAGGAAGTTCAGAGACTTAATGTCCCGTGAGTTGTTTAAAAATAGATTTGTTTTTTCGAGGGAACTTTGCTCATCAATCTTTATTAGATTACCACGAAATCCGAACGGATCCAAAGCGCCAGGAGCATCTGGAGAGTTTATCTATGGTGCTGCATGATCTCTTGGGAGAGAATCTCATGCCGAATCACACGGAACTGCAGGGAATCTACGGAAGAGTATGTGTGGATCTGGAGGAACTCTATCAGAAGAATATTACTCTGTTTCTCGTGCCTTTGCAGCTCGTGGTCAATGGCTTTAACATTCTGGATGGAGAAATGAACTCAATCGGAACGGGAATATATCTGGGAGTCTCTGTGGTGGATCACAGCTGCACACCAAATGCCGTGGCCACATTCGAGGGCACAACACTCTCAATCCGGGCCATTGCTGACATCCCTTCGCTGGACTGGTCGCAGATATTCATATCGTACGTGGATCTCATGCAAACTCCAGCCGATCGACGAGCAGAACTCAAGGCAAATTACTACTTCCTCTGCACATGCTCGAGATGCATTAATCCCGAGGAGTCGCAGAGAATGGAAGTGGCTTCGTGTCCAAATCGTAATTGTGAGCATCCTGTGATCGTTCTGGACGGCAAGGATCCACTGAAGTGTGATGAATGCGACACGAAAGTGACTGAGGAGTTCAGGAGTGAATTTCACGAAGTCAGAGATTTCACGAAACTCCAGCTGGCCAGCATGAGAGATGTTGCTTGTATCCTTTTACATTTGAGCATTTTCACACTTCCTCTGTCTGTGAATACTTCACACTTTCTGTGCCCGTGAAATCCTTAACGTCTGTCTATAGCAGATTTGGATGTGTGCAGTATCTGCCTCGCAAGGCAGAAGAATGTGTTGCATAGTCTAAACTTGTGGCATACCAAGACACTTGACTTGGCATTTGAGAGTGCGATTGAAATGGGCAAATGGCAAGAGGCACGCACGTTTGGCCAGCTGCTGCTTCCCGGCTTCAGGTAAGTCAGTCTAAAAATATCCTCTTTCACTCAACTCTCTAGGACTATCCTCCACTCCGACTTACCACAGAAAGTACAATGGGGACTTCAATCCTCTGCTCGGTCTTCTCTACATGAAACTGGGGAAAATTGAACTCTTTCTGGAGCACATAAAAGAGGCACGAGACTATCTGCTTGAGGCTTCGAAGATCCTTCGCGTGACCCACGGAGAAAATCACAGTCTCTACAGAATTCAACTAATTCCACTTTTAATGCAAACATCAAATTGAATAAATTCGGTTTGCAATTAAATTTCACTGAATTTCATATATTTCTCAACGGTATTCAAAAGAAAGGCAATATGAACTTCGTCCAGTTTCTCTCGTTCCACTAAACAATGGAATTGAGAGCAATAGCCCGGCGATTGGTGTTCTGAAAGAGAGCTCGGATCAGGTGCTTGATCTCCTCGGGCTTGTAGTTCATTGTCAAGGGACCCTTTCCCGACGACCACTGCTCTGTGATCTCTGCCATTGAAGCACTCAAAATCATCTTCAACTGCTGCAATTTTCCCCAACTCTTCACTGCTGTATTGATTTCCAGCGGATCCTGTGGAAAGAAGATGCAAAGCATTATTAATATCTTTCTATTCTACACAAATTCGTTTTGAATGTACCTGAAAAATACTGGGAGCTCTCTCGATGATTGTCGTGCAAACCTCCACCAATCCATTTGACACAGCCGATGGAAGATCCTCCACTAGGAGAATTCTCCTGATCAGTTCATTACAGAATTCATTCAGCAGATTCCCCATGGTTTTGTTGTACACCACATCGGGAAGAATGGTTTGCCAGACATTTTTCAGCAAATCCAGCTGCCGAAGGCACTGACGGACGACTTTGAATGGCTCCAAGCCCAATTCAGACACTGCATCGCTTAAATCTGAAAGAAGACAAGCAAAAGAAATTAATAACAACACAAATAAAACCTTCTATTCCTTACCGAATCCCTTGAGAATGTCCATTAACTGGGAGCGCTGATTCTTGATCTGATTGAGAAACTGCTCAGATCCGAGATGTTGCAGGGATTTCACCATCACAGAGACAGTTTCGATGCCCTTGCTCTGATTCTTTGTGATCCAGAAAGCCAAGTACATGCAGTTGTTGTGAAACAGAGCCGTTTGCTGGGGAATATTGAGTAGGAGTTTGGCGTGATATGTGGGGATTTCTGTCAAATATCTGTCGAGGATGATGGAAATGGTGGAGAGAAGTCCCTGCGCCACCTTCGTCTCACTGCCCTCAATCTCCTTCAGTACGCGCTCCATCAGCGAAATGAGCTCCATTGTGCTCTTGGACACCATACAGCTGGGAAAGATCGCAGGACCACACACTCCGGCATCTGCAGCGCCCAATTTCTCCGCCACAGGAATCATATCATGCAAATCCTTTCGCATTATATCCACTGCATTGTCCAGGATGTTCCTGAAGAAGCGATTGCGGAAGAGAAGCTCAATCTTCTCAGCATATTCCAGCAATTCTCTGTCCTCTTCGCTGAGAAACAGCATCTCAACCAGAAATTCATTAAACTCCGTGATGTCGTCGACTAATGTGCTCTCATTCATCTCCATCATGTTGTCCGGAATGGAGTAATCAAGGCACTCACTCATGATTAGCTTCACAAAAGTCTCCTTCATGTACTCCCTGAGAATCCTGAAGACACACTCGCTCTCCGAAATGGAGATATTCATGTGTCCCAGGCATGAAAAGGCACTCTTTATGTGCTGGAAAACTGTCCTATAGTTGGGCCGTAGATCATCCTTCTCCTTCAAGCTGTACGACAGCTGCAGAGTCACAAACTGCGGATCCGTCTCCTTATCTCCATCCAGCGACACAGGTTTAGTTATGATCGGCCTGAAGACGTTCTCCATGAGAAATTCACACATCTTCCGCGAGTTGTATTTGGTGCTGACCAGCGCCGTGACAATCTGATGCAATTCATTCTCATTCTTCGAGATCTTCACCGTCACGCACTTCATGTTCTGGAACGTCTTCTCAGTCATTTGCACCAAAGATTCGAATTTCAGCTTCAAATTGTGCAGCATCGACTCGTTCTCTTGGCAATATTGTATTTTTATGTTCTCATAGCAGTTGAGATGCTTCAGGATATTGTCCGTGGGATCCTGAATGAGGCTCCTGAGCTCGCAAAGCAGGTTCATCACAGTGAGGTGCTCCTGCGTGGACTTGGCCAGCTCAATATCACTGAACAGTTGATCAATCTTGAGGATCTTGTGTGTTACTCGCAATCCCTGAGCGATTTCCTGGAAATTCTCATGGCACTGGCGCAACTCCTCACTCGCCACATCCATCTTTATCTCCTCCTCGAGCATCCTAAGCAAATCGTCCGTCTCACTGGCGAAGAGACTCTCGCAGCTTCCGTGGTACTTGTCATACTCATTCAGCTCCGGAAGAAAGTCAACATACTTGTTGTTGACGAAGCTCCTCACGTTGTCCTGGAACTTCTTTATCTCATCCGTGAGCTTCTGCACATTCTTTCGTATGTCTGCATTCCTATTCACGGTGGCGAGCTCCACCACTTCCCGCATAAAACTCATTTGGCCAAAAAAGGGAACAACTTCTGCGAAAAGCAACACGCAACTAGACACACCAAACTGAAGTTACCATCAAAAGTGACGCGCAATCCGAATTTTGCCGTTATGAAGGCATTTTTGCACACACACATGGAAACTCTGTTTTGGCTCTGCTCGCACACCAACAAAGCCGGCACAGCCGGACGATCTTGAGATTTCTGCAAAAAAATATATTTTCATGAGCATAACCTAAAACTGTGCCATTCCAGGAAGTTCCAGAATTGTCTCTGCATTTAATTTTCACTGTTTCTTTTGATACAACCACTTTTTCTGTGATATCTACTCTATCTACTGCAAAGATGGTAAATACGCCTACCTTTTCCTGCACTGTTGTTGTCAATTTTCTCTAAAAATAGCGGAAAATATTGTTTTCCAGTTGAAGACTGCCCTTTGCGGTGGAGCCTTTGGGATTGGAGCTCTCTATTTCGCACAATCGGGGAATGAGACCTTCTACAGGAACCTCCTGATGCCGGCCATATGGAGGATGCCTGCTGAGATGAGCCACAGGATGGCGGTTTTTGCCTGCAAGTATGGAATAATGGGACAGGAGAAATTTGTTGATTCCGAACGACTCCAGACGACTTTGTTCAACGTGAGAGTGTCAAATCCGGTGGGAATCGCCGCTGGCTTTGATAAGCAAGGCGAGGCGGTGTCTGGATTGCACAAGATCGGCTTTGGCTTCGTGGAGATTGGCTCTGTGACTCCGGAACCACAGGCGGGGAATGAGAAGCCGAGGTGCTTTCGCTTGATCGAGGATCGAGCCATCATCAACAGATTCGGCTTCAACAGCGACGGCCACGAGAAAGTGTACGAGCGGATCAGGAAGTTGCGCGACAGCGGATCATTCCAGGGTGTGATCGGAGTGAATCTGGGGAAGAACAAGACATCCGCACAGGCAGATGAGGACTACGTGGCTGGAATTAGGCTTTTTGGTCCCGTGGCGGACTATTTGGTGATAAACATCAGCAGTCCCAACACGCCCGGCTTGCGGAGTCTGCAGAGCAGGGAGAACTTGGAGGGTCTGCTGTCCAGCGCCGTGGCAGCCAAGAGAGCCCTTCCGCGAGATGTGCCGCTGCTGCTGAAAATAGCTCCGGACTTACTGGCGGAAGAGATGGACGAGATCAGTGCCACGATCATGCTGGAAAAGTGTCGCATTGATGGACTGATCGTGAGCAACACGACCACTTCTCGTCCTCCAACGCTCCGGAGTGAGTTTCGCGAGGAGCAAGGCGGCCTCAGCGGAGCTCCCCTCGTCGATCTCTCCACCAAAGCCATTTTCCACATGTACAAGAAGACCGGCGGGAAGATCCCCATCATCGGGGTCGGCGGAGTGTCCAGCGGCGAGGAGGCTTACGAGAAAATCCTCGCTGGAGCTTCAGCCATTCAGCTCTACACCTCGTTCGCCTTCCACGGCCCGCCAATCGTCAATCAAATCAAGCGGGAATTGGACGAGTTGCTGCGCAAGAACGGCTTCAAGAATGTCTCCGAAGCCAAAGGAATGGGCCACAATGTTTTGCCGCCCAAGAACGTCTAAAGGGTCTAAAGTTTATACACACAATTATTCCTCAACCTCTTGTTATGGTGCCAATTGTTAAAGTTAAAACTCCCGGCATTTTGGGCTTTAATGATTTATTTTTTTTTACATTGATTTCATCTAATGATTTCTCTCTTTTTTTTCTACTGAACCTGATTTTCTTACTTGTAATATTAAATTCATAAAAATTATCTGAAATTTATCTCTAAACTTTCATTTTTTTTCTGACCATCAAATTTAGGATTCAGTTTATTGTATCGATAACTACAAAACTTGCACTGCATCTTCTTCTTTTTTATCATTTTAATCTCCCGTGAGGAATTAAAAAAAAAAGAAACTCGCAATGATTCTTTACATTATTCAGTTGTTGTTGTACAAATCGATTGCAAGGAATTCATACAAAAGAAATTAATTAATTAGAGGAATCTTCACAAAAGAAACATTATTCTTTCAATATAAAAACTGAAACGTACTTTTAATATTAACTAAATAAATTTATATATATATATATATATTCTTTATAAGTCCTCCACTCTTCCGATGGTATCATCATTTTGTTCCGCCTGTTCTCTTGCGAGGGAGAAGCCTTTAGGTTCTTTTTTCTCATTTATTTCTCCTTTTTTTTGTCTTCTACTACATACTCTGAATGCAGCTCATATTCATCTTACTTCTACTCCTTATCAATTCATCTTCATTGCAACACACTGCTGATAAGTATGACAAGATTTTTTTCTTCATTTCCGTGTTGTAAGTGTTCTTCTTCTTCTTCAAACCATAAATGAAATTAAGAGTTAAAACGAAATTAGAAAGCACGCTATTTGATGTCCATTCACTAAAAGTGGGAGAGAAAGAAAAGGAGAGAAAAACAAACAATTAGTACATCCTTGTGTCCACATGTAAAAGAGAGACTATATAATTTTTGTTTCTTTTTTTTTTTAGTCAATAGCTTATAGATTATGAATAATGCGATGAAGTTCATTTTGTGAATCAATTTTGCATCTCAATTTCATTTCTTTTTTTTTTAGTTTCATTTGTTACTTTACGCAAGATTTCATTCATTTTTTGTTCTTTCAAAAATTATTCATAACTTTTAATTTAATTATACATTTTGTATGTAGCTGCGATTTCCATTTTTATAATTTACCGCTCGTTGTGGAGCCTTAAAGTTGGCTGCATGTTGCAGCTGAATTTGATAAGCTAGGGAATGAATCTTGAAGCCATATAAACTGCAAAGAGAGAAGATACAACTCAACAGAGATCAAGGAAATATATCAACACATTGCGCAAATTGGTAAAGAACGTGAAATTGTGATTCATACCGTGGCACAAATTGATTTGTCGGACGTTTGGGACGATACTCCGGATGCACCATGAACAGCATGTGCGGGAATCCAGTGCCAAAGTAAGCCCCATCCGTATGGTGGTGCCTTGATGATTTTGGTGTGTAGACATCTACGCACTTTGGACAATAAGATTTCACCATTGCCTCACCGGGAACATCGGATAAACCTGCAAAAAGGACAACACAGAAACAGTCAATTGCGAATGTCTCGAATCACAGAGTCTTTTTCTCAGAGCCTTCAGTGTTATTTGGTGTCTCAAAAGGCGCGACTTAGAGGCAATTTAATAATAGAAAAAAAGCATCGCCTCCACATTTCTATACTTTGACTGGCACATGCAGAATAATAATAATAAAATATTGCACGTCTATTAGTTAAGACCTCCATAAAACCCACAATATTTCCACTTCCTACGATCTCGAATGTGCCTTTCAACAGTCATAATTCTTTCCATTCTACACTGGATTGTTTTTATCCAATAACAACGCTCAATATTGATTAGACTAAACAGAACAGCTGCACTCTCGCTAGTGAGAAACTTATGCATATGGCCAGTGATTCTCTGTTTTCCTGACTTCCTTGCACTTTAGAGCCGGTGAAAAAAGATTGATAAAAGAACTCACCTAATGGCAACATCGGCTGACTTTCACAATACACTCGGGGGCAAACGCCAAAATCACCAGTTTGATATTTCTCTATCATTTGAGCAATTCCGCGGTTTGTGAGGATGTATCTGGCATGAATCAATCCGTACAGCATCTCAGCCGCCTGTTCAATCAGATCCGACTGGTTGGGATTATCGTCGAGTTCATCCTCTGTGCGGGAGAGAACAGCATTTACATTACAACACTCATCCTCACTCCACCCCTTCTGCCATTCCTTACCTGGTTCGAGATCCAGAATCATATCCAGCGCTTGCCTGTAATTCGGTACCTGCTCATTGAGCCCAGTCAAGTTGAACTTGTCTTGGATGTAATCCTCATCCACCTGCAAAAAGGGAATCGACAGAGCATCAGCACACGTGTCCCGGAATATTCCAGAGAGCTACACTAATTCAATTTCACTACCTCACAGAAGAATTCATTGCCTCGAAGACCACAGAACCATGAAATCCATGACACCTCCTCGGAGCTACTCATCTTTCTGCGTATAAGAAAGGCTCTTTAGTTTTAAAACCTCCACCTACGGGAAACAAATGGATGAACTTTGGACGCAGCAAGGGAACTCCGTCACTCTCAACTCGGAAAAATATTTTCATCAAGCGACTTCCGAGATTTTTGTCATAACTCGGGGAAGAAAAAAAATGATGTGAGATGTGGGCCAGACAAATTGCCACATTTCGCCACACAAAACCACTCGTGGTGTAATCTTTTGGGCAATATCCGTGGAGCAATGTGTGTGGAGTGTTTGGGGAGTATTTTAGGGTGAAAGAAAGAGGTATTTGAGGGAAAAATTACCTTTTAGTGCCGCTAGCCACGCTTGAAAAAAATATATGTACAAAAATGGCCTCCACTGACTGACATCCACTTTGCGACAGCGACGCCCTCGCACTCTGAACACTTTTGGTGCGTCAACTCTGCTGTGTCAGCAGCGCTTCGGGCGACTGGAATTGGCAAATCACATTGTTTATGGTTTTTGCGGAGAGCGGGAATGTTTGTGAAGTGCCAAGGAAATTAAGATTTTCATTCGGAATTTCTGCAAAACCAGCAAAAATATGTGTGCTAAGATGTGGAGGCAGATTTCATGCACGCGACTGCAGTTGCAGCTGAAGGCGACACTCACGGGAGGACAGAGTTTCCGGTGAGAGAAAATCAAACCCCAAAAGCTAACCTAAAATTTCATATATTTACCAATTTGGTTTCTAGATGGAAAATTGTGAAAAACGACGATATACCGGAAAACAACGAATATCTTGGAGTTATGGCAAATATACTGTGGCTCTTGAGACAGTCAGACTCTCATCTTCAGTACAAAGTGCTTGGGGAACTGCCATACACAAACAGACAGAGAATCAAAGTGGCAGAGCCTCAAAGGGTCCCAGGAGACGGTGATTTGCTGTATCCGGGAAAATACTACGAAGATCTACTCATCATGTACTTTCGTCTTGACATAAATTTGGAAGAGTATTACAGCAAGTGGTGCGAAGCTCATGATCACTTCAAGTCCACCGCCGGTCAGTTTCACGGGATTCGAGTGCTGAATCAGGATCCCGTGGAGAATTTGTTCTCCTTCATATGCAGCCAGAACAATCACATTTCCCGAATCTCGTCAATGGTGGAGAAATTGTGCACAAAGTACGGCCAGAGAATCTGCGAATATGAGGAGACTGCTTATCATGCATTCCCGAACATTGAATCCCTGGCAGAGAAGAATGTAGAGACTGACTTGAGACAGAATGGATTTGGCTATCGAGCGAAGTATTTCCAGAAATCGGCTGGTCAAATAGTGGAAAAGGGAGGCCTTGAGTGGTTTGCCGAACTGGAGAAGAAGGAATACATGGACGCGCGATCTGAGCTCATGACTCTGACGGGAATTGGACCAAAAGTGGCCGATTGCATCTGCCTAATGTCTCTCAGTCATCTCCAAGCCATTCCCGTTGACACACATGTGTACCAAATCGCCTGCTCTTATTACCTGAAGAAGCTGCAGAAGAGCAAATCCGTCACGACCAAGATTTACCAGGATATCGGCGATGAATTCAAAAACATCTACGGACCTCTGGCAGGTTGGGCGCAAACAGTTCTCTTCTGTGCCGACCTGAGACAATTTAAGGACGGAAAGGCGGTGAAGAGAAAGGCTGAGTAACGATGAGAAATAAATATGTTTCCTTTATTCCTGATAAATTGTCTGCAATAGAGTGAAATAGGAAATGGCCGAGCTCAAGGCTGTGGCGTAACTTTCGATGGAGATAATGTAGAATTTCGCTGCTGTGATTCCCAATTCACGCTGAGATCTCTGGATGACCAGAACGATGTGTCTCTGGATCATCGGCATGTTGTACCATTCGGAATCGTAGGCCGCGAAGGACACGTCGCTCGAAGCAGTGGTGAGATACGAGCCGAACCACGAGAACAGGAAAAGTTGCGTGTACAAGCAGACGCAATAAGTCATGAGCATGGAAAAATCGTAGGGAGTTTCTAATATCTGGAAAAGAATGACGCTGAAGATTAAAGGAAGTGCTGGAAATACTGCAGTTGCGTACGATTGAGAGCTGGAATCCCACAATGCAGAACATAAAGGTGCTGAGGAGGTACTGAATCAGCATCAAGACGTTCAATATGTCTTCGAGGCGATTAGTGAGGTTCATATATTGATTGTGCTTTATCACGACTTCTTTCAAAATCCTGAACACTTTTTGTGGCTCTTCTTTCACTAATTTGAGACTTTTCAGCGGCACTGCTAGGATCTTGAAGAAATCTCCACAGTAATTCATCAAGGCAATTGTTAGTGTATCGAAACCCATGAGAATAATCAGAGCGATTAATTCACAAGTGACGGTGAGACTAAAAATTCCAGTGTATCGCAGGAAATCGGTTTTCATTTGAAAAGGATATGTAATTCTAATGGGAAAGGAGAAGTTCTCGAGCTTGATCTCTTGCGACGTGGCGTAGAAATAAATGAGTTTAGTGATGAGCGGATTTAACATGAAATTCGTGGCGAAACCCAAATAAGAGTATCCAAACACTTTCGACACCAATTCTGCTCGTCGCACAGAAGAAGTCTTGATGTCTTTCGCCTCAATATCACTAATATCAACTGAAATATTGAGCACACAATCGTTATAAGCCATTCACAGTGGGTAAAGTTATCAATCTTACTGTGATTCCAAGCATTCTTCATGTCGTTGATCAACACGCGAATTTTCTCCTTATTCTTGTAGAAGAAAATCATTTTGAAAATGCACAAGTAATTGGTCAAGGACTCTGAAATCACACGACTCAAGTCCATGGCGTCGCTTTTGTGCAGAAACATGTAGTAGAATTCGGGGAAAACCAGGACGATAATTGTGATAAGGAGACACAAGAGACACTCAATTTTCTGGCTCAATTTCACGGCATCGCCTTCGAACCAGTATCCAGACCAATTCAGGAGCTTCTTGTTGGTCGCACAAAAGCCCTCCATTCTCGCAAGGATTCCCGGGGAAATGCTTAAACACAAGCGCAGACGAGTGATAACTATATTCTCGACAGGATTTCCGTTCATTTTATAAACAAGCTGTAATAATAGTAATTAAACGAATCACTAATAAACCTTGAGTAAAAACTTTTAAATGGTTTTTTTGGAAATTTCCTTCAATCACTTCTTTTAATTACTTTGTGACACGTGGTTTATTCTTCATATTCTCAAATTACTTCGATACTATTTATGCCCATAAATAAATTTCACCGATTTTACTCCATATTTTATTTATTCAACTCAACTAAAAGTTTGATAAAGATCCGGAAATACGATTCAAAACCTTCAAAACCTGCAAGTCATGGCTTAACCACTCTATTTGTGACCCTAAAACATGTTTATACACCAAATTATTCAGGAGTATTTCGTGAATCCCAGAAAATATTCTTGTTACCTACATTTTCTGGGAATCTTCCGTTCATCAATCATTTATCAATGAAGATAAAGTGGTTACGTTTGAGAAGAAAAAACTTTTGTTCTTGGAAATTTTCCCCTAATTATTGCTTTTACGTTTCTAGGAAATCTGGAAGACACATAAATATTGATTTGTTGCATTTCACAAGATGTTGTGCGGACAAGAAACAGCAGTTTTTGTGCGTGGAATAGTGAAAAACGGTCCAGAAGTAATGATTAAAATTACATTCAAGCTAATTTTTCTTTTCAGTCTGTATTAAAAGAGAAGATAGTACAATTTCTTCAAAATATGGAATTCTCCAAAGCTAAGAAATGCTCTAAAATCTCAAGATTGCAACTGCTTGCGAATCTTTGTTTGGACTTCCAGCGGGAATTCCTTGAGCTTTTCGCGCACACAAGTTATACAAAAGGTCGCAGTGTAGAAGAAACTGCATTCTGCTCCGCGGCAAACCACTTTCCCACATTGCGAACACTCGGCGCCCAGGACTAGGTAGCGTTCTGCTGAGTGCTTCCCTCGTGAGTCCATCGAGGGTGGTGAGAAAGGATCCAGCATGACGAAGGATTCTTCGCTGAATTGAATCTTCTTGGCAAACGGAGGATTTCTGCCCACGTAGTCACATTTTTCGGACATGGAGCACACAGAGCAGGTGAATGGGATTCTGGGCTTTTCTTCAGGACGTTTTCTATCACCCTCCGATTTCTCCGCTTCCGCCATGAGCAGCTGCAAAAGGGAAAAAAACCTCTTGTATCCACAGGCAAAATCATTTAATCCACTAGAAACTAGGATTTCTAACACAATTCTTCATCTACTGAGTCTTTGACATCTCTTGAGGCCACCAGGAAGGTTTCTTCGTGAACACTTCTGTTCCGCCAATGAGGATTTTCTTAGCTGCCAGGGCAGAATCTACGCGAAGGAGCGCTAAAGCATTGTCTTTGGCCACTCCTCTGAGCTTCCCGAGGTTCTTTCCTTCCTCATTTTCCACATTCGTGTCCAGCTTATCCGGAATTTGTTTGGAGTTGGTCACTGGCATCAATCTCTTCCGCACAACGCCCGTGTGGTAAGTCCTGGCTGTGAATTCCTGGCCCAAATAGCATCCCTTGTGCACGCTGAGGCCGTGCAAGTAGTCACAGTTGGCTTCCAGTGGGAAGCATTTGGCCGGCGGATGCTCAATTATTCCCTCTCCAACACCCAGACCATATCTATGACTCCTGTACTCATCTTCCACCACATCACATTGCCCTGAAGTGTCAGGAATCGTGGATTTCGGGACTAGAATTCTGTATCCCAAGTCTTTAAGTCGTGGATCCTGGCAAATTATCCCATTTTCCAGAGCCTCTCTCACGGGAACATCACCGTCATGTCCTTGAGCTTTGAATGATGCCCACACACTCATCTCTGACTCCAGGGAATCAATGGAAATCTTCTTCCGGACGCGAAAGAGTAGCAAATGCTTTCGCAACTCTTGCAAAATATCTGTGTCGCACTCTAGTAAGAATGTCTCCGGTGTTGGGTGATAGATGAGGGTATCATAGAGAACTCTCCCAGCCTTGTTAAGCACCATGGCGAACATTCCGGGCGCCCCATTCTCCAAGTGCCGCACGTCGTTTGTGATAAGGCCTTGCAGGAAGGCGCCACTCTCAGCTCCGGAGACGCGAATTAGTGCTCTGCTCTTGAGATTTTCCAACAGGAAGTGCGACTTAGGGCTAGTGGAGTAGCATCTCCGGGTGAATCTGGCCCACTTTACCAGCGACATTTAGCGAAAAGAGCAAAAATACACAAATTAGAATCCTTATTTACCTTTTTCTTCTCTCTTATATCACTCAAATGCCGCAAGAGGGCAGGGCACTGCAATACAGCGATATTTTCGAGCCGAAATTGAAATTTTTGAAGCTTTACATCGGTTACATTGCAATTCGTGCGATAAGAAATTTATTCATTCTGTTTATTCATTACTTCTGATAAAACGTTTGCAATAAAGTGAAATAAGAAATAGAAGAGCTTAATGCTTTTGCGTAACTTTCAATTGATATGAAGTAGAATTTCGCTGCTGTGACTCCTGATTGACGCTGGGATCTCTGGATGACCAGAACGATGTGTCTCTGGATCATCGGCATGTTGTACCATTCGGAATCGTAAGCCGCGAAGGACACGTCGCTCGAAGCAGTGGTGAGATACGAGCCGAACCACGAGAAGAGGAAAAGTTGCGTGTACAAGCAGACGCAATAATTCATCATAATAAAGAAATCGTAAGGCGTCTCCAGAAACTAAATTAATACAGATATAAAGTCAGAGAAATCATTGTAAAGAGGATATGATGTACATACAATTGATAGCTGAAATCCCACAATGCAGATCATGAAGGTACTGGCTAAATACTGGGCCAGCATGAGAAAATTCAAAATGCTTTCGAGGCGATCAGTGAAATCTATATATTGATTATGCTTGGCCACCAGTTCTTTTAGATCTTTGGAGATGTTTTCTGGTTCATCTTCCATTGAGTGGAAATTTCTCAAACGAACCGTCATGATCTTGAAGAAGTCTCCACAATAATTCATCAAGGAAATTGTCAGTGTATCGAAACCCATGAGAATAATCAAATTTATCCACACGGCAACAATAGTGAGGCCAGAAATGGCAAAAAATCGAGAGAAGTCACTTTTCATTTCAATTGGATACGCTATGCTGATGGGAAAGGAGAAGTTCTCGAGCTTGATCTCTTGCGATGTGGCGTAGAAATAAATGAGTTTAGTGATGAGTGGATTTAACATGAAATTCGTGGCGAAACCCAAATAAGAGTATCCAAACACTTTCGACACCAATTCTGCTCGTCGCACAGAAGAAATCTTGATTCTCTGCATTTCAGTGTTATCATTTTCAGCTGAAATAATAAATCACGACATTTTCATATTTATCTTCTTGAGATTTAGATCGTCAATATTACTGTAATTCCAGGAATCTCTCATGTCGTTGATCAACTCGCGTATTTCATCCCTTTTCTTGTACATAACAATCATTTTGCAAATGCATAAGTAATTCGTTAGAGACTCAGAAAGCACACGGCTAATCTCTAATATATCACTTTTGTGCAAATAAATGTAGTAAAACTCGGGAAAACACACAAAAATTGTGGTGCTGAGAAGACACAAGAAACACTTAATTCTTTGGCTCATTTTCACTGTGTTTCCTTCGAACCAATATCCTGACCAATTCAGGAGCTTCTTGTTCGTCGCACAGAATTTATCCATGATTTCTCTACAATCTATCTTCCACAGAAGCGCTCACAAACTAATCATTTTCCGAGATTCTCTCTTGTCCTTATGAATGAAATTTAATGAAGCAATTTGGATGAATACATAGTAATTTTCTAAGAATGAGTTAGACAAAAACTTCAGTCACACCTTTGACTACATGAATAATAAAAATTCAAAGGATTCAAGTTTCAAGTTCACTTCATTATTTACCGATTCCTTATTATTTCCAACTCCAATCCTTCTCCCATAATTTCGAAATCTCTCACAATGTTTTCCGTGTGCAATTGAATTTGTCCATCTGACTTTGAAGTGTGTTCATTCTGTGGCAATCAGCCACAAAACACTCACTAAGTACTTTTGTTTAGACTTTATTCAGCACCTTCAGCCGATGATCCAGAGACACATCGTTCTGGTCATCCAGAGATCCCAGCGTGAATTGGGAATTACAGCAGCGAAATTCTACATTATCTCCATCGAAAGTTACGCCACAGCCTTGAGCTCAGCCATTTCCTATTTCACTCTATTGCAGACGATTTATCAGGAATAAAGGAAACATATTTATTTCTCATCGTTACTCAGCCTTTCTCTTCACTGCCTTTCCGTCCTTAAATTGTCTCAGGTCGGCGTAGAAGACCAGCGGGCTTCGCTCAGCTGTAATGATCGCCCCTTTCATCGGGCAACACCAAAATCCTTGGCTTGCTGCTCACTTTACAATGCACAAGGGGGAATGTCAAGAGCAGTTGGACTTCGTGTTAGTGGTGCTGAAAATCAATTTTCCTACCAATTTACCATAGATTATCACCAAATTCTTGCACAAACAGTTAAATAGATCCTGTGTTAAGCTTTCTGCGATATGGACGACTCCAGAGATGAGGTAAAGTTGCAGTAAAATGCCAAATAAACACGCAGAGACATTTTTTTTGTTCTGTCGTGTATAAGTCAATAAAGCTCTGACATCATCATCAAAATGCGGAAAATGTAACAGAATTGCAATTAAAATTCACAGAATCAATTCGTCGTGGATGACGTGAGTAAGATCATCAAGGAGGCGATCGAGAGTACGATCGGCGGAAATGCCTATCAGCACGACAAAGTGAACAACTGGACGGGATCTGTGGTGGAGACGTGCTTGGGTGTCCTGACCAAGTTGCAGAAGCCTTATAAATATATCGGTAGGCCATCAAGGGAAGCGCTCCAAAAGCGCCCCAAATCCACTCATTCACTACTCGCAATTCTCAGTGACTAGTGTGTGATTTATTGCCTGAGAAACAATAGTCATAATATTAAATTATGTGGAAGAGAAAGTGCAGAGATGCGATTTCTCACATTTCCGGCATATTTGGCCAAAGAGAATGATAGAAAATCCCCATCCGGAACCGATCATTTTCCACCCATTAATAGCTGTTAATCACATTGAACAGTGATAAATCTGATTTACATATCGATGGGTGCCCCAAAGACCCCGAAGACTATGAAAAGTCGACTTTTGATAGAATTAAAGGCGTAATATTTGTTTCCTACTTAGTTGTTTTGCACTTCTTTAAACCTACTTAAAAATAATTTACTACGTGAAATATTAAATCTCAGTGAATTCAGATAGATTGTATTGTATTTATAGAGAAAATTGAAAATTCAGCGTGAATTTTATCTCAAAACACCTTTCAATCAATCATTAAAGTGCTAAAATTGCTCTGTAAAAATATTTTTTTGAAATATTTGGGTTAATTTCATTGATATTCATTGAATTTTTGACTGAAATATGGCAAAGTTAATAGAAAAACTATCAAAAATAGACTTATTATACCAAATATTTTCAGTTCCTTTATCAATTCTTCGTATTTCTGTGAATATTTCAATAAATAATAGTGGAATAATCTGGGAAATATGCAGAAAAAAATAGAGTAGAGCAATATTATCAATTTACTGGAAGATAAATTTCAAAGCGATATCAAATCTCAAACTTCAAATCGCTCCACTGAAAAATGGCGATTTTGACTTTTGATAGTCTTCGAGGCTTTCGTCGTATATAAAATATTCCTCTCTTTTTTGTTGCAGTTACTTGTATGATAATGCAGAAGAACGGCGCCGGACTTCATACGGCCAGTTCGTGCTTCTGGAACAATGAGACTGACGGCTCCTGCACAGTTCGCTGGGAAAACAAGACGATGTATTGCATTGTGTCGGTATTTGGACTAGCAATTTAGGCCGTGCAAAATGTATCCAAGATACTTCAATTAATGTCTCTTTAAGTAAAGTGAGTCGCAGGGAAGCGTTAGGGGACCACTGAAGTCACCAGACAGCTGCATTAGATCATTTAAATGAGAAGTAATAACATTAGAGACAAACTCAGAATCTTTGCGTTATTGCTAGCCTTCAACCTGTGACACAGTATAACTTATTTCACAACCTGTAAATTAATCCAGATATTCAGGAATAAAAAAAATCTAGAATTTATTTTATAACCAAAACTACAAACATTTATTTTATCTCATTGGGATCATAGAAAAGTTGCAAAACATGTTAGAGGATTAATACAATAAAAAATAGAATGTATCGCGTTAATGATGTTAACGATGTTAACGAATAATGGTTAATAATGCTCGTAAGTAAACTCAATAAGGAAGTCGACGATCGAACGCTGACACAAGACCACTAAGGTAGGTTTTCCCATTGATGGCCACTTCCTGATTTAGTGTTTCGCTGAGAAATCGATGGCACTCCACGTAAGTCTTCTCAATCTGATCAATTTGCGGCTGAATCTCGAATGAATCCTCCTCAGTATCGCTTTCGAAGTCCTCCTTATCGATGGCCAGCCACTCGCTGCGCACGACTTGTACGAGATAAATCAGTTGATTGACGCCCGTGAGGATTTTCTCGCCGTCGCGCTTCTGGAAGCAGTGCTCCAAGAGTGTCTCCAAGTAGTCATGATGGGCAGTTGTGATCTGCTGCAGACTCTGTGCCGTGGCAATTTGCTGCTCAATGGCATGTCCGTGGTGCTCCAAGGCTTCACTCATGAGATGATAGTGAATGTTGTTGAGCGCATAGAGAATCCAGGAGCGAATGATGGCCAGACGACGATTGTTGCGCAGCTTCTTCGTCAGCACAGCATACGGCGAGGCCATGGAGAAGCTCTTAGTGAACTTCAGACTCTCCAGCGTCCACACACTCCACTTGATGCTCAGCAAGAAGACAAAGAGACGATTGTAGCTCCGCATGGAAGTCTCATCAAACACTCTGGACATGTCGGATGTCATCTTGTAGATCAGGGAAATCTGCCGAATCACCTCCAACACCGTGCCACTCTTGCAATCGCGCAGAGACGCCACATCGATGCAGAAATTGCCATGATCCTCTGGATATTTAGTCGAGAGGACATTCCGAAGGTTGAATGTGAGAGAGAGCGGATGAATATTCCCCGGACGTGTCTCGATATTCTCAAAGAGATCCGTATAAAATGTGAACATCGTCGAGCTGTCCTCGAGGAGGAAAACATTCCGGATGATACGAAAGTGATGGAGTAAATTCAGCTCTTTGGTGTAAATATCCACCATCACTTTGTCCGACGCCTGAATCTCAACATTCAGCGTGTCATTGAGGGCTTCCATAATCATTCTCTCCAGTGGCAATATTCCCTGACTTCTCTCCATCAAATTCCTCAGCACAAGATTCACAGTTGCTTGATTGCTGTTGAATTTACAAGTAGATTTCTCAAAGATCTCCAGCAATAGTTTTCCGCCTTTCTCCAATGTTTTCTTCCGGAAGTCTTCATATTCTCCACTCACGGGCGATGATTGGGCAGTCTTGACACTCTCAGGCGAGAGATAATCCTCAATTGCCTCCAGAAACTTCTTCAAGAAGTCCTGACAAAGCGAGTTTGTGGTTCTCATTTTGAAATTCCCAGCACGCGACAGAGTATGAATGGCATCAAGTCTCTCCTCGATTTTCTCACATTGCGTCTTCAGGAGCTGCAGAATTGGACATGTGGACAGAAGTTCGTTAATTTCCCGCTCCTGCTGAGTGTTCTTGCTCTGCTGATTCAGCTGAAATGACCTGAACACAACTCCGCCCTCAGCACTGATGTCCTTGACGATGAACTGCTTCTGCTCATCAAAGATCTTCCCAAATGACCACCAAGAGTTGATTGTCTGCAGATAGAACTGAATGACGCAGGTGAAAAGGGATGCAGCCACATTCTTCTGCACTCTATTGAGACCATTCTGGACGATGTGGAAGATCTTGGCCTGGGAAGAGAGACAAACACTGTCAGCGTGAGAAAGACACGCGATTCCACCACGAATCTTACCTGCATGAAGGCACTGCAGATATAACGTGGATAATATTTCCACTCCAGCGCGATGCTCGCGTGGATCTTCGCGACGGATTTGATTATTTGCAAGTGTGGCTCGAGGCCATAACAGAAGTTGAGGAGAGTTTCAGGCTCATGCATGGTTTCCGGGGTGATTTTCTTCTCCGCTTCCAAGAGATACTCTTCCATTGGGTGCAGCAGATCTTTCAGTGCCTCCGCATAAATGAAATAGACTTGAGGCGGAGCATCTTCGGCATTCAGAACGCGCCGACAGAAGGTTCTCAGGCGCAGAACAATCGTCATGGGCTCAGTGAAGTCAGCCATGAATTTCCTGAACACGATGACATTCGAGAGATCCGCGTCTTCTCTCAATTTCACCGTGTCATTCGCGATGCAGTAGAAATTGCAGTTGTCCGGATGGAAAAACATCCAGATCACTTCGCGAATTGGACAGTGAAGCAGCGAGAAAGGGACGCGATCTGAGAGACTTGCTGACATCGATGATTCCTCAGTCTCAGAGTCTGAAGTCTCTGCAGATTCTCTATGCTGAGCCGGTTCATCGCCCGGCAGATATCGGAGGAACATCTTGAGATCCTTTCCATCTGTTTCTTCAGCAGGATTTTCCACTTCCTCTTCTGATTCACTCCATTCGCTCAATTCATCCTCCGTATCGTCAGCATTCCTCACTTCAGTCGCCTTTTCTGCCAGTGATTTCTCTGGATTCACCAATTCCACGGGTTTTTCCTCCACCGCGAGTTCCACTTTGCTCGCGCTTCTCATTTTCTTGGCTCCTTCGATGGGATTCTTGGACAGAGTCAGAATGAGATCCAAAATCTTCCAGTTTTCGTGAGAATCATTGTGCTCCTGACCATCATTTTCGATCAAAATCTTGGAAGTCTCCTTCACCATGTCAGCACATTGTCCTAGATTCTCCACATCCAGTCTCTCAGCGATGCTCAGGATCTTCCTTTTCACCTCATTTGTGCTGACAAAGTTCGAATTCACTCCCCGAATCCGGGAGCGAGCAAAATCCCTGCAGAGCCGATAATTCTTATCGTTCTCCTAGAATAAATCCACAAATTAGTTCGCCTATGCAAATTTCCCCTATTCCTCAACGACCTACATTAAATCCAGTCAGTGATTTTATCAATTTTGGCAAATTTTCCTCAAAAACAGCCTGTTGTTCCATTTTTTTTCAGGTTATATTCATCAAAAGTTACTAGATTATTGAGATTTTCTAACAACAAGTTGATTAAATGCAATTCATATCTCTTCTAAAGGCAACTACGAATATTTTCTGTACTATACAGCAACAATTATAAACGAAATTAGTGTATTTTCAGCTAAATTGTAACATTTTTATCCCCACAAAACACACAAACGCAAAGCGGTTGTCAAAATTCCAAACAATTCCAATGTGTATTCAAATGTTTCCGCCAGAGGCGTTGAGGTGCACTTTTTGGCGCCGATTAATAGAAATTTCTCGATATCTCGAGGCAAAATGGCACATTTTTGGTAGCAAATCGAGTCAAATTACAGTGCCATTCTCCTCACACCCACTTGACTGACCACCAGTCTCCTGCTGGGGCAACATGATCCTGCAGATGAAACATTACAACTTGTGATCATTGAGCGAAGGGAAAAATGGTCTGAAAAGTCAGAAAAAGGCTCTGAATTTACATTAAAAACATATCCATGCAGACTGAAAATCAGTAGGGAACTTTCAACATTTGCCTCAAGTGGTTTAATTTCTCCTCCCTTTGCGACATTTCGAGTTTTTTTGTACCTCTTCTCGATGATTTGTGTGTATACATTTGTTTGCGACAAATTTTTGGGAAAAATTGCATTTACACACCTTCTAGAAAAATCATAGTGTCGAAAAAACCGAGCAAAGTGGTTTTACTCCGCCCATTTTTACTTCGCATGCGTATTTCGAATCCACAGAATATGTAGTTGAGCTAATAATACAAAGAGGAGGAGCTGAGAAAATTCGGCATTGCAAATGTGAGTAAGAAAAGTCAGTCATGGAGGAAAATGTCCGCCAATTTTCCCCTGTAATACATGTACAGCACAAGGAAATCCCCTTCGGCGAGCTGCAAGAGGAGCAAGAGAGAGGTCTGGACTGAAGGCACTTGAGAAAGATCCCTCGAAGAGGCACATGTTGGTCCAGCCCACACACCCGCAGCCACGCAAGACAGCTCTTGTGGGTGAAAACTTTTCAGTCAGTCAATTACGGTCGGAGGATTAACATTGAAAAATCCCGGGGACGCAAAGTGGTGCAAATAAATGATGAATTTTGTGACTGTTTCTGAATTGAAGAATTTCAGCGAATAAGTGTTGTGGATAAAAATGAGCAATTTCGAAACTTCAGCGGATATTTGCCAAAGACTTTGTGGAAACGGAGGTTCTTTGGTGGATCCTTATTATGAAAATAATGGTGGAAATTTTTACACAGCAATGTACCAAGCGGATTCACAGCAGAATGACATCAGTGAGTTTTAAAAGACACTGTTTATTATTTTAAATAGAGAATATACATGTGAAAATAATAAAGAAAGTCGTGCAGAAAAGTAAATTGAAAAGGATCGCTTAAAATACCTCATAATTTGTCATATTTCATGAAATTACAATGTTGAAAAGTTGATAAACTCTTGGAAAAATAACACTAAGGTGGACTTACTAGTCCTTAGACTGTCGAGATCATCTATTTTTTCTCCAAAATTAATAAATTTGGATCAATCTTATGGTTATTAGTTACAAAAGTATCAAGAAAATCGTCTAAAAGTTTATTCAATTAAATCATTCGGTTCCAAATAAGACCGAACAAATGTATTTGATGTAATTTTGGTTTAATTTGAACAAACCATGGAAAGACTATTGTATGTTCGGAAATTTCGAACAGCAAACTTAATTTCTTGACTGAAACTCTCCTAAATTGATTATATTCTGCTGTCTTGGAACAACAAGACACATTAGCTTGCCACAGATTTAGCAATGCATAAACGATTTGACAAATAAACAAGACAGCCTGAAAGAGCTCTCTTTCTCACTCGACACTGGACGAAAAGTCATAGGCTGTAAACAGTAGACATGTAAAATACCTACTAATAGTTCAAAAGGTTTAAAGAAATGCAGCGGAAAAATTATTGTGTGTTTCTTTACTCCATAAAATCCGGATGTAAATTCTCGTATGTAGCATCATCTCATCAAATTGAATGTTTACGTGCTCTCCATTCCACACTTTTGTGTGTTTATGGTCTTTGAGTTTCTCATGTGTCTTTTTCTAAGACACGTGTTAGTTTGATTTTTCCTCGCCACCCAATTTCACCGTGATGACAAAATTGTGTAAATAAATCCGGAGAAATTTTCCCTAATGAAGGGATTAAACAAGAGAGAAATGGAATGTTTAGGTCTTCCGCAATGTAGAACTTGCGACGTTGCGATTTTCTTATTGTGTTTAAGCTATCGACAATGAATTTGAACCAAGTTTAACCACAATTTCTAGAGGAAAATAGTTAAAATTGACAATTAAAGTGCTAATTGGCGTCCATATTGATTTATATCTGTCCTTTTTTCCCCTAAAATTGTTCTAAAAAGTCAATTTCAGACATTTTGTATCGATAAGTGTTGGTAAGTTAAATAACTTACCGACTTTTCAACGTAATCATTACGTCCATACACTCATAACCCGAAAAATCCCCCAATTTTAGGGGAAGAATAGGACTGTTATAAATCAATATGGACTATTTACCCCTGAATTATCGATCTTAACCAAAGGAAAAGTCACAAGAGAATTTATGAGGAATCTGAAGCGTCTTAATCAAATTTTTCAATATCAATTTGTACTTTGTATGGAAAAAGTCAGATACCGAATCAAAATTTTGATTCGGTTGATTTTTTTTGCGAGTGATTTTTCCTCTGATTTTAACCGTTTTCCCCTTGAAATAGTGTTAAAACTTAGTTAAAATTGATGAATGCTTCGCTTTGCAGATGGAAGTCACATCGTGAATGAGGAGAACAGCTACTGGGGCTCTCCATGTAGCTCAAATTCACCCCTCAGCCGCCGCGATTGCTCGCCCAGCAGCGGAACTGGAAGCAACCTTCGGCAGAGGAACAGCATGTCGCCAACTTATCACTATCCGCCTCACGTTTACTATCATCATGCGCCGCAATACGAGAAATTGGGTAATTTCCTCATCTTCTGCCTCTTCACTGTGCCTAATTTTTCTCCATATATGAAGCTAAGAGATGACTAATTAATATGACAAATATTTTGAACTAGGATCATCTCTCGGTTGATTTATTTTCTTAACATCTCCTTTGACATGCTGAAGAAAGTCATCAAAAGGGAAAAAATGAAACACGCCCACGTTGTCTGGTCGTTTATCATAATTTCTCTTGTTTACTTTCATAACATATAATTTTCAGAAGGATTATTATTTGGTGAAATTGACATTCTTAATGATTTGGCAGCATTTTTTCTCTTAATAATCTTGTGCTTGGAAGAAAGGGTTAATATGGTTAATTTGCTCTTCTTGTGTGGAGGTCCCATTTGTGAGGAGGGTGGTTACTTTAACACCACGACTACAGAAGTGATTACGTCCACACCTTTTGTTCGAGTGGTCAAACGTCGAAATACGGCCAACAAGAAAGAACGACGCCGAACGCAGAGTATCAACTCGGCCTTCTCCTACTTAAGAGAACGCATTCCAAATGTACCCTCCGACACTAAATTGTCCAAGGTAGGATCGCATAAGCTTGATTTTGTGTGATTTATCGCAATATTTGGGAATAATTTCAGTATTTTACACACAATTCTTCCTCTCTTAAATTAAGAGATGGGGTAAAATGGTAATGAATTGATTTATTCATTCAGATCAAGACACTGAGACTTGCCACGTCGTACATTACGTACTTAACGCAAGTGCTGGAGGGGAACCAAGATCCATCCGGCGGTTTCCGTGCAGAATTGACATCGTCTAGAAAAATAAATGCCGAAAGGAGAGCAAATATGAAAAATGAAGCACAGGTAAGTGAAGTTGAGAAACCGTGGCTTTTAATTCAATAAAACTACCGAAGATGGGCATAAAAAACACCACAAATACTCTGGTAGGTTGAGTGTTGAAGAGTTTTTGAATGAGAAAACTATCCTCCGAGGCCCATTTGCTGCCTTTCAAGAGACACTCTGATAAGGAGGAGATTGTGTAATAAATTCGGAAATAGACAGGCATCTGGTTTTGGCCAAAGTGAAAACTCCATTAGATAAAATTGTAATATTGCCCTGAAAATTGAGTTCTCGCTGCTGACGCAGAAATTGTTCCACTTGCAGATATTAATTGAATTTGATTGTGGCACAAAAATTTAATAATAAATATTTCCCAAACACACACACACACAAATGAGAGTGAATACTTAACACCCTGAAATTGTATTTCACATCATTTGAAATAACACAAAGTGCACACTAAACCGCCTCAAAAATTACTGCATTATGATCTCTCTAAGTGATAAAGCCGCAAATTCACTGCATACGCTGTGTTTTCGTACTCATCTGCGAGTTAATTCAATTAGATTGCAGTGCTATTATGTAATTGACTCTTAACGCAAACACACCCTTCAGCTGAATTTAGGGGTGACACTCAGCCCTAGCTGCATTCCCTCATTATAGTTTATTAGAGGGTTGGAGATTTTAGTTATATTTTGCATGAAATACCATTCAATTGGTGATAAACTGTCATTTTTCCATCTTAAGTGATAATTATTGTTCTCCAACGTGTGACTTTTATGTACAAAAGCCGAACAAAAACCCATTTGTGGGATCGGTTTTATGAAATGTTACGTAGAAGATTTCCCATCCAATCAGTGCCACTTCACTTTTAGCGTCGGGGTGGCGGGAGAAAACGTATAAAGAGGAATATATCATGGAAATTGTACGCCTTTTTCCAGCAAGTCACTTAAGATTCTGAATGTTCTACACAAGGAGGAGATATTATGCCTTGAATCTGTACATCACTTCCTGACACTTCCACAGTTTTTGTGCAGAATCTTCAACACTCTAGACACTTCTGAATGCCGCAAAAGACATTTTCTATTGCTTTTTCTACTTCTTTAACTGCTTCTCTTATTGATTTCTGACTTATCACAATTTAATCTGGGTTTTTCTAGGAAAATGGTTATACCATAATATCTGCTCCTTGGTTCTACACACTTTTCCAATCTATACATTTTTCCTTCCTGATCTCATCACTTTAATATTGCATTCGTGTATCAAAAGGAAATGCAGCCTCAATTGTCTATGGGCAATTTTTTTTTAATTTGTAGCATTAAAAGAGACTTCTTCTTCCAGTTAAGAGTGCTGCATGTGCTTGAGTTTGTGCGGAACCGCGTTTGAAGATCAAATCGGAACTTTAAGTGGCTTTCAAGTGACAAAGAAATTTTTCATGATTAGACCGCGATGGGATTGAAGAGGATAGAGTTTCCCACAGAGTCGTTTCGATTCAAAGAGAAGGAGTTTCCTCACTAAGAGGTCGAAAGAGGGCAAATTTGTTAAAAGACAAATCAAACAACTAATTGTTATATATGCAATTCTCAATATTCCATCTTTTTCTTCTCTCATTCACACAGATCTTCTTGACGAATTCTGACATTTCGCCGGTGGATCCCAAGAAGACAAAAGGACGAACAGGCTGGCCACAAGATGTTTGGAATCAGACTGTGTGGAAGGAAGAGAAGCAATAAGAAAACGACCGACGCATTATAATTTTTCCAAAGAAGAAAATTCTTAAGCCAATTTTTTGCCAAATTGAATTGCGAAAAAAAGATTCATATAAATAAGAAATAAATAAAAGTAAATATATACATAATACAAAGGAGAAAATTGTTATTTCTAATCGCCTGAGAGAGAGATTATGTAGGAAGATCAAGAGCAAAGAAGCTGCATCGAGACTATTAAATATCTCTTGATTGTGAGTGAATTTATTTTTGGAGCATTTTCTGTACCTTTGGTTTATTGAACAATTTTCCAGATGGCCCCTGTTTGTTTGCCTGTGTGAATATGTGAGTAAACTTGAGTGAGAGACAACTGAAAATGCCCCTACAATTTTATCGAATTTTCTCTCGTATTCTCTGAAGCGAGACTCTTCACTTACTAACATTACTTAAATCTATGGTTTCTCGCATTTTAGCACATAATATCCTGACTAATATACAGAAATGTCTGTCTTTGTGTGTGTATTTTCTAATTATATGAATTCACTTAAAAACTCTCCTTCAGACACACTTCTTCACGTGCACATTATTTGTATTAAGTAAATGAAATAAATGTTTAAATGATATTATTTGCGCAGGGAGGAATTTATTTAAACAAATTCACTACGTGCTAATGCTAAGACAACCACAGCCAATGTGAAGATAAAGTGAACAACCCAAAAGACGCATTGAGGAAATGAAATATCTAAAGAGATGCTACAGCTATAATTGTTCTTTTATCACACTTTCTAATTTACATTTTAAAAAGCTCTCAAAAGCAGCAGAGATAAAAAAAATATAACATCATGACGGAAAATTGGAGTATTGCTTGGAAAATTGATAAATTTTCAAACAATTTGGAACAGAGAGCTTTGTATTTTCACACAGATTAAAAATTTGCAAAATTTCTAGTGAAAAAATATTTAATTAAGAGTCTAACTCTAATGAGTGTATGAGAGTTATAACTACGTTGATATGACGCTAAGTTAAGAAGTAAATCTCGCTTCATTTACTAAGGATTAACTGAGCTTATTAATCTGAGCACAGATATTCAAAGTCGTATTTGCACTTTATTCTGGGATTTAAATAGTTCAAATAAGTACGAATTGGCTCACTTGAATGAGTTTTATTTCCTCAAAAGAGCACAAAATCTTCCCTTAGTTCCCCTTAAAAACTGCATAAGACATTCGCGAGGTTGCCATGAAAATGCCGCGCTCGGAATAGTCTAATGATTGTCAATTGATATTCATGCGTCAGTCTGAAGTCGATCTTTTATGCCGACTGAAAAATTTTCTGGCAAAATTCAAAGAAAATCACGGAAATCGCTAAATTTTATACTTTCCTGATCGGGATAATACATTTTCGAACTGTAATTAAATTCCATACCGTACGCCCATGTCGACATTTTATTGAGCATATAAAACGCTAATGAAATTATCTAGAAATTATAATAGTTGTTAAGTCTTTATAATTTTCTCAAATGGAATTACTATTTATTCTACAGTCGTAAGACACATGCGACCGTCGTTCGTCATCGGGTTGAACGATACATTTTTATAGGGTTGCCCCTATAAGAATAAGCGTAAAACACAGCATCACAATTTCCCTTACAGTACCCACAATACAAATAGGATCAGAATCCCAGCCAGTCTAAAAATCGACGATTGTGTTCAATTGTCTCGTGGTCAGAAACGGCGGAGAGACGCTTCCAACGCAGATTAACAGTCTGAAGAGCTTCCTGAATTACTCCAGCGTTTCAGAAGAAGACGACAAAGTAACTAAATGTGAGATAAATTGTGATAAAATTGTAGAAACCATGAATAGAGGATGATTTTCTAATAAAATGCAGAGAATTTCGATATATTATTGGTCTTCTTAGGGGATCTAAAGAGATTCTCTACGCTGAGACAAAAGCTCCATGGAGAGCTTTTAAAGGAACCTCGAGAATCTCTTTGTTCTTCTATAGAGACTGATAATTTCTCTTCAGTTTCATACAAAAATTTGTCCCGGAGACTTTAAAATAGCGTCTGATGATCTGATTAGCGTTCGTCCTCATGAATTGTGCGATAGATTTATTCAACCATCGCAATTTTACACACTTGCAATTGATGTTATCACATTTTATATGGCTTTCGTGGAATTCAGAGCCAACTGAGCTAAAGGACTGTTGGTGTTTGGAACGTGGAAGAAGTACAACATAAATCCGGCGGCAAGGAGAAAGTGTGCTCCAATGATGCCCAGAATAAGGATTAGGGAGAACTTGGAGTTGCGAAGCGCCGGCATCATGACAAATATCAGGACAGATCCGGACATCAGAGCCGCCGTGATCACGAGAAGCCACTGCAGGACTGAAACCTGTGGGCAGAGAGCATTAATAGCTTGAGAGACTTGTGAACGCTGCGGAGTCTCACCTGAATGACCCACAGGATCGACACGGGGACGTAGATGGCCAGGGAGTAGCCGTAGATGCAGAGGAGCGTGAGGAATCCGGGCGTGTAGGCGCTGGTGTCGGTCTCCAGGTCGGCGCTGACGGGCTTCAGGCTCCACTTGAAGGCGCCCCAGAGCGCCAGCGGCACGAGGCTGGCGTAGATGATGATCGCCGTGGCGGCGTAGCTGACGAGGTGGAAGTTGTAGTGCCAGTGGAAGTTGGAGCTGGCCTGCTGCAGGTAATTCGCCACGTTCCCGCTGATGGCAATCGAGAAGATGAGCGTGATGACGATCCAGATGGGGCCGTAGAGGTCCGGATTGGAGCCGATCTGCGACTTCAGATACGTCGATGGGGCTCTCTTGGGGATTATCGCCGAGGCTATTCTGTCCATGACCATAAATGTGTCCACATTGAAGAACTGCTGGTAGTACTCGATGCTCCAGAAGGAATAGTTCTTGCCACTTCCTGCCGCCTCCGTTTCGTCAGGACTTCCGGCCATGAGTTCCTCCAGAACATCTGTTCTCTGTCCGGATCCACTTCCGCTCTTCCCAGGCGAATTGATGTTGATCTGAGCGATTCCTGCAGAGCCACTCGGATTCGCGCTCGCCAGTGGAAAATCCTTGAAGGACAGCAATTCGTCAGAATCCGTGGACATGATCTCACTTTTCTTCTCACGGAAAATGCCGAAAATGTACACGTAAAATTACTTTTTCGCTATCAAAATGAAATTTCTGATGTGTTGTTTTGACGTGTGGAACCTCGAATGGAAATACACTTCGCAACATGTTCCAAGAATATAGTAAAAATCAAAGAATATGATTTGTTATTATTTTGATAATTGAAGATATATTTAGACGATTTCAAGTGTTTTGCAATAAATTGGAGAAATAGTCGTGAATTTATGGATTACACAAAAGCTCCTTTGCTTGTTTTCTGAGCGAGCAATAAATTTCCCGCAAAAGTACACTGTGAAAAAAGGAAATGGGATATTTTATTTTAAAAAATAACGAATAAATTCCTGTTTTGATAGGTATCTTTGATGAATCAGTATAATTTGACAGCAAAAAGCACTCAGATAAGGAATATAATAAACTTTTGAACACTTTCACTTCCTATAATACTTCCGATGAGCTGTATACCACTTCTGACTGTACTATCACCCCCTTGTTTACAGTTTTCATAGCAATATGCAATGGAATTTTCTTCATATCTTACCGTAAAGTGTTCGATAAATCGTTAATTGTAGGATATCAAGTGAATTCCAACTTGAATATATGATAATGTGTTAATTTGTGGAAGAAAGGGGTGTCTTGAGCAGCACTGCTTTGGCCTTTAAACGAGGTTAGACGAGAGTTGTCAGGGTAGAAACACCCAGTCCTGAAAATTCTCTGTGCTCCATTAATCAAATTCCCATCGAGTGTGCTGATGAAGTGAGTGAAATTTATGATTAACATGTATACATATGTAGAGACTTGATCATCCCTGGGGGGGAATAAAATATGGTGAATAGAAGGATGGAGTAATTGGAGTTGATCTGGAATGTCAAACGGATGTGTTAGAATGGGAAGAATGTGGAATCAGTGCTATTTTTTCGGGAATTCAAAGTGTTTATTCAAGTCGAAGGAAGGCGAATCACCCTCCCCTGGAACCGTGACTATTTATAGTGGCAGTGAAAGTTCAGCAGAGGCAATTGTCAGACTGATCTCCCGAATGCTCATCAGTCTGCCTTCAGTCGTGGTGTGAACAAGTCTAGCTGTTGTCCTAGTCGATCCTTTTGGCTCCCGCACAAAATGTGTTCATTTTAACGATGTAATAAAAAAGTGATGGAATTTAAGGTAAAAGCCAAATTGCCTTCGTGAAATGGGCTCTTGTCTCCTCGAGGGCGTTTTTATTGGAGTCGGAGGAAAGTGGCAGCAGTTCAGAGGGTGATCTTTTGGGGCAATTGCAAGAGATTTGGCCGCTGTAAGTAATAGGAAATGGAAAATATTTTTAGGCTCTGGTTTTTTGCGGGCTCTTTTTGTCATTTCCCGAAAGAACGCGCGCGCGGCAAATAGATGCAGTGAAAGATGTGAAAACTTCCGTTGTGGATTTTTACAATCCACCCTGACGAGAGAAAACATCACTTCCCCGCGCGACATCACTTGGTCGAGCAACGGTGAATAACCTTCCGGTTTATTTTAAGTAAAAATACAATAGCAGAAAGGAAAGCTATCTTTTAGTGTATCGCCCTTCCTGCTAACTATAATTAACGCGGGAAACTGCATTTTTTCCTTATACGGATGTCGAGAGAGCGCTCTGCATGGGGGAAACACGTGAGCTCCATGAGCTGCAAAGACACCCCTTGATGACTTGTCGTTCGTGTAAAATATTCTATCTTCTGAGACGCATCAGGCGCATCTCTTCACTTTCCCACCGACATTTGTGGATGAAAATCAAAATCCTACCACAAATTAGCGCATTTTCTAAACACATTCAATTCCCAGCGAGCCATTGACCTGTTTTATTGCTGAGTCAAAGTGCTCACAATTGAGCTTGCAAGACGTTGAAATTTAGTGACCAAAACTCCATTCCTCGATATATCAATCGATTTGATTGAAAATTTTCCCAGTTTTTCGTGGTTTTCAGTCTCCTAGAGGACAATAAACACCTTAAAATATTTATAAATTGCCTCTAAATACTTTTAAACACAAGAATCTTTTATTTTCCTGTGCTAAATGTGTCATGAAAAACGCTCGAACAGATGCTTTGCTACGCCACTGTTCGGAATCGCTTGAAGAAAATCTAGAGAAAATCTATTTTCTTTAATTTTTCTCTAAAACAAAAACCGGTCTGTATTTCTAATAGGATGTATAAAAATTGCTTCAATGAGCATCCTTGAAACAGAGCCTTAAAGTGACATAAAAAACAAGTTAAAAGGGGCGATAAGAGGCCTGAGAGTACAATAATCGAATTATATATTTAATAATCTTGATTGTTGTACCAATACCTTCACTAATCGCCGCTACAATTGCAAGTAATGCTAATACTTTGACCTGAAACAAGCGCCTTTGCGAGCTGATCTTGAAAGAAAGTGAAGAAAGTTCTTAGGCGAATTTCGAGAGGCATGAATTTGAGCAAGATTCTTGTCGTGACAGAATGAAGAAAGCACGAGTGCTGTGCTTCTTCACTGTGAAACCTTTCATTACTCATAGAATGCAATTAGCATTGAACTTCGTGCTTCGAAAGAGAAATTATTTCTGTATTTCACACTCAATATATGTAGGTTTATACTTAATGTGTGATCCAGTTGCTAGAAACAGATTATTCATAATAAAACACATTACAAATCAGCTGAAAAAATGAGAGTAATTTCATCAATCAAATTAATTATATACTTTTCTAATAGCTCAGTTAAATATGGAGGAAGATTCTCTATATTGCTTTTACCGAACTGTGCAAATTCTCATTAGACGCAGAAAGAAAGTTTATGCTGTGTCGTTTTGGAAACACTTATAAAATGCCACATCACAGACGAAATATTTGCAAGCAATGGTGGAAAGACTAAAATTAAACCGACTGAGAGATTTTTTCCCCATATATTTAATTCTGTTTAGTCGCATATTGTCTCAATGGCGATGAAATACTTCAAGTGTTTCACGCTGAAGGTGATTGAAGAAGGGATCCCTATTGTGGCGGATTTGGGAAAATGGGTCCCTGTGAAAAATGCGTGAATTCTTTTGGAGAAAATGCGCGCATTTTTGCCGGCGTCTGCAATTTCCCCGCAGAATCATAATCTGTCTCCAATGTCTGCATGCGGCTGAGTGTGTGTCTTTAAAAAGTGGAATGTATATCTTGAGGATGGGGCAATGTAACGTGTATCTAATCTATTTTTGTAAATAGTCATTACATTTCGTCTTGTACAGCGAATCACACAAGGAAGAACCCCAGCAGACAGCATCGGTGTTGATATATCCAAAGGCGTCACACAGGCAGCGCGGATGATTTGAAAGAAGGAGAGAAAAAATAACATAAAGTGTAGAAAAAAAACATTGGAATATGTGGCGGCGTCAACCTATTCCTGGGCTGCGATGTAGATTATTGGGGGACACAAATTTTTCCTCCTAACTAAACAATTTTCTCGGTGTTGGATTCCCTTTTCACCACCAGAATCGCGCGGGGTGGGTAAAAATATATCAATGGGAAGAGAGTGAGAGAGGGAAATTCGGTGTTCATGCGGTGATCGAGTAATTGATTTGAGGGTGATTAATTACTCTTAGGAGTTGCGTAAATCTACAGCATCCTCTTCTCATTTCACACTCTTGCCTCGCTCCACGTTTTCTTCTCTCTGAGTTGCGGAAACTCGAAATAGATTGTCAAGATCGTCTGCAATTCACTATATGTACATATCATGCCTATGTATTGAAAATTGAGCGAAGTAATTAACTTATTCCATTCTCTTCTCTCTTTTTTTTCTGGCTACAATTTCAGCTAGGAGAAGCGGAAACGGCACAAATGGATCAGTCTCGTGAGAAGTTACTCAAGCCATTCGGCCCGCGCCGATTGTACGGCATCAGCAACGACATGGCAATGGATCACGAGTATCCTTCGGTGATATACGAAGAGGAGGACCCCACGGAGCTCCACGAGATGTACAGCGAAGACCAGGCGATGCCCAACTACATCTTCAGGCCGGCCGCCAACATCGCCTGGGCAGATCAGCAGGAGTCGTACAATTCGCTGCCCGTGGAAGTGGGCCAGATAAACAGCGTGGATGAGTACTTTGAGCGATGCGATAGACGAGCTCAGCCCTGGGAAGCTGAAGATGCCAGTGATTTTATTACAACACTCGACGAGAGTCTCATTCTCGATATTCAATCGCTGGAGCGCATTGACGCCATTGACTCGACATCGGGTGGCAAAGTGACTACAATTTCAGGCACTAAGGCCAAAAATCAGAGACCCAAATCTCTGTACGAAATGTCAGCGGTTCAGCACGCAGATGCCGCGGCCAATCAAATTATGGTGACATCAGGTGGACCTGTTGAGAAATTTCCCAAAATCATGACCACTTCTTGCTACGGCGCCCTCGCCACTGGCAGAGACAAGAGAGTCTTGAGCAGCAGTGAGGCCAGTTTGCTGCTGATGCGAAGTCAGGAAGAGTTGCATATCTCACCACCGCTGGAAACCCACCTGATTCTGCCTCATTCGGCGCTCTGGACGACGTCGGCGGACGAGCTGAAGAGCTCAAAGTCACACCAGAGATCCCGCGATGACATCGTCGCCTCGCTAGAGAGCTCATTTTGCGACTCAAACTCAATGTCATCGTCGATTAACTTTTGCGGCGGTCCTAATAAGTACTCCAGTTCGACTACAGTGGCCATTGCTGACATTGCCGAGTTGGGTAAGTGAAAAATTCAATTATGATTTCCGCTTAAGACCGTCTATCTGGACGTACGAAGTGCACTTACAGTAGCGAAAATTTGCTTAGGACACCAATGAAATTTTACGCCTAAAATTCCATATTTCAACTCAAAATTCTCCAGGAAGATTTCTAAATTTGAGGTTATGTTCGAGTTCAATACAATTTACAGTGTTTCTTGTCATCAAAGGCTTAAAATAGAGATGTTTATTGACATAAAAGTGCTTAATTCTGCCAATGATTAACGATTTCTGGGATCTGAACATAAGAATTGATGTCCTAGAATATCTTCTTGATTAGTCACATAACCTAGAAAATGATTATTACGTTTGTTTCTACGTAAAAATCGAGGCAGATTAAAAGAATTGGAATAATGTGTCAGTAAAATTACCTTTTCCCTTTGAATGTTCTTAAAATCAGTTCTTCAGTCTTCTTTAAAAAGCAGTTGAATTATTGCTAACTCAAGGAACAAAACTGGCATCTTCAGACACTTAAGGAGTCTCCTAACATAAGAGAGGAATTACTAAGGTATTCTCTAATAGAATATTGTATCTCAGTCGCGCATAGAAGCAAAGCATTCACTAGTTTATTGATGAAAATGTCTTGAAAACTGAAATAAATATCGAATTTTTAGCACAAGACAAAATTTACAAGTGTCTTAAGCTTATTTTCGCTACTGTATGTGTATTGAGGCTGTATTGACGGGTCATTTTTATGTGTTTCACATTATGTTCATACATAATGGCCATATGTGTGCACATGAGGAGAACCTGTTAATAGATTCTTACCAAATTAAGAAATATGTATAAGTTCTGTAAGATATATATATCGTGAGCACCGCTTCCACCCTTTTTTGCAATCCGATGTCCGTTGGACTTTTAATCATGCACATTTATGTATGTATCGCATGTCTTATGTGCACGTTGACGCATATTAGTTGAAAGTTTGAGGAGAAATTTTAATGGAAATGTTAGTGCGCCACATATTCTTCGTATCATCACAATATCATCAATATCAGAGATGTAGAATTTGGTAAAAAATATACTCTTTCTCAGAATCAGAAGAATCTCATTTTAAAAATCCAGCGATGAAAAGTTACATTGTTTCGTAATCGGCTCAACTCGCTCGGCCAATATAAGTATAATTCCTTAACACCATGTCTTGCGCATTTGATTTATTCTATAGGAGCAGATAATAAATCATGGTATCACTGGCAAAAACACCTTTAGATTCAATTGAGACACGAGTTGACCCTATGGAATTTCATGATATTTTATTGTTATGCTACATTTTGCAAAATTATACACCTTTTCAGCGCGATCATTGTTTGAATGGGCTGAGAATATCGAAACGATATATATTGGTAAATAGCACGATTATTCAAGGGAAAATAAAAGTGCTGCAAACAATTTAATTTTCAACTTCAAATTTAAATAATTTCACATTGCTGTTGTTGTAAACTTGGTATCTGATATGCAATGGAACCTGTCTAAATGTAGCTGTTACTCTGGCGAGTATCGCTGATGCAAGAGTGGTCTTATGCATCGCTAACATGAGATGCAAATGCTCAGCAAAGTTTATTCGGTCAGATACATCGCCACACTCAGCAGGTTGTTGGAAATTGCACATTATTTCAAAATATATAAATAATACTCCCGAAAGGTTGTGCATTATGATCAGAATCCTAAATGGTGTGTATATTTTACATAAAAAGTGATATATTTAAATTGATGTTTAATACTGTTCGCGCTTGTTCGTTCAATGTGTTGCAAAAGTGTATTAACGACCAAGGGGAAGATAATAGGTTAAACAGTGTACACCACTTCTACAATTCCTGTGGAGAATCACAGACACTTCTAGAACTGCGGCAGTTAAATCACGCGTGACAATCGAAAACCCACTGATTTCCTCCAAATTAAGTAATTGTAAATCAATAATGAGCTGAAATTCGTTATATTAAAGAAGAAAATAGAACAAACCGCTCTTAAAATAGACAATTTTGTAGGTTATGATCAATTTCAGTGCAATTAATACAGTGTAAGTTTGCTAAGAAATATTAATTATTCCAATTTGACTGTACAAACTGGTCTTTCTAGACTAGATGTTATTTATGATGAAAACACAGCATTTGTAATTTGTAATTTATCCACGATCATCTCTTTCTTCCCCACGCGTTTCGTGTATTTTCCTTCCTACTCGCACAGTGGCTGTCTCGACATGTCAGAGTCGGACGCTGACAGAGTAGGAAAGAAAATACACGAAACGCGAGGGGAAGAAAGAGATGATCGCGGACAAATTACAAATTACAAATGCTGTGTTTTCACCATTAGGAATGAGATTTTTATTGAAGAAAATAGTGCAAAAATTCTCAAAGTATTGCGAATATTTACTATGAAAGTCGCTCTGAAACGCCTAATATTGCAAATATTCAAGCACTTCCACTTCTAAACACTTCTGCTTTAGCCGTACATCACTTCAGATCATCATATCTTCCCCTTGTTAACGACCACTTAAAATAATTTCAAACTTTCCCACCTCTTTTTCCGCACAACAGTGTGCAAAGTTCCTTGAGTGGGAGCATTTTGTCTAGTCACTGTGATTTCCAGTTATGCTTTATTACATTTAAGGTATTGAATATTAGAGCCTCTCTGGAATTTCATGTGATTTCATTCAATGATGATCCCGCTTTATCATGTCTATTTTCAAGTTTGTTCCCTCAATGTGTGCAAATTGACATAAAATCTCGAATATGCAGTCGTAAAAAATGGAGACAAATTTACTAAATTTGCAGCACAACTTGTGGTTGAGGGAAAATGAACGGATTTCAAATGATGCTGAGGCAGATATTTGAATTGCAATGTTACCTACGTAATTTCCTGTTGAATTTCATTGAACTCTCTTTATGCATTGAGAGTGGATGGTTTCTGCATTTAGGTTTTCACCTACGTACACGTCACCCTTTTACTTTATTAATGACATTATGGTCGCCAATAAGCATATTATGTACGTAAGTAATATGTGTTCAGCCTATCTTTACTCGCCTCTTCGCAATACGTGGGTTTTGGCGGAGAGCAATGAATGAAACTTGCGGAGAGATCTCAAGCAAATATTGCTAAACGGTTCACTCTACGAGTGTTATTTCATTCAGAAAATTGTCTATCAATTGGAGTAAGAGTAAATTGGAATATAAGAGACTCGATGTATTTGGTGTAATTTTATTTTCATCTCAAAACTAATACGCGAGAGAGTGAAATGTTGAGGCTCAAGAATGCATATTAAGTGTTCTTTTTTTCCGTATATTTCTTCAGCTCATATCAATAATGTTCTGTGTGTGACTTGAATATGAAAAGTGGGTCACATGCTCTTTAACATGGCACACCGGTTGAATGCGATGTTAAGTGTACATGTGTATACAAACATGTCGATTAATATGTTGTCATATACTTATGTGTATTAAACATAGCATCAGGCTACATTAACTCTCTCGTCTCTCGAATAATATATGCTGTCAGACAATCTAATGTCTACTATTTCAATATTCACGTCCATAACAAAAATAATACGCAGCGACTTCAAATGATTTATAGGTGACGAATTAGAAATCAACTCCGTTTCTCACCACAAAAGGCACATTTTCTTCCTTTTCACCAACTATTTTTCACAAATTCTTTCATGATGTGCTTTGACATAAACAATAACGACAGAAATTATTAACACATATTGAAGAAAATTGTCAGTGATGACTCTGAAGCTTGCTTTAAACTTAATGTCACGAATATTCAAGTTAACTGCTATCTTATTATATCGAGTCTACTCATGTTTGATTATCGTACATGTGCATAGTGTACGTATAAGGCTTATATTACCTCCGTTTAAATGAAAATCACTTAAATTTCTTTGTCATCAATTTGTTTACACGATTTCTGTGTTAAGATTAAAGCTGCAGAGGTTCGAGATACAATGTTTAATACTGTTATGTTTAAGTATACGTTTTGCATGCGCGATACAATTTACATGAAGGCATTTTCATTTTCGAAAGTGAGAATTTTTATATATTTATATGGGGATAAAAGAAATTAATACTAAATCTACCGGAATCACAAAATTGCTACTCAATCGGGAAGTTTTCTTGTGTTCCCAAGGCTTTTCTGTGATCAAATCCAATGACACACTATTTATTGTAAGACGGTGTATTATTAGCCTTTTCAAGGGGGTGGAAATGAGCGTAAAATCTGTACACCACAAATAATAATAGAAACATCAATTTCATGATTTTGAGGGTTTTTTGAATACCAGAATCTGTTTTAAATCAATCACATAACCTAGAAAAGGAATAAAATCGATTTTTATGTACGAAATAATTTAGAAAATGTCTCAATTTGTTAAAACTGAAGTTTTTGCAATGCAAATATTCTATATATTTCACCACAAAAGCTGTACACCACTTCCGACCATAATATCTGTCCCTTGAGCATCTTTTAAATTCATCCGTTTTGTCAAGCATTTAATCATAATCTTGAATTATTTTTATCCCGGTTTGTACTTACTGAAAATAAGTTGCAAGAAGTCGACGTTAAGTTAATGGAATTACGGAATATTTGAAATCAAATACATCTGTGAATTGTCTGTGGTTTAATTTCCATGAAGCCCAAAATTCATAAAAGGGAAAATTTGTGAGTTTCTCCAAAATGCGTTGGTCGTTATCATTTGCAGTGAGCAGACCTTGCACTATTTACGATCAATGCCACGTATGCACAACTCTAATCTCTTTTTCCCTAAATTTAGTGTACCGTGACGGAAAGAATTAGATTACTTACTAATGTGGAGATAACAAAGAACTCTACACACATTGTCTACGATGCACCACATGTTTAAAATTCGCCATTCTCAGCACTTTATTTATCTCCATAACATTTTTGGCATATAATGTTCCCATATTGCTTTTCACATGGAGAACCATTTTTTTTTCCTCCACAATCCCACAAGTGTTTCGCTGCTGGGCGCTTGAAGGTGTTTGTGAGGAGTTTTGTGTGGATTTTTTATGGGTCTTGGAAGTGAATGGATCGCGTGGAAGTGACTCGCGCTGGTGAGAATCGGCCAGAGACTCCGATTTCATTTGCTTGGGAGTCTTTCAGTTGAGTTGCGACCACTAACCGGTCTGGGTGTTTCACTCTTGTGAGCTCCTGCGCGATACAAAAGGCATTAATATATTTTATTTACTCACTCGCCTCTCAGCCGTGAAGATCAGACACTTGTTGTGTGAACTCTGTGAGTGTTTAGTCCCGATTTCCGTACGAATAAAAAAAAAACAGACGGATTTCGAGGAATATCACGGAAATATTGACGTGTCTGACGGGAAGCTTATCATTTCACGGAGCAATGATTTCTGTGCCGTGTCGCTGAAGCAGCGATAAGGAAATAATTTCACAAAGTGAACTGATTAATTTGTTGTACATATATCAACAATTGAGTGTAATTGATATTCGTATCTCGGCGTATTTCTCAGTGGAATCGAGATGTGTGTCTCTACGAAAATAGGAAGTTCCTTATCTGCTTAATTCACTTATTGAATTGAATTAAATTATATTTGACACATATGTGAGATTCAGACCTAAATGGATTACATTGTTAACAATGAGGAGTTGAGCAAGTGAAGATGAGAAGAATGAAATTGTGAACAAGAACTGCGCTGTGCAATTATTTTGGATTGATACTTTCGTGGAGTTTTTTCTTTGCATGAACAGATAAAAGTGTATGTCGTGAGGGTCTCTTGACAAGACAAACATGTTGCAATATGTATGTACGCTTCGTTAAGTAATTGAATATTGCTACTACACTGTGAGTTTTGCTAAAAACTGGTCGGACACTTGATCACGAAGAGAGTCAGAATTGCATTTTCTTATCCCAAGCCGATGTTAAGACACATACAAGTATAATTTTTGATGAAAAATATATGCAGATGGTTCGACTTTTAATATCGCGAGTGGTGAACGGTGAGTTTTAATTGAGTTGCATATTACAATATCCTGTGAATTGAGGAAAAATATGTATTAGGAGTGAGAGGAATATGCAAATATACTCTTGTGCACCTTTGTAATGGTTGGCATAAGGTGTACATCGATGAGCATAAAGAACAAGTTGAGCAGGTACTAACTTTAGTCGACTCATTTTTGTGTGATGTGCTGCAGAAAAATAATGAATACAGTGAATTTGCATATGTGACGCGCTGCAAAGTATATTCTCAGTGGAGAAAAAAAACTGCTGCGAGAGTAAAAGTACACCTCAAATGTGCAAGAATAGATACAGAACACTTGGCATCTGGCATTTGGCAAATGCCAATTGGAATAGGGCGAAAACAGAAGTGAATTCCAGGTAGTGCACAGTTTTCACAAGTTCTTCAAATGCACAACTTGCTCGTGTGAAACACCCAAGACAGCGTGAATGCTATAAGTTTGGAACACGTTTGTGAAGATGCCAATTACGAAGGAGAAGTGCGGCGAGAAGGGAAAACAGGAGAGTCTTCTAAGACCAGCGAGTGGTCTGAGCTACAGTGTTTTAGGTGAGACTGGCCCCAAATTTCACTGTTGTTCCACGAAACAACAAACTGGTCCGTGGGAAAGTGGCAAAGTTATTGTGGCATGAAAAGGGAGATCCTTTGCCGATATTCAGTCACTTCGTACAGGTGTCCAATGCGCGATTAAACTGAGGAAATTAAGGAGATATTATTGTGGCTATAAAAAAAGTTTTAATACCTATAAATTGCCAATAGACGCTATTCTAAAATCCCACAGAGAAGTATGTATTATGTTCATTCATTAAAATTTCAAGACATCATGCAAAACGCCCACGTTTGTGTCTCTTTACGGCAACTTTTTTGTACATATTTATCTCCATATGTACAAAAATCCAGTTGGCCGAAGAGGAAAAATACCTTCTCAGTATATTATCAACCTACTGCCGGCTGATATTATTGTAATATCAATTAGTGAAACAGTTCAAGTGTAGGAGTTCACTGAGTTGTATACAAAGGTCTCATTATTATGGACAAGGGGGAGATAATACACCGCAAATCTGTACACCACTTTCGAACGTCTTTAAAAGCATTTTTCATCGCTTTTCAGACTTAATTCTGACTTATCACAATGTAATCTAAGTTTTGTCTTCAGAAAATGCTTGACTAAATTGTTAGGTTATGAATTGGACTTAAAAAATCCTTTTTGGACTTATTTAAAGCTTAATAAAACCAGGCAATGAGTAAATATAGAGAATATCACAATATTTCCACTAAATAATTAGGTTGAATTCGCCATTTTAAAGCACAAAAAAAATTTAAGTTACATTTTTGAGGTTATTGTTGACATTTAAGCTTTTTTCCCAATAAATTTGAAGATTCTTCGATCAAAGATGCTCAATTCTGTGGAGAAAAAGAGAAATAACCTCAGCTTAAACAAAAATTTGACGATTTTGAGGGCTATTAAATCAACTGAATCTGTTTTAAATCAATCACATAACCTAGAAAAGCAATAAAATTTATTTATCTAAGTAAAATCATATAGAAAATCCTTCAATTTATTGAAACTGAAGCTTTTGCAATGCAAATATTCTATATATTTTACCACAAAAGCTGTACACCACTTCTGACCATAATATCTGCCCCTTGATTATGGACAAAATGCTGGGAGAGAGACAGAGAGAACTATTTCCTCTACCAGTGCAATCGACTATGACCTTTTCGTGTCAAATTTCTTCACGTTTGCATATACGAAGGAGGGAGGCGCTTCAGAGGAATACAGGGTCTTTGTTTTTCTCGGAATTCTCTTTATGAATTGCCGTGAGAGCATCTAAGAAGCGAACTTGCCCATGATGGACCCTGAAAAAAGGTTTCTTCACTTGTTCCTCTTCACGAGAAGGTCCAGAAAAAAACACAGATACACTCTGAATTGGAGAAAAGATGAGGAGAAAACACTTTGTGAAGAGCAACACCGACAGCCTGTTGCATTCTATGCCACTTAGTTTTTTCTTTTCTTTTCGAGTGATTCCTCCAGAGTTGGGGGTTGACCAGAGGTGAATGATTTTCTTTTCATGCCACGATATTCTACACAATCTGAAGAGTGAGATAATTAATCTAATCAAATATGTGCCTCTTCACTGCTCCATTCTAAGCATATCTCAACTTCTGTGCAATGTGTGTTAAACATAATAATGCACATATTAAAATATAATTGACCACTTATTGGCAGCAGTTTATGTGTGTTGGCATGAAGGATGTGTCGAGTGAAAAGGTATCTCAAAGTGACCCTCTTATAGCTCTTTAAATTCATGTGATTTATTTCATCTTACAACTGATTTTATTTGCATAACTGTTTTGCAAATTATTATCAATGAAAACATTTTGAAATATGAAAAGTAATAAATTTTATGCTCAAAACTCCGCAGACTGGTTGGCTCTGCGAGATTACGCACATACATACGTACTCACCCAATTATAATTAACAACTATTTTACAATCTCTCGAGCAGCGAAGGTGCTAAAACAGCGAAAAAGTTGTTCTTTTTGTGGAACACTATGAATTTGCCTATTCACTGGTTTTTCTCATATTCCTTGTATACATTGGATATACATAAAAAGTATATTTCTGTTATTATGACAAAGTAATCAGCCAAGGAGGAGATAATATGCCTTTATTCTGTACACTTTTACAGTCGCTGTACAGAAATCTTTAAGACTTTAGACACTTCTGAACGCGTTTGAAAGCATTTTCTAACACTTTTTAGACTCTTTCAGCTCTTTTTTTTATACTAATTTCGCTAATTTCTTACTTGTCACGGTCAAATTCAGTTTTTTATCGTCTCAAGATGTTTAAGGTCAAAAAACTCGAATGTGAAGTTCTTTTTGAACAAAAATGCTCAATTCTGTCAAGAAAAAGATAAATTTCCCAGATTTAACACAAATATGATGATTTTAAGAGGTTTTTAATGGTTAAAATCGGGTTTAAATCAATCACATAACCTACAAAAGTAAGAACTTGCTTAAATTTTTTGCTACAGAAGCTTTTGCAATGCAAATATTCGACACTCGAATTAATAATATATCTTTTATTATTCTTTCTACATAAATATGTTGATCCACCTAAAGACAAACTATTTGTATTTTTGCTGTTTCGGGTCTAAGATTACTACTTTGACACTGTTTTTGTATGTATTTGAGCAGTGAAAAGAAGTCAAGTTTTCCACTGATGTATTTCAGACGACGTGTGCGTGTTCACGACTTAATTGGTTGGTGTCGATTATTGTTACTGAAAGCAATTAAGCATTTTAGCTATTAAATACGGCGTATGCATAATGTGATTTGGCTGAGATTTCACCTTAAGTGTCGGGTCATTAGCGGTTGAATGATGCCGCCTTTGTGACACGGTGAAATTGCATTTTGGCAAGTTTCCTGTAATTCACATATTTTTATTGTGATTTTCTCCTTCTCAGCCGACACAGTTGTGTGGGCTATTTGCTACCTGTGGTAATTAAATTAGACTCCCGTGGCGAGTGCTAAAGAGTCTTTGCGTGCAATGAGACAGACTGTCGAGATTTCTGCCAATTTCTCAATGGAAACTAGCAATATATATCCCGATCTGGTTCCACCTACTCAAAGTCCGCGCGAGATTTTCATTGAACTCGTAAATATATAAGATAGAGGCACTCGGAGTCGTGGTGTCTGATCGTAGGAAAAGACTTTTTCGCATCGATCTGGGTAAAGAGAGTGGACACGCTTGTAGGTAGATTTCGATGAAGTAACCAAATAAGTGAGTAACTGCAGATAGTTAATAATATGGTTTTAAATAGCAATCTTTTGCAACTGCACAGCGGATGAAAAGAAGTTCACAAAGTACACAGATTGAGCCAAAGTGTGGCTTTAAAACGAGATAATTTTGCACTTTACAATAATTCAATCGTGCGCCGTTGTATTTGAGATAATTAATTTATATTGTGAAATTTTTAATACATTACCGCCAATTTTGCACTGCAGCTCGACTTACAGTATAATACTTAAAGGTTAATTTCGATTTATGCACTTATTAATTTGTCATCCTGAGAATGTTGATTAAACTCAACGAGTGGAAAAAATTTATAGACATCCATTAAAGCTTGTGACTTTCTGATCGATAAAATTGTTTGTTTTATGGAAAAAACAATTCTCTTCTGTACATTCTTCTGTGCATTCTCCATCATCAAAGTCAGGCATCATTTGCAAAATTGTGAGAGGAATATTGCATTGACGAGTAATTATATTCAACGAATTTTATGATATAGTCATTGAACCGTGAATTCCATAAATCGTTAAATGCTATTGCCATGCACTTTATGCAGATGGCAAAGTTCTTATCCGCATTATTTATTGCCCATTCGGCGTTCTATCTGGGATTTTCGACTGGATGAGGCACGTTCGCTACGGAAAAGGCAATATTCCAGCAAATTACTGTACCTTCAGTGATGCCATTTAACACTTGTGAGATAATCCATTCGGCATATGTACATTTTTATACCAAACATACGAATAATGTGCAATCATAAATCCATTCCAAATATTATATATCACGTTTTCTCACTCAAGAGTACTCTTTCATTCTTTATCTCTGCAAAAGGAGGGAAAATGTCTGCTCGCATTTTGTGCACGACGTGTTTTCTAAAGTCCATCGAATTATAATGTTATATTCACAATGTGTGTGTGAAATTAATTACTATCTATTGTACGTTTAAAAGAACTTGTCTTGATTTTAGACCATTTTAGAGAAGAAATATCACTTCTGCATGTATGGGGAAAATGTATCCCCTGAAATGCTCTACACATGTGGCCAAAAGACCAACAAAGAGTGATCTGAAATCCTCACAATATTTTACAAAGATGTAGATAATAACCCCCCAAATAGATTTTTATTAATTTTGCAATTTTACTTGGAAAACAATAGGTAATTTAAGATTTTTTCTTCATCAAATTTAGATTTTCTTTTCCATTGAGACCATAAGAAACCCTCAAAAAATCAACTAGTGACTTTCCCCTTTGATTTGTCTTAGCAAAATTAGATTAATAGACAAAGATTGGCTTCCACAAACATCATCTCTCAGAAACAGAAACAGGTTGACTTGAAGTAAACACGAATGAAGAGATCCACTTAAGAAACATATGTAAAACGTTTATTGATTTAAAAGTATCAAATTTCGAAATTACCAATTCAAATTCTCTCCCAAAAAATTATGGATATCGATATTCTCTGGGCCTTTCTCCTTCTTGTGTGAAATGGCAAAATTATTGATGATGCGTAAATAATGGATTTATTGGCGGAGGCTGAAAAGAGGCATGTTGTTCGGTGGGTTACTTCGGATGGCTTAAAGTTGCAAATTTTAGAAAAGCCACTCTATCACAGCATCTTGATGGGCACATTTTCATCTCCGGGATGCACCTGATGATTTGTAGCAATAAACCTGAGCGCAATGGCTGTGTGTGTGTGTGTGTGACAGGAGTGAAATAGGTATGTGAGTTATGTACTCCACCTTGAGAATAAGATGCACGAATGCAGCGCCAAACGGCACAATGGGATTCACCATAAATAACATAAGAGTGAAATGTGAGGTATGATTTATTTGTGGTGCATTATTGTTGTAATTTCCCGCCTCAATATGTACACACATAGTGATATCTACATGGCGTAGAAACGCGTCTCTGGGGGCCCGAAGAAGTGCTGTGTTCTTGTACGGGTACATGGCAAAAGGTTGTGGAAGGCTTTGTGTGCTCAAGACAAGTCTAAGCCAAGAAGTCAATGGACTTTCTGGAAATTGTAGTTCATGCAACACTGTCGCCTTTGATGCACTACCATTCCTTAAGGCAGTCATCTCTCGGTCTCTCCTCTTGCCCATCGCACTACCGTTCTGTCGCTTGTTTGTCTTGTATTTTTATTTAACGCGGTTCCGGTAATTGTTAGGTAAATGCGTTTATTCAAGATCATGATGATACCGTAAGTTAGACTTTCTTATTTATTCACACGTTTCTACTAAATGAATGTGAGATTATTCCACTGTTCCACAGCAATTTACTGGCTGGAATATGTACACCTTCACTTTGTCAAGTAATATGTATGATAAAAGTGAATATTTTGGAAGGAAAATGAAAAGAAAGAAATTTTCTATACTTGAGTGGCAATAAACCTACTTTTTTCTCTACTGTAAAACACTGATGGTGAATTTGAGACAAAACAACTGGTGAAATTATTTGCTTTTCACTCATTTTTCTCAATGAAGATGAGGATGAAAGAGAAAGGAACAAATAGAAAAGTATTGCTTCCCATTTTTTTTTGTACAATCAAATATTCAAATTCCGTGGCGTGCAATATTTTATTCACTCCTCGTATGGATTCTTGACTTTTTCTTCCATGCACTTCATTCATACGCTTTCCCCCAATTTCATGTGGGCACTGTGACAAATATTGACAAAATTGCTGGAGGTCTACATTGAAGAGTATATAGTGGATATTTGGGTACATTCATAATTTCGTAGATGATTCAATGAGTGAATGAGAAAGTACAATTGCGCAATTGAGTAGCCTCGCCTTCGTGAATGAATTTTACAATGAAATTCAATTGACCACTCTTGAGATAAATTCAATGCGAAATCCACCAAGTGACATCATTGCATTCGATGAAGTCATATATAGTCAAGTGGGCAGTGATACCATACAAATCGCGCCGTAAAACTCATTGAGATTGATATTTTAGTGTAATTTTATGGCGGACTTTATCGCGCAGCTTCGAGGAAGACGCTAGAAAAGATGTTTGTAGATCAACAAATAATAATAAAGCTGACAATATGGCAATGATGACAATCATTAAATAAATTATACCACGTGTCTGTTGTGTGAAATGTAAAATGGCCAATATATACTTTTGATTTCTGGAAAAAGACCGAACAAAATTCCACATTTCCACTCCTATCGGTCAGAAATTCCTCAGCCGTCACTGCATTGTCGGTTTAATATCAATTGCGTGTGTGAATGTAATGGATTTCCTATTAATAAACAGACTTTTAATCTTTGCGAGCAATTAAATAGACCAAAATGGAGGCGATAAGATAAAAGACGAGGCGCCGCTTTCTGGCACCAACTGAAGAACATAGAATGTCTACTGATAAGATTATTTATTAACTTATTTAACATGCTTTATGGTGTGGAAGCGAAAAGTGAGCAAACAGCAAAAAAAGTGTAAATGACACAATTTTAGAAAAATTTTCATTATCACTTTGGCGCAAATCATTCCCCTTTATTCACCGCTCTGGAACGCTTGTCGTGGACTTTTGGCATTGAAAGTATATTTAGTTACAGAAGACTGTTTGCAAATCTGAGATTAAGGAGTCGTTGCAACTTCACAGATTTCGTAAAGGATACGAATTGGCTATGCAATTTTACTGCTTTCATAACTTCAGTGCAAAGCCAAGTTAGATGTCTATTTAATACGATCTTTAGCTGTTAAAAGGTCAATTCTTTGATAGTTCTCCTTGACCAGGGGGAGATAATACAGACAGAAGTGGTGTACAGCTCAGCAAGAGGGAAAAGTGTTCAAAAACTTTCAATCTTCCTTTCCTGCATGCTTCTTTTACAGACTAATCATCCCAATTCTTTGACTTTCCTTTGAATTGTACGAAGAAACACTCCTTTTTTAGGTTATGTAACGAATCACGGACGGATTTAGTGAATATTTCGTATTCTAGCACATCAATTCTTGCGCTAAAGTCATCAAGACTGCTAGTCATTGAAAGAATGCAATAGACATCGATATTCCCATTCTTTGATGCTATAAAACACTGCAAATAGTAATGAAGTTGAACATAACCTCGAAAAGAGTGTTGCGTACTTGAAAAATATTTATTTAGATCACTTTTCGCGCGATTTTGACGGTAAATCAATAATTTAAAGTTCATTGGTAGCTCATTAAAGATGACTTTATCATCTAGAATGCTTGCCAATGAAGTTTTTTAAGATCTCGTAGTGATATTTTTGAGGTTATAGTCGAAAAAACAGAGATTTTAAGTGGATTTTTACAGAAGTATTGCAGGGAACCTTAAACTTGAAATGCAATTTTACGAATTCATAACATTGGGAGCTTATTTAAAATGTTATGAAATTAAAGCGGCAACGATCCCTTATTCTATTATTTCTAAATTTATTGCACTCACTCTGTTCCACATACCTTATTTAAACATGTTTAATTCTTTTTATATCAGCGGGATCTTCTATTATTATACGATCAGTCAATATGCATACTCTTCTGGGAGATAAACGCGTGAAAGTTTAATTAAGCTTAATTGAGTAATAATTGTTGGATGTGGAAAATTGTCTTGAAATGGCGATAGAGGCAATATAATGTTTTCTTTCCACGAAGCCTAATGGCAATTGTACGGATGGAGCAGGTAGTTTTCATCCGACACTTTCTTATGAGGCGGCAAAAGAAGTTCTCTTACATGAGCTCGAAGTAGGTACACCCACTTTTGTGCATAATTTGCGTCACACGGCAACGTTTGCAGGTTATAAGTACATATCTCTTGCTTACTCACATATCAATACATATGTAGTCTGGTTGGAATGAATGAAAATGTGGTGCGAAACGTGGGCTTTGGTTGCAATTTTATAAATCGCAAGAGGTCGAATATCATTGAGTAAAATTCACTATATGTGAAATGCAGTAAATTTTAATAAGATAATAACGAGTCTCCTAGATATCGAATCCATGAATAAATTGTGATGTCAGACATCTACAACGGCCAGATTGAGCCAACATTTTATGCCAGATTTGCACTCAATATTCTTGTGCAAAAAAAAGTGAGTCAACAGCAAACAAGCTTGGGGAATATTTTCCGTTTCAATAGTGGAGATAAAAGTATTTGTCTTGTGGGGTTGGGTTGTGGATTTGACGCGTCTTTTCTCTTCTGCAAATTGCGTATTTGGTCAATTAATTCCACTGATTGAACATCAAATGGCATTTATGCAAATTTGACATCATTTTCATTCAGTAAAACCTCTCAAGACTTTTTTTGTTCCCGCTCGAAAACTGCTCAATATTTTGCTACACGCAATGCTCAGACGACGATGGCTCGAATTTGAAGGTTATTGGGTGATGAAGAAGCGTGAGCATTAAATTATGGAGAGGAAGAATAAATTTCAATGGAAAGTGGTGAAATTTGAATACTCGTTCTGATCAACGAACTGCTAATTTCTTTTTTTTCGTCCCAAAAAATTGATTAGATCAGCAGATTCTGGATCCATTTTGATAGTAAATGCAAATTTTTGGCGAAAACACGGCGATACAGCAGGATTTCTAAAATACTATCCATGTTCTTCTCCAGTTAATTGATTGACAACAAGGGGCTGCTAATATTGGGGATGCAGTGTCACTTTTGGCTCGAGATGCAAATTCAGATTCCAAAAGGTTTTTTCTTCGGTTCATCGCGTTGCATTTAATAGAAAATGATATTTTATCTTGTTATCTTTACAAAAATGCATTTATGAAATGATTGTGTACAATTTTTCAAAGAGTAAAAAGCGAATTTCTCAGCTAAAAAGCTTGCAAACACAAATGAATAGACAATATTATTTTAATATTTGATGTTCAATCGGATATTTACGGTTTTATGCAGGTTTTACGATGAAAACAAGTGAAAAACCGGAAAAATCTCCTAATTTTACTTTCTTAAATTTCTTTTTTTTGCTCACAAAATACATTTTTCTCACAAGATCTTCTAATTTATGTGTTTAAAAACAGATTTATTTATATTTCTTAAGTACTTACATTGCTTTTCTCTGTAAATTATCTCAAATCTGGTTGAAATAATTCTCTCAATGCTCTAAAATCTAACCTTAGACCCAAAACTTCTCCCAACGAGACAATTTGACACCTACAATATATTTTTTCATTCATTTTCCACACTTCTAAGCATACTTTCTAAGATCTAAATCGCGATGCAGCGGAGATGCAAGATGGTGAAGCATGAAAAATCCATATTAGCAACCCCTCGATTGGCAATTAAGGCGAAGTGGTTCACATATTGATTACTCGCCGCCCATTCGCATTGCATTATTCTGTGTCTCAGAAAGTAAATTCCCTATTCATCATACTTTGGGTACAATATGTATATATATATATATATATATATATATATATTGATTGCCGCGACAGAAGTTTGTCTGTTTGTTTGTTTGCTTAGCAGCGCGCGGTGTACAAATGAGTAAAAGAAAACTGTGTAATGTTGTCTTTTCAGATTTACAATCAATTCGGAGATTGCTAGAAAGTGAGACGACCAGCAGCGATGGCGATACATGTCCAAGTTGTCAGATGCCATTTGACAAAGGCAAAAAGCGGAAATTAATTGATACCTGTGGTCATGAGCGCTGCTACTCGTGCATGTTCAAAAATGAACAGTGTCCCAGTTGTATCGCCGACCAGAAGTCGTTCCCATCCGCCGAGGCATCTGGCAATAGTAAGTGTGATTGCTGAAAAAACACTCAATATTTCTCATATCTGACAATTAATTATTTAAATTTCAACCTTCGAAACAGGTAAATTATCTACTAATGGCGGCTGCCATATTCAGGAAAGTGATTTGCAAACATCTCCAGGGTCAAGTGTTGCACAGCGAGGCAGCGAGCTGCTCAAGTCGAGATTCAGTTCGGTCTCGCAATTGCTGCAGGTAATTTCACTTATACGACACTTAATTGTTTGCAATATATATTTTATTGGGGGCTTCACGCACATCATTATTCCGTGTCATTCACCAAAGAGTGTACAATAAAACACTCGCTAATGGTGGCTCGATGAATCTTCCTCCATCCGCTGAGCTTTTGCATTCACGATAATGCCCACTTATAGCTCAAGAGCGCGAGGACATGTATCAAGTGTTAAGATGTGTACATCATTAATTTCTCTCTAGTTCTCGCGCTCATGTGTGAATCGATTTACAATTTTTTGATCACTGAAAATTCATCTTAAATAACCACCGAGAATATCAATCATTGATCAGACAAACCATTCATCAACGGAAGAGTATCACGAAATGTGATTTCTCAGCCCTAATGCCTCATCAAATATTTACACGACGTGAAATCAATGAACCTTATCACTTGTTTGGACGCAATTATTGTATAACTTCCTCTCTTGCTGTTTACTTTTTTCCACTCGCTGTACATAATGTGCGCTTTATTGTAATTTATCAATTTCACTTCAACATTTTCTGGATCATTCCTAATCAAGGTTTGAAGTTATGGAAGTTTTTCGTGTACCTTCACACTTTAATAGAGTCTTATTAGGGCTTACGTATAGTTCGTATGGTTGTAGACTCATGAAATCTTTTCGTAGTGATATTAAAAAGGACTAGAGGGACTTTAGGGAACAATTCCTAATAGATCTTAGTAGAAAACACGACGAAATTCGCTTAAAACAACTGAACAAATCGTTGAAAAGGAAATTATGCTAAAATGCAATATTTTGGCGTCCCCCACGCCAACTTTGCTGCCCTCTGGCGGCAATATGTGGAGAAAATCATAAAATATTTAAATTTTAATGAAATATCCTCAAAATATTTAAATATAATTTTATTTATTTTAATATTCTGCCTGAAAATATTCAAATTTTGATTGTTTTGCAAATTTTACTTGGAAAATAATCATAATCCTGAAGACATTAAAAACATATCTTAACTGGCAAGAATTCAAATGTTACTCAGGCCCTCACAAACGGATCAATGATTAGTCCGAATGTTTTCAAACTCGGCATGATAATTACTTATTAATGGGGGAAGATTAATGGAAAATTTCAGACCATTAGCTTCACGTGTCAATTGTGTGAAATTGTGCTTTTTGCGAAGATTTCGACGATCAAATGGAATTCTAATTAGAGTTTATTTGAGAGAGCAGAATCAGTGACAAGACATTGTACTTATTCAGAAGACAATTGGGAAAAGGCATCGGCTTCGGAATTCTCAAGGCATCTTCTCGTGCAGGAAGAAAACAACAGGGCAGCAAGAGAGCATCCCTTGAGGCCTGAAGCAATGTGTATTGAAAATCCCTCTTTGCGATTGTTATTAGTATTGTTAATCTGATTTTTATATGAAGACAGAGGAATGAGAAGTTGAAAAGGCGAAGCGTGTGGAACAAAGAATGGATTATGTTTGCGGTGTATAGTGTTTCTTTAGGTGATCTCTCTTCCCAGTACAACCTATATATGTGCATATATATCCATATATAAAAAAATGCCGTGCGCGAGCGGGTAAAAACTGCATATTATGTTATCTTCTCCACTGAGCTAAAGTGCCGAATACATGGAAAGAATGTATGGTTGTTTTGACGCAAAACGGGTTAGCTTTCTTGTATCCATCTTCTTATTCTTTATATATATCTTATATGGGATGACTCATCAACGGTCTGAGAACAAGTTTCCCCACGATTAAAGTTCACGAGAGATTTAGAAGGATTGTTACAATTCCAAGTAAAACTTTTATGTCTTCCCTTTGCGCCATGCTTCGGCGTCGCACGGTCATGATGAGCAGCGCAGAGAAATCCATCAGTCAATGTTGTATAACTACCTGTTCTATATTGAGAATGCACTTTTATGCTGGCCTGCCGAGGAACTCGTCATCGGTTCAGGCTTCCATATACACACTTTCGTCAATTTCGACACGTATCGATTTGATTAAAAAATTTCGTCTCAAGACATTTCTTTCGTCTGCGGATGATGAGCTTTTGTACGCACTCACCCATAATTGGTTTCTTCATTTTTCTGTTAAGCACCATTTTAATGAAGCCACATGACCACAAGACGCAAATGAATGCATTTTTGCTGCTCAGACTCGGAGAAATTAACACCCGAAAAAAGCAGAATGATGAAGCTGTTTCTTTTAATCTTCACTCAATTCTTACCCAAAACCTTCCAACCAAACATATAATTTTACTACACATATTTCACCTTCACATTTGTGCGCGAACAGACTTATTACAAGCATTTATAATTGCATCCATTAATTAGTCCCAATAAAATGTTTCGGTTCGGGAGGCAGAAGAAAAATTCCCTGGGAAACTAAGGTTCAGTCCAAGGGGCAGATATTATGGTCGGAAGTGATGTACAGCTTTTGCGGAATTGTCAGGAATTGGAAGTGGTAAAATATTTCGAAAATTGACATTGCAAAAACTTGTGTAGCAAGAAATTTAGGCATTTTCCAAGTTATTTTGCTTAGAAAAATCAAAGTTTTTACTTTTCCAGGTTATGTGATTGATTTAAAACCGATTCTAACAATTAAAAACCTCTTAAAACATCATATTTGTGTTAAATCTGGAAAAATTTCTCTTTTTCTTGACAGAATTGAGCATTTGTGTTCAGAAAAGACTTCATTAGGGTTAAGAAAAGGTCTTAAAGTGAATCCTAACCTCAAAACTGTCTGTTTGCTTAGTTATTTTCACGGTTTTAGCTTCAAAGTGGTAAATTAAAACTATTTATTTATTAAAAAACATTGAGATATTCACAATATTTACTCATTTCCTGATAAGAAAGTATTAAAATGAGCCCAAAAGCCGGATTCATAACCTCACAATTTGGTAAGAGTCTAAAAAGTGATGGAAAACGCACTAAAAGACAGTCAGAAGTGTCTGAAGTGTTGAAGATTTCTGCACCAAAACTGTACAGTTATTATTAAGTGACGCAAGAATGGAGAATATTATTTCCCCCTTGGTTGAATCAAGTGAATTTCATAGTTTACATCCACACAGATCGTCTGTGTATAAATTCTTGAGGCACAAGATGAACATTTGTGGATAAATTCAGCTTTTAATCATTGGGTTCCTTCATAAATTCTATACATTCTCACTGTTTGAATTCGCATTTTGAAGTTTTTCATCCATTCTGGATGCCAGAATGTGCTTCTTTGTCTGCATTTTATTCCTAAAGTTTCTTTCATTCTCTATCTTTAAAAAAAAGGGTGAATTAAGAAAAGACTGAACACAGAACGGTTTCGTGAGAAAAAGCCATTTAGAATTTATCTTGGCGAATTTTGGGCTCAAAAGTGTCTTCAAAGGTGGACATTTTTGTGAGATATTTCGATGGAAATTCTTAAATCTACCGTTTGAATGTGAAAATTATAACATTCTCGGCGAAAATGGAGCGTTTTTGATGCTCACTTAGAGTGAAATATCATGTCTGAATTTAATTTTGTAATTTCACTTCGTCTCTGCACAGAAATGCGATTCCTACACATTCATTTCCCCGCATTTGTGTTGCAGATTAATCGGAAAGATTTGAAGCAAGATCAGATGAAACACTTGAACCATCCGGCTCTCAAGAGGGCAGACGACTTAACATCCCGCCTATGCGCCACTCCTCCGCAGAATCGTAGAAAGATCTTCAACACGAAGAACCTGCGCAGTCCCTTTGGTAGCCATCGACGGATCGCCTCGGCGGCCGCAGCCGCGGAGAATGCCGGCGATAGATCAGGTAAGGATATGCTCTTGTGCTGTTTGCGATTAAGGAGAGAATGATCGAATGCGAAATGAAGGTTCATCGTCACTCTGCGCATCCACTCAATCGGACTCCGTGGTCACGGTGAGGCATCGCAAGGCGACCTGCAAAGATGGTGCTGATAAGTCTTCTAGGTTGAGCTCATCTGGCTCAGCATCTTCATATGCTGGCCACTTGTCGTCACTTGTCTCGGGCATTGGCAAGATTAAGTCGCTGTGGACTGCTCAAGCCTCATCAGACAACATTGGGCTCAATCAATTGGCAGGCATGGAAGTCTTCTCTTTGGCCAATGGCCAGTTTTTCACCCCTTTTTTCGTTTCTCGTGTTTTCGTAATGCACATTTTCATTTCGCCAGACTTTTTTTTATGCATTATTACTCATGGAAATTTCCTTTTCTTCGTTTTCCCTGTCTTGCATGGATGTGATTATACCAGCAGTTTAAGGATTTTGTGTTGCTCTTTTTCGAATTGCTTGCATAATAATGATGTGGTTTCGTTGACCAATTATTTTTTTGCAGATGGAATTAACATAAATTGGTAAACATGTAGCGTTTATGAGATTATTTGCTCAATTTACTCAACTTGATTTTTATTATGCACTCAATATATCGATGATTTTATCAAAGAAAATTAGCAGAAATTAGTCAAAAAATCACATTTGAGATTCATTTTAAGCACAAAATTGCCAAACACCCAAAGATAAGCCACTGAGAAAACCTTATCATAATGCTAATGTTGGTAAATATAGTGTTGAAAGCAAAATTGTGACACTGCAAATCTCCCCTTCTCCCTTTTCCTCGCGATGTAACACGAATTAAGTATTTAATTTTCAATTGCCCAAAATTAAAATGCCTTCAATTACACGACCATTAACATATAATGAAGTCAGCCTTGATGTTATTATGTAAAAATGTATTCCCAATTTGTATTATTATTATTGGTGTAAATATCACGCTATAATTAATTATCACCATCATTTTATTTTCCATCTCAATTTCAATATTAAAGTACAACTTTTACTTTTAGAGAGACAGACAAGAAGAAAAATGTGAAATTATTTGTGCTTATTTTTCCATCCCAAAAAATTTGAATACAATATCGTTGGAGGCTATAAAGCTGGAAGGGAAAGTTTATCAAGACCTCCTCTTTCCATTGGTGAAAATGTCGCTGCAAGTGTTGCAAAAGCTATACTTGAAATGATTTTGAGTCTTTTGCTTTTGAAAATATCAATAATTGCCGTAAACCAATCTTCTCACGGTGAACCTCATGGACTTAAATGCTCTTTTTTCTTGATGAATTTTAAAAATATGGTAATGAGCCGAATCCCTGGCCGAGTAATTTTTGCTTGAGACAATAATTTTTCTTCAGAGTGTTTTTTTTTTTTGAATTCAATATACTAAAAGACTTTTAAATACATGTGTGATTATTGTCCTTTGATGGCCGCATTGTCTCTCTGCAGATGAGGATGTGGAGGTGCCGAAGGAGAAGTCATATCACATGCCGGGAAAGTTGAAAGATGAACTGCAGACAAGATTGGGCTTCTTTCTGGACAATCCCTTTCGAAGTAGTGCTGAAAGTGCCATAAAGCAGCCACTCCAGTCATGCACATCCCTCGTGTCCAGCAACACGAGTCCCGTGTCGACTCTGACTGGATCCTCAGACGCCGACATGTCGCGCGCTCTGCAGGACTCTGGAGCCTACATTGCGGGCTCCAACTCAATTGGCTCGCTCATGTCGATGTCCATCTCGGAGCAGAGCAACAGCTCTCTGAGTCCAGTGACGCGCAGACACTCCGTGACGAGTAAGGAAGACTTGCATTTGCCTAATTGGGGTTGATTGACTGGACAAGGGTTGTTTCTTTGCAGCATCGCAAGCTGGGCAGGTGGAGGATTTGACGATCTTCAAGAATCGCCGCGTTCCCATCAGACGATCTGCACGATCGGGAGCTCTCAAGGGTCCTGTGGATCCGAAGATCCGCTTCGCACAGTACAGACAGATGCAGCAATTGACGCTGAAACCGCTGTTCTTTGAGGTTCCCGTGCAGGAGCAGGAGCCGCTCTTCGTGGGCCGTCAGTGGCTGATGCGAGACATCTCCAATATTCTCAATCAGACCGACTCGCAGGGCATTCTGCTGCAGGGCAGCCCGGGCACGGGCAAGACAGCTGTGCTGCTGCAACTCGTGGAGCACTCGTGCTTCGGGCGGCGGCACGGCGCCGGGGCGAAAGACACTGAGGGCATCTACTGCCAAGCGAACGTGGTGAATGAGCGCATTAAGGCCCTCTCGTCGTACATCGTGGCGTATCACTTCTGCCAGGCGGACAACAATTTAACGTGTCTGGTGCCGGACTTTGTGCACTCGCTGGCGGCGCAGCTGTGCCAGGCGCCGCAATTGTCCGCATACCGCGAGTACCTGCTCAGCGAGTCGCACCTGCAGAACATTCTCAGCGTGAAAGAGTGCATCGCGGATCCAGAAAGGGCACTCAAGATGGGCATTCTGGAGCCTCTCATCAGCCTCAGGCGATCAGGCAACATCACGGCCAAGAACTGTGTCATCCTCATTGACGCTCTCTGCGAGGCTGAGTACCACAGACCCGATCACGGGGACACGCTGTCGTCCTTCCTGGCCAAGATGGTGGCCCACTTTCCGCCCTGGCTCAAAGTCGTGGCCACTGTGCGCACGCAGATGATGGAGTTTGTCAAGATGCTGCCGCTCACGCGTCTCTCGCTCGACATATCCAATGACGCCACGCAGAAGGATATCTTCGAGTACTGCACATTCAGGATGAAGACCAGCAACAGTATCGTGAATAACATCCATCCGGGCGGAAAGGAGGGCATCATGAGCAACCAGAGCAAGTTCATACAGTATCTGATTTCCCTCGCCAAGGGATCATTCCTGTTCGTGAAGCTCACGCTGGATCTGATCGAGTGCGGCCACTTGGTGATCAAATCCTCGAGCTACAAAGTCCTGCCCGTGTCTCTGGCGCAGATCTTCCTGCTCAGGTTCAACCTGAAATTTCCCACGGTGGCCAAGTATGAGAGAGTCTCCAGCATCCTCAACATCTGCCTCGCCACGCTCTATCCACTCACGCAAGTGGAGATCTTCTACTCCATCAATGCTCTGCACGCCAACAGTCCGCTCACGTGGCAGGACTTTGTGGAGAGCTTCAATGAGCTCTCGGATCTGCTGATAAAGCGCCTGGACAACACCTACATGTTCTTCCATCCGGCTCTCCGGGAGTGGCTCATCAGACGCGACTCCAACGAGAGCGTGAAGTTCCTCTGCGACTTCCGCCTCGGCCACGCTGCCATTGCCTTCCGCCTGTCGCGTCTTCATGCTCCTCTGGATGGTGAACTGGCTCTGGAGCTGGGCCACCACATCCTCAAGGCGCACATCTATCGCAACAGCAGTCACGCTCTCCTCCCGCGTGATCTGCAAGCCTACTGGGTTTCGTCCGTGACTGACTGCATCTCCTCCTCACTCTGCACACTGCGCAACGTCTACAGTCCGAACATCAAGGTTTCCCGGCTGCTCCTGCTCGCCGGCGCCTCGCCAGACTTCGTCACTGACTTCGTGGGCAACGCACCTCTCCTCTGCATCGCCGCATCCGAGGGAATCGTGTCAATGGTGAATCTGCTGCTGGAGTTCGGCGCTGATGTGGAGAAGTGCAACAGTCAGGGCAATACGCCACTCATCCTGGCCGCTGCCAAGGGACACTGCGACGTTGTGCGGCAGTTAGTGGCCGCCGGGAGCGCTCTTGGGCACACAGACACCTCCGGCCGGTGTGCCTTAGTCCACGCCGCGCGAGCCGGGAAGCTGAATGTGGTGAAGTACTTGCTGGCATGCGACTGGATTGCTCGCGATGGCTTCAGCGACGTGAGCCTCCTTCAAGCCACGCAGCAAGCACTCGTGGCTGCCTCGTCTCAGGGCTCCACGGACATCGTAGAGGAGCTCCTCGACTCAGCTGATGTGCAGATCGACGGCGAGGACAGCATCACGGGCGAAACGGCCCTGACTGGAGCGGCCAAGTGTGGATGCGTGGACACTGTCACGACCCTTCTAGTCCGTGGCGCCTCCTGCGAGGCTCGCAATCGGAAGAATCTGTCCGCTCTCCTGGTGGCCGCCAAGGACAATCACCGAGGCGTCATTGAGCGCCTCTTGCAATACAACGTCAACCTGGAGGATGCGGATGGAGATGGCAAGACGGCCGTCATTGTCGCTGCACAGGAAGCCAATGTGGATGTGATCGAAGTGCTGGTGGATCGAGGTAAGTCTATATTGCAGTGGTTCCGTCTCGCTGACTTCAGAATCACACCATCATTGCTTTCTTTGCAGGAGTGAATCTGGAGAAGACAGACAATGAAGGTCTCACGGCTCTGAGCTGGTCATGCCTGCGTGGTCATCAGCAGACTGCCACTTATCTGATCGAGAAGTTCGCCAACATTCACCACACAGACAAAACGGGCAGAACGCCTCTGGATCTCGCGGCATACCAGGGATCGGGGGCGCTCGTGCAGATGCTGCTGGATCGCGGATCTCAGATCGAGCACGTGGACGTGAATGGCATGAGACCTCTGGACAGAGCAATTGCGTGCCGGAATGTGCAAATAGTGCAAGTCTTCCTCAAGAGAGGGGCCAAATTGGGCCCAACGACGTGGGCAATGTCATCGGGAAAGCCGGAGATAATGTAAGTTTCTGCCCAGACAAGGGAAAGATAATATACCTAGCTAAGATCTGTACCTTGACACTTCCTAGGACTTCAGAATTCATGAATTGTTTATAAAATAACTAAAATCAACTAATAACTGAAACGTAACTAAAATCCGACTGAAATTTAACTGGAAATTAACGGACAACTTAAGAACCCACGTTTTCATGATCTTCTTCCGCTAAATTGGACTTTTGCGTCTTTTTCTTGATCATAATCCTTCAATTAAGAATAAATTCTCTTTTTTTTTAAAAATTTTTAACTAAAAATCGCTTCGGTTTAGTAAAGTAAGTTAAGTTTAGTAAGTAAAATCAGTCAAATAACCTAGAAAAATATGTCACAATATCTCCCCTTGTAGCCAGATACTTCCCTTATCACTAACTGGTTCCAGACTACTTTGAGATAAGACGATTTCTATTGCTTTGTCTCACTCTGAGGTGTAATGAGAAAATTTATAGTGTCTGAAGAAGCCGGAAAGTGTCGTTTTTGGGAAAACCAGATCGAATTTAACATGTTCTTTGTCTGCTCTTGTAAAAGTAATTTAGCCAAAAATAGCACAATCGCACGCGTTTTATGCTTTGTTTTGTCTGTTTTCCATTCACGGGTATTTTCCCAACTCTGTGTACAATTTTATCTTCAATTTAATATTCTTTAGTTTCCCCTAATTGGATATGCAAATATTTGATTTCTCCGCACTTTTTACGGTTGAAGACTTTATCAATCTCACTTGAATTTCAATAAGTTCGCTTTTAAAATTAACAGAATATTTATGATAAAATACAAATATCTTGTTTGTTTTTCTGGTTTCTGGCTGATAAAGCTTTAAATTCAAGGGGCAAATCACAAGGCGATTTTTGAGGAATCCTAATGGTTTCAATCAAATATTTAATTATTGATTAATCTTTTGTATAGTAAAAATCAAAATTTGAATATTTTCGGGCAAAATGCTTAAATAAAATAAATTATATTTAAGTATATTCTGGATATTTCATTGAAATTAAAATATTTGATGATTTTTCCCACATATCGCCGCCAGAGGACAGCAAAGTCGGCGTGGGGGACGCCATAATATCACATTTTTCTCATAATTTTCTTTCTATTTTTACGTATTTTTACACTTTATGGACTTCCTGGCCAGGAAAAGAGGAAATTTGAGCGCGAGAGTAAAGTTTTGATTAGCTTATCAAGCTTGGAAAGCATACCTATAGTTTGGAAATTTATATGAAAATCAAGAAATGATTGAATAATCACAAAGTTAAAGGTCTAAAATCGCAAGACTTTTGCCTTCTGTAAATCAATACAGCAATTTCATTAAGGAAAATATGCATTTTTCCAGGCTTCTACTGCTGAATAAATTACTGGAGGATGGAAACACACTGTACAGGAAGAATCGCCTTCAGGAAGCCTCGCACAGATATCAGTATGCGCTGAAAAAGTTCCCAGTTGACAACTCAGAGCACAGTTCGACTTTCAATCAGCTCAAGATCAACTTTCTGCTAAATCACTCGCGATGCAACAGAAAAATGAATGTGAGTGACATTGTTGGCTTCACTGCGCAGTGTTTCTTATCATTTGACTGATTGTATTTGTGCTCAATTTGCAGAATATTGCAGAGGCGATAGATTTAGCGACGCAGGCAATTGAGATGAACTCGGAGAGCTACGAGGGATTTCATCTGAGGGCGAAGGCTCTGCTGGAGTGCGGTCAGGTGGAGAAGGCCTTTTCAGACTCACGATCGGCTCTGCAGCGCGGACAAACTGCCTCGATGGACATCAAGAATGTCCTCATTCGCTTTCACGACGAGGTGCTCAAGCGGAGGGCGTATTTGCTCACGCACGAAGCCGACTCGTCGACCGATCTATAGGAAAAGTCCAGCAAGAATGGCCATAATATTGCTGATAAGAGCAAATTCTATAAAAATTGTAGATAGGCAAATTTAGAACATGTATAGAAAAGACATTCTTACTTTTTATGTTATTGTCACGCGTCGTAAGGAATAGGAAATGCAAAAAAAAATTGTTTGGCATGAAAAAGACTGATTTCTTGCTTTTATCTTTGTCTCTGAAAATTTTTGTCTGCCGAAATCTTTTTTTTTAGTTATTTTGTCGTCTCTTTTTTATCTCTTTAAATACAAATTGCTAAAAGCATTCAGAGTTTATGTTACTTAAATTATTTAAATTATTTTTTTTTTTACTTTCCACGCAATTTTTTCAATTTATTTTAGATTTTATAAAACTACGATGAACAGAGGGAAATATAGCTATTTTTTGTGTAATCTTTTGATATATGAACAAATAAAACTTGCTTTTATGAAACATTAATTCTATTTCACAAACTCAAGCGAAATCCGAAAGAAAACCACAATTTTTCACATCCAACTTTTCATTCATATTTTATTTCCCAAAACTCATATTTTTCAGTTTTTTTTTCATATGTATACATAATAAGAAAAATATTATTTTATACATATAAATTACATTAAATTTCAACAAAATCAAAAATCAGTTTTTTTTTGTGGCGGAAAAATTAAAACTTGCTAATAATTTTCTCTTCCATTTCACGGAAAAATAAAGAAAATTTCTTTTCTTTCTCAAAAACAGTTTAATCAATTGCAAAGTGCTGCGAACGAATGTTCTTGAAATCTGAATTACATTTATTTAAAAGAAAAAGAAAAAGAGTTCATCACACGAATTAATTGTACAAATAATCATGAATGTTTCAATTGTTTCTACAATTTTCATTTTACTTTATTATATCCGTCCTAGTGTTTTTTTCTACTAATTGGAAAATTCATCGGAGACTTATGCACTCCTCTTCGACCAATTTTTCCTTCACAATCACTTCGCCGTCTCCCCAATTTGCCTCTTTCTGAATCTGAGTTAAAACCAAAAAAAAAGTTGACTGGACACTTTTAAGGCCACATGAAAATATTTATCGTATTATTTATCATTTAACTTCATTTCCACCAAACCAATTTTATGCTTCTTCTTGTTTTTTTTTCTTACTTCATCTTCTTTTCCTCAAATTCATTATTGGCATTCTGGTTAGCAGATTTTTATGTGTTTGTTATGTTCTTCTTTTTTTCATGTATTCCTCGCCGTTCGTTATCTTTCTCTCTTCCTTTTGTGTTTTCACTGTAAAATCTATTTTTTCTTCTTCTTCTTCTCCTTTATCATTGAATATTGACACTGCAAAAGTGGATTGATAGAAAAAAACGGTTGTACATCACCTCACTTCGGGCCAACATTTCTCTTGCCCTTCACCACGGTCGGTCGGTTCTTGATGAAGCCTTTTCTCCTCTTTGAAGTCTGCAAAGAAACATCCATGAGAGAAAGTGCACGACAATTTCCCAGTGAACACAAAATGCTAAAATCTCAGCTAATTTCTTTGCTTTCTGTCGCTGTGTTGTGGAAACAGGAAAAACAGTGTTTCCTTCGGTTTTTTTTTCGTGGAAAAATGCGCAGATAAGTTTCATTAATCATGTTAGGATTGTTGAAGTGTGTGAAAAAGTCAAAATTTAGTGTGAAAAAAGAGTAAATTTCGGGTGGCGAGCTGTCGTGTGACAGTCTAACGACTGTCAATTGACTTTAGTTTGAAGTCGACCATTTGTTGTGAATGTTTCTTAATGGAAAGAAAATCGCGGAAATCGCTCAATTTTACTCTTTTCAGCTCTGGATAAAGAATGCGCAAAAGCGCAATTTTGACGCAGACATTTTTAACCCTTTTGCTCTCCGATTAAGTGAAGTTTTCTTAAGGCATTTGGAAGCCAAGATTTTTTTTGCCAAGAACTCTTTTTCCTTTCTAGAATCTACGGAAAATCCCATTTTGGGCTATTCGACAATGCCGGGGAGTCACTTGGCGCGTCCAAGACAAAGAACAGCGGCGTTCTGGCCACTGTCTTCATCTTCAGTTCATCTAGAGAACGTGAAGTCCTAAAAGTGCATCCTGAGATGCAATTGAATTCATTCGTTGTGAGTTAATGTGAAGCAGTCTTCACCTAAAACGTGTTTCGGAACATTGCTAAGAAAATTGAGCTGCGTTTCCTCAATAAATACTTCGACTTAGCACATTTCAGCTAAATTAGCTGCTTTTCTTTCAGCCTTTATACCTCGCCGGGTTAGTCATTAGCCCAGTTATTTGGCGCACGAAGCGAAAGGCAGAAAAATGGTGATAACATGCATTTCCGCAATTACCTTTCGTGACACATAATCGCTGGCTGGAAACACTCTATCGTCCTCCTTCAAATTGGGCCGGTTGAACTCATGGGGCTTCTTCACACGATAAATACGCACAAGCCAGTGCTCAGACGTGTACGCCTCCTCCAGATACGTCAGCTCGAAATCTTTATTGCCAATTACGGAATTGCGTGTGCGATCATATCCTGCAGTTCCTCTGAAAACAGAGACACATTTGCAGTCAGCAAACGCCCATTAATCACTTCGTGTCTTTCTCTCTTGCGCTCTCACCTGTAGTCAAGCTTGAGTTCGCCGAATCTGTAGTAACTGAGTTTGTACATGAGACAGTTGAGCAAGGCTGGCGCACCCTCAGCATCCACCCGGAACTCCCCGCGATCCGTGAAGAAGTCACTCTCGCGAATGTCCTTCGGATGTTCACCCTCGGCAATCCTCACCATCCACAGAAACTTGTTGATATCGTCACCAGAGTAGCCAATCACACCGCCAAATATCACCAGCACGTAATCCACGTCGAGGGACGTCATGATGTCATAGGCCTTGTCCTCAGGCGACGACATCGCCTTGCCCACGAGTGCAATGTGACTATTATTCCACGTATTGTTGTCCACCAGCGTCGTCCGATTCGCCATGCCCGCTATTTGGTAGCCATAATCCCACCACGACATCACGCGCGCATCATCAGCAGTGTTCTGCGACAGCCAATAGTACGCCTCGCGGAAGTCATCCAGGATATTTCGTGTCCCATCGGCGCTATTGTAGAATGCCAGCACAATTGATGGACTGGAGTAAGCGTTGCTCGTGACCCACGTGCAGTGCACAGCGAACATCATCAGTATCATGAGAACTGCCACAATTACAACACTCTTGAGATTCGATCCCATGCCATTGCCGCCGGAGCTGGAGGCGTCGTGCGTCGTGGCCTCATGCTTTGGCCTGTGCTTCAGCTTTCCCGCCTTGTCGTACATGTTCTTCCTCTCCACGGGCTCCTCACTCTCCTCACCATTGCCAGAAGCATTAGACGGAGCGTTGTCGTCCTTGAGGAACACTTCTAACAAACCTGAAGATAGACGAAAGTTTATGAACTTTTCTACCTGTTTTGCGGTGGAAACTATGAAAAATTGTACATTTTTTCTAAGAAAATCATCTCAAACTTCAATCAAAGGCATAAAACACCTTCTTAGACGGTGAATGAATATAATATTTGTCATATCTTTTAATTTTTCACTTGAAAACTTCAACAAGTTCATGAAATTTGATTTTCTAGAGCTCGAATGTTAAAAATCGACTTTGGAAAGGAATATTTTCAGTTTTCCTATTTATTTTACAATATTTAATTCAAAAATTTTATTAAATACCAATAAAATTAACTGGAATGTCCACAAAATAATTATTGCAGAGCAATATTCGCACTCTAATGAACGATTAGGAGGTGTTTTGAGGTAAATTTAACACATTTCGCAGCGATATTAACGTTAAATTTCTTTTTCAATTCAGTCATCGTAAGTTTTTATGTCATCAAGTAGTTTAATCAACTGTTATTTCTTCTTGTGGCAATAAAAAGTATACATAAAATGTCTCAATATTATTATTGTCACAGACAAAGTCATTGACCTCAACCGGCAAATATTCATTCAGAACAAATTGCAAGTGTAAAATCAGCGTCAATAACACTCGAGAAGCATTATTTTAATCGCTATCACAGAGGGAAATGGCTGAGGAAGACTCACCGGAGAATGCCACGCCGCTGAGGATGCACACGACTGGCGTGAGCGTGAGCATGAGACGAACCATCACGCCGGCGAAGTAGACGGCGCTGATGGCGTAGAGCACGACAAAGACGAGTTCGTCGTTGATGCGCTTGATGCAGTACCATAGTCCCACGGGGAATGTGCACACGAGGATGTGGAGATCGAAGAAGAAGGAGAACCACGTGGTGGGCTGATGCTCCGACACGGAGGCGATGATGGGGATGTGAATCTTGGCATAGCCGGTGTCCCAGAGTGAGTAGAAGCGTCCACTCCACGGCGCCACGACGCCTGAGATTGTGAGAATGACCACGGCGAGGAACACCAGGCCGGCGGCTGAGAGGCCGCCGATGATGAAGACGCGGCGGAACTCCTGCTTCGTCAGCACCGTCTGCATGTGTCGCAGCACGGCGACGGCGATCAGGAGGACAAACACCCCCGAGGCCGCCATGTGCTCACTGGTGCGGATGGGCTGGAAGCCCACGAAGGGGATTTGCATGGAGAGGAGGAGGCCGAGGATGTAGAAGGTGGTGTAGCTGGTGAAGAGGCGCGGCGAGTAGCGTCCCATGATAAGCAGCACGAACACGTGGAGCGGGATGAGATTGATGATGAACACGTACCCACCCCAGGCGGATACCATGTAGAAGTAGGAGAGGGCGGCCATGGACGCCCAGAACACCGAGCCCGTCTTCACGGACTTCACCCAGAGATAGTAGGTGAATTGCAGGGCGAAGATGGCGATGCCCTCGTTGTCGTAGCTGCCCGCCACGCTGCGGCTGATGTAGCCGGGCACGATGGCGATGAAGCTGGCGGCGAACAGGCCCGCGCCCGCGGACCACAGCTCCTTCGTCAGCAAGTACGTGGAGATGGCCGTGAGGCCGCTGAAGACGGGCGCGAGGAACACGCAAATGTCGCGGATGTGGATGGGGATGTGCAGCAGGTGCAGCAGCCAGTGGATGCTGCCGGACGTGATCATGAGGCCCGGATACACTGTGCCGCCCACAATGCGCCCCAGCGGATACCAGGCGCGCTCGTCGAACCAGTTGAGGAACTTGTAGAATCCATGCTGCACCATGTATGCCGTGGCGCGGTAATTGAACCTGCAAGCACACACCGGTCACTCCAGCGCCCCGCAAGTGGCCACAGGGCCAGTCTGGGGCTCCTACTCACCAGGGATCGAACTCATGGATGATGCTCTCGAAGCGAATAACGGCGAAGAGGCGAGATGAAAAGCCCGACACCCAGGCCAGAAACAACACCGCGAAGGTGATCAAACTGGTGTATCCCGCTGTCTGGCGGCTCATAATCTTTGGACGACTCATCTTTAGTAGCCCTTTTCAGCGGTATTCACGGCAAATACTCACAAATTATCACGAAACATGCCACCACTGAAAAATTTCAGACACGTCGCCCAATACTTGACAGCCGGCAACTGGCATACGCGACTGTGCTACGCCGACAGCGCCTCCCGCGGTGTCCCACGGCAAACATCTGGCGCTCTCGCCCGAAGGCAGGCAAAACGCCGTGTGAGCGCCGATTTTGAATCCAAATCAATGTAACGAAAAAATGCGAATATATTTTCATGAGAAATCAATTTATTCCGCCCCGTGCAGCATCATACTTCAGTCAGCTAATCACTAGATTAAATTCAGATTGAACAAATAAATTGTCATACGGAGAAAATAGAAAAAATCGCACTGATCTCGCGCCATAAACAAATTCACATTTTGTTTGCCGTTCGCACAGCTGAAGACTTGCTCGTGGCAATTTCAGATCGTCAGTTCGTTTTCAGCTGCCTTTCAGTGCGGTTCGCAAAATTATCACGCGTCGCAGTTATCAGTGTGCATTATCAGGCAGCGTCAGCCAAAATTCCAGTATGGAAAGTTCGTCAGATTGTGAAGATATCGGCAATGAGCTTCGCGGAAAAATTAATGGGTCTGCCCTTGCGGCGCCCCACGTGAGTCTGGGCAGTGTGAGATCGGTGAGTCTGAGCAAGATGGGCAGCGGAACGCCTCCGAGGGTGATGGAGAAGTCGTCTCTGAGGCGAAACAGAAGCTACGGAAATATGATGGCATCCGGAAATAAGGAGGCGAAGGTCCTCGTCATCTACACCGGCGGAACAATTGGGATGATGAGGAATGAGAAAAAAGGTGAGACAGTTGCGCAATCCCTTCTCGCACGGGAGAAAGTCTTCTGACCCTGACCTTGCCGTGCCTCGTGCGGCAAAAGTGGCGATAAAGCTTGAGAAGTTTATGGCAACTGTGATTCGGTTGAATTGAAGTAACACTAGAACTACCAGACTGGCGAAATTGGTCAAAGGATGAGGAATTAAATTAATTTCGCACATCAAGACAGAAGATCAAGGTGGAAAATTCATGGAAATACGCGAATGTTTTGACGAATTACAATATCTGTGCATATGCAATGAGTGCCAAAAACATTTCCACGTCTTATCATGCCCAGATTTGTCATCGAATTGTGAGAGTGACAACAGGAAGAATTAATCTTCGCCCTTTTGTTCAACAGTCGATCATGAGTTTTGACATGACGACAAATTTTGTGTGTTTTTGCCTGGAAAACGCCTTGGGTCAAAGCCGTCGCATTAAAAGCGACAACGATTAAACACAATCATCTGTTTGGCTTCCTTTCATCGCTTAATCGTCTCAATATAGAGATAGATTTGAGATGTTACAATAAATAACATATTTATTAGCAAAATGGTATAAAAATAATTTCTCGCGATTTCAAAACACAAACATTCTCGTAAACTTGTTGCTGTGGCACAAATGTTTTCACATATAATTAGCAACTAAGGTGCTATTCTTTCGTGTGCTCGAGATTAAAAGTGGTAACAAGACTCATTTCCAGGGGGGAGATTGTGTGCCTTGACTCTGTACACCACTTTAGATCGCAAGAAATGATCTTAACGAACCAGGATTTGTTCTAGAACAAATTCTGTTTTTATTTTCTAGTTTTGTAGTTATGAATTCGACTTAAAAGTCCTTCTTAGACCGAAATCCTTTCAAATCTGGAAATATTGTGAATGATTCAATGTTTCTAGTATATAAATAGGTTGAATTTCCAACTTTAAAGCTCAAATCACGAAAAGAATTAAGCAAAGAGGCATTTTTCTAGACTGAAATTACATTTTTTGAGGTTAGGATTCATTTTAAGACCTTTTCTTAACCAATCTGAAGTTGTTTTTGAACAAAAATGCTCAACTCTGTCAAGAAAAAGAGAAATATTCCCAGCTTTAATGCAAATTTGATGATTTTGAGGGTTTTTTTGAATATCAGAATCTGTTTAAAATCAATCACATAACCTAGAAAAGCAAAAAAAATTGATGTTTGTAAGAAAAAATAATTTAGAAAATGCCCCAATTTGTAGAAACAGAAGCTTTTGCAGTGCAAATATTCGACATATTTTAACTCTTCCAATTCCCAAATACTTCTACAAATCTGTACACCACTTCCAACCATAATATCTACCCCTTGACTCATTTGATCATCGCTAAAATTGCATGTTGCCAATGTTGAAAATCACAGAGGAAAATACTCCAAGAATTGCTCGATTTTTCCCTGGAATGAAACTTTTAGAATGCAAACATGTAATTTGATTGCATTAACAGCACGTGTCGTGGTCACAAATTGGCGCTAATATAATAATCCAGAGATTGCAAAAGTGAATAGAATGATTAAGTAATCTGTCTCAATATCATTTCAGCACTTGTGCCCATCCCGAATGCACTTGTTAAGAACATTCGTCGCTTTCCGCACATGCACGACGTGGAATATGCGCAGGAGAGATTCGGAACTGGGGCTGCGATGGCGCCCCTCGTCCTGCCCTACGTGGAGAATCTCGAGCGACGAGTTATTTACACGATCTCAGAGTATTCCAAGCTGCTGGATTCCAGCAATATGACGATCAATGACTGGGTGCAGATCGCTGAGGACATTAGAGTGAGTCTATTGACGCTATTTTTTGAGCATCAATCACTAAAATTGTATTATCTCTTATCAGCAATCCTATGAATTTTTTGATGGATTTGTCATTCTTCACGGCACCGATACACTCTCGTACACCGCATCCGCCTTATCTTTCATGCTGGAGAACCTGGGAAAGACCGTCATCATCACAGGCTCGCAAATCCCTATCTTCGAGACTCGCACAGATGGAAAGGATAATTTCACATCTGCTCTCATCATTGCGGGGAATTTTGTGATTCCTGAAGTGTCAGTCTTCTTCGGATCGAAACTCTATCGTGGAAATCGCACGATAAAGGTGAGCTCAGCCTCGTTAGATGCTTTCGACACGCCCAATGTGCCGTGTTTGGCCAAAGTGGGCATCAATGTCGAAGTGGACTTCAGACTCATCTTCAGGCCGTGCACCGTGAGTCGCTTCTGCGTGCACAGCAATCTGGACGAGAATGTGGGCATTCTGTGGATTTTCCCCAGCATCACGACGGCAATGATTCGGGCATTCCTCCAGCCGCCGATGAAAGGAGTTGTGCTGCAGTCCTTCGGTGCGGGGAATATTCCCTCGAATCGACAGGATATGCTGCAGGCGCTTAAGGATGCGTCGCAGAGTGGCATGATCATCGTGAATTGCACACAATGCACGACTGGCTCGGTGTGTGACTTGTACGAGACTGGGCGACTGCTGCAAGACTGCGGCGTAATCTCTGGCTATGATATGACGCCCGAGGCGGCGCTCACGAAGCTGGCCTACTGCCTGGGCAAGAGTGAGTGGTCGCTGGAGGAGAAGAAGAAGATGATGCAGCGGAATCTGCGCGGCGAGCTGACGGCCGGCAAGTCGCCGGAGATGCAGGAGTTCGATTTGGTTGACGCTGTGGCGAGATCACTGCATTTGTCCACGCCACATGAGCTCTCCCAGCTGGGAGCTACGCTCTTCCCCGCCATGGTGAACACCGCCGTGAAGGCGGGCGATCTGGCCAAGGTGGAGCTCATGAAGTCTTATGGTGCTGATCTCTCCGGCGTCAACTATGACTATCGCACGGCGCTCCATGTGGCGGCGGCCGAGGGGCGGGAGGATGTGGTGAAGCACCTCCTGTTGCACGGCGTCACCGTGCACGTGCGCGATCGTCACGATCGCACGCCACTCATGGAGGCCATCGCGAATGATCACCACGAGATTATTCGTCTGCTGATCAAGTGCGGCGCTCATATCACGGGATCGGCTAGAGGAGTGGGTGAATTCCTGTGCGCCGCCGCGGCCAGAGGCCTGCAGAAGCGCATGGAGTCGTACCGTCTGGCCGGGGCTGATCTGTCGCAGCCCGATCCCTCCGGACGCACGGCCCTGCACGTGGCTGCTCTGCACGGCCACACAACTCTCGTGGAGTATCTGCTGAGGAACTACGTGGACAGGGACGAGGTGGACCTCCTGGGACTCACGGCGGAGGATTACGCGAAGCGCGGCGGCCACGATGATATTTGCAGCATCCTGCAGGGAAAGCCAGTGAATGGTAACGGAACTGACCACTGAACGCTCATCGTATCTCTTACTTCATTCATGTTTATTTTACTGTAAGACTTGCTAAACCTCTATCTGATGATCTTTTATCTAAAAATGTTCTATTCACTCAACGAAATTCATCGCAGTTTGGAAAAATTAATGACTGAACAGAGTCCAAAATTCTTATCAAGCTACATAATAATATATACTCATAGTGATATTTTTAATTAATACTTCTCCTGTTATGTAAATCTAACGTCATTAATATAATAAAATAAAATTAATATATGTATGTTTCTCTATGTATAATATGGATTAAAAACGATGCACAAAATGCATTTTAATTTTATCTTCTCATTTCATTTCAACTGTAAATTCCAAGGGGAGATAATATGTTTCAAATCTGTACACCTTTTCTTTGAATTTTCACAATTTCTCTGCAGAATCTTTAACACTTCAGACACTTCTGAATGTCTAAAAAGGCGTTTTCCATCGCTTTTTACACTTCTTCAACTGTTTCTCACATTCAATTCTGACTTATCACAATCTAATCTAAGTTTTGCCTTCAGAAATTGCTTTGAAAAATTCTGATCAAGTTGTGAGGTTATGAATTTGGTCTTTGAAATCCTTTTTGAACTAATTTAGATCTTTATAAACCTGGAAATGAGTATGAGTTTTTTCGATCAAACATGCTCAATTTTGTAGAAAAAGAGAAATAATCTCCGTTTAGGCACAAAGTTGATGATTTTGAGGGTTATTAAATCGACAGAATCTGTTTTAAATCAATCACATAACCTAGAAAAGCAATTGAACTTGTCTTTCTAACTAAATAAATATTGAAAATGCCTCAATTTGTTGAAATTGAAGCTTTTGCTATGTAAATATTCTAAATATTTTACCACTTTCAATTCCCAAACACTTCCAAAAAGCTGTACACCACTTCCGACCATATTATCTGCCCCTTGGTAAATCCTATCAGAAGAATTCTATTGCCTTTCTGACTCTTTTAAATTAGCAAACTGGAGATAATGGAATGTTTCGTATAATTCTGTTCCTCTTCATTAAGTTTCAACTATCTACAATACAATAACACACATTGTATTCATGATTAGAGCCTTCTAATGAAAATACATGAATATATTGCGTTCAATTGCAAAATTATTGAGTACATAAAAAATTTCGTCTTGAAAATCACAGTCTAGTTCGACTTTACCATTTTCTTGATCGAAAAGAAAGAACTATCTATGCTATGACAATCCCCAAAATGGGGGAAATCATGATAAATTGAGGAGTAATTTAGCAGTGTGAAAAAAATAATTAGTGATGAACGAAAAGAAATCACATGGAAAGTCATTGAAATCATTTGCATAGATTGTGAATCATTGTAAGAGATTCACATCAGACCTCATTCTCATCGATGCGCTTGTAGATTTCCACCGGTTTTGGTGAAAACATCTTGTTATCGACGACTAAACTCTTAATCTGAACAGATTCTAGGCCATTTCCCGTCTCTTTCTTCGCATTCTTATCAATTACGATATTCATTGATGGCAAATTCTCCTCATTCACCGTGTCTATCTTGTTGAGATCCTCAATTGTGGCTGTTGTGAAGCCATTCACTCTCTTCGTGTGGCTTCCCAGCTCTGCACCTTCCTCAATTTCAAATCCCAGATTGTCCTTCTCAGTGGGCAGATTCACCTTCAAGCACTTTTCCGGGGCAGTCTTGCTGGGCATGGCTTTGTATTGGCGCGCCTTGCCGGGCAGCCACTTTGAGAAGTTAAATGCTGGCTTGAACAGAAGATTCGAGTCGTACACATCGTCACTGGACGCAGTCAACCAGCTCACGACAACACCCACGAACACCGTCACGAAGGTTCCGATGATGCTCCAGTACATGAAGGAGATCGAGTAGAAGCTCTGCAGGATGGTTCTGTGGCGAGAGAAAATGGGCGATTAATCCCAAGTCTGATGATATTCTTTAGCTCACTTACGGATCATGAGCTGGAGGAGTCGTTGGGATGGCATAAGATGAGTTCCAGCCCACTTCCAGGGGCATATTGTTGACCAGCCAGGATGACGAGGACTTTGTGATGGCCTGAGAGAATGTGTGATTGGTGCATCCCTGGAAAAGACTCTGAGATGAGAATTTTCTTTCAGAAATCACCTCAAGACACTTCTTACATCGACAGATGTTGGCATAAGCACAGGTTGGGACGATTTCACAGTGAAGCTTCCAAAAGCAAGCCAAAAGGAGACAACATTGGACATGATCATGCCCGTGGCGGCTCCCTTCCAGTTGGACATGGGAAAGATCATGGCGAGCAGAAAGACCCCCAACAGCGGTCCAGAAGTCACTGATGTCATAAGCATTGCACTCTCAATCACCCCCGAGAGCAGTCCCACGCTGAAAGCCACACCCATCACGATGATGCTGTACATGCAGCCGAGGAACTTAATCGTATTCACCTCCTGCTTCTCCGTGAGACCCTTGAAGTGTGGCAAGGGCGACAGGAAGTCCTCCCAAGTGACTGTGGCCAGAGAGTTGATGTTGGACACACTGAGACTGAGAGCACCGTTGAAGATTGTGGCCATGAAGAGTCCCAGAAATCCTGGCAAGTATGCAAATTTATCCTCCACGAAGAATGGCAGAATCTCATCCATCTTCTTTGTGTATCCGGCAGCCAGAGGATCGCAGTTGACATACGTGGAGAACACTCCCATGCCCACGATCCACGAGAGCGAGAACAGGATGATGATCATGGGAATGTTGGACAACATGGTCTTCTTCACTTCGGCGAATGTCTTGAGACTCACGTAGCGCTGCACAAAGTTCTGCTGGCATCCAAATTGACTCAGGGACATGAACAACTGACCAACCCAGGCTGACACTGTGTCCACGCGCAGTGTGAAGTCTCCGGAGAAATTGAAGAACTGAAATCGTCCCTCATCTTTGACAGTGTCATAGACTTTCTTAGGACTACCCGTCTCGAAGATACCCTGAATGATTATGGCGACAGAAATGGCAATCATTGTTACACCCTGAATTACATCAGCGGTTATCGCAGCTTTTAGGCCTCCCTGCAGAGTTGAGAGACAACATTAGCAAATAGATTGATGACTCTATCTTTCTACCAGTTAATTTACCAGCACAGTGAACAGTATTCCTACGACCGTGATGCCGACAAGGGACATCCAATAAGGCACGCCGATGATTGTATTAAGGGCCACACTTGGTGTGTACACGGTGACTCCCAAAGCCAACACTTGTCTCAAGATAAAGGAAATTGACGCCAAACATCTCACTAGACGACTGTTATATCTGAAAGAAAGAGATTTATTATATGCACACATTTTTCTCTCATACTGCGTACACTTTCCACATGCATCTTGTCTGGGTTAATAGCCTATTACTCTTGTTACCTTGAAAACCTGAAATTTTTACCCTGGCAAAGGTTTGTCATGTGCAGAAATTCACACCTCTAGACATGCGCGGTGATTTTTTAAATAAATTCCCAAGAGATGTGCGAAAATCACCAATGCACGTGGAACGCAAAATGTCTCTTGCAATTCAAGTTGACACACGATTATTTATCTAAAAGAAAATTCACAACTAACCGAAGGTCCAAATACTGATAGACTGATGTAATTCCTAAGCTGTAGTACACGGGAATGAAGACGTACAGCACCACTGGATAGGCCGTCACCATGCCGTAGAGCGTCTCCCACATGGCCGATCCTCTGTAGAACAGCTCACTGGGATAGCCCAGGAAGGCTCTCACGCCCAGCGTTCCGCGGGCAATGGACAGCATCATGGCCAGAATGGAGATTTTGCCCACGGCAAACACAAAATCGGCCTTTGTGTTGTCTCGCTTCTTGCCAAATATTCTGCTCCATAGCGGCACCAAGGATGACAGGATCAGGAAGACGAAAAACACTATGTAGTCCCACGTGAGGGAACTCAGCGATCTGGCCATCTGGAATGGGAGAATTGTGCACAAGCTCAATCAAAACATCCAAAAATGGGCACAAGGGGGAGATAATACGACTGAACATGGTGTACACTACTTCTTGTCTCTTGGGCAGTGCTTAAAACATGCATTTTAACTATTTTCTTCTCATTTTTTGGATCATTTCATACATTTTTCCATCTGCCTAAGATCATAACCTAAAAATTACCTTAAGATATCCAAGGAAAATCCTTCAAAGATAGTTGTTCGGAACGGTTTAAAGGCAAATCAGGGATATATTGATCTTTTTTAAATCTTTAAGCTCTTAGAATAGATATTTTATGTCCTGAAGCAGTATTTTAGAGGTTATGATCAATCTTAGCACAATTAACACAGTTTAATACGGAAAATTTGTTATCTGTGGTAAAATTGACGTAAAATTTTTAATTTTATATTATTTATTTAGGTTAAACAGATAATCTTGAAGATCAGACAAATATTTTCAAGATTATTATTATTCATTTATTCTTCCACTGAACTGTACACCACTTCTGATCATAATCTCTCCCCCTTGTGTGGGCTATTGTGTGATCTCCTTGATTCATTTTTTGTATGATTGTTCCTGGCGGAATTCCATTTATATATCGAGTGTATCATTCTAGATTTACGCAATACTGTAACAAGATGCACAGGTTGATATAAAGTTTGACTAGTGACGTCAAGATGAAGTTGACAAGCTCTTCAATTTATGCATGATTCAGAAATTAGTCACAATTTCACTAAATTAAAATTGTCCCGATAAAAATATATTGACGATATTGATTTATTCCTTGAGTCATCGATCTCTAACTGGCTTTGTCGTCGCTTGTTAGATGGCAGATGAAAAAGAAGTACATGTTCTCAGTGAATTACCGTGAATTTATGAGTAATACAAATATTTCTCTATTAAATAGTCATGTGTTGACAGAAATTAATTGTAGCATGATGTGTGCGAGCGAACAGATGATATCTGCGTATGGTTTGTGCATAAATATTATCCTGATAGAGCGTCAAATGCCAACCGAGCTGAGGCACGTGATTGTGGGTTTAAGAGGAAAGAAAATAATTATGTGGAAAGCCCCTACGGAGCCACTTTGTCAATATTTAGATGATTGTGAAACTATCACATCACGCTATACTCACCTGATGTATATCTAAACCTATCTAAATGACTAAAAAGTCCGCGCTGTTCAAGTGAAATTTTTATGGTGTGGGCAAGATGCAAAATTGGAAATTGACACATACCAATCATGTTGGGAAAAAGTAACTTCTGTTTAGGAAGAATTGTCGAATGGTGTGATAATTTGGAGCAAATAAACTTGGACATGTTGCACGATCTCTTGCAATTTCTCCAAACATGGAAGAGATGTGCTTTAGAGGAAACCAACGAGAGACTATTTTTAGCCACTCTTCTCGTGCGTGTACAATTCAATTCACTCTCATAATATTTTCTTCCAAAGTACAACCCAAGGCAGAGATAATATGCCTCAAGCCTGTACACCACTTTCTGGCACTTCCACACAATCTATATAAAATCTTCTAACATTTCAGACACTTCTAAACGCCTTTAAGGACATTTTCCATTGCTTTTTAGACTCCTTCAACTGTTTCTCACACTCAATTCTGACTTATTACAATCTAATGAAATTGTAAGGTTATGAATCCTTCCTAATTTCTACCTTAAATGAGTAGGTATAGTGAATATCTCAATGTTTTTTACTAGATAGTTTCCTTGAATTTGCCACATTAAAGCACAAACCGCGGAAAAACCAAAGGAAAGAGATAGTTTTTTAGACTTAAATAATATTTTTGAGGTTATAATTGACTTTTAAGCTCTTCCGACTACTGAAATTTGATCAATCTGAAGTTTTTCAAACGCAAACACTCAATTTTGCGGAGAAAAAGACAAATATTTACAGTTAAGATACAAATTTTATGATTTTGAGGGTTATTTAATCGCCGGAATCTGTTTGAAATCAATCACATAACCTAGAAAAGCAATAAAATGGATATTTTTAAGCAAAATAATTAAGAAAATGCCTCAATTTGCTTAATCAGAAGCTTTTTTATGCAAATATTGTAAATATTTCAACACTTTCCATTCCCAACACTTTTGCAAAAGCTGTACACCACTTTTGACTGAAATATCTGCCCCTTGGTACAACCACAAAAAGATAAAATTGAAATTGAAAATAACGATCAAAACATGCAAGAGATTATTACAATAAATTGATAGGATCTGTCAAGAATAAAGTAATAAAATGATTCAAGCTTATTAGAGTTTCAGAGCAAACGATGCTGGATATTTTTTTCCCCGCTCTTTACATTGCAAACTTATCAATGAGACGCACGTGATATTAATTATATGAATGCTCCAGTCTCTGGGTAGATAATGGAAAATTTTCTGCTCTATTGTCCAATGAAGTTCGGAGCAAATGCAAAAAGCAATTAGATCATAATTAGTAGATTTGCTGTATAATCGCCTTTAATACACATTATCAGGTGGTTTTCAAATCTGCGATGTTATTTCGCTGGATTACTTTGCGTATCTCTCTAATTGATTTAATTTTCGCATCTTGTGAAGAAAAAAAGTATTGTTTATTATTTGGAGATTTATTGCTCTCTGCACGATATTAATTATTATGATTACCGCACATAATGTGTGTTTATAGAAAACACTCTCTAACATGTATGCCAATATCATGATAGTGTTTATTGCAGAGGCTTTATATTGTGCATCAATTTGCACCGAATCAAGGCAATTAAATTGATCAAATTAGACAAAGGCAGCAATTTTCTTGAATTGAAGTATTTACTCCCAATTTCTAATCACCGTTTTTCGTACATTTTACGCTCCTCCACTATAACTCAATAGAATTTGAACATAGCATATTATCGCACAAAGAGAAATGAACAGATTAACCAAATTACACATTTCCCATCATTATTTTCCCCGTTGAATGGTGGAAAAAAAAATGAAGAAGAAAAACATTAATGAGAAAAATCATATTAAAAATTCATTGAAGTTCCAATAGAATTTTTCAAGTGAATGACCATAAAACAAGTTGCATTTTTTGTATTTAACATCCAATCTATAAATAAACAGAATAAACTATATTGATTTATGGTGTGATCGCGCCGTTAAGTCTATTTATATCTCGCGTCTTTAAAAGGCGAATAACTCTGAGACTTCTTATCCGTATTAGTTTGTTGAACGGCGTCGCGCAAAGGTATCCAGTTTAAACTGAAATAGATCCAGAAAATTGGAATTCAAAGATCACAAAGCAACACAATGAATTCACTGTGTTATTGACAATTTTCACTTCGTTTTTCACTTTATCGCACGCCACAATAGTTTGCTTAAAGAGATTTTTTTTTGCACTAATGAGCGAAAAAATTGGAGCCACACTTATCATTGTTATGATTTGAATTTTTTGGTGATCTCGTGGCCTGAGAATTCCGCCCCATACTCCAGACATTTTCCGCAGAATCTGTAAAATGTCCGCATGGGCATCTGTATATACACAAACTCTCGTGAATGTAAATGGATAGAAGATTAATTGTCAGCACGCGTTTCGGTTGATAACTCCGCGAAATTCTCGCCCAAAAATATATTATATACAAATCCTCGCTGAGCTTTGTTGTAGCTTTTTTTTCCTGTAAACACGATGGCTATCTTCAGGGTAGCTCTGTGTTATTTACTATACCTTTTTACACTCAACGATGGTGAACTTCATATTAACAAACACATAGCGTCCAGTTGAATTATGTGATGCTTGAATTATCAAATCACATGAGAGAAAAGCGCGTCACAGCGGCGTGATTTTGTTTAGTGGTGCTTTTCATATTGACTTTCATTCTGATTAAGATTATCATAAAAGTTCCGCATCAAGGGGGAGATAATATGCCTAAAATCTGTATGCCACTTCTTAAAACTTTCAACATTTGAAATTTTTAGACTGTTTGCCCAATGATTCTCTAAATATAACGAATTTCTGTAAGAATTCGCTTGAAATCGCGTTTTTTTGGGTGTCTTTACTAACTATAACCTCAAAATCAGGATGATTTGTCAGTAAAAGAAGCATAAAGAAAAGAAATATTGTAAGTTTTTCAACACTTCCACTCCCTAAGTATTTTTGCTGATCTGTACACCACATCTGACTGTATTATCTCCCTCTGTGAATGCTCTGTGAGTAATGCAAATCGCACACTTAGAATTGCGATATTCACGGGGAATTTGTGGGGTTTTTTTCTGTATAATTATAGGGCTCTGAGTTTTCAACATATTCGTGAATAGATATTCGAAAAATTTAGTGCTGAAAAATATCTGTTTCGCTTTCAATTTGTGCTTCAAATTCAGTACATAGTGTAAGTATGTACTTTCGAACACATGCAATAGGCGCACAAGGTTATTCAGACAACAATGTACATTACATACATAATCTCATGCCATCGACTTATCGCGGTAGTTTGTCACACTGAAACTGTACATTAACTTGCAAATTATATACATATGTAGGTAATTTGCTAATATTACTTAATTGCGCAGGGCGCTCAGCATCATGTCTGATATTATTTGCGTACAATTTAAAAACACAAACTTCTTCAGCGAATGCAAATGTAAAAGACGCATTTTTACTGTATTGAAATACTTTTTGGGATTGAAACATTCCACTGGAATGGCTGGTAATGAAAAAATGCTCTAGTTTTTCAGCAATAACCCATCATCGTGTGTCTAAATCAAATATTAGTCCAATGAGTCCAACACTTTTTAACTCCACGTGTGACAATATATTGAGAAATATCTATGTTCATCGCAAATTCAGATATAACACGCATAGAAGATGAGATATGAATGTACAACAATTACAATAGACAATTAAGAATTTCTTCATCTAAACCGGAAATTATTTTTTTAACGTACAACCAAGTGGAAGGTTCTATTTTAATTAACCATTTCTACCTCTCAATGTTTAAAGTCACTTCCCTACAGCTTTGGGAAATGCATAAAAACGATAACTTCACCGCACAAACTAATGGTTTGGTGGAGATAAAATGATTTTACGTGTAAGATTACACACGACATTTTTCTTTCCTTGGCAAAACTCAAAAGAAAAGTGAGAGTTGGCGCAGAACTCAAGCTGGGCAAAGAGTTTTCAGAAACACAATTGAAGGCAAAATTTAACATGTAATTAATACTTTCCAATCGCAGTTCCACTTTGTTTCATGTAATATATTTACATCACCTCTAAAGCAAGAGATTATTTCAACCTTCACCTTCAATATCGTGACAACAGAGAAATTACAAATGTTTATCTTTATGCACCAAAACAATTCAATAAAGTTACTTTTACCATTTTTCTCTCTCTCTCTCTATAGTTTCTTTTGGTATACATTTGAATATTTTTTTTATAGTCAATAAAATTATATTTTCCGTATTACTTAATTGAGTTTTTCTCGAAAGCATTTTCCTGATTCATTCTCTTGTGGCAATTTAATTAAGTCTCATTAATCTTTTTCAATCATTAACATCTATAATGACAGTATTTGTGTTTGTGACATGAGATGAAATGTAAGAGAATATTAATGCTCTGTGTGTAAGTCAAATGAAAGTTTGACGCATTTGCGCCTCTGTAAGGTTTAATTTTAGTAACACGAGCAAAAATGGTAGAATTTACCGAGATTTTGTCGAGATGAAAAACAATTTAAAGTTCTTTCTTATTGGATTTTAACACTAATTTGCAAAATTACCTTTAATTCGTCACAAGAAAATAAAGTAATCCTTCTCAATTAACTTGACAAATTGATAATAATTTTCTGGCTATTAAAAGAGAACGATTTCTGTTTTTGCTAATTTGTAATATAATTCATAAATATATATATTCCATACAAACATATTTATTGAATGGTTTTATTTTCCAACTAAAAGAGAGTTGAACGGAAATATTGTGTATTTTATTTATAGGTTGTTTATGTACTTGGCAAAATATAAACTCAAAATTGTATTCTTATTTACTGATTACAGTGTATTATATTTTCTGATACAATCTTGGGCTTGATTTGGATCGAGCAATGAAAGTCACTGCAAAATTCATTTTTAAATACTCAAACTGTAGCTTTAAAGTTTCGGTTCTGATTCACTGAGCAAAATAATTTAGGAATGTGGAAATAAGACTTTTCATTATATAAAAATTCTTCTATAAATATATACGATTTACTCAGTGAAGTAACGTTTGATTGTCGTGAAAACCTGTCTCAATTCCAATGGAGTTAAGACAGAAATGCAAATTCCACATTTTCTTAATATTGCTTTTTTCTTTTGTTTTTAAATTCACGTCAGACGAAAACAAATTCAAGCAAGGAAATGAACTGAGGCAAAAATTGTAAAAAGAAGTGCATTTATGAAGGTAAACGTCCATTTCGATTGAAAATCTTCATCATTGTTGACTTCAAGGGGGAGATAATATGCCTTAAATCTGTACACTACTTGCAAACACTTTCAGCACACGAAATTCTTAAACTGTTTCTTCACTAATTCACAAATTATAGCGAATTCTTAAGTTTCCATGCGATATTTCTACCAGAAACCAGTAAAAAACCAATTTTTTGAATATCTTTTACTACCATAACCTCAAAAATAGCTCTAAGAGATCTTTAAAGTCACCGTTTGGAAGCTTTCTGTATCACAAAATAATCTGTCAATGATCTTAAAATTGCAGATTCTGACTCAAAATCACCTATAAAATTTTCTAAATAAACATTTTCCAAGTCCAAACGACAATTTTTGAGGTTATGTTCGAGTTTAACACAATTTGCAGTATTTCTTGGCATGAAAATATCTAAATCTACCAATTACTGGCGATCTTGATGATAAAATCACCAAGAATTAATATAGGAAAAGAATATTGTAAGTTATTCAACACTTCCACTTCTCAAGTACTTCTGCTGATCTGTACACCACTTCTGACTATATTATCACCCCCTTGGTGTACTTCTTAGTGGCGAAATTACAAAATCTCGATCAAAAGAAGCCCATAATTAAGTAAATCACTTGTGCGACATTATTTAAGATGATTGTTGAATTAGAGTTTACTTTGTGAGTTCTGAGTTGATAAATTTATTTATTAATTTTTTAATTTATCATTTAATGATGGAACACGAGAACTTAGTCATTGGCAAAAATTATCTCCCGAAGCCTCTCAAAGTAACAAGGAATTTACGCGATAATGTTAATTATTTCGTTAAACTTCTTTGCAGAAAAAGAAATACTGGGTCACAAATCACTGCGTCAGATTCTCTTTCTTCGGATGCCGATGAAAAACCAATAATTTTCGTTGGAAATCCACAGAAGAAAAAATGCAAAAGTTAAGTAAATAATAAAATACACACCTTTCACACTAAAAATCTGCAAGATTTCTATTAAGTTGTTTTCCTTCCTTGTATATTTGCCTTTATTGAGCACTTTGCGCGGAGTTTTCACTTTGAGTTACATGAAGAATTTCACTGTCTCTCTTTGGGTTATCGAAAAACCTCAATTGAAATTCTGTCTATGATGAATATTTGTGGTTTAATTTCGGACAAGAAAGGTGCTCCAAATCAACAATGTTGCCCTGCAAGAGCGACTAAAGAGTGTTTCTAAACGCAGAATTGATGGAAGTAAGTCGAGTGATCAATCGCGTCCGTTGTGTTTGAACTCCAAGATCACACTGGCGCGCGCAAAGTTTCTCTGCGAGGATCGAACTGGTCGCTTGTGAGTGTGAAACGCAGCGAAAACCTTGTCTGGGTCGCTTCGGCTGATTATCACAGGCCTTTCTCCCCCGCCAAAATATTGTATATTGTGCAATTTATATGTAATGCGAGATCACCAGTGGCTGTGTATTGATTTCAATTCGTCTCTCTAAGCGATGACGGAATCGAGTGTTAATTTCACCACTCCTCAGATTCCTTAATCACTTGGATTGTCTTATCCTACTGTAGTGGCTTCAATTCTCATCATGCGCTTATGAGCAAGCTGAGGCGACACACTCTTCGGTGCAGTGAATTTTTTCCCCTTACAAAAAGCCAGCAATAATAACAAGTCGAATACTCACTGGTTGGCCGGTGGTGAAGATTATTTCTCGTTTCACATTCCAGAAACGATGCTCCTCGGATTCTGCAATTGAGATGAGTAGAAAAAGAGCATGAAGATGCGCAGTGCCTAGACATAAATGCAGTGTTTAAGGAGGATAACTCGGGTGGTGGAGCAAAATAGAAGAGGCGCAAAGATGGAATATCCCCGCGCACTCACCCTCCAGGTAAGTCATCATCATCTCGACTACGCGCAGAGTTATTAAATGTCTATTTTTAAGCTACACTACATTCTCGATTAACATCCAGTTTGTTTGCTGTACCACAAATTGTGTGTACTCGCAAGAATTGCGCTGGCAAAATTTCACAGTCACAGTTTTGCTGCATTTTTGATCTCTCAAACCCGCTTGACCGCTAAGCAAGAAGACTTCAGTATATAATAATATTGATAGTTTTCCGATGTCGTCCTCATTCATTAACGTGTGCACATATCAATTTTGAGCAATTATTTTTCATAAGTAATTTCCTATGAGGAATAATTGTGTAGCTTATAATTCGACAAGTCAAAATCGTCCTTTTTCAGGAGAGCAAATTGAAAATTTCGCGTTAATATTGCTGCGAAAGTCTAATCATTCATTAGAGCACTAATATTGCTCTGAAATAATTATTTTGTGAAGGTTTCAGTTGATTTTATTGGTATTTATTGAAATTTTTGACTAAAATATGGGGAAATTAATAGAAAAACTGAAAATGTTAGTTTCCAAAGTCGCTTTAAAATTAACTTTTTATATTTTAAATGAACTTTTTTTTCAAATTTTTCAAGTAGAAACAACCAGAAATGTGACAAACTGAATGAAAAGATTTTTTTTTGAATATCTAGATTATTATGTTCATCAAAAAGACCATTTTATGCGAATAAAAACAATTAGAGGACAATTTTCTTAGAAAAAATATACGACGTAAACGATCATTAGTAAATTTTTCATAGTTTACGCTACAAAGCATGAAAAATTTTTACATCCAAGTCATTTGGATAAAGAGAATTTCTTACTATTGCTTCATAAAATATGATATTGTTAAGTTAAATAGTTCTGATAAAAAATATAATGTGTAAAGTCACTGTTTAAGTATTAGTTCGTCTAGTCTAAGCAAACGAAGCAAAACACTTATGATCAGAAAGATAAATCTGAATGATTTATCACTCATTAGCGAGTCATTTTATCATTGTTTTAAGAAATTAACAACCAAAAATGAATCAGTTCTTCAGACATTCCATCATTGATCAGTAAATAAATATATTTTTGGCACATTTGCCACTAAAATTTTGATATTGTTATCATCTTTGTTGATCCAGCAAAAACCAAGACAAAAACACTTGCAAAAACAAGTTAATAATAGTTTTTGTAACTTCCAACGACATTTGAATTCAAGTCTGGTCGAATAAACTGGACGAATTGGGCGAATGGATTTGCCGATGCGTTCTTTCAGCAGATGGCGCAGTGTGAAAGTTTCTGAGAAAAAGCTCCGTTTCGAGCTGTTTTCTTTTTATTGGCGTTACGATGTCCAATCAAAATCTTCCATCTGTAGCCGCCATATGTGAAAAAAGCCGTTGTCTCGCTCGCGCCACAGCAAATTGCGTAAGAGACTGTCGCGGACATCGCATCGTCCCGCTCTGTGGCTGAGCTTTCGGGTGAGACTGGAAATCACTTCGGTAACATCATTCGTGGCTTGTCATTTAAAAAGTGTGGTTGCAGATAGATTATATTAAATATTGAAGTAATTACGAATATTTAGAACTTTGCAATATCATCTTCTGCAAGAGGGAGAAACATGAAGTACAGTGCAGTTGCTATTTTGGTGGTGGCCGCGCTCTCGGCGGTGAAAAGTGAGGTGTTTTTCGAGGAGAAATTCCTGGACGGTGAGTTTCGCCGGGTGTTTCGGGTAGAAGGAAAATGAGAGTTTGAGCACCGCCATGGGTGTGATGACGAGATACGAGAAAACCGGCTGAAAACGTGCCGAGGCTGATGGAAATGGCTGAATTTCTCCCTTTTCTCGCACACTAGACACGTGGCAGGAGTCGTGGACGTACAGCAAACACCCTGGCAAGGAGTTTGGCAAATTCGTGCGAACTGCTGGAAAGTTCTTCAACGACGAGGAAGCCGACAAAGGTAGGGGACCTCTCTTGTCTGACTACGTGTCACTTTTCTCCCCAAGCCCCGCCGCGGCACGCCGCCGAGGAGGCCTGAGTTTCTCCTCTGGCCGCGCAATCCACTGGCCACTGACCGACTCACTTATTGGCTATTTTAGGCCTTCAGACATCCGAGGATGCCCGCTTTTATGCGCTTTCCACCAAATTCACGCCATTCAGCAACAAAGACAAGCCACTCGTGGTGCAGTTTTCCGTGAAGCACGAGCAGAACATCGACTGCGGCGGCGGCTATCTCAAGGTGTTCGATTGCTCCCTGGAGGAGAAGGATCTGCACGGCGAGAGTCCGTACTTGCTCATGTTCGGCCCGGACATCTGCGGTCCTGGCACCAAGAAGGTGCACGTGATCTTCAACTACAACGGCAAGAATCACCTGATCAACAAGGAGGTGCGTTGCAAGGATGACGTGTTCACGCACTTCTACACGCTCATTGTGCAGCCCGATGGCACCTATCAGGTGCTGATTGACAACGAGAAGGTGGAGTCGGGTGTGCTGGAGGACGACTGGGACTTCCTGCCGCCCAAGAAGATCAAGGATCCCGAGGCCAAGAAGCCCGAAGACTGGGATGAGCGGGTAAGCATCTCGTCAGCACGTTTTCTCCCCTCTCCGGGGATTAGGCGTGGCACGTGACGATAAGAGTTGTTATCGCGGGGAACTGGACAACCATCACTCATCCATCCTATCTTTCTAGGCCACAATCCCCGATCCGGACGATAAGAAGCCAGAAGACTGGGACAAGCCAGAGCACATCCCCGACCCAGACGCCACCAAGCCCGATGACTGGGATGAGGAGATGGACGGCGAGTGGGAGCCACCGATGATTGACAATCCGGAGTACAAGGGCGAGTGGGCGCCGAAGCAGATTGACAATCCCAACTACAAGGGCATCTGGAAGCACCCGGAAATCGACAATCCAGAGTACACGCCCGATGAGAATCTCTATCTCCATGAGGAGATCTGCTCCGTGGGCCTGGATCTGTGGCAAGTGAAGTCGGGCACGATCTTCGACAACTTCCTCATCACAGATGATCTCAAGTATGCCGCCAATGTGGCTGAGGGTGTGAAGAAGACGCAGGTGGGCGAGAAGAAGGTGAAGGACGAGCAGGACGAGGAGGAGAGGAAGAAGATGGAGGCGGAGGCGAAGACGGCCAAGCCGGAGGACGATGAGGATGACGATGATGCCGCTGATGATGACGAGGAGCCCGTGATTCCTGGCGAAGTGGAGGAGGCCGAGGAGCACGATGAATTGTAGACACACAATGAATTTCTTAGTGAGGGTGATTCCGAAATTTCTCTTCATTGAACAAAAAGAAATACTGATAAATAATTTTTTCTGTATCTTTAAAAATCAGTCTTCGATACATTTGCATAAAGAAAAAAAAATGAAAAATTTAGGTCCCTTTTTACAGTAAAATTGTTTTCCTGCAACGTTTTTGAAGAAATATTTAGCGCAAATATCACACTTTTTTGTATGGACGATTTGACAGTCATTTTTTTCACAAAAGAAAATATTTCTAGAATGTATATATACAAAAACGGATGCTATATTATGACTTATATAGTGAGTTATGTTCTAATAATGCAACAAAATTTATTTTGTAATGAATGTGAACTGGTTTAAAAGAAGAAAAACCTCAATTTTGTTGTCTGGTTTGCACGGGATTTAAGAAAAGATTGTGCAGAAATTTGTGGTCGAAAGGAAAATGATGATTGGGAGGAAGAAAAAAACATGTTCTTTACCAGTGAAAAGATATCGAATCTTGCTATTTTTCCATTTTGACTTTCAGTTTTTCTTTTCTTCACTAATTTGTGTGAGCCAGACATTAATGAAAAAGGGGAAGTAAGATCTTAGAATGGATGTAAAACACACTCATAAATTCCACAAGCCAATAATTTATATATTGAAGAAAAAAGAAAGAAAGAAAGAAAGATATAAACTTTGCAAAATGACCGTCATAAAATATTCCCTGTGTTTTTATACGACATAAAAAATACTTACTATAAAAGTAATATAAAAATACATTTAGATTTAAAATGTATGACTGATATAAGATTAGAAATAATTTGTATTTTCTGAGAGAGCAACACACAAAAAAGAAAACTGAAAGCGTGATGAGTCAAAATAAAGTAATAAATTAATTTAAAGACATGTTTTACTCTTCGACAAATTGGCATTTTCGGGGAAAGAGATTTAAATCCTGATTATCTGAAGAGATTTTTCAGTTGTAGAGGCATTTAAGATAAGGTCTGTGTGTAAGATTGTGAGATAAATGGTGAAACGGAAGTGCTCAAAATGGTTTATTTTATTATTATCGTCAGAATGATTCAATTTCGTCCGAAATGTCACAGAGCATTTATGAATTGTGTAGAGAAGATGATTGTTTTTACCATAATTACCAACTCATATTTGACCATTTCATTCCTCTTTAGCGTGGCACAAGGGGGAGATAATACAGTCAGAAGTGGTGTTCAGCTCAGCAGAAGTACTTAAGAAGAGGAAGTGCTTAAATTAAATTTTCTTACTGGCAAATTATCCCGAATTCTTTGGATTTCCCTCGATTTTCACGTAGAAAGAAACGGGTTAATCGTTTTCTAGGTTATGTGACAAATCAAGAACAGATTCTAGGACATCAATTCTTAAGTTCAAATCACAGAGATCATAATTAAGCACTTTTATGCTAATAAACATTTATATTTTGAACCTTTGATGACAAGAAACACTGTAAATTGTATTGAACTCGAACATAACCTCAAATTTAGAAATCTTTCTAGACAATTTTGAGTTCATTGGCAAAATTCAGATCATAACAGATAATTTTGTAATCTAGGAAACTTCAAAACGGAGTTCTTTAAGATCTCTTAGTGATATTTTTTAGGTTATGATTGGAAAAGATATCAAAAAAGCTTTTTAAATGGATTTCTGTAGAAAAATCTGAAGAAAACTCCATGTAGAAACAGTCTAAAAACGACAGGTGTTCTAGAAGTGTCAGGTAAATTTGGAAGTATTTGGAAGTGATGTACAAGATGAAGGCAAATTATCTCCTCCTTGGCGTGGCATTGATTTTATATAGAATATTATATGTGAAATCTTGCAACATAGAATGCATTTTTTTTTCATTTTCTGTGCACCACTAAATGGAAGAGATGCATAAATGTACAATTTGTGTTCACTTTATATATTTGTTCAATTGTTAGGTTGTTAGTAACAATCAGACAAATAAACATTACACAGTCTTTGGCGAACATTACTGGATTTTCTTGCGCTGCATGACGAATGGAGTATTTGGGGTAATATTTGGTCACTTCTTGTGGGATTGTTGAGAGGAAATGCATGGCAAACAACTAAAGGCCATTATTATAAATACACACATTCCAGCAATACATTCTTCACAATGAAAGATAACACATGAATTCTAATTTTACAGCATAGCTGAGATTTGTGGATTTTTCGAGACAATCTTACGGAGAAGTCTTTCTCAGCGTCTGGATAATTATGTTGGAAACCCATAAGAATCATCAATACAGAGATCTAGCAAACAATATCACAGTCTTTTCATACTCTTTTCACTTGTAACGCCTAACGAGATTTTCTCCATGTATGCTGCATATCATGAAGCACACATTCACCAAAATAATACAACCGAATTGAGGTAATTCGACTTTGCAATACACTCTAATCCAAGGGGGAGATAATACGACTGAACTGTGAACACCACAATTTCCGTGGGAGAATTACAGACACTTCCAGAACTTTGACAGTGTTTAAAACGTGAGTTTTGATTTTTTCCAACCGCCTAAAGTATCATAACCTCAAATTTGAGAGTCTTTGTCCCGAGAAAGACGCAATTTTTACTTATATGGCCTGGAAAACTTAGAGAGAAACAGTATTTTCGAAATATTTGAAGTTTTTCAACGAATATTCTGATGTGAATCAAAATATCAATCGTTTTTTCTTGAATTCACTTCGAAACATAACCTAAAAATTACATTGAGATATCCAAAAGAATCCCTGAAGGAAACTTGTTCAGAATCTTCTAAAGACAAATCTAGGGAATATTAATATGTTAAAACTCTTTATTGAGTTGAAATTTGGTATTTTAGAGTAGAAAATCAATCAAACAACTCGTAAAATAGACAATTTTATATACTGAAATAATATTTGAGAGGTTATGATCAATTTTCATCTAATTAATATAGTTTAACATTCAATCACAAAAGCTCAACTTTTCTAAAGACTAATTAGGCGTTAATTAACTTTAAAATTAACTCTTAAACGCCTAATATTGGAAATATTCAAGCACTTTCACTTCTAAACACTTCTGCTTTAGCTGTACATCACTTCTAGTCATAATATCTTCCCCTTGCTCTAATCATACAATGGAAAATTCCCTGTGTTTTCAGGCTTTTGGAAATGAATTTCACTCGAATTCTACCGAAATGATCTGATTTTATGGTTGAAATGGAGATAGATTCACATATTTCTCCTCCGTGAGTGGATAATATGTGCGATCGCGAGCAACATTTATGTACATAATCGAGTTGCGCGAGTCGCGGGCTCTTCGGCGTCCCGCACTGGATCAGTCACAGAGTGTGATTCAGTCGTGTGGAGTTGAACTCAGTGGAAAGATCTCAGACTCTGTTCTAAGTGAGATCCAGTTTGTGATTCTTTCCATCAGCCTCTAATTGATTATTCTGACCAGGGACAGCGTTTAATGAGTGAAAGTAGCATTTCTAACAGTGGAAAAAGGCAGGTGAAAAAGGGTGGCTTCGAGTGAAAGACAATGTACATCCGGGCCTTTATTGGAAAGTCGAGAGATTGGTGAATAGAAGTGATGTCGTGTGCTTCCTCTTGTGAAATTGGAATCCCAAGTATTATTTAACTGGAGTGGAGAAGTCATGCACGTACATTTTCTCAATTGTCGAGAGAAGATCTTCAGTGTCTGTAGCTGGTAATGCATCATCGGGAGACAACAATCTTCAAGACGCTCGTTCGTCGTCGCTGAACTTTGCAAACACTCGAGTTTTCGTGAACTATTGGGAGTAAATTCTTCATGATTCTCCACGATCATCCGTGGCAGATGCAGAGGCTGAGGCAAATGCCAAGGCGACGACAGGGGAAATAGTTATTCCTCATCATTCACATCAGGCGTCTTCCTCACCTCAATATTCATGGCTGCTTCGTGAATTGAACCACGCAGTCGAAAAAGGTAATATTCATCAATGTATGAACACTTCTGCCTCAATGCACACTTAATATGACTTCTTATTTGGTGTGAATGTCTGGAAAACTGCTACTGTTAATCCATCTGCTGATTCTCAACCACTAAAAAAAAGTGTCTAGAACTCATTTCCCATTGAATGGCTTTGACTTTTTCAAAATCTCTTTGTTTTATTCTCAGCCAACTGATTCATGTTCATTCTCTTCACCTTGGAATTTCTTCTCGGGTGACGCGAGAGAAACCACCAGAGTATGAATTCTTGAAAACCCCTCAAAAATCGAGCAAAAAATTTGTTTTTCCACCTCAAGCGTCCAAAATTTCGCGCTCTAATTCTCGTTTTGCGATGAAATGGACAACTGGAAATGTAGTTTATGGAATAAAAAAAAGTTGGAAAAAGAGTGGAAAAAGAACAAATATTTATTCAAATTACGTTCACCTTTTGTTATAATGCCACAGAGAGATCATGCTGAGCTGAAAAGTCTCTTTCTCTTTTGCCATTGAGACCAAAATCTTCCGTCTATCCCGAGCTGAAGACGAAGAAGATTCTTTCTTTTACCGTTCAGTGATAACAAAATATTATTCTCCTCTTGATCAAGTGCTGTGCAAAAATATTATCCGCTCGAACTGATTAAATCTATTAGAATGGTAATGAGTTGCGGTTTGTGGAAGATCCTCATTAATTATTAATTCTATTTGCATTTTGAGGCAATAATGCTGGCGTACAAATACATCCATAAACCACACATCGCTGCAATTATACTGTGTTTATGGTTCGCTTAGTGCAATTCTTTCGTGATTGTTGTGTATTCTTCGTTTGGTGGAGCAAAAGTAAATCATCATTTCATCAAAGATACTGTGAAATGATTATGTATATGCTTTTCTACAGTTGAAATCAAATTGTGTAACCATTTTATATGCATAAACACACAATAATTAGAAGATGAAAAAATAAAAGGGTGAAATTTTCTGTTGAATAAATTCTGGGAAATCGTTGCGATTTCATATAAGAATTCTGGAATTGAGAATATTTATTTTTGACAAGGGGGAGATAATACAGTCAGTCTTTATTGAAAAATTATCCCAATTCTGTGGATTTCCTTGGATTTTCACGCAAAATCAATCATTAAATTTTTTGTAGGTTATGTAATGAATGAAAATATTGATTTGAACTTGAAATATTGATTTATTTAGGAAACTTTCGGGAGGAATAAGACTCTGAATCAACAGTTTTGAGTTAGAAAGCTTCCAAATCGAGTTTTTTTTTAACATCTTCTTGAAATGTTTTGAATTTATGGTTGGAAAAGACACCCAAAAACGCTGTTTCAAGTCGATTCTTACAGAAATATTGAATGGGAACTTAAGAAATTAGTTATATTTTGAGAATTAGTGGGCAAACAGACTACAAATTTGGATTATCTCCCCCTAGATTTTTGATACACTTTACTGTAAAAGGTTACCAAGATAAAATTGGGATCATTCTCGTATTTAGTTCACATTCATCCACCGAATGGTATTCAGTTTCACGTTGCTTTGCCATTTTGCCTTTACTTTCGTCATATACAAGAAAATACTCAATGAAATTGTACTAGAAACACCAAAACTAGTTATCACAACTCATCGTATCTTCATACTCACGTTCATATGACCACATTTGGCAAGTTTACACAAAAAACGCGAATGAATTGTGAAGGATGATATACCAATTAAGTGATTTAATGAACGAAATGTATATTGTTTCACGAATAATTTTGCCACAAGGTTCCCTATTGTGATATTTGCCAAAAAAAAGCACTCATTGTCTTTGAGATTAGATTATGAAATAATTTTATTATAACTATTAGAAAAAAAATGAAATTATAATCACCACGCATGTAACTTATTGTTAAACTTTCCTTTTTTCTCTCTTGATGTGTTATATCGTACCGAGAAATACAGCGTATGGCTTAAATTGTGCAAATGTATACTTTCTCAATTGATATTCTCTGAGTAGATTCCTTTTTTCTCGGTTTTTGAGGTGTAGGAAAACTCCATTTTACCTTTCCTCAATTCAATATTGCAATCTGTGTGGGCTGCGGAGAAAAATACGATCAGGAGAACAATAAACGAAGCGTGGTGGAAATGTCATGAAGTTGTGTGTTAAATGATATTAAAACGCGTTTATGACTCAACCATGTTATGTGCGAAGGAGTTTTTACACTTATAGCAATCATCATTGTTTGTGTGCACTTTATTGACTTCTTTCACAGCAACTCTTTCCCCGCGTGGCGCGCTTTTTTCACCCATTTGTCCGCCCCTCTTCCTCCCGCAATTTTCTTTGAGAACCAATCAAGGAAAACCGGTTTTTCACTTCGAGAATTATCAGAAATACTCAACACACTGCTTTGAATTAAATTAAACCATTTCGGTGGACAAGACAGAAAAAGCGGCAAAAACAGCGAAAATTAATTCAATGTACTTCAATCGGGCATTTCATTCAATAAATCTCTCATCATGTCACATTATTTATTGATAATGAATTCAGCGTTTAAGTATCAAGATGTGATCAAGAAAGAGTGAGAGAAAAAACGAGAGTTTGTTGCCTTTTTGTGGTCAAATCTCAAAATAGGCAGTGTTTTTGCTTTTCATTTGAATATATTCAAATAAACTGAACCATAAAGTTGCACCACAATTAAGTGTAATTAATTAAGTGGCTTAATCTCAGTATTGCTCCAATAATTAATTCTTTTCTAAACTGAAAATGCTAGAAGAGAAGTTCTTTTTGTTGCATTTCAGGCATGGAAAGAGAAGGTGAAATCAAGAAATGAATGTGAATCGTGAGATTCTCAACAATTTAAAAGACAGACTCTAACACTCCATTGAATAAAAGAATCTTAATGGCGTCACGCGTTGTAAACTTAATTAAATAATTGTACTTTTAATTGGAGACAGAGAACGAAAATGACAATCTAGTCTTGAAAATTTGCCATGCATTTTTTAGCATAGCTTTCAAATGAATTTTTAAGGATATTTCAATTTAGAATACGACCTCAAAGTCACGATAGAAACTTTCAACATATAATTTCCTTTCAATTGTATTATTACACTTTGTTTACGTCTGAGAAAATAAATCAGGGCACGAAGAATTAAGCCAGCGGAGTAATTTAATAACAAATTTCTCAGATCTTCCATACATCAAAGTATGAATTGATGGATTTACAATACTGGCGATTCTCGGGAGGAAACAGAAGGCAACAAAAGAAGCATTAAAACAGCAATGATAAGAATCTTTTCATCTCTCTCTATGGCGTTAGTATGCATCATGGTTTTAATGACCTTTTTTATTGCACAACGTGTAACCTCTTTTCTCATTGTTAGCAATTCACGTGATTTTTTACACTCTCACACAAGTACATTCTTCTTCATTTTGTATGTTGGATATTCACAAAATGTTCATTTCTTTCCACTCGCGCAGCTAAAAGTAAAAATCTACTTTGCTAATGAAGGTTTGCGCGGTTAAGCAATATATATTTTATTATTGATTAACATTTAGTTAAAATTTTAATACCAAGCAATCGTGATTTTGTGTACAGGTAAAATTCTCAACGGATATTGCATATTTCAATTCTTTTCGCCCTCTTCTAATTAATGACTTGCGAAATATCTTATATGCGATAATGGTGATGATTTGTAATTGTGCTAATGAAAGGAAAAGTCAAGGGGGAGATAATATGCCTAAAATCTGTACACCACTTCCAAACACTACCAAATTTACCTGACACTTCAAGAACTTGAAGTTTTTTATGCTGTTTCCACATTATGAATCGTCTTAAAAGCGCTGTTTTCTGAACATAACCTCAAAAGTATTATTAGGAGATCTTAAAAAAAACTCATTTCGCAAGCTTTCTAGATCACAAAAACATCTCTTATAATTTCCCAATGATCCTAAAATTGCTGATTCACAGTAAAAATTGTCCAGAAAGTTTTTGAAATGGACATTTTCCAAGTTCAAATGAATATTTTTGAGATTATGTTCAATCTTAGCACAATTTGTTGTGTTTCTTCACATTTAAGGATCAAAAAGCACCATTAATTGCTTGCAAATGATTTATTCTGCAAAAGACTAGTTGAATTTATGTGCTAGAATTCACTAAATCTGTTCTTAATACCTTACATAACCTCGAAAAAGATTATTACGTTTGTTTCTGTGTGAAAATCGAAGGAAATTAAGAGAATTTGGATTATTAATCAATTAAAGAAACACGTATGAAAGGAATATTGTAGATTTTTCCACTCCTTAAGTACTTCTGCCTGAGCTGTACACCACTTATGACTGTATTATCTGACCCTTGAGAAAAGTAGAAAATTAATTCTACTTCAACCAAAATTCTCCACTTTGCATCACTTTTACTGGCGTGAGAAAAAACTGTGTTTAAGTGCCAGAAAGCCTCTGAAAATCTCAATGGCAATTTCGTACTCGTTTACTTTGAAGGCTTTTAGTGTTTAATCCGCGATATAACAATGTCTCAAGGAAACTAGTGTAATAAAATGGAAGGAAACAATATTATCATGCTAATGATTGCTTTTCTGTCTTATAATTGCAGGACATGGAGTCAATCGTCTAGTGATAAATCACACATCACAAATATTAACTCAAAGAAAGGTTTATTTCTCGCAAAATCTGCAAAGACTCTTCAAGAGAATTTTCCATCAGTGATCCAGAATGTCTTCAGAGCGATCCATTCCCCATCTTAGGGACATATTTGGGCTCTCGAGCTACTCATCTCTTGGCGGAGGAACGCAGAAGACAGGCGATTTACACCACAGCAATTTAGCAGTTAATGATACTCACTCGAGTGGGAAGCAATCGAAGAAGCGGCGCGACAAGAGTGCATCGAATGGCGATGTGAAAACCCTTGAGAGACACTTGAGTATGAAGAAGACCATTAGAAAGAAGATAATGCGCGATTTGCAGCAAGCTTTCGTGGATGATCCCAATGAGTTTAAAGTGGAAAATCCAACAGCGGATCAGCTGAAGGCCGAGTTGAATGCTGAAGCCCTGAGATTTGGAGACAATCGCCGCATGAGGAAGTCAGACAATTTCCTGGACATGCTTCGCGGTGACCATCAAAAGACTTACGATTATCAGGATGTGGAGCATCACAAGAAGCGAGGTGGCAATGGTGACTTTGGCGGAAGTGAGAAGCAAAGCTTCTGGAGTCGACTTGGGATGCGAAAGGGCAACAAGAGATAGAAATTTTCATGACATCGGCGAATTTTCCTCAAAATTTATCTACATATTAAGGCTCATGATGAAATTATTGAAAAAAATATATATTATTGTGTAAAAAATATTGGTATTCCTATCTCTCTTACCATGTGAATTCTAATGTTTGTATTAATGAATTTATTGTAGGATTTAATAAATTAGTCACAAAAACTCATGGCTTTTTTGTGAGACGCTGCAAACTTTCTCTGAGTGCAATCATCAGAATTGCAATTGCATTTCCAATGCCGAATGAATTATTTATCTCACACATTTCCACTTGCACTGAAACAAACTGTCCTTGCATGCACTTGAGGAAAGGGCAATTCAATGGATCATCAATTAGAACATACGAAATATGATGAGATTATTTATTACTTTAATTTTCCACGACACGTTAGAAAAATCACTTCAATGCTTGACAAATTAATTTAAGTATAAACAAGACCAAACAATCCCGTAATTAGAATTCAAAATTGTCAAATGTATTTAAATGATTTTCTAATATTAAGCAAATTGTGTAATCCTATAAAAATGAAGTTGAAAGCCCCTTGATAATGTGTAAAGCAAATTGACAGCTTTCATGAATGGAAAATTTCCGTAAACATTGCTTGTAAATCTCGTGTATTTCATCCATATTATGTGTAACGCATTTTCCTCACTTAAAGCTCTTAAAGCAGAATAACATGCATTCTATACTCACATGGCAAATGATGATTGTATTGATCTGAATATTATAAACTTAGGAAATAGAAAGCACAATAGAAAATCAATCAAAAGGACTCTCGTGTTTCCCTTTTTCCAGCTCAGCTGATGACAATAAGTTACGCCATCTAGGATGGAGCATTGTAGAGCAAACAAATATTAAAGTTCACAAAAGGAGACTTTTCTATTATCCTGTTGCTTCTTACTATTACTTTTTACATTTTCTGCCTTGTTTGCCAATCAAATTCGGTGATTTATTGCAATATTTTGGCGTCCCCCACGCCGACTTGGCTGCCCTTGGCGGCGATATGTGGAATAACTAATCAAATATTTAATATTTTATTGAATATCCAGAAAATATTTAAATATAATTTGCTTTATTTAAATATTTTGCTCGAAAATATTCAAATTTTGATTGTTTTGCCATTTTACTTGGAAAATAATCATTTTTTCGATTATTTTACATACAAAGTAATAATCAATAAAGAAATAATTGATTAATACCATTAAGATTCCCCAAAAATCTCCTTGTGACTTGCTTCATATTTATAATTAGAATAATTTATTACTTTTTGGAAAAAATTCAGCACTAAACCTTAATGTTTTACGTTGTTTGGTTACGAATAGTAGTTTAACATACACGCAACTTTTCAGGTGAAGAGAATGCGCAGCAAAGTTCGTTGGATACTCGACACCCAAACAGCAAATGAAGCTTTTTATGGCTTCCTCAAAAGCAGGGCTGAATCTGACTCCAAGAATATGTCTTTGCAAGACATTTGGCAATAAGAAGTGCAATGAGAGTACATACCTAAACATTGCGTGGCATTTGTGTGTCACAAGAAGTGAATATAAATTCCTTGTTAAATTTTTCAGTACTCTTATGAAAACCACACGGTGAAGAGCTGGACTTTCTGTGATTTACTCCCATTAATTATGGTGATCAAAGAAATTTGGAAATCCATTTGCAATTGCAGAAACAGTGAAAGTGGGCGAGAAACTTCCGCAAAAAATCTCTCAGTTTTCTTCGCCACTCTATGTGTAATTGATTTGTTTGGTGTCTTTCCAATTGTGGCTCTTCCGGAAGCCATTATTTCTTGTGGTCCCTACGGAATTCCTCTGGTGGTGTTCGTAATCATTGTGCAAATCTACACTGGCGTCATTTTGGGCAAGTGCTGGATAATTGCTGAGAAATTGGAACCGAGTATTGTTGAGAAGAACAGATATCCGTATGCGGCAATTGCTGAGCTCACTTATGGGAAGTACATGAGTGTCTTTGTCACTTTTCTGCTGGACATCACGGTGTTTGGCGGAGGAATACCGAATCTCCTCGTGGCATCGCAGAATTTGCAGCTTTTGGGGCTCAGAATATCCGAGGGTTCCTTCAACTTATCCTTCTGCCTGTGGCTCATCGTTATCGGAATCTTCATCTGTCCCATCATGTGGCTGGGAAGTCCAAAGAATATGAAGTAAGAGGAGAGCTTTTATTTAAGCTTTGTGCAGAAGTCAGGGGGTTGCTAATGTAGATTCTGAGTGCTACAGCATCACGATTATTTGCGGTGTTTGCAAACTTTTCAGCTAAGAAATTCGTCTTCCACTCTTTCAAAGTCGTGCATAATAATTTTATAATCAAATCTTGAAGAAATAACAAGATAAAGTATCTGTTTTTCCGTTCTTTACACGAAATGCACTGAAGATCTTCTGTGCATCTTGAGTCAAGTGACACTGCATCCCCAATATTAACAACCTCTTGGCAGATGTTTAATATGATTTCTTGAATCTTCCAGAGAATTGGCAACAGTTTCTGTGATCACCACGAGTTGTGTGGCTATTCTAACTTGGTATTGTATTGAAATGGACAAGAGTGACGCAAACACGTCCATCGTCAATATCCAGGACATGAAAGTTACCACTTTCAGTGTGAAGAATCTGCTGAAAGCATACGGAATCATTGCCTTTCAATTTGACATCCATCCAATGCTGCTCACCATTCAGATGGACATGAGGCGAAACGAGAGGGAAAACATCGGCATTGCCGTGTCTTTGGGCATAATTGTCACAGTCATCTTGTCCACAATTACAACACTCTTGGCGGCATTCAAGTACGGATCGTCAACAACGCCCAACATCCTCGAGATCCTGCCCAGGAGTTGGTCACTGTACGTGATCATATTCTTGGTCACCGTGCAGCTGTGTCTCTCCAGTGCCATCGGGAATTCCGCCCTGTTTCAGCACATTGAGGACATCTTATCAGCATCGCGAGATTTCACCATAAAGCGATGTCTCATCAGATCTTCTCTCGTGTGCTTGGCAGTCATTATTGGGGAATTGCTTCCGCGGTTTGACATGGTGATGGGCCTAATAGGAGGCACCCTAACAGGACCATTAATTTTCATCCTCCCGCCACTCTTCTTCACACGCATTCTCCATCTGGAAGACGTGTTTGATCGGAAGATGGACCAACTCGACGACGATGGAAGCAATTTTGAGAAGAAAGTGTCTTCATATGGCACAATAACTTACAGCCCTGCTTCCGCAAAAACTCAGCACTTGAGTAGAAAATGGAGAAGTGTTAGAAAATATTGTGAGATTCTTCACAGCGACTGTCTCATATCCATTCTTGTTATATCATTTGGCTTAATTGCCACTTTTGCGACGACGTACTTCAATGTGGCCGAAACACTCTCGATTATCTCATTTTCGTCACCATGTATACAAAAACTCACCAATGATTCATTGGGCATTTTATAATAATTCTCACATTTAATGTTTTGAATAAGGAAAAAGCCAGACGAGACATTAATTTGTGACTTTACATTTTGTTATGAATTTCATTCCGAATCATTCAAATTCATTTTCAGCACATGTTATTCTGTATTTGTATGTAAACTTCCTTAAGTATACTTTTTCACTGCCTGTGTACGTTAGGAATATCATGAAATAAGTGATCAATTTGTTTTGTATACATTTTGTAAAATCAAATAAATTTTACCATTTCCTTATTTCCATCTACAACAATTATCAGAAATCTGCATTTAGGAATATGTACAAAAGTTGATAGGCACAATTATCAAATTCTATATATTAAACAACGAAAATACTGAAAATAATAAGAAAAAACCGAGGGAAAATCGTCTAGACCGAAAGACTTGCAGAAGTTCCAGCGCAAATATATCTCGTAAGAGAATTTAGCACTCAAATACTGATGTCACGAGTTCGATTCTCCTTCAATAACGCTTTTTTTCACAACTCTTTTTCACTTCTCTTTCCTTTTTTGTGTATTTTCCTTCACTTTATCGCTTTATATCGGCATTTTTCTCTCAATCTTCGCCTTAAACTCTTTCAAATACTCAAAATAATTTCCTCTTATAAGAGAGAAAGTTTTTTTTATTGCCTTTTTACATTCTTTTAACCCTTTATTATCCATTCTTGGGCTTGAAACTTCTCCTAAGAACTCGTTTTAAAGCTTAAAATGTAATTTTCCACCTCCTATCCAGGAATATCCATTCCTGGATATTCTTTTATTATTCCGAGTGAAACAACTGAAACGGTTCATCCATTCTTCACTTGAACCACCCTCGGGAAAAGCAAGAAATAATTAATACCACTTTATAACCGATGGTTCTTCTTCAAATATAAGTTTCTCTTTCGAATCGTTGGCGCTGATGTCAGTTTGAAGCGATTTTCAGAGAGCTTTCAATTTGACATCAAAATTCTTCTGTGTTTGTGTTTACAAAAAAAAAGAACAGGTGAATATCTCCTTATATTTCTGCTTTTATTGGTGTTTTGGGAGCGCAAATCTATTCTTTAGTTTCCTATCGTTAGATGTTTTCACGCACTTGCTCAGCACGTTCAACTGTTCAGGCAATTTGGAGCATTTCGCAAAGTAGAATGTTGGCTTCCGGAAGAATTCTCACAGTAGACGATATCAAGCAGGATACGAAGAATGGTGTGTTTTATATCCCCATAGAGACGCACAAGGCTGAGCTCTTCTACCGTCAAGAGAAATCGATAATTCACTTGGATCACACAGAAGTTCCTGAGGAATTGAACGGAAGAGGAGTTGGAAAAGTTCTCGCACAGGTAAGATTGAGGGAAATTAATTGATTTCTGCAAATTGATTTTCACTGTCGGCTTTTCAGGGTGCCTTCAAATATGTTGCTGAGAAGAACCTTAAAATGAAAGTGCACTGTGATTTCCTTCAACACTACCTGGAGAAATACGGTTCTGAGTACAAGAAGTACGTCGCATAGACATTAAGAGTGCCGGTGAAAAAGGATACAGCTTTATAAGGGGAAATTAGGATAGAAAACTAGTTAAAAAGATGGATGATCACGATTTCAAGTCAATAATTCAACACTACGGCCGAGAAAAGTTCTACCATTCGATGCAGAATCGCTCCTTTGAGGGCCTGTCGAAGTTCTCTGGCAATCTCTCCTTCAGATTCTACAATGGCATCGCTCTGGTTCTCGGCAATCGCAATCAGGAGGGAATTCGCGAGCTCACGCCCATGCAAGGTGAGAAGGAGTACTCAATGGCGGTGACTTTAGCCCTGATGTTCGCCCACAAGAGGTGTGCTGTCGTGGACAAGGAAGCCCTCATCAATTTGGATGCAAAGTTGAAGGAGGAGAGAAAGCAATTGACTGCCTTTTCGGCATATTACGCCTCAGTCTTTCTCCTTCTGACTGGGAAGTACGAGAAGGCGAAGGAATATGCGGAGAGAGCATTGAAATTCAACAGCAACTTTCCTGATGCCTTGAGCTTGAAAGGATGGTCGGAATTGCTGGGCGGAAATCGAGTAAACAGAGCAACATTTGAGCTGTTCGAAGGCGCTTTGCAGTCCGGAAAGAGCATCGATGCGAGCCTTGGACAAGTGCGATACTATCAAATCATCAATGATTACGAGAATGCCATTGGCATTCTCAATAAACTCTCCATTCGCTATCCGGAGCTGAACATTCCTCTGGTGGAGAAGATGAAGTCACAGCTGGCGAATTGGCACTGGGATCACTCGCTGGAAACGGCCACGAGGATTCTCAACCTGGAGCCGACGAACATCGAAGCGTTGCGCGTGAAGATCCTGATTCTGGTGTGTCGCGATGGGAATTACGGTGGCGGAGCAAGAGAATTGCAGAAACTCTTTTCCGCCATGAGCAAAGTTGAGCCGTCGAATTCTGAGCTGTACTTCCACATTGGGCAGCTCTTCTCGCGCGTGTGCGGTCGCAATGGGATGATCCTGGAGGAGACGGTGAAGTTCATCGAGAAGGCCAATCAGTTGTCGCCGGCGAATGCGATTTTCCTCACCGAACAGGGATATCATGCGTATCTGGCGGGGAAGATGAAAGAGGCGACGAAGCAGTTCAAGGTGGCCACAAAAGTCGATGACAGTGCTATTCAAGCACTCTGCGGATTGACTCTCTGCCAATTGGCAGAGTCTGGAGCGTCTGAGCAAGTGAGTCAACAGATAGAATTCCTCACGGAAATCCAGGGAAGCACGAAGCTTCCGCTCTTGCTCTGGATGTCATCGAAACTCCTGCACGATGACTCAGAGCAGGCAATAGCGCTGATGGTGGAGGCTTGTGAGATTCAATTGAAAAACTTGAGAACTCTCTCATTTGGGGCGGAATATCTCAGGCGATTTGATCCGGACATTCTGCTGGAAGTGGCCAGAGATCTGCTTCAATTCTCACCCATTCAAGTGTCCGTGTCAATGGGTGCTCTTTCCTCACGCGACAATTTGCACATTTCACTGAAGCACAGCCTGAATATCTTGGAAGTGATTGTGAAGGCTTGTCCGGGACTGATTCAAGGGGTTTTCCTCCTGGCGAAGGTGCAATTTCTCTGCGGTGAAGTGCACACATCGACAAACACACTCCAGCACATCCTCACGGACATTGATCCGACATATTCAGAGGCTCACTTGCTCTCTGCGCAGATCAACATTCAGCAGAAGCAGTTCCAGCGAGCATCGCAGAATCTGGAGATTTGTCTGAGTCACAATTTCAAGGTGCGCGAGAATCCCACTTATCATCTCTTCAATGGGATCATTCAGAAGAACGATCATCAGTATGATGAGGCGCTGAAGAGCTTTCTAATGGCCATGAGCTTGATTGGTGTCAACACTGAGGCGATGAGTGTGAAAGTTTCCATGCCTTTGGCTGCAAATTCATCCCCCAAAAGTGCTCAAAGTCTGAGTTTGGCAGACAAAGTGACACTCTATCTTGAGATGGTGGACACTTACATGTTGATGAACTTGAATTCAGACGCCACAAAGCTCATGCAGGACGCAATGGAGGAATTCACGGGAACTTCTGAAGAGGGACGACTTGTAATTGCCAATGCAGACTTGTCACTTCGCCATGGAAATATTGATACTGTGTTGAGATTGTTGGGAAACATTCAATCCGGACAGCCTTACTATGTTCAGGCAAAGACGAAGATGGCTAATATTTACTTGACTCACCGAAAGGATCGCGTGGCATTTGCTCAGTGCTTTCGAGAGCTGGTGGAAGAATATCCCGAACCTGAGACGTATATAATACTAGGGGATGCTTTCATGTCTATTCAGGAGCCAGACGATGCCTTGGATGCCTACAAAGAGGCTCTGAAGCGCAATCCGCGTGATCCCAACTTGGCCAGTAAGTTGGGCAGAGCTTACGTGAAGACCCATCAATACACCATGGCAATCAATTACTACAGAGAAGCGACAATGTATCCGGAAAATGCTCCGCTCAAGCTCGATCTTGCGGAGCTTTATCTGAAGTTGAAGCAATTCACGAATGCCGAACAGACGTTGATTGATGAAATTGAGTCCATGAAGGATGATCTTGAGGATGTTGATGTGCTTCAGCTGAGAACAAAGCAGTTGCTTCTGTTGGCACGCGTTCGGGAGAAGGCTGGACATCTAAACTCATCTCTGTCGACGCTGAAGGAGGCGCGAGACAATCAGTACAAAGTGCAACAGCGTCTCAATCTGGAGTCTTCGTTGATTCCTGAACAGAGGAGAATTTTGTCGAAGATTTGCGTCCTGATGGCGGAACAATCCATTCACTTGCGTGACAATGATCAAGCGGTTCATCACTACAAGGAGGCGCTGAAGTTTTCACCTCAAGATGTTAACATCTTGGCGTCCATCGCGCGGCTGTTCATGCAAGTGAACAACATGGATCAGTGCCAACAGACTTGTGGGCAGATTTTGCAGATTGATCCAAACAATGAGACTGCTTCGGTGATGATGGCGGACCTTTCGTTTCGCAGGATGGATTTCGAGAAGGCTTCCTATCACTTCTCGCAGCTGCTCGTCAATCAGCCAACTTACTGGACCGCTCTGGCGCGTCTCATTGAAGTGATGCGTCGATCGGCGAAATTGACTGAGGCCACGGATTTCCTGGTCAGAGCGGAGCAGAGCTGTGTTCAGCCGTCATTTGATTCTGGCCTGAACTACTGCAAAGGCCTCTATGAGTGGTACATTGGGAATCCCAACTCTGCTCTGCGCTACTTCAACAACGCCCGCAAGGACTCCGAATGGGGCCAACAGGCGATATTCAACATGATTGAGATCTGCATCAATCCCGATGGCGAATTGCCGAATGAGAACATGTCGGAGACCAGTGAGTTTGACTTCAGAGATCCTCAAATCATGGCAATTCGCACAGCCGAACGGCTGCTGAAGGAGCTGAAACCTCGTCCAGGATGTATGGACAATGAATCCCTGAATTACAAACTGCTGCAGAACTTTATCCTGCTCGCCACGCGGCAGAAGCCCAGCATCGAAGGGGCGCTGAATGGATTTCTCAGCATCGCCAGTCAGGAGGAGTATAGAGAACATGTGGGCCCAATACTCGGCATGGCGTCTGCCTATGTGATGCTGAAACAGTCTCAGAGGGCGAAGAATCAGCTGAAGCGCGTGGCAAAGTCTTCGTGGACATTCGAGGATGCTGAACACTTGGAGAGATGTTGGCTTCTTTTGGCTGATCTCTATATTCAAGCCAGTAAGTTTCTATGGAGAGTGAGGAGTCGTTGCAACTTTATGTTAATAACATTTTCAATAATCTATTACGATTCATAATATTTACGAAAGCGCGGAATTTATTTTTCTACGAGATCTGAAACTGACTTGAAGTCAATTCATATATTTCATCGCGAGAAAGTAAGAAGAGCCAGAAAATTCACGAGAAAACCGAGGAAATAGATAGTAATGATGTTTATAGGTTGATTGGGATAAATTGATTGAATTTATCTATCCATTTGTGCACTTTTAAATGCACTAAATTGAGGTTATGTGTTTCTGGACATTCTTCGACTCTTGGTCATAGTCCAAAACCCGATTTCATTAGTACTTTGCAGTAGCGCCGTTTGGCGGGCGCTAATATAAACAATGAAAAGCGTAAAGTTGCAACCCAGTTTCGTAAATTCTACGAACTGAAAAAGGAAATCTGTAAAGTTGCAACGACTTCTGACTTAGTTATAAAAACTTGTTAATGAATTGTGTTTGGATTTGCAGATAAGATGGAAATGGCAGCTGAGTATCTGAATCGTGTTCTTGAGCACAACAAGTCCTGTGCGAAGGCGTACGAATTGTGCGGCATGATTGCGGAGAAGGAGCAAGTTTATCGCTCTGCGGCAACTCACTACGATGCAGCATGGCGTTATGGTGGCAAATCCAAGCCAACAATTGGCTACAAATTGGCGTATCACTATATGAAGTGCAAGAGATTCGCCGATGCCATTGATGTGTGTCAGCAAGTCCTGAAATTGCATCCAGACTTCACTATGATAAAGAAGGACATTCTGGAGAAGTGTCGCAATAATCTACGAAATTAGAGAGTGGGTGAGAAACAATCACGTGAAATACACCGAGTGAGTATATATTTTTTGAAACACAGATGAATACAATAAGCTTACAATCTATCTTAAGACATTGATACTGTATACTTTGATCCTTTTTCAAATGCACACACACACACACACACATAAAAATTTGATATTTGCATAGAATTGTGTATTGTGAGCAATTACAAGTCGAGGTACATTACTTGTGTGGCCGAAAGTGCTCCACAGAAGCTGAGAAAGCTGGCAACACTCACAACTGCCGTGGTTGTTCCTGACCAGGAGACAATTGTTCCCATGCAGAGAGACAGCATGAATTGAGCTAGGAACACCATGCTGCTCACGATTGCCACGTCTGTTCCGAGGCCTCGCAGTTCAGTGCCCAATTTCGCATTGCCTTCAGCAGTGACTTCAAACTGCGCAAAGAGTAGGAAATTCTTTAGTCCTCGATCGATTGAGAAAACGAATTTTTACTCACAGTTCCCTGGGAGTGATAATGCGCTATGAGAAGGTAGGGCATTGTGAAGAGAGTTGAGTACATAACGCCGGCTGTCCAGCTGAAGAGAATCACGCCAATGCGATGTTTGGTAAGAGCCATCAGTGTCATTCCGGAGCAGTAGAAGAGAAGGCCGCCAATGTAGACTCGCTTGGCACCAAATCTCTTTATCAGTTTCTCTATGATGAGCGAATAACAGGCGCAGGATAGCGAATACATCGCCATTCCCCAGCATCCAAAGCGAACACCACTCTCGTACAGAATCCTTTTTGGGTCACTCTCAGTGGCCTTAAAGTGAATATTGAGCTTAGATTTCTCAAAATTGACAGAATATTTTGCTATTAACCTTTGGATCTCCTCCAAATACAGCTTCACCCACGAAATCTGTAAAATACAGTGAGTAGCAAACGTGAGCAGACCTGAAATTAATGAATACACATTATTAGCTCTCTTCATATTGCATGATGATGATAAACGCGTACCAACAGAAGAAATTGGTGAGACAGAGGATTCTCAGTGAGTAGGGCATCCAGACTATTGATAGAAGATAGTGTGATAGCGAAGCGACTTCCTGATTTTGATCAGGAACATGAACTGGAACCTGAACATTTTCTGTGAATGTTGTCTCTGCCGTTTCTTCCTCTTCTGAAGGCATTCTCGGGACATTGATGGGAATTGGTGGGAGTGTGTATCTTCTTTTTTGATTCTAAATGAGAAGATTTGTGAAATAGAAAGTCCTTTTTCAATGTTCAAGAGAGAATCACTTACATTCTTTGGTACGCTTAGCATATGATCATCTTCAGTTTCATTTAGTGCGCCATAACTCTCGTTTTTATGGGTTATCAGACCACTTTGAACCTCTGCCGAGTGTCTCTTAGTTGCGTGACGATTGGGAATGTCACGTGGTTGATCTGTAACATCTGATTGTGTTTGTCTTTCGACCAAATCCAGTGGAATTTCGCTGAAACTGGTGACAGTGTAAGAAACACAGATGACAAATATGACTGTGATTAGGGAGAAAACGGCCTTCACATGTCCTCCCAGCAGAATTCCAATGGCCGTATCATCCCAATTGATGCCGCCAAGAGAGTATCCCATGAATCCTCCCAAGCCTGCCATGATGGTGAATGTCGAGAGGCCTTTTGCGTGATCTTCCGGCAGTGTAACGTCCAAGAGATACGCTCTGGAGGGACTTTGGCAGGCATCAGCGTCAAAGTCGAGTAGAACGGTTCCCAGGATGGTGAAGAAGATGCCCCAGGGATGATAATTCTCTCTCTCCGGTGTCTCAATCACCGTGGAATCTGATGCAGATGATCGATGAGGAAGGACGATAGTTTGGGAACTATTTGACCATGTGTCATTGAATTCTGAATCACCAAAAGCATAGCCAATATTCTCTCCGTTCGGCACCAGGAGCAGACCCAGAAGCACACCAACAGAGAGGAGAATGATGAAAGGACGTCTTCGGCCAAGCCAGTGGCGACAGCGATCGCTTAAGGAGCCAAGAATTGGTGTGAGGAAGAATCCAATGAGAGGCGATAAAGCCCACACCATCGTCATTTTCTGGTGGGAAACTCCGATTTTCAAAAGAGTCGGAGATACGAAAGCCGTTTCTGCGGCGTAGGAAAACTCAATGCCCATCACGGCGGTAGATATTCGCACCAATTCCCGTCGCGATTTCCTCCTGCAAAGCCAAAGAGAAAGAAAGAGGAACAATTACAGTACCGGGTGGAAAATCAAGATGCAAGTTGAGTCGTTGCAACTTTGAGTTTTCATAGCTTATATTGGCGGCCACTCGGTGGCGCTAGTGTAGAGTACGAATAAAAAACGAACGAGAAAGCGTTGCAAGGCAACGTTGGGAGTTTATTTAATACGAATTTCAACTTTTAAACTCGAAGAAGTTGTTGTCAACAGGACGAAATAGTGAATCGCGACTTCCGTTGGGATTCTTGAAAGATTTTCCTAACTAGAATGTTCAAAACGATGTCTTTTTTGTGACATTTTAACACAATCGAAACACATAACCTCAATCTGATGCATTGAAATGTGCACAAATGGCCAGAAAATCCAATAAATATGTGTTTATCGACATAAAAACATCATTATTGTCTATTTCCTTGATTTTCACGTAAATTTTCCGCTTTTTCTTGTCTTCACGCGACGAAATATGTGAATATATGAATGTATGAAATGTTTCAGATCTAGAATTTACGAATTCGCATTTTTGACAGCTTATTTAAAATGCTATGAAAATAAAGTTGCAACGACATTTATAATGGAGTCTTTATGTGTGAAAAGACTATAACTTCACACTGAGCTGTGCTCATATCATCGCGACACTGTTCGGTATAGAGATTTTCTGCAATTTACACAAAGAGACAATCTGTAGCTATATAGAGGCTGATGTTTTTCTTTATTATTCTATTCGTCGTCGGGAAATGAAAATGGCCAACAATAATAAAAGGAGATTGTCGGACCTCACGCTGTGATCCAAACACAAATAAAATTGAGAACGATAAACCATCGGGAAACACCACGGAAAATGCAAAAGAGTGAAAACAAGCAACAGCGTGCGATGAGTCCCAAGGTGATTTGTCACTTTGAGACCGAAATTCACCACTGGAATGAGTGATGGATATTGAGGACAATAATTACCTGTACAAGTGGGAAAAGTCCTGATGTTCTGGCAAATTGTTTCCGCGAATGAGAGATGATAAATTTCTCAAGCCACTCTTAACACCTTCCCAGCATTCACAGGTGCCACTTTCACGCCAATTGCTGTAACTGTCTTTCACTTCGTCACGCCACTCGTGAAAACGTCCTGCAAAGCCTTGATATGAGTGTAATTTCTCCATGATTGTCCAGCAATTCTCCACACTGTCTGGGAGAAGGAAGAGTTTCGTATTGGAAGGTCGAGAATTAGTGAATGGAATTGCCAAGTATTATCGCAGAGTATTAAAATAATCTAATTAAGAGTTTCACTGAATAATATTACATCAAATTCTGCACTGTTCAACTCACAGAAGTGGCAGAATGGATTACTTGGAGTTCTTGGGGTGCGATTTTCCTCGAATATCGCACGTCTTCCTTGAAAATATTGTCCCTAGAATTGAGAACGCGCACGGCGAATACGATCCGAACGGAGTGAGATTTGAAGATGAACTTGCGTTTTGCCGAGAACTGGGCGATTTTACAGGGAAAAGTTCGACATCATCGGAGCGTGCGCCAATTTAAATATCGGCCAGTGACGGAGTCGCAAAAGCACATCTTTTTTTGTGCACTTAAAGGCAAGTTGCAATCAAGTTTGTGAGGATCATCCGTTGAGTGGGGTAGAAAACAGTTAGGCTCGTGTGAAGTATGGCTGTCGAATTCAATCACAAATTTCTCATCGTGTCCGTTTCATGTAGACAGAAGATCTATTTTTAAGATCAATTCCGCGTAGGAAATATCATTATAAGTAGTCATAGTGAAGTGGGGAAAAGGATACTGTGTTGAATATTGCTCGGGATTAAGTGTGAGAAGTGTGTGAAGAGGAGTTTCTGTGTGAAATCTTGAGTGAAAGTGAGTGTTGACTTGCGACGCGTAGTGGAAAATTTCCTCCAATTAGTATTTAAAGCCATTAGGAAGTATGTAATACCCGCGAGGATATTAATATTGTATGGGTATTTTTGTATCGTGGCCTCTCGCTGTCGATGTGCTTGACTCTCTCATGTTTTTATGTAGACAAGTCCAAGACCACAGGCCACAGTCGTAATCCTTATATTGTTTGCGCTTGTCGTACGACATGTCATCATTAATGTGGGGGAGATTCATCAGCTACAGCATTTTGTTCTCCCACCCAATTAAAGGGAGCTTCACTGCCACACACTCTAAGTACAAATCCTTTCTCCCGCGATGGCGAGAGAGAGAGAGAGAGAGACAGAGAGAAATGCCATGAAAACGCGAGGGAGAATAAATCTCCAATGTGGTTTTCCAAATTCTTAATTGAGGCTTAATCAGCACGCATTTACAATCATGTGCTGAAGCGCATATCTTCAAAAATATGCTTGATTCTCGCTTGTTAAGAAATTGTCACACACCGTGATTGATAGTGACACAACTAGATGTCATGAGTGGGTAGAGCAATAATGTAATTGACGTGTAAAGCTGAACGAAAGCTCGCTCTAATTGTGATTGCGCAAAAGCATAAAAACTCGCAAAATCGACTAAAATGACATCAGGCAGATCAAAAATGCTCATTTGTTAATAGCTAACTTCAAGATCTTAGAATTTAAGGCCTAATTTCGAAACTTAAAATACCATAACTCCGCTTCTTATTATCCGATTTGAGTAATTTAAAGCTCATTGGAAAGATCTCATGAAATGCTTCCTCTCATCTGAACATCATAACTTGATAAAACTTACGCTAGGTGCGCTGAAGTCAAAATAAGGATTTGTGAAAACTTAAAATCAATTATCTCGGAGAAAATACGGTGCATTTTCTTTAAATTTCAGTGTGTTGAAGCTGAGGTCGAAGCCTTTCCAATGATATCCTATTTGTAGAGCCTGATGTTTTAGGAGCAGAGATATGAAAGGTCAAAGTTCACACCTTTACCGGCTCATATCTTCGTTGTTTACCGCTCGAATTCTATCATTTCTTCACCAAAAGACGTCACTTGGCGCTCTTTAGTAAATTAAGTTCACCGTTTGTCAATATTTGATCAGGACGTGTCTAAAAGTAGGTCAAACCTTTTCACCGATGTAAAAGAACCGAAGTTATGACGGTTCAAAGTTTCTATTTTAAATAGCTATAACTTCGGTTCTATTTGCTCGATCATTACGATTTTGGGCTCGTTGGAAGGTTCTTGCAAAACTCCACTACTTTTTAAAACAAGAGAAGTTTATTTGACCACCGCTAGAGACGCTAATGTCAGTAATAATATTTTTGAAATGTTGAAAATTAATTTTAAGGCATTTTAATAGTCCAGTTTAAGACGTTTCCAAAGTGAGATTATACTTCTTTTTCATTGCCGTAGAACCCGAGTTATGGCTGATTGAAATGTTTGTATTAAATTAGGGTATCTTGCGGGCCCAGTTCGTGATAAGCGTTTGCTTATCAGGCCCTTATTTTTCCTAGCAATGCTGAAAGGTGGTGCATTGAGTACACGGCGGAGTGTCTTGTCTTCTCCCTTCGTCACATTTCTACCTCACAAACAAGCCCACGGCAATTGATGAATTAAATTTCACAACCACATACATTTAATTGGCAGCGACAGAGGCTAGGAAATGCCTGAGAATTGGCGCGCATTTGCAGTTTTGCACGGGCAGCTGGCGAGAAAGCGAGAGAGGAATGCCCGGACGCTGTTGTCGTCTGGTCTCTCAGCACGTGCTTCCCTGGCGTCGACTTCCAACCCTGATTGCGAATCAATTCCAATTTCTCCAATGGGATTTTCGGCTGCGATGGAATTTGGCGCCAATCGCTCGTGGCTGTGCAATTATGAGGCGGTTGAAACTGCAAATAATGGGTGTTGGATTGAGTGTTGACATGCCCGGCACTTCTTTGCCAAGATCAAGTTCACGTTAAAATATTATTTAGGTATTTGGATCAAGGCGGTGCAGAGAGTATAATTACCGCGCGAGTGCGTAATTTCAGTGCAATTTTCCGCACTCTCGCGCCGGTATTGAACTTTTACCTCTAATTCGCTTCGCCCGGAGTCTCCAAGATCTTGTGGGGTTGCGGCAGCGCACAAGGAGCTCAGCTCAGCAGCTTTGTCGCGCTCACCCAATGATAGATTCAGTGGCAAGTGCAACAGATTAGTGGCCGAAGATTGGTCATGAGCCATGCTTTTTTAATTAAAACTCTAACATACACAAACAGTGGATCATTGAAATTGCAAAATGGTAGGGAAGGAAAGGTTGGTGGGGAATGGCTGAATGTCTCTCTCTCTCTGAAACTTCTGTCTAAGTGATGATTATAATTCGTACACTAATGACAAAGAGACATACTGAGAAGAATGCGCTTTTCTTAGACATGTACACAATTGCATTTTATATTCTCAATATCAATGTCCCTGTGGTAGGAAAAAGTCATATTAGTTCTATTGAGACAATCTAATTTTAATTTTATTTATTCACATATGTATGGTTTAGTTAGATAATGTCATTTGTTCAATAAAGACACACTCCTAAAGTGCTCCCGAAGAGAGGAAAGGAGGAAAAAGTATTACTTTGAAGACAAAAAGAGAAATATTTCCCATCACAGTTTAATAGAGAAAAGAAAGAGTGAAGAATTTGGTGCTAAATTTAAATTTGTCCTTTTCCGTCGCTGCACTCGGAAATGTCCTGTGTGTGAAGAAGGAAGAGTGAAGAGGGTGAAAAACTCCATCACCTTGAACAAGAGAGAAACACACGGAAAATTATTGATTGTCTCTCTTTCGGGGTGTTCTAAATAATGTATTAATGCATTGAATATGGATATTTGGGCAGTGTTTCATGTGAGATATGGAAAATTCACAGTATTTTAGTTGATTTCGTGTGAGATGACCAAAGGGAGAAGGAACACTTTTTCTGTGAGCTAGTGGGAAAATTCCTAAGTGATTGTGCTGTGTTAGAAGAAAAGATCCACACTTTTGGGATTGAGCCACTAATTCAGATCTTTTTTAAGCCACCACGCGCGTCATCGGTTTTTGGCGAAAGCGTTAGGGTTTATTTACACTTTCGGCGGGTCAATTGACAATTGTAAATATTCCTTATGTGGCTGATGAGAGTGACTGTTCACTTTATTAATTCATTTAGACTGTTTGTGAGTGGAAATTAATTAATTTATTAAAAGTATAATTCGTGATAATATTTAGGCGTCATCCTGTGACTTTGAAATTGCGCAAAAGGCATTAGACTGGATCCGCTATTGAAACGCCGTGATACCTTTGAACTGGACTCAATAAACCTGGTTGATGTCCAAGAATTTGATAATTCGGACATTGGCTTTCTGGCATTTCTCGATCACGACGAAGAAGAGGAAGAAGTAGTACCAATTGCCCAACCACGCTACAAAATGGGTGAGTTTATTCGAATTATCATAGAACTAAGACTATGTGGAATGTTGCTGATGCTTCTCGCCTCATCGCAGGGCTGGATTTTATGGATAGCACTGGGGCTGACTACGAAAATGCCCTCCTGAATACGGGATTCGGAAAGTTTCACTATCAACTCTTGACCGTCTGTGGACTAATATACATGAACACAGCAATAGGCATCACAATCTTGTCCTTTGTGCTGCCTTCGGCTACGTGCGATTTTCAGATGACATCAGAGGACAAAGGTTGGCTCACGGCGTCACCAATGCTGGGCATGGTGATCGGCTCCTACTTCTGGGGCTGCCTCGCAGACACCAAGGGCAGGAAGATCGTCCTCATTGCGTCTCTCCTACTGGACGGAATTTGCGGTTTGACGTCGTCCATTGCACAGTATTTCTGGCTATTTATGCTGTGTCGGTTCTTCAATGGATTCGGGTGAGATTCCTATAAGTGTTTATGAGCTGTTGTGATGAATAATTTCAATGACCTCTCCATGAAGACACCTAATTATCCGCCCTGTGACACCTTCGGTGTGTGTATTTGAGGAGATTCCCACGTGAAATACTATATTAAACAACGATGATGTATTAGAAATTTCTCTTTCATCGTTCTAACCAAGGGGGAAATAATCACAGGCACTTCCAGAACATTGACAATGCTGAAAACATCTATTTTCCATATTTTTACACCTTTTTCTGAAATTCATAGATTTTTCCAATGCGCCTAAAAAGTATCATAACCTCAAATTTAGGAATTTTTGTCCTAAAAAATGCGTATTTTTTACTTTGTGACCCTGAAAACTTACAGAGAAACGCCATTTGAGAAAGTTTTGATGTTTCCTGCAGATATTATGATGTGATTCAATGACTAATGGGTTTTTTGGATGCACTTTAAAACATAACCTAAAAATTACATTGGGATATTGTAAGAATTCTTGAAAGAATCCTATTCAGAAGCTACTGAAAAGCAAGACTAATCAACAATGAACTGAAATTTTTTATTTTAGAGTTCTGAATCAGTCAAACAGCTCTTAAAATAGATAATTTTGTATCAATAACAAATATTTTGGAGGTTATGAGCAATCTTTAACAATGAAAACTTGTGATCCTCACCAAATTTCTTTATTATTGTGTCAGTAAATTGTAAATTAAACCAATTTAGGAGCAAGATTGAATGATTTTGAAGGTTATTTAGTGGCAAAGTTTGTCTTAAATTCATAACATAACCTAGAAATATGAAAAGAACTATTCTTTGTCTCCAATTAATGCGTTGATTTCTTCTGAAAGTGACTTTTGGACGCTTCATATTGAAAATATTGAAACATTTCTGAGCTGTACATCAGTTCTGCCCATAATATCTCCCCCTTGGTTCTAACTTTCATTTAATGCGCATTGTTTCCGCCAATTCAGTCTTCACTATACATTAATTGTAATGAATTTATGTGTCTCTTAACAGAATAACAGGCGCAATGGGAATCTGCTTTCCATATTTGGGTGAATTTCAACCGACAAAGTACCGAGAAAAGATTCTATGTTGGATGGAAATGTTCTGGACTGTTGGTATAATCATTCTACCAGGAATTGCATGGATAATAATTCCGTTGAACATAAAGATAGACCGAAATGCCTTCTTATTTAATAGTTGGAATCTATTTGTGGCAATTTGTGCACTTCCGAGCCTCCTTCTCGGCGTCTGGCTGTGCTTCTTTCCGGAAAGTCCAAAGTTTCTCATTGAGTGTGGTGAAACTGACTTGGCACTGGAGGTCCTCAAGGACATGTACAAATCGAACACGGGAAATGACCGAAATGACTATCCCATAAAGACACTGAAGGAGAAGGAGAAGAGCAGTGGGATTAGCCAGAAGACGAACAAGTCAATCCGTGAGCTGAGCATGAGGAAGCCGAAGGAGTTCAAGTTGCTGTGGACGGAAATATGGGAGCAAACGAAGGCCCTCTGCAAGCCACCTCATCTCAAGCACACCGCCTTAACGTGCCTCATTCAGTTCGGAATAACATCAAGGTTGAGTGGATTTTCCTGCTGAATTGCGATTGCAGACTGGTTTTCTAACGATGCTCTCTTCTTTCAGCTACTACACCCTGATGATCTGGTTCCCGGAATTGTTTTATCGCTTTGAGGAGTACGAACAGGCTCATCCGGATCAGTCAGCCTCTGTTTGTGATGTTTCATCGATTGTCCTGGGCAATGTCAATGGGTGAGTTTGGGAGCTGCGTGAGTTTCTCAATGGCTGAGCATCATTTGGAATGTTTAATTGTGTGACATTTTCAGAACTCTTATCGATGACTTCTGTGGAGCTCCCATTGAGGATAGTGTCTATATACACACAATTATAATTGGTTTAGCATGTATTCCAACTAGTTTATGGCTGCCACTTTGCGTTCATAAACTTGGTGCACGATTCTTTTTAGGTAAATAACGCCTCTTCATGCATTTTACATTCAATAATCACCTATTTTGTTGTCTCTCTAACACTCGAATATTGTCTTAATTATAGTATTCAGCCTCGTTGTGGCCGGAGCTGTGACTATTGGTCTCTATTTTGTAATTGATTCAACGCAGAATCTCATTCTGTCCTGTATTTTTGAAGCACTGACTTCTCTCGGAATAAGCCTAGTCTACACGGTGATGGTAGATTTATTTCCTACTAATCTTAGGTGAGTATAAATGAGGCGAAATTGTTGATTTTGTAATTTCATACTTGGAGGAAATGACAAACAAATGTATTTATATCTTGTTGGGATATTTTCAGAGTAATGGCCGCAGCCCTTTCCCTCACTTTTGGTCGCGGCGGAGCCCTTTTGGGGAATTTAATCTTCGGTTTCCTAATTGATCTTAATTGCGTCATCCCAATTGTCCTCTTCTCATCAATGCTTTTAGGTGAGTCGATTACTGTTGATTGGAATCCAAGGGGAAAGTCACTCGCGATTTGAGACTATTAATTTTGTGATTATTCAATAATTTCTTGAATTATTATTTAAAGTTTGATTTATATTACTTATTTTGGCAATATTATTGGCTTATCAACTTAAGCGAAAAAGAGAAAAGGTCACAAATTTGCCAAAAACTGGAATTCGAACTCCTCCGGTATTTTTCTATGCGATAACTTCACTCTCGCGCTCAATTTTCCTTCTCTCCTGGTCAGGATCACATCAGGAAATCATAAAGTATGAAAATTATGAGAAAAGAGAGGAAATTATGAGAAAAATGCGATTTGGCGTCCCCCACGCCAACTTTGCTGCCCTCTAGCGGCGATTTAAATATTTCGCCCGAAAATGTTCGTATTTTGATTGAAAATAATAATTTTTGGATTATTTTTCTTCAAATTTTTAATTATCTGATTGATACTATTAAGATTGCTCTAAAATCGCTTTGTGACTTGCCTCTTGATTGAAAATATTTGGAAAAATTCATGAATTCTCCCTGTTTTTTTTACAGTGAGCGGCCTCCTCTGCTATTTATTGCCAAACACAGGATCTGAGGCCTTAGATTGAGGCAAAAAATTGTGTGAGTCCAGGATTTGTGTGTGGCAAATCTCGTTTTGGACGCATGAACAGCATAAGATTTTTTCTGAAGTCGAAAGAAGTAAAATCGAAAACCTACAATTGAAATTTTTATAATCCGGTATTTCCAAATACATTCATTGAAATTTTACAATAGATACTACTTCCTGTATTAAATGAACTCTCTCTCTCACTTTGCTGTAGGGCCAAATTTAGAAAAAGAAAGAAAAGTATCACTAGTCTTAAGTAACCGTTAATCGGAATAGAATTTACACGATCATGGAGAACCGATAAAGACTCTAGATATCACTAAGGATAAGGATATGATTGTATTACAATTAGGATTTAGTTCTTCAATACTGTACACACTTTAAAGTGATTACCAAAATGGATGATTCATTATACACAATAATTATTTGAAAAAAAAAGAGAACAACAAGATAATGATGATATTGCTTAATTTCTAAGGTGTTGTTAATATTTATAGTATTGCAAACATTATAGAGTAAATATAAATATAGCTACACATAAGTTTGGAGGTGTACTTTTACACTGCATTAATTGTCTTGGTCATAACTTCTAATGGCGTCACTAGATCCTCAATTCCCTCGCCCTTGCTGTCCATCGTGTTGGGAATTGTGGAGCCCAGGACGAAGTGATTGTTGTAGTACGGCGCGAAGAGTGGATACTGGGAGGCGTTGAAGTAGTGATTGGCATACAAGCCCTGACGCTGGGCAATCTTCAGTCGAGACGTCAGCTGCTTCTTCCACTTTGTCCGCCTGTTCTGGAACCACGTCTTGATTTGCACTTCCGTGAGACTCAAGCACTTGGAGAGTTCCATCCTCTTGCTCACGCTCAGGTATTTGTCCTGCTTGAATTCGTTCTCCAGTCGCTCCAGCTGCTTTGCACTGTACGCTTGTCGCGGCTTCCGGTCTACTCCTGGCTTCCGAGATCGCTTGCCGGTCGTCTTCGGGCCGGCTGGACACACAGAGAGGAATGAGAAGAGCAGTGAGTGTCTTACGCATTTGGATAAATTTGAATATGTCTACATTCATTTCCAGTGCTTATCACATTTACTCATGGTCATATTCATTAGCTGGCGTTCATTTTGAGGAAGCCTAGCAGTGTTTAAAGGCAAATGCACGGTATTTTTTTTATAAGACGTTGATGTCAGAATTATCACTTTTTCTCTTCAATGTTGTGAAGAATTTCTCTCATTCTGTTTTTAATTGAAATTCCAACAAAGTCGACTGAAAGTCACTCACAATTTGAGATCATTAACTCTGTGATTATTCAGTTATTTCTAAATTTTTCGGGATTTTTATTAAAATTTTAATTTATATGACTTATTTTGGCAATATAATTGGCTTATCAGTTTTTGTAAAAAAGAGAAAGAGTCATAAATTTGCCAAAAACTGGAATTCAAATTCCTTCGGGTATTTTCTATGTGAAAAGCTTTATTCTCGCGCTTAAATTTCCTTCTCTCCTGGCCAGGATCACGTCAGGAAGTCATAAAGTGTGAAAAATGCAATATTATTAGCGTCCCCCAAGCCGACTTTGCTGCCCTCTGGCAGTGATATGCGGAGAAAGTAACCAAATATGAAATTTCAATAAAATATCCTGAAAATATTTAAATATAATTTGATTTATTTTAATATTTTTCTCGAAAATATTCAAATTTAGATTTTTCTGCAATTTCACTTGGAAAATAATCAGCTTCTGAATTTTTTTTTCAAATTTTGATTATTTGATTAAGACCATTAAGATTTCTTAAAAATCGCTTTGTGATTTGCTCGTTGGGTAGAACAGAAAGTCACTTATTTGTGTGATATTTTCGAGACCACTTATCAAATATTGACGCTCTTTGTGGTGCAATTTTCGAAGAAATAGAGGAAAAAAAGAACATTCAGGACGACACTCATTCAATATTTGTACGGAATTATTGCAGTACAGCCCAATTAGCACCTTTTCTCAAAAGTCTCTTCAGCATTTCTATTCCTGTCTGGAATATTTGTTCTGAATTTTGTGATTTGGTCAACTGAAAAGTCCACAATATAAATTTTTTATAGGACTTTTCAACTGTCGAGAGACGCATAAATCCCACTTTGTTTACCTTGTAATCCTAAAAGGTAGTTGTTCTGAATGGAAGGTGTCTTAGAATGCAGTCCAATCCAGTTTGAGTATATGAAATTGGATGCATGCGATTCCTCAGACGATGAACTTAATGATACTGCCGTTGGATGATATGTGATTTGACTGGGGAAGTGAGACTGGAAGCCGGATTGTTCAATAAGGCGTGAAGCTTGAGATCCTAGCAGATCCAAGATGCTTTTGGAATATGTTGTGGGTGAAACTTCTGGCGAATGTATTGTACTTTTGACTACAAATGGAGAAGAAGATGTGCATGTTTTCTGTTTAACAATTTTATAATCACATCTACTTCTTCTGCTGCGCTTACTATCGTCGTCTTTCGCCGGCGGCGCTTTGATGAAATCCAATTGAGTGCGATTATCAGTTTTGTACACAAAACCAGTTCTATTCCCTTCGAGTCCTAGGATGTTATCAATGGTGAAAGTTTTTCTCTTCTCAATTCCCATATCACTGATGTATTTGCTGTTTCCCAGCGATTCAGACACACAATTGCTAACTTTCCTCTCTGACGATCTCACACTTAATTCACAGGGATTCACATGATGGAAGTCACTTGAAGGAGTTTTCACAGCATTTTCACACGATTCACTCGAGTCACAACTATTCACTGGACTTCGACACACACTCATTGCGCACAAGGAGCAATTCAGGACACACTGAGATCACGAATCGTCAGCATTGTGTACAGAGAATCCGCGGAGCGACTGTGTTGCGTACCATTGGATCAGTTGGAGATAATCTGTCTCTGAGAAGGTGAATCTTTCGACACCTGGAATCTCTCCGCGAGAGGCGAGAAATAAGCAGCCAAAGGTCCGCCCATTTTTCACACCTCCCCCAGCATATTTCATCTTTTTCCTCCGCGCTCTTTCCTCACCGTGAGATCATCGCAAATGTACATCACACTTCTCCTTCTGGCATACGCAGCCTCTCTCAGACGGCACGAGTCCCAATCACGAAAGGAACACACCGTAAATATGGGAATTTTTTTCAATTCGCAGCCTCTAAAGCTTGTGTAAATATTTTTCACACTTCACAAAGAAGCATTTTTCAGTGAAATTTGATGCATCTTTTAAATGTCGTGTGATTGATTAAAAACTTACATGACACCCCTCAGTTTTCGGATTACCCTCATCAATTTATGGAAGTGTGAATGCATGTATTGTTGATCATTGAGAGGATTTCTCCTTTACAATAAATCAATTAGCTATACAAGGCTATAAAAAGTGCTTATTTGGCGATATTCCAAATTCATTGACGAAATTACTCTTCAAAGTTTTTAGATATAAGTCTATTTAGAGTAATTCATATTTTGAATAACACACATGAAAATACATAAATATTCTTCAATTGGTTCATCCAAGGGGGAGAGAATATAGCTAAAATCAGAGTTCAAAAAATAAATGGTTTTTTGGGCTTCTTAAGAGAATCTTTAAAGAAATCCCAGATAAATTGTGGGGTTATCAAGCCAAAAAGTAGTGTAAAACAAAACTATTTTGGCAGTTTCACAAGTTATTTCTCATTTTTTCAGTCTTAAAATAAATTAGTAACTTTAATTAAGCAGCTTTGGAATTTCTTGGGGTTCTAGATGGAGAATTTTCTTCTGCTATCCTTCTTTTTTCTTGTAAGATCTGGGAAAGAGCTGATACAATCCGTGAAATAACTTTTCCACCGTTTTGCTCTGGAGGTTTCTCATCAACACTTAGACGAAGGTGGACGCAAATTACGCTCACGACAGCTTGAAAACTGGCTACAAATCGTGTTCTGGGTAACTTTTATACGATCTTAACCTTAAAAATAACATTGAAATAGTTAGAATGATTAAAAGAATAAACTATTCACAACTTCAAAGAAAGATTTAAAAGATTTTAAACAATTACATTTTTGTCATTAACATAAAATTGGGAATTTTGACTAAAAACTTGGCGAGAAAACACTGAAAATGAACATTTTTCAAATGTGAACCACGTTTTTGAGGTTTTGTTTGACTTTAGCACAATTCACAGTGTTAAATCGCGTTCTTTATTGCCTGGAAATGCTTGATTTATTGGGAGAATTAAATATTTTTGGTGATTTTTCATTCACTAAGTCACCAAGGATAATTCCTCTCTTTGAATTCATCAAATGCTTCCAGTCTTCATATCTAGGCATCCCATGAGAGCTGAAGATTACTAACAATGACGCAGGTTTTCTCTCCATCTGCCCAGTTACTAAATAAACACTAAAAAATCTCTGGATAGATGATGATTGTCACCAGAAGACGGAGGAAACTTTCCAGCCATAATAAATCATGCAGCCTTAATTTGTGGACAAATAAAAACAAGCTTTCTTACTTGTCTCCATCGCATACACTATTTGATGTATATTAACAAAATTTTTAACGACTATTAGTCAATTACCAAAATAAATTCACATATCATTGCGAGGAGACCATGCGATGACAGTGTCAGCGAGGCAAAGAAATGCCCAAACATTCAACCACCACCGTTTGCAATAACGTGTGAAATGAAGAAAATTCTTCTCGTTTGTACAAAACAAATTGACTTATGGTAATTGTTATAGTTGACACATTTGTGTTAAAAAACCCTCTGATGCCATTACACCAGGCACTTTACCTCACAAGACGATGATGACACAAGTTGAGAATATTGTCGTGGTAATTTTGAAGAAAAAAAAAGGAAAAAACTGCGTCCTCTTCGCGTGCAGTGGAAAATTTTCCACACATTTTCTCATTCCTCCCCATCACAAAGCATCCCATGAGAGATTTATGGAGGTGCAAATTGGAGTCTTTGAGGAAAACAACACAGCTCAAGACTCCGCCTCGAAATGTCGCACATTTTGCATTGTTGGAAATTGATCTCAGCCATTGGTTGCATGACGTCTCTGAAATCTCTGCCATAATCCCCTTAATTTCTTGTAAAATGAACGATGTGGTGAAGAGAAAAAATTTAAAGGGAAATTGCTCTTTTATGTATCAATAAAGCGGCCCCAAAAGTGGCGAGATTTGCCGGGTGGGGGGGGGGGGGGGCGAAAAAGGCGCCCCATTTGGTGTGTGAAAGGATCTCTGCCCGCCCTTCACAAAAGGGGGCCACAAAAGAAGAGCGAAAAGGCGCTTCGGGGGCGAATGAGATGAAGAAAAGTGGTGAGAAAAGAATCACTGATAAATGATTGTCCTGAATTTGAAAAATTACTAAAAGATATCCATGTTATGGACTCATATATCTCGGGACGCATTAAACCTCATTACGGAAGCTGTCTAATTTCTGAAACATGCAATCTGTTTCACTTCTTCCGTGAGAACGCCGAGCGGACCGGGTGGTGACTCTCACGGATTTCACGGTGAGTGTTCCCTATTAATGGAATTATGTGCTGAATTTTGAGACACCCACTCACCATGATTCGCTCGGTTACATGATAAATGCCGTGCTGGTATCCTCTCTAAAACGCTATAATAGATATTAGTATTATCCTCGAAGGTGGTTCACGCCCAGTGGAAATGGAAAAGTGGCGGAGCACTCACTCGGCAACAATAGAGCATCACTGTGAGATGAACAGCTGCCGCGCTAAGTGCGAGTTTAAGCGATTTATTTCCACGTTTAACCATTTTCCGCACAATGGCCGCCCCACATTTCCGCCAACCCTCAGGATCATCTCTGTCCACGCTTTATTATAATCAATTTAATCTGCGGATATGATAAATAAAAATCATTGCAAATGAGAGCTAAAATATCGATCCAAAACGCCTTTCTTAATACAATTAATGAAGCGATTCCCACTGAAACGAGGAATGTTAAAAATGTGTCATATTGATTAAAACAGTTTGTTATTCTATAGTTACAAATTGATCTTGAAATTTATAGTCTCTTTCCACATTACTTCTCAAATTACAATTAATCTCTTAAGTTTCCATTCGATATATTCAATAATATACTTAAAACCGCTTTTTTGGGTATCTTTGCCGACCCTAACCTCAAAAATATCACTATGAAAGCTTTCTAGATAATAAAACCATCTGTTTATGATGATTCAGAGTCTAATTCGTTCCGAATGTTTTCTAAATAAACATTTTCCAAGTCTGAATGACTCTTTTTGAGATTATGTCCCACTTCAACACAATTTGCAGCGTTTCTAGGCATCAAAGTATCAGAAAAGCAATGTCTTTAGCATGACTAGCGCTTTTCCTGACTTAAACATACAATTGTGGCTTTATTTTTCAAGGAAGAACGTGAAAAATATTTACAGTTAATTATTCTTAACACGAATTTTTCAATTTATTTACTTGTATTTTATTAATTTAAACGAATTTCTTACCCAATGTGGAATCACTTAAAACTCTCTAACACTGTTTTAGCGAGAATATCAAGAGGTGTTTTACCTTATTCATTCCGAATGTTATACATCCGTTAGTTTAAATGGGAGCCACTGCATAATTCATTAATTATTATGATTAATTAATAAAATTATGTACGATCAAGAGGAGAAATACGTGCTTTTCGATACTTGAGATAACGCCAAATCACTAGAGAATCATTTTTAAAACACTAAATAAGTCACAGAACAATAAAATTCGCTATGATTTCATTCCACTGTAAGGAAGTGTGCGAAGAATTCAAATGGAGAGTTGACGCGTCGAGGTCGCAGGTGGCGCAGCGGGCGTTCGGCGAGCAAACGTCACTTTTTCGACAATGGCTTGCCATGTTTTCGAAGAACTTTGGAACTGTCACACGAAGTTTTATGGCAGCACTGCGCCTCCACCATCTTAAAAAACCTGGCTTCCTTCAATACGTGAAAAATTGAGCAAAATCTAGTGTTAAAAGTGTAGTTAATAGGGTAAAATCGGTGATATTGGAGACTGATTGCTGTCGGGAGGTGTTTAATACAGTCGGCGCTCCGTCAGACTTATGTCTATCGCCGATACAGCACCGCAAAATTGAAGATGACATTGCCCAGCACAGCACGAGTCTATGCGGATGTGAATTCTCATAAACCGCGTGAATATTGGGACTATGAGAACTATGGAGTGGACTGGGCGAATCAGGATGATTACCAATTAGTGCGGAAGCTGGGCAGGGGTAAATACAGTGAAGTATTTGAAGCATATAATGTGACCAACAACGAAAAATGCGTGGTGAAGATCCTGAAGCCAGTGAAGAAGAAGAAAATTAAAAGGGAGATCAAGATATTGGAGAATCTGCGCGGGGGCACCAATATAATAACGCTGCTGGCGGTGGTGAAGGACCCCGTGTCGCGGACGCCGGCGCTCATCTTCGAGCACGTGAACAATACAGATTTCAAGCAGCTGTACCAGACCCTCACGGACTACGACATCCGCTTCTACCTGTACGAGCTGCTGAAGGCGCTGGACTACTGCCACAGCATGGGCATCATGCACCGCGACGTGAAGCCCCACAATGTGATGATCGACCACGAGAACAGGAAGCTGCGCCTGATCGACTGGGGCCTGGCGGAGTTCTACCACCCGGGCCAGGAGTACAACGTGCGCGTGGCCAGTCGCTACTTCAAGGGGCCCGAGCTCCTCGTGGACTACCAAATGTACGACTACTCGCTGGACATGTGGTCGCTGGGCTGCATGCTGGCCTCCATGATATTCCGGAAAGAGCCCTTCTTCCACGGCCACGACAACTACGACCAGCTCGTGCGCATCGCCAAGGTCCTCGGCACGGAGGAGTTGTACGCCTATCTGGACAAGTACAACATCGAGCTGGATCCGCGCTTCAATGACATCCTGTCGCGGCACTCGCGCAAGCGATGGGAGCGCTTCGTTCACTCGGACAATCAGCACCTCGTGTCACCGGAGGCGCTCGATTTCTTGGACAAGTTGCTCCGCTACGACCACTACGACCGCCTCACGGCGCGCGCCGCCATGGAACATGCCTACTTTTTGCCCATCATCAACGGCCAGATGCCGCCGTCCAAGGGAAGCAATCAATAATCCATCATCACTGTCAGCAACGCCAACTTCTCCAGCAACAACAGCACCATCAGCATCGCGACACGGACCAACGACACCACCAAGCAGACCCACAGTTGATGACCCCACACATTCACCGGCTATTTCAGGAGCGTCGGAGCGCCGCAGGAGCCCCTCGTGGTCCCCATGGAGAACCGTAAAGCCTCTTGCGCTGTGTTAACCTGCTTTAGTCTCACTGCTTCTCCTCTCTTTCCAGACAAACACACACAGACACACAGAAGGAAGATTTGCAGCTTGGGGACAGTCACTAAAGCTCCTGGACGATCATCCGCGTCCAGGTTCCAGGCTCCAGACTCCGGCGATTCACCTGCAAAACAACAGAGACCACATAATTTTGCTTCAATCAATACAACACGGTTTGTTTCCATTAAATTCGCAAGTCTGCAATTTACAGAATGGCTAGAGACTATCAAATGGCTGATGCGTGCTGGGCCCACCCAAAATAGTCCCGGGAATTCATACCAACTTTGCTTCTTTCCGTTGATTCACATGTTTTAAACGTAAAATTTGTCATTTTTCAAGCTTCCTATCACGCGCGCAATGAAAGGGGGAAATTTGTGAGAGGGCTAAAAAACACCATATTTGTCGATACAGAACTGAAAGCGCGTACGTAATAAGTACACACAATGGTAAAAGAATAAATTCAAAAGAATAATGCTTTATATTATCACAAAAATATTTCGAATAGATGTTGAGAGAGAGAGAGAGAAAGAGGCGAAATAGCTCTACCACCCACACTAATGTTTCACTATTTCTTCATCCATTTTATTCCCCAGAGGAGAAAAAAAATTAGCGACAAATTGATATATCGAGAAACATAACAACATATAAGATTATATTGTAGTAGAGAAAAAGTGTGAAGGATGAGGGGAAAAAAAGAAGAAGGAAAAAACATTGAAGCCAGACAAGAACCGATCAAGGGAAAAAAGCTTTTTCTCTGGCGGTGAAATTTGAATGAGAGAAAAAAAAAGATTTTAAGCAAGTTTCGATGAAAACAGTCATTATATTTGTGAGTTATTTTTAATGGATAAAAAAAAGGAAATGAGAGAGAGAGAGGAATCAATGTGTAATACTAAAGAAAAGAAAAAATCAATGGCTAAAAAAAACCTTTAAATTGGAATAGGAATTTTGTGAAACACAGCACACAATAAAGGACTTTAAAAGTGGTGAAGAAAAAAAAAGAAGATTATTGCATTGTAAAGGAAGAATGAGAGAAAAATCCAGCTCTAGTGCTTTTTCTGTTGTTATAGACACTGGAAGTTAAGAAGAAAAAAAGGGGAGGAAATGACGTGAAGTGAAAGAAAAACGTGCTAGATTAATTGCATTTAAAGTGGACAATATTTTCTACACCAATATTCAGAGGACATTGAAAAATTATTGGATGAGAATGAATATGTGGGAGATTTTTCTGCGATTAAATGCTAAAACCACATTTACACATCAACCTTTGCTTTGACACACTGATGATGATGATGATGATGATGATGATGATGACGGGCGGGCGAAGAGGGTGGAAAAGAGGAATGTTTTCATTTGTAGTCAAAAAAGAAATTTAATATACAAAGTTAATTAATTTGTCTCCCCCCAATTGTTTATTATTATGCCTTCGACGATCGACTTTTGTTGCAATAAAGTGCTTACATTTTTAGGCCAAGGAAGAGAGTTTGCAAATAAATATCGTATCGAGGGAAAAATCTACACGAGTAAAAGAAAAAAACTATTATAATATTTTAATTGATAGAATTGATGAAAAAACTCCTGCTGTTTTTAGAAAAAAGAGTGACGATTTTATGAGCGAAAAATCCTGTATAAATAAAATGTTTCTTTCTTTTGTAATAATTCCCTAATTTGAACTAAAAAAAAAATTGGGATTATTGCTAAAAAAAACAGAGCAACAAGTAGAAAAAAAGGTAACAAATTTTGCATGCATTAAAAACAAGGAAGAGAATTTTTTTTTGTCATTAAGTGAAAAGTCATTCGTGAATTTTTACCATAGAATTTTCAAAGGAAGTGAATTGAGGAATCGTAATATTTTAGAAATATAAAATGGAAATAGACAAAAATTATATATATGAAAAAAAACTCTTCTTTTGATCATTATCGAAGAAAGAAAAATGAATTGAGAAAAAAAGGAAAAAATTGGGGGTCGATAGTAATCAAAAGGTAATTGAAAATAAAACAAGAGAGAAAAAAGAAGTAACAAGATCTACTTGAAATCTATGTTAATTTTTTACACAATATATAAATATATACATATATAAATTAAAAATATAAATAGGATACGTAGGTAACAAATAAATAATATATTACTAAAGAAGGAGAAAGAAAAATTGAGGCAAAAAAAGAAATCCAATGCTAGAAAAAAATCCACTGATTTGATGAAGAAGAAGAAAAAAAACCAACAACAATTTTTACAAAACATGGATTTTCCTTTTTCTCTTTTTCTGAAAGTGGTTGAAGAACATTTTAAAAGCACGGAGAAGAACATTTTACTTAGGCAAAAAAAAAGAAAGAAAGAATAAAACAATATATAGAACAAGAAAATACAACAAATCTTAATGCAAACAATAACAAAAGAAAATGTGTAAGCAAAACAGTTTGTAAAATGATTTTTGCTAAATTATATTATTTAAAAGAAGAAGAAGAAGAAAAAACGCGGGAGGAGAAAAGGAAAAAGAGGATGCAAGAAAAGTGAAAGATGAAAAAATTAAATTAATAATTACTATTAATGATGGCAAGTATAATATAAAAGTAATAGAACTTCTTATATACATATTTAAAAAAAAATGATGAAAAAAGAAATTAAATGATGAAAAAAGAGATGAAAATGAAAGTAAATAATAAAGTTACGGTTTTGTTAACCGTTGCATTTTCTTATAATTTGTAAACTACTGTATTGGAAGTATATGAAGAATAATAAAGATAAAAAATTCTATTCTTGTGCTCTTCGCGCGCGTCGCATTCAACCAGTGAAAGTTTCAGTTACTGGGTGGAAAGTCAATTTTGCCGGATGTTGAGAAAGCAAAACTCGTGCTGTTGCGATGTGTCTGATGATAAACTGTAGATGTCGGATGATTTGGATGAGTGGCTTTTTGGGAGGAGTTTATCATTGGCGCAAACCCACGTTGTTTGAATAAAGACGGTTAGTTGACTATTCTCTATACTGAGATGAATCTGCTAACATGGACAATTGAGGCTTTACAGTCACCTTTGAGGACGAATTAATCTTCAGTTCTAGTCTTTTAATAATATGATCTTAATCTCTGCCCCATTTTTAGACTGTTTCCACAAAAATTGGCAAATTATAATAAATATTTTAAGATTCCGTGCGATATTTCAGTAAAAATCTACTTAAAACCGCTGTTTTCAGCATCTTTTCAGGTTATAACCTCAAAAATATCACTACGAGATCTTAAAAGATTTCATTTAGAAACTTTCTGGATGATGAAATCATCTTTTATGAGTTGCCAATGAACTTAAAATTATTGATTTAGTGTCAAAATCGTGCCAAAAGTGGTCTAAATAAACATTTTTCAAGTCCAAATGACTCTTTTCGAGGTTATGTTTAACTTCAACACAATTAACGCAGTTAACAGTGTTCTTTCTTTTTAAAAAATGCTTAATTCTTTCAATTATTAGCAATCTTGGCGACTTTAGCATAAGAAATGATGTTCTAAAATGCGAAATATTCACTAAATTCGTCAGTGATTCGTTACATAACCTAGAAAAGGAGTGTTTGTTTTTACAATTCAAAGGAAATTCAAAGAATTTGAATGATTAGTCAGTAAAATAAGTTCTCAGGAAAAGAAGATTGTAAGTGGTTGAACACTTTCACTTCTTAAATACTTCTGTTTATCTGTACACCACTTCTGACTGTATTATCTCCCCCTTGTGACCGAGAGTGACCCTTTTCCTTTGGGTTTCTGGTCACCGCGATGTTCTAGACAATGAAAGAGCAGATTAGGAATTAAAAGCTGTATCATTAATCCAATTTTGATATTAAACCCCTATAAAATCTAGATAAGAAATGAAAATCAACAAGATAATCATCCTGAAAACACCTTGAATTCACTTAAACCACTTTAAGAACCCCAAACATATTTAAGTGGCAAGAATTCTATGTGATTCAAATTGAGTTGAACGATTGATTTCAGCTTTGGTTCTGTTTTGATATCATAGAAAAGGATGAAGGATTGGGCCAAATGTCTTCAAACTTTGCATGATTAATTACTCATTAATGAGGGAAGATTGGTGGAAAAATTCAAGCTGAATCCATTTACTTACGGATTGATATCTTTTCTATAGTTCACTTGCAATTTGCAAACAGCGACAGAAGTAATTCTTGGAATTTATTTTATTTTCATGTAAAAAAGTATAAAAATCGCATTTCTGTGTGTGTTAACAATCAAATTATTATAAAGTACAATTAATCACTAAAATCGATTAATCTACGTTGTTTTGCGCGTTTTTCCTTCCTTTCTTTTTTGTTTAGAATCCTCGTGTAAAAGCTTAGTTTAGTAAATTGATGTACGTATTTAAATGAAGAAATAAATATCCCAAGATTGGGAGTATCAAAAAACTGTGAAACGGGGGCGCTTTTCGCCAGTCTCTTCAGCACTTTAAGTACAAGATTGCTCAGTGAATTTGATTCAAAATTACAACTCTCGCTCACAACTCGTCATTTGGACTCTCTATTTCTTCTTGAACAGCTTGAATGGGATCATCTTTTGGCTCTTGATGACGTAGAAGCTCTTGGGCTTGCCGTTGCTGGGGAAGTACTTCTGGAAGTTCTTTGTCCGCACTGGCGCATAGTATGTGGGTGACTTCTTCTTCAGGATCTTCTCGTGGTGCTGACTGTCCTCGCGATACTGCTTGTCGATGGTCTCATTGTCCCAGGGATTGCTCCACGTGGGGATGTCCTTGATGTCAGTCAGCGCCGCCTCGTCGTCCGTGTGTCTCGAGTTGGGATTTCGTGGGCGATTGTCGTGCAGGATCTTCTTCAGCACTGGCAAGTTCCAGTGGTAGATTCTGCCTGGTTTTCCATTGGACTGAAATCCCAGCGAGACCTTCTTGCTGTCGTCCGTCACGGCGTTCACGGAGTCCGTGCGTGACTTGAGGCTGCCGTAGTAGTTGGTGTTCGGCGGCAGCTTTATTATGAACATGTTGGAGTCGTCCGGATGGCCGTGGTGTCGTGATTCAACGGCCAGGCGCTTCCTGTGGTGATTCGGCGACATCTTCATCTTTCCCAAGCCCAATTTGCTGCAATTATAGAAGAGAAATTAATAGACTGACAAATATTCAAGCGATAGTGAAAAACCAAGGGGCAGATATTGTGGTCGGAAGTGGTGTACAGCTCGAAAGGAAGTGTTTGGAATTGAAAGTGGCAAAATATATCGAATATTTACATCGCAAAAGCTTCCGTTTCAACAAATTGAGGCATTTTCTAAATTATTTTGCCTTGAAATATCAATTTAATCGCCTTTTTTAGGTTATGTGATTGATTTTAAGCAGATTTTGTCACTTTAATAACGCTCAAAGTCAGCAAATTTGTATTTGGGCTGGAATTTTTTCTCTTTTCTTGGCAGAATTGAGCATTTACAGCTTAAAACAGCTTTTAAGAAGTCAAAAAAGCGATGGAAAATGCCTTTTGAGGCATTCAAAAGTGTCTGAAGTGTTAAAGATTCTTGCAAAGAAACTGTGGCATATTATCTCTCCCTTGTGAAAAAGCATTGATGTTCAGTGATTTGGATTTCCAAGAGCACTTCTTTTCCTTCCTTAATTCGAGCAAAAGCAATGGCAAAAAGTGATTTAATCCCTTCGACAATCTCAAGACCTCTTATCACGAGTATGATTGTGATTCCTTGGAGCGACGCAAGCATGCTCATCTATGCACATTTAGAATCTAATAATGGGCGCGCGAGTACTTGTAATTTCCATGAAATGGCAAGGGAAACTCACCTGAAGACCTCTGGATTCGATAATTTCCTCTTGTCCGCTATCATTTCGCGTGCAGTCGCTTTGGGCGAGTCTTGCAGAAGTCTTCTGCCTTCTGGATGATGAGCACTCATGTGACTCACTGCGGATGGCCTGATGTAGGAGATCTTCGTGTCCGGCAGCCTCTTCACCGTGCTCACAGATGATTCACCGGAAAGTTCTGTGGCGGTTGTCTGGCGAAGGCACAGATAGAGGGAAAAGCTGTGGGAAGAGGGAGAAAATTGAATTAGTGCTCGAGTGAAGGCCTCAGACGCAAATTTCATTATTGCCACGCTCGGTTAATTGTTAAATTGTGGCACTTGCGGAAAGTGTAACACGATGTGCGGTCAATTATTGTGACTCTGCACACATTTCACGGTGTCGCGCTTTGTTTCCAGACTCTGTCTCACTTGCGGTGTGACCCGGAGGAACCTGCTTAAAGTCAAATTCGCCACATTGCAAGCCGAAACACGCGCGCATCGAAAATTGTACCAAGTCACATAAGCGAGATTTCCTTCGCCACACTTTCCTGGCCTCTGAGCTGCGCGATCGAGGCCAAGGGGGAGATATTATGGGCAGACGTGGTGTACAGATCAGTGTGAAGAAATGTTCACAAAAACTTCCTATATTCCTTTCCTTAGAACTCCTTTTTATAGCCAAATTATCCCGATTCCTCGGATTTCTTTTGATTCTTTACGTAAAAATAATCCTTTTCTAGGTTATGTAACAAAACAAGAACAGATTTAGTGAAAAAATGGCATTATAGCACATTTATTGGTAGAATTAATAATTTTCATACAATAAACATCACTATTCTCAATTTTTGATGCCAAGAAACACTGAAAATCGTGGTGATCTCGATCATAACCTCAAAAAGAGTCAGTTGAACTGGGAAAATGCTTATTAAGAAAACTATCTGCAGGATTTTGACTCTGAATCAGCCATTTCGAGTTCACTGACAAATCGTAAAAGATGATTTTGTGATTTAGAAAGCCTCCAAAAGAATTCTTTGAAGATCTCTTGGTAATATTTTGACGTTATGGTTGGAAAAGACTCCCAAAAAAACACAATTTCAATTGGATTCTTACAGAAATATTGAATAGAAACTTAAGTGCTCAAAATTTCAAGTGCTAAAAATGATCAGGAAGTGTTGTACAGATTTCAAGTCATATTATCTCCCCCTTGATCGAGGCAGAGAGAAAATATTTCGCCACAAATAAGTGGACACACGAAAAGAGTCCATTTAATGAGGAGCAAATAAATCTTATTGTTCTGTTGAGTCGACGATAAAACTCTTTTTTTTCAGTATGCGCCAGTCACATTTTTTATCATCAATGCCTTTCTTCGCGGTCAGTCCTCCTTCCAATCCGCACTTCCACAAGTTCTGAATGCATGCCAAAGGCAAGGGAAGGAGAGAGAGAGCCACCCGCCAGTGAAATAAAATATGAATGCTGAGAGTTGAAATGGAGAGCCAAGTTGAAAGAATGAAGATTTTTCTGCTCGTTTTTGCCCCACAACTCAATTCCTTTCGAGTTCAATGGTCGACTGCATTTGCAATTTTTGTGCATTTAATACCACATTGGTGGAGAAAAAAAAATTCTCATACTATAAATTCTCTGAAGGAATTGCGTGCTGGAAGACTCTTAAATAATTAACTGATATACTTTTTCCTGGACTAGCTTTAATGCTTGTGATTGTATTGGTTGCACTTCTTCACTCTCTTCTTCGAGAATGCTGTGGACACTAATTGCTCAATCTCGCCTCCGATTTGCTAGAAAATAGGTACTTTCATTCCTTTTATTGCCACTGTATCTGTGAACAAGGGTGGCTTTTATTGACCATCTGTAAGTTCAGCTGGAAATTGTTGGTGTTTCTTTCCCAGATATTTCTTACATATTTTCAGATTGAACATTTTTATGCCAAGTATTTATGCAAATTTGCAAGGGGCAGATATTATGGTCGGATGTGGTGTACAGCTTTTGAGGAAGTGTCAGGAATTATTAGGGGTAAAATATTTAAATTATTTGCAACACAAAAGCTTCTGTTTGAGCAAATTGAGGCATTTTCAATGTTATTTTGCTTGGAAAAATCAATTTTATTATTTTTCTAGGTTATGTTATTATTTTAAGACAGATTCTGGTAATTAATAACCCTCAAAATCATCAAATTTAATATTTAAACTGGGAATATTTCAATTTTCTTGTTCAAATTTGAGAGTTTGTCTATCAAAATAACTTCATATCGAGTTATTAAAAACCTTAAAGTGGCTAAAAATTGGGCGAAAAAGAAATTTTTAACAGGATTCAAACCTTCAAAATGTGGTAAGAATTTTTCAAGAGTGCAAGAAGAATTTGAATAAGTCTAAGAACCGATGGAAAATGCCTGAAAAGTGATGTAAAGATTTTTTTGCATACTTTCTCCCCCTTGCAAATTTCTAAGACATAAAAAAGATATTAAAGTATTATTATAATGATTCCAAATACATAATTATATTTCCCCAAGTTCATAAGCAAAGTGTTTACATTGTATTCCATGTTGAAAATTCAGATCTCAGTGAGCTTTTCCGGTGTTCACTAATTACTAATAAGTATATTTGAGATGATTGTTTTACTGCCTTGCACAGCATACTTTGTATGTGCAATTTAGTGGCAAAACTTAATGACGAGCTTGTTGAGAAAACTCATTGCCTCCACCATAGTTTTATTTTCCTTAATGAATACTCTTTTGCGGTCAATATAGAATTAATGTGCGGAAGATGTGGAGTAAGAGTGTCACTATGGAATACTCACTATGCAATTGGAATGCTTGATGTGAATTCTTTTTCCCCTCTTCATTTGAAATGGCAACGCGAGAAATTTGCTCAGTTGGCAGAATTGTGTATTTTTGCAGCGATTTATTGTCCATTTTATTAATTCTAGCCGAGAATTTCTGAATGACACACAAGAGGAGTTTTCGTGAAGGAAATGGATGAAATCATTTCTGCACATTGTTTGACAAAAAGTCCGCGTGTCAGTGAACTCACGTGAGTTTAACACCTCGCGGTGTATGATTGAACTTAAAGTCAGTGTCGCTTCTTGAGTTAATCACAAGATCAAGAACCTTTTGGCGTACTTAATACACAACGCACTTGGGGCAATTGTTGATAGCAAAAAAGCCAAGGCATTACTTCAATTTCATGTCTCTGGCTCGGCTGTTGTTTCGTGTGTTTGATGGAAAGTAGGCACACAGGTGAATTTATTGGCGCCGACACGGCCACTTTGCCGTGTATGTCCTTTTACACACTTCTCCAAGGGGAAGATAATCCGTTCAGCAGTGGTGTACTTCAATTTGTGCAATATTTGGCTTACAAACTAACCAAATCTTAATTTTAACGTATTTTTCTAGGTTATGAAAGCTGCTTGAAGTCTAAATAACAGTTTAGATTAGAAATTCTTGTGTCTAAACTGTAAGAATTTTCACTTTATTAGTATAAATGCGTGTTTTTACCCAAAGAAAATCGTGATTTTGGAAGTTGAGATATTACAAAGAATGTTAAAGTCAAACATAACCTCAACTTTTCACTAAACATGAGCGATTTCGAGGTAGAAAGATACCATTCAATATGTTTGAAGGAATACTTAATCTTAATTTAAGGATTATCATCAAGAAAAATGCGTTAAAGTGCATTTTTAACAGAAGAAAATCACAAAATATTGTTTTGAAATGTCAATTTTAATTTTTTCATTTAGATTTTAGTGAGTTTTCGGTTGATTTTCATGATAATAAAACTAAAATTTGGTACAATATCACAGATTTTCGCTTTTTTCTGCGTTATTTGATTTCTCATCCGTTTTATGAATGACTTTCTTATCCAGTTCTTAATTTTGAAATGTATTTTCTAGGTTATGTTACTTGTCAAAGACAAAAAGGAGTTTAAAATTGAAATTATTTTCTGTTAGTTCGTTAGAACTAGTTAGATTTCGGCTATTTTCAATCTTGTTTCAAACAATCCATCAAACTCGAAGTCCTGGGAAGTATCATGAAGTGGTGTACAGATTGTAACCATATTATCTTCCCTTTGCACTTCTCTGGGAGTCAATTATCACGTGAGTGGTGTATTTTTGTGGCATGCCTCAGAAGAAGCGCCTGTGGATAAGGAATTAATTGACGACATTCTTATAACTAACGTGCCGATTTAATAAAGCCAATAAAATAAATATTTTATAGGTATAGATGTGAGAGAAAAAAGAGCATTATTTTCTTCAATTGGAATTGTTCAAAGGAATTCCACACTTCAACACTGTAGCACAAAAAGTGTATCCACCTTAATAGAGATTATGTGAGGGGAATATAATATTGTGGAAAAATGAGGAGAAAAAAGAACATCATCCATAATGAAGGTGTTGAATAAAGTCTCTATTTTTGTTCGATTGTACTTTAAGCTCGAGAATTCGCCATTTTTATGAACGTGCGGAGTAAATATCAGTGATGGAAGCACGAATAGGATGAAGGCGTCTATCAATTATTATCATTGGGAGAATCAACAGCAAACATTTTCCATTAACACTTTTCATGAAGTTGGGATGCGAGGTGCGAAAATTTAATTAATATACCAACCGAGGATCATCAAACTGATGGGCAGAGCTTTGTCTTATCACCTGTGATATCTCACCGCGAGAATTCAGCCGTTTTATTCTCATCATAAGATCCAATGTGATAGAATTTGATAATTTTGATAGATCTAGAAGTTTTGATTACGAGAGATTTAAAAGGCATAACTGGTCTTTAATCGCTCAGTCTCTAATTTTATTGCGGGCAACCGAATCGATCTCACGCAATGTCTTTTCAATGGGCATTAACCCAAAATGCCAACACTGCGGCCAAATATGTTGAGGTCTTTCTCAGAATTTTGATTAATTCCCATCTTTTCATCGGAATTCCTTTAATTAAAATCTGCTGCACAAATTCTTTTTCCACCATTCCCGATTAAATGCACATTTATCCGGGTTGAATTCTTGCATTGAAATGAATCTCGTTATAAAACTTTTGACCGAAATTCGACACCCAAAATTAATCAATGTGAATTTATGTGTGTCGCGGAGCAAAAAATCACTTTACGAATCGTTTTAATTTCAATCTTATTATATTACACCAATCAAATGCGTCAATAAAAAGCCAAAAAAAATAGGTCGAAGATCAGAAACTTCGCAGTATGCTTCAATTTTGAAATCATAAAGTCTGGG